GTTCGTAATGATGTGTGGGTTTTGGCTTGGGATATGTGTGTGGCCTTTTCGGCGGAGAGGAGATGTGCATAGCCGAAGCGCCGGTAAAAAGTCCGCGTCGCCGCGTGGCGTGCACGAACCACCTTTGCGCGTCTTGAACTTGTTGCTTCTTGTTCACCACCATCAGCGGTAAAGATGACGTATCCGACGATTGAGATGTACGATATCTCGTGCACGACGACGCGCGCGCCCTGGTCGCCGTTCACGGCGCGCACGTATCTTGCGCTGCGCGTGCTCGACATGCCATTCCACCGCACCATGGTGCCAATGGTGGGCATCCGCTCGCTGCTCTCATCGGCGGGCGTTTCGCCCAACTCTGACGGCGACCTTCTCCTGCCTGCCATCACGCTCACCTCTGATGGCACCACACGCTGGCTCACCGAGAGCGACGACATTGCTGCGCATCTCCAGGAGCTCTTTGTTGCAGCAGGCAATCCTGTCTCCAAGTCGCTCTTTCCCGATGAGGATGCGAGGGAGGCGGGCAAGGCGGCACGTAAGGCGCTGCGCGAGTCGCTGTACAGTGCCGAGCATGCGTGGAAGTCGCTCATCCCCGCGGTGCTCGACATCCTGGAGCCCGAGTCGCAGCAGTGGTTTGTCGACACGCGCACCAAGTCGTGGGGCAAACACCCGCGCGACATCCTCACGCAAGATGCGCCGCTAAACGAAGAGCGTGCAGGCGGGACGGTGCAGCTGTTGGCCAACGCCCTCCGACCGTTCAGCAAGCTGTACGACGACAAGAAGCTGTGGATCGGCGGTGAGGATCCAGTGTATGCCGACCTGATTGTTGTGGCTGCTCTGCAGTGGTACAGCTGTGCACGCCCGCACGAGTTCAAGCAGGCCATCAAGATCACAGGCGGCGGGTTGGAGAAGGCATGGATTGCAGCACAGCCTTTGCTGAACGAGTGAGAGGGTGTAGATCAAAAGGCGCCTCCAGCGAACCAGAGTGCCGAGCCGGTACCCATGCTTTCCATCCATCCGCCGTTTTTGAAGGGCTCGTCTGTGACGCCGATGCTCCAGCCGATAAAGAAGTCGGCCTCGGCCTCGATGAGCGCGCGCGCCCGGGCGGACTCGATACCGTACCCCCTCAACTGCTCCTTCTGCGCCGACGTGTAGTCGGGCAACTCGCACTCGCCTTGGCCCCCGCCTAGCCGGGGCGCCAGGTCGTTCTCATCCCACTCCCAATCGAATCCCTCGTCGTCTGCCCGTGTTGCTGTGTTGGTTGGCTGGGGCTGGACGTAGTCGTTGATATCGATCCCCTCTGATCCCGTGCGTTCGACGACGGTGTGTACGATGAGGGGTGCGCCGAATTTGCGCACCTCGTTCGGGGAGAGATCGCTCGGCATGGGCTCGAACTTGCGTGCGCGGTAGAAGCGGCATCGGTTAGCAAATCGCTCGGGGAAGACGCCCTTGACGAGGAAGCGGGCGCGCTCGCGCGGGTTGGGGTTGCGCGAGCTAGGCGTGATGAGTCGACCTGCTTCGCACCAGATTGCACCGCGCCGTTCGAGCGCGTGCAGCATCTGGGCGAACAACGCGTCGTCCGCTTCGGTAGGTGTGAAGAGGAAGCGGCTAAAGCGCTCATCGTCGGTACCGCGGTCGAACTCGCTGATAAGCCGCGCCGAGGTGGCGAGGTCCGCGTCGGAGGCTTTGTTCATCTCCACCGGGTAAGGCCCGCCGGTTTCGAGCAGCCGCGGAGGTGGGGCGAGCAGGTCGAGCGTGGCAAAGACCATGGATGTTTTGACCGACTTGATCGCTTCGGTACCACGCGCAGTGTCGGCGGAACGCACCTGCGCGATCGTCTGTGTCCCCTGTGCGACAGCGTCGGGTTTGGAGTCGGAACTCTTCGCTTTGGCCTTGAGCTTGGCGAGCCAGCTTTGTTTCTCGTCGGCCTGCTCGGCATCGCGCGTGTAGGAAAGAACGGCCTCTGCGGGAAACAGCGCCATCTTGTTGTATATCCCCTGCCCCGCATACACTGCCGACACGACGCGCTCTACGAGCGGTCTGGACACGATGTGCGTCATCTCCCTTGCCTGGGCTTGGAACAGGCTTACCTTGCGGTATCTTGCGACGTTGCCCGATCTGGCGGTCATCTCTGCACCGTTCCTGGGCTGGGGATGCGACAGGAACGCCAGCCCGCCGCGCGGCGAGACCGCATCGAGCTGACACGGGTTAAACCCAGGACTGCCCAGGTACGCCAGGGGGATCTGTACGCCTAGACGCTTGCGAAGCCGCGTGACAGACTGCGAGACTTTGCTCTTGGCCGTCGCGCCCGCTTCGCCGCGCGCGTGCGTGGCGGGACACCCCACATCGCGAAACGGCACCGGATGCGGCACGTTCAGATCGTACGACGCAAAGAGCGTACAGTGCAGCAGGAATGCAGGTAGAGGAGAGGGCTGAGGTGGGGGCGGAGAGATGCGCCGTGTGGAGGTGATGTGCGGAAGCTCCAACGCCGCCTGCGTCAGCGCAAAGATCGACCATGCAGCGGGAGCGGCGTTCTGCGAGGCGCGCGAGGTCTGGCGTGCGATCGGTGTCGAGATATCCTCGGGAACGGGCTGAGCGGCAGGCGCGGGTGCGAGTGCGGGTGCGGGTGCCGAGGTGGTTGCGGTGGAATAGGATGGTGTTGATGTGGAGGCGGAGGCGGAGATGGAGTCGTAGGCCGGGGTGTAGCTGGGCGGCCCGCCGTTGGCCATGCTCTTGTCCATGTTGTCAACCTCGCCGCGCGTCGGATGTGATGGAGTGCGGAAGGATAGAAAGCGAGGGAAGCCCTTTGAGGCAGGCACCTTCGCCCACAAAGCAGCCGAAACGCCGGCAGAGATGCGTCCGGATCGTTGCTTCTCCGCATTTTATGCTCCGAACACGCCGCGTCCACATCAAGCTCCGACTGCCCCCCTCCGTCCCTGAACCTTCGTCTCGGCACGGCTATCCCCTCACACTCACACTCACGCTCAGGCTCATACTTTCACAGTCATCAGAAACCATATCGAGCTCTACGTCTGCATTGATGTGCGCCTAACCTTGTCTAGAACGCGGCGCCCTTGGCGGCGAGCTGGCGCACCTCGGTAGCAGCGAGCAGATTGCCGTCTGCGAACCTCTGCACCGCCTGGGCCGTCGAGCTTCCAATAGGCGTCCACGTCACATTATGCCCGACACTCTCCAAAAACGCAGCGGTCTGGTTGCTGAATCCCTGAAACCCGGGCACCTTTGGCGAGAAGCTCTCGACCGTAGTCTGGTTGGGACTCAACTGGTCGTGCCATCGCGGCTCGGCCAGGGCCTCCTGAGCATCCTTGCGGCGGAAGAGCACGTTGTACGCCACCTGCGTTACGGCGGTGATGATCCTCGACCCACCCGCCGAGCTGAGGCTGAGCTTGAGTTCGCCCGTCGCCGCGTTTTCCGCAATCACCGCCGAGATGGACGAGAGCGGCCGCTTGCCCGGCCGGATAAAGTTGGCGGCGGTGGGGAGGTAGCCAAAGAAGTTGGAGGCGTTGGGCGACGAAAAGTCGTCCATCTCATTGTTGAGCGGGAAACCGTGGCGCGTCATGAGCGTCGAGCCCCAGAAGGTGTTGATGGTCGTGGTGAGCGAGATGGCCATACCGTCCGCATCCACCACCGTAATCGCCGACGTGCCATGGTCGCTCAACACCTCGGCATCGCGGTTGTCCGGAATGTAGTACGCCGTGGGGAAGGTACGGTCGTCTTTGATCTTGCGCTTCTTTTGCTGCGAAAAGCCGAGCTGGAGGTACTCGCCCTCGAGGCGCGAGACGTTCTTGACGTAAGCTGGATCGCCGTAGTTGGTGCGCTCACCGTAGGAGAACTTGTTGGCCTCGATGAATCGGTGCGTGGAGACGTTGACGTTGTCCAGCTGCTCCTCACCGTCCGCGCGGAACTGGTCGACGGTCTGCAGCGTGGACAGCACCACACTGCCCGAACTCGGCGCCACCGTGCCAAACAGCTTGTACTTGCCACCGCGCAGCGACACGGATCGCGGCTGGCGGAACTCGACGCTGTACTTGGCCAGATCATCCAGCGTCATGATACCCTTGAGCACGGTGTTGTTGCGGATGGTATCGACGATGTCTTTGGCGATCTCACCCGAGTAGAACGGCTTGATACCCTTGTTGGCGATCAACTCGAGCGTGTCTGCGAATCGGGTCTTCTTGATCGTATCGCCCAGTCCTGCCGCAGTGCCGTTGGCGCAGTACACCTCGCCCCACAGCGGTTCGCTACACAAGAAGGGGTACTGGGTGGTGTTGATCGCTCCGGCGAGCTCGGTGGTGACCTTGAATCCGTTGCGGTTGAGCTGGATGGCGGGCTGAAACACTGTGGCCCAGTTGAGCTTGCCGTACTTTTGGTGGAGGTGCCACCAGGCGTTGAGTTCGCCGGGGACGCCGACGGCGAGGCCGCCGTAGAGCGAGGCGTTGCGCACCGGGTTGGACGAGTACATGTCCTCGGTGGCAGCGCCGGGCGCCATCTCGCGGAAGTCGACGTGGATGTAGTTGGCGCTCTTGGCGTGCGCGTCTGCGTGGGTGGCGCGGCGCTGGTTGGTGCGTTCGTCGCTCGAAACGGGCGAGCGCAGCAGCGCATGACCACCCCCACCGAGACCCGAGTGGTACGAGGCAATCGATCCTACGCAGAGTGCCGTACCGATGACCGAGTCGACAGCACTACCGCCGGCTTTGAGCAGCTCGGCGCCGATGTTGGAGCAGACGTCCACCTCGGATGACACGGCACCGTGCGTGCCGTACACGCCAAACTCGGGCGACTGGCCCTGCGACTTGGCGCCGTAGAACGACGGAAGCGCATCGCGCTCGAGATGCGGCAGTGGCCATGCCGAGACGGGGCCACAGAGCAGCAGAGCGGCAGCTGCCACTGTCAGCTTGGATCGCGAGTCGTTGCGAACCATCGTAGTCTAGTCTAGCTGTCCAGACGTAAAGTTTGGGCAAGATGGGGCTCAGATGAAAAGAATCAAGTCGAGGGCCGGCCTTCATATATACGATCCGCGCAAACGACCGATGGATGCGAAGAATGCCCAAAAAAAGAGGTAGGCGTTGGATGGTCACAAGGGCAGATCGACCTCGCTTGCACGAAGATGAAGTCGAAGCGAGACCAGAGTGGGGGGGCGAAGGCAGAGCTGCAAGATAGCGAAGCGAGGTCGTGCGTCCCCCCCAAAACACTCGCCGGCACGCCATTCCCTCTACCGCCGGCCAGTATCAGTGAACGCATCATCCGACCATGCATCCCTCACGCGGTCCTCCTGCCTCACGAGCCGATCCATGGGCGAATTGGTATCGCCGCCACAGTGTGTTCACGTGGGGCAATTGATTGTCCCCCACTAATGAAAGGTGGGCGATCGCTTCATCTGGCGGGCTTGCCAAGCGGACAAAGAAGGTCGCGAGTTTGTGTGACTGATTCGGGCAAACAAGAAGCGACTGGCTCAATGGTGCCTGATATCGCGTTGCACCGCATGGGTGTCGACTCGGCTTCGCTTCGAGTGCCGCTCGCTTAGCCCGCTGTAACACCGATACGCAGGCGACCCGGTCGATTCGAGTACAAGCGCTGAGCGAAAGACACCGAGAAACAATCCCAGTCGGCCCGAATATTCCTTGCTTTGAGCCATCCATCAAGGCGCTCGACACTTTGGATGCGGAGGTGCGAATGAAGGTGGGGTGTTCAGATGCAGACAGGTGGGCTGAAAGTGGCGCAAAGCGGAGGACAGCTGCATGGCACAATGCGACATTTGCAGGGCGTGATTCGGCACCTTACCCGCACGAGTAAAGCAGTTTTCGGAAGTCGGAGGTGATGACGACGCTTTGGACACGCTTTCCAAGATGGACCCTGAAGAAGATGGCAGAGCTGGAGCCACGTCAGTCTTGTTGCTTGGCTTGGCTTTCCCCAAACGCCCTTCACCAACCTCAGCTACTACCCCAGTAAAGCAAAAGCAAGATGGACTTTGACCCTGCGAATCGCGATGTGCCGACGCCTCGGTACGAGCTCGAGTCTGGATCGGAAGACGAGTTGGAGGCCGAGACAAGCAGGCGCCGCGCGCAAGAGCCTCTGCGTCTGCTCAAGGCCGATGGAACTGATACAGCGGGTGCGCTCGAACCCGGCTCGAAGCTCGTGATCCTCGTGGGAGGTGCAGGTCTGGCACTGCTTGGCTCGCTGGGAGGGAATGCGCCGGCACAGCAGTACACGCTGCAAGCTGATGGCGAGCAACATGCTGGCGTTGGAGTGGTCGACTCGACGGCTGGCGACAAGCTCAGCGTGGCCGTGGTTGCTCCTCCGCCGTCGACGCACTCGTCGCGCTTCCACAGCATCGCCAAGACACTGCTGGAAGCGACGAAGCCATGTAGCGTGGTGATTGTGGATTCGTACAGCCCACAGGACCAGCTGCACCGCTCGGCGTACGAGTCCGCTGAGGACGCCGAGTCGGACGCGCCGATCAAGTACCTCGCCTCGCCGCGCTTCCTGGCGAGCAACAAGGTGGATGCGAAACGAATGGTGCCTCTGCGCGCACCCGAGGCAGCGAGTGGCGTAGGCGCCGCATTCTTGTCCGAGGTAAGTTGTGCTCAGCCAAGAGACATGCTAGAAGCAACGAGCTGACGCTTTGTTGTGTTGCTGGGGCTTTTGACAGGCGGTTGTGCGTGATGTTCCGGCGATACTTACGCTGCTTGAAGACGTGAGCTTCCAGTCGCACGTTCAGCTGTATGGCTCGCTCGGATCGGCGCGTCTTTCCACCTCCTCGTCGCAGGCGCTTGCGGCGGTGACGGGACTAGGCACCACCAAGACCGAGGCTCCCACTTGCACACGCACCGTTCTGGACTTTGCGACGTCGAGACGCACGCAGCCTGCCGCCAACCTGGCCGTGTTGGGCGACGGCAACATGTACATTTAGGCTTAGCTGTCAATCGGCCCGATATCATGGCTGCCACGTGTAACGAGATGACTGTGTAGCAACGCACAAGAAAGAGATCGCTGTACGATGATCAGCCCGCCCCTAGTCCACGTGGCTTGAGTGCAATGCGGGTGGGCTCAGGGCAGTGCAAAAAAGCTACCTCCAAAGAAGGCGCAAAGGGTAAGCTGGAGCGAGTGCGTCATGGCGACTGCTTTGTGCTGACCAAGGCGCACGGGAGGCCTTGGCGTTGTGTTGTTTGGCGGCTGCGGCGCGGCGTCATGGCGGCGGAGAGAGAAGCCAGTGAGCTGCAGACTGTGGCATTACGTCGAGCTGCAGCGCGCGCAAATGCGAAAAGGCGAAATTGAATTGAATTTGGCGCCAGCGCCAGCCACACGCTATTAAATAAATCGACTCGATTTCCCAGGCTTCTCGGACTGGCTGGGCGGCCGTGTCGTCACCAATTGCCGCCGCGTCCCGTGTGCGCACACAATCCGCTATCCGAAGTCTCTCCCACAACGTCGAATGGGCGCCGAGATTGTGTGAACAACGAGGTGGGCTCGTAACGGCGACTTCAGGTTCGAAGCGCGGAGTTGAAGCCAGACAATAGAAAAAGAAATGCCGGATGGCGTCTTGGATTGGATTTTTTAGCTTTTTAGCTTTGGGGTGAGTGGCCTGGCTGGCTGGCGAGGTGCTGCAGCTCGACGCAGCGCAGCGCAGCTCAGCGCATCATCGTCGTCATCAACCGCATCACCGCTGCTGCCCAGCGCTCAACCTTTTTCCACTCAGCCGCCCACAGCTCAGGACTTCAACGACAGGCAGACTATTTTCGGCCTCGGTCCACAATCTCTCCTTCGTCGCTCAGTCGCTCAGCCGCAGCACCATCTCCATCTCCATCCTCACCCCCCCACTCAATCTGCCAGCCCTCTCTCAACTCCCTCGGACCTTGATTCTGCTGCAGGGACTCGCGTCGAGTTTCGTCACCTCCGCATCTGCGCGCTTTCACCTTCTCCGCCCGCCCACCTGGCTCCATAGCCCCGGCCTGACCTCATCGCCCTCACTCGCTACTCCTGCACCTTGACCCGCGCTGACTGTCCAGCCCCGGCTTCGTCCATTGTCCACGCTCCCGACAGACGCCGTTGCCGTGCCCTGCCGTGCCCTGTCGCTCTCGTACCGCACCACACCGTGCCGTGCCGTGCCTCACTCACCTCCATCGTCATCTGACGCTCATCCGGGCCCTTGCACCGTCCTCATCCATCTCGACCCACGCTCGGCCCTGCCTTGTCGTCATCTCCAGCACCTCGTAGCAGCCTCGGCATCTTGTTCCGTCTAAGCTTTAATCCTCCCATCCAACTCGCAATCATCCAACCTTCCTCCTTCCTTCACCTTCACCACCATCTCCTATCTCCAACCATCCGACTTCCCTAGAGTAGACGCTCGCTGTCTATCTCGCCCGCGACACTCGTTTCCACGTCCATTTGACCAACTGCCAGCCCAACAGCACCCGCCGGCTCCAGTTGCACGCACCAGCCGTCGCTCGAGTTCGACTCCAACGCCGACCCATTTGCACAGCAACCCATCTTTCATCTCGCATCGACCCTCGATTTCGCCCATTCTCCAGCTGCACCGGTGACAAGCACCGTCGACCCAATTCCGACTATCGACTCTGCGAGCCCGCTCCTTTCCTCTTCATCCTCGCCCTCTGCCAGCCACACCCCAACCATGCCCGTTTTGGAGCAGTTCAAGAACTTTATCAGACACGGAAAGGCTGCTCGCGAAGCGCCAGAAGGTTTGACCGTAAGTGCCTCTAGCTTCCGCTTCCAACCAAACAAGCTTCCGCACCCCTTATCTTGCATCAAGCCAAAACGAGTGGTGGGGCTCAAATGTCGAATGACGCATCCGTCCCCACCTGCGTCGCATCGCTACACTCCACACTCCTCGGTCGCTTGCCGCTGCCGCTACCACCGCCGTACTCCGGCCCTCGGCTTTCGCTCGCCGCCGATCACACCAACATTACTGACACCCGTCTTGCTCCCCTTTGACTCATCAGAACGATCCTGCTGCCGCCGGCCCCTCAATCCAAGTCCAACCCGCAACAGACACACAACAAGCAGGCTTTGCTCCCAACGACAAGGCGTTGCCCGTCCCCGCCGCCACCTCCCACTCCCACGCCGCCCCTTCCTCGGCCGCCGCTGCCACATCAACAACCTCCACAACCGCAGCACCTTCCACCTCCACCTCCAACCAACATCAGAACAACCAAACCCGCGACATGAGACAATCCACCAACGGCAACCACCTCGCCGTCCCCGCCGCAGGCTCCTCCAAGGGCGACCAATACCAGCGCGAGGCAGAGCGCATCGTCGCAGAGGAGCGCGAAGCCTCCGAAAAGATGCCCTACTACGAAGGCCTCAGCGAACGCTTCCAGCTCATCAAAAAGATGGGCGACGGCGCCTTCTCCAACGTATACAAGGCCCGCGACAGGCAGACCGGTCAGAAGGTCGCCATCAAGGTCGTGCGCAAGTACGAGCTCAACAGCAATCAGGTGGGTACCCCTCGCTTTCCGCCTTCGGGTCCCGGTCGTGGGGTCGTGGTTTCTGCTCCGTTTCGTTTCGTCGTTCCGTCGGGGGGTCTCGTCGTCGCTTTCGATCCGTTCCGCTTCGTTTCGTCCCTACATGAGCGGCTTGCCTAGGCAATCTTGTCTTTTCTGCATCCGCTCCTGCTGCGCTCAAACTGCCGCTCAGAACGCCTCTGGCCAAGGTGCTTCTGATCGGTAGCAAGACGCATGCTACCCGCTCTCGGCGCTAGGTCGCCTGCCAAGCTCCGGCCACATCTTCCGTTTGCAACAGCACGGGCGTGGTTGGCACGCTGCAGGCGCCAGGCCGATGACCCATGTCCATCCCGTTGCCTCGTCAAGGCTTGATTGCTCGCTTTGCCTTGATCCTTTTGGTCAAGATGCAACCCGGTTCTTGCTGAGGTGTCGCACTGACTTGCCCCGTTCCGCTAGTCGATCCGTATACACGACCACCCGAACAAGATGGCGGAACAAGCGCTTCGATGCCGTGCAAAAGGCAACAGCCCGAACGGAACTAACCACATTTTACCCTCCTTCCTTGACGCTCCCGGTGGTCCTCTCGCCGCCCTCCGCGACGCTGTATCTACAAAACACCCTTGCCCGCACCGCCGGCTCACAGGATCGACTTGACCCCAACTTCAGAAAGAAGAACCGCGTCACAGAGGTCCGTCTCACGCGCTTAACCCCCTTCCCTCGCCTTGTCCCACCCCAGTCTCGTCTCGCCCACCCTTCCCTTGGCACAACTCCCTTTCCTTATGTTCGCCACGCGGTTGAGGATCCGCAGAGCGAAAGTCTTGTGACCTCACTGCCGACGAACAATTCCTCCCTCACATCATCTCCCTCACCTTTACGTGGCTCAGAATCCCCTCGTCTGCATTCGACCAGGGCTTCCGACGCAACACGGCATTCTCGTCGCTTTGCGGCCGCACTCATGGCCAGAGAGCGGTGTCATTGTGCCAAACATCTCTTCCCCTCACATGAACCTTGCCCTACCCTATGATCGTACCTGCATCGACTGTCGAGATTATGGTCGCTGACATTATTTTGCTAATCTTTCCACACAACAGCGCGCCAACATCCTCAAGGAGGTCCAGATCATGCGCAACCTCAAGCACGACGGTATCGTCGACCTGCTCTCCTTCTCCGAGTCCCGCGACCACTACTTTTTGGTGCTCGAGCTCATGGAGGGCGGCGAGCTCTTCCACCAGATCGTCAAGCTCACCTACTTTAGCGAGGCGCTCGCCCGCCACGTCATTCTTCAGGTCGCACACGCCATCCGCTATCTGCACGAGGAGCGCGGTGTGGTGCACCGCGACATCAAGCCCGAAAACCTGCTCTTCGAGTCGATCAAGATCATCCCGTCCAAACATCCCATCCAGCGTCCCTACGACGAGGAGAAGGAGGACGAGGGCGAATTCATGCCCGGCATCGGCGGCGGCGGCATCGGCCGCGTCAAGATCGCCGACTTTGGGCTGAGCAAGGTGGTGTGGGAGGAGAGCACCATGACGCCCTGCGGCACCGTCGGCTACACGGCGCCCGAGATCGTCAAGGACGAGCGCTACTCCAAGTCGGTCGACATGTGGGCGCTCGGCTGCGTGCTCTACACGCTCCTGTGCGGCTTCCCGCCCTTCTACGACGAGTCGATCTCGGTGCTCACCGAAAAGGTCGCCAAGGGCTACTACACCTTTTTGAGTCCGTGGTGGGACGACATTAGCGCTTCGGCCAAGGACCTCATCACCCACCTCCTCTGCGTCGACCCTCGCCAGCGATACACGATCGACGAGTTCCTGCGCCATCCATGGTGCAACGTCAAGGATCCCATCCCGGACCTCAACTCGGCCGACATTGCGCTCGCCAAGGCGTCCGAGATGCCGCTCGACTCGCCGCTGCTGGCGTCGATGAAGTCGGGCAACGCTGCGCGCAACGCCATGATGTCGCCGGGCATCAACCGGCTCAAGGAGGCCTTTGACGTGACGTACGCCGTGCACCGCATGGAGGAGGAAGGCGCACGCAAGCGCGCCGGCGGCGGCAACCCGCTCGGCGAGCTCAACGAGGAGGACGAGAGCGACGAGGCCGACGAGGCGCGCCGCAAGTACGGCGAGGCGGCGGGCCGTGCGGTGGAGAACCAGCGTGGCGCACGCGTGCACAACGAGGCAAGCGCTGCCAAGGCGCAACCTCGCCAGGCAGCACCACAGCAGCAGCAACAGCAGCCGCAACAACAGGCGCAGCAGTACCAGGGCCGCGGTGGTGCGGACCGCCGTCTGGCAGAGGCGGCACTGTATGACGGCAGAGCAGGTCCGAGGGATCGTGGCCAGAACTCGAACCGCAAGCGCGGCTTTGAGCTCAACATGGGCAACGCCACGCTGCTCGGCAGGAGGAACAAGGCGGCTGCGGGCGCCCCGCGCTTGGACAACCTCGGCAAGCCCATTGTCGATGGCGCCCATGCGGCAGGTGTCGTGCCGGGCAGCCCGATGCGTGTAGACTAAGTCGTTGCTGTGCGTGTTGTATTGGATGCGGAGTGTATCTCTTTCTTTTCTTTGACGTTGATGTTCGTGTGAAGAGATGAAGTGTGAAGCGTCGAAGTCAAGTTGAGTGTTACAAGATGAGAAGGTGGATGCACCAAGTCTGACGTTGTACTTGGCTGGGCGATGCGGTGTGTGGATTGGATGCGCGCCCGCACTTTGGATGGTCTAGGACGGAAGGGCGATACACGAGCTTTGATGAGCACGACCAACTTTGACCGCGTTCGATTGATGCGAGTGCGATGCGCATACGCTTTCGTGCCGTAAGTATGCGCTTTTGCTGCATGGTCCAGCGCAAAGCTCTCGGCATCAACACGTTCGACCATGTGAGGACTGCTTGGCTGCGATTTCCCGCGTTGGCGTCGCCTCGAACGTGCGAGATTTCCCTCCTGGTAGAGAGACAACTTTGATGCTGAAGTTTCAACGCTGTCCTGCTTCCACGTACACAACGTGCCGGGGACAGATGTAAGCCATCGACCAGCTCACGACTCTGTCTCTTCCAAAGACTTTGCAGCCCCACTTTCGGCTTGACTCGATCCTGTTTGACCCGCTCGTACACACCGACATTGACCGTAAAACTACTTGCATTGACAGGGTATCAATCTGAAGAGCTGCATCCGCGGCATCCGCAATGGACGCATTCGACCACGGTGCCTGGACGCAGCTGAGCCTTGGGCACGCGACAGACACAGGTGGATCCCTGGTAGTTCATGTCCCTCGACTGGATGCATCGTACGCAACACAACTTTTCGTACCCCGTTCGCTTCCACTTTGCTATCAAACTACCCAAACCCCCCCCCACATTCAACGTCAGTCAACCTTGACCAAAGTACTGTAGTTCAGGGTCAGGCAACTTACTTTGCATCTGCATATTGGTACTTTAGCAGCCAGTCGTATAGCTCTCTCGAGATGGCTTCGCGCTTGTAGAAGAGGTCGTAGATGTATCGCGAGCGCGTGTGGTTGATCTGGATGAGCGGCCAGAGCGTCTCGACCTTGCGCTTGTTCTGCGAGTCGTCCGCCTCGGCATCGCGCATCTTGCGCTCGTATTCGTCGAGGATCTGCTCGATATCCTCGAATCCTTCTGGAGGGGGCGTGGATCGTGATGTTCGTAGCCGCGGCATGGTGAAGAGTGCGGTAGGGAGAAGATGGTGGTCGCGCGACAAGAAGGGGTGTTGCTGCAACACCAAAAAGCAAAAGAAAAAAGGCACACGAAAATGCCAATTTGCGCCAAGAAAGGAGGTGGAGGCATCAGTCATATGCACAAAGCGTCCAACTCAGCCAACACGCATCTTGACGTTCACCTTCGCCACACCACCTCCCGCCCTCATGCCAGCATAGTCCACACCATGCCAAAGCTGATCCGAAAGGGTCAGCGCATCCTCCACAACCGCACCCAGGCGCGTCTCAATGGATCCACCTTGCCGACCATCTCGAGGTCTACAGATGCGGACGATGCTGAGCAGCTCGACTCGGACGAGGAGCAGCCGCTCTTCCTCGGCAGAGCCTCTGCAACCCCTGCGCCCGCCGACGACTCTCCTTTTGCACGATGGGACGTACCGAAAGATCCTACCGAGCTACCTTCGGAGACCAGACGCAAGGCCGCCAGTCGACGTGTGGCCGATGCGGTCGAGAACGCGCGCTTGCGCAGCTTGAACCAGACCAGCTCGCGGCAACCCAATCCAGCCGGCCACGGGGCATCGCACTCAAACGGCACAATACCTCAAGCCAAACAGGAAGAAACGGCAAATCTCTCAGACGACGACCCGGTGCTAGCTTCGCCCACGCTCGCCGCACATCGCTCACGAGACTCTACAGCACACGTCAAGAACGAGCCCGAAGTGATAGAGATCAAGTCCGAAGACGATGATGATGGAGAAGATGACTTTCAGATCGTCTCTCCACCTCCAAGACTTGCTGCATCTGCAACTCCACCGCCTCGCATCACGCCAGTACCACCCGCACTCGAATCTCCAACCACACCTCCGCCTGTAGCCCAGAGACAAGCAACAGCAGCAGCACGCAATCGACGCTCTGCAACCGCGTCAGCTGCATCAAGCTCCTCTGCAACTCGGCAAGCCCTCGTGGGCAGGCAGCCCTCCGTCGCCCCCTCTGATGCCTCGCGAACGCAATCCGAGGCGCCGCAGCCGCCCGAAAAGCCCGTGCTCGAACGAAAGGATCCGTGGCCCGACCACTTTCTCGAGCTCGAAAAGACCTTTCGCGCCATCAATACCGTCTACTCCTTCTGCTCGGCACGCAAGCATATGGCCACCACCTACGACACCATCAAGAGCAGCGTCGAGGGGCTCACCAAGAAACCGCTCCAGATCTTCGAGATTGCGCAGATCAAGAGCCTGTGCGGCGACCTCATCCACTTTGCCTACGTCGAGCACGACATGCTCCAAGTCCACATGGACTCCAGGTCCAACGCCGAAGATGCCGCCAGCAACACCGTCAGGCCACCCCAAAAGTCGCGCTTGGAGCTGCGCGACGAGATGTACCAACAGGCAGCAGAGGCGATTGCAGACGGCGATCCCTACATCCCTGACGATCAGACTATGTCCGTGCAATCGGCGGCTGCTGCTGCGCCGCTCGCGGTCGACGCTGCGGGGTTCGATGCCACGGGCGGCGGCTTCCAAGACGTTTCGGATGCACACGAAAGCGGTGGGCCGCATGGTCCCCTGCTGCCACCCACCGAGCTCGAGGTGCAGCAGCTGCAGCGCAAGGGCAAGCAGCGTGCACGCGACGAATACGTGCTCCTCTTCGAGTTCAACGACGGCACGCTGCAGGGCCCCAAGGCTACGGCCCGAGGTGGCCGCGCGGGTATGCGTCGCGCCCCCAACCGCGACGCGGCCGACCCCACAGGCAGGCCCAAGCCCAAGCCCAAACGCAAGCTCTACTCGCTCCCCTCGACGGCGTCCATGATGAAGCTCATCAACAAGCGCAACTTCAAGTTCGAACAGGCGGTGCTCGAGCTGCTCGCCGCATGCAGCGCCAAGGACGAAGATCCGGTGCAGCTGCTCATCGATGCCGCCCACGACCACGTCCCGCTCAACCCCGAGACCGCCTCGAGGACCGAGGGCGATACTCCGCACAAGAAGCGCATCCGCCTCGAGTTCCTCATGAAGAATCCCGAACACCGCCCTTCCATCGCCTCGGTCATCGAAGAGATGAGCATCGCGCCGTGGTGGAAGGACCAGATCGTCCCCGGCGGCCACAAGGTGTTCGACCAGCGTCCCGCCAAGATGGGCGAGCTCAACTATCTGCTTTCCCAAGCCGTGGTCAATGCGCTCTATGCCACGCACGGCATCGAGCAGCTCTATGCACACCAGGCCGAGGCGCTCAACGCGCTGCACGAGCGCAAAAACGTCATCGTCTCCACATCGACCTCGTCGGGCAAGTCGCTCATCTACCAGCTGCCCGTGCTCGGCGCACTCGAGCACGACGGCGACGCCACCGCCATGTTCATCTTCCCCACCAAGGCGCTTGCGCAGGACCAGCGGCGGTCGCTGCAGGACCTCATCGCCAACTGCGAGGGCGTCGAGGGCGCCATCGTCGCCACGTACGACGGCGACACGGACAAGCATCTGCGCAAGGACATCCGCGAGCGCGCCAGCGTCATCTTTACCAACCCGGACATGCTGCACCAGAGCATCCTGCCGAGCGAGGATGTGTGGCGACGCTTCCTGCGCAATCTGCGCTACGTCGTGGTCGACGAGCTGCACATCTACAACGGCCTGTTTGGCGCACACGTCAGCTTCATCATGCGCAGGCTCAGGCGCATCTGCAGTGCGCTTGGCAACCGCGATGTGCAGTTCGTCAGCTGCAGTGCCACCGTGGCCAACCCGAGGGAGCATATGCAGACGCTGTTTGGCGTGGACGATGTGCATGTCGTCACCGAGGACGGATCGCCGGCGGGGAGGAAGGAGTGGCTCGTGTGGAATCCGCCGCTCATCGACGACACCGACCCGGCGCAAGGGAGGGTGAGCTCGTACGCCGAGGTGAGCAAGGTGTTTCGGCATCTGATCCAGCGCGGCGTGCGCACCATCGTCTTCACCAAGGTGCGACGCACGTGCGAGATCGTGATGCGCCAGGTGCGCAACGACCTGCTGCTCGAGGATCGGCCGGACGTGGCGAACAAGGTCATGTCGTACCGCTCGGGCTATTCGCCCCAGGACCGCCGCAAGATCGAGCAAGACATGTTCAAGGGCGCGCTGCTCGGCATCGTCGCCACCTCGGCGCTCGAGCTGGGCATCGACATTGGCAGTCTGGACGCCGTGATCATGCTCGGCTTTCCGTACTCCATCTCGAGTCTGCGACAGCAGGCGGGGCGTGCGGGGCGGCGACAGAAGGACTCGCTGGCGGTGCTCATCGGCGATCCGTGGCCCATGGACCAGCACTACATGCACTTTCCCGACGAGATCTTCCTGCAGCCCGATGCGGCGCTGTCGGTGGATCTGGGCAACGACTTTATCCTCGAGTCGCACCTGCAGTGTGCGGCCGAGGAGATGCCCATCACGGTGGAGGACGACGAGCAGTACTTTGGCGCGCATCTCGCGACGCTGTGCCAGACGCGGCTCGAGGCGGACGGCAGCGGCTTCTTCTACTGCCGCGAGGAGCTGCGGCCGAATCCGGCGCGCGATGTGGCGATCCGCGGTGCGAGGCAGGAGAGCTACTGCTACATTGACGACACGCCCGGTCGCGCGGGTGGCGCGCAGGTGATGGAGGAGGTCGAGATGGAGCGCGCCATCTTTGAGGCGTTTGAGGGCGCGGTGTTTATGCACCAGGGGCTGTCGTACATCTGTCGCGACATCGACCACGATGCGCGCATTGCACGCATGGTGCAGGCGGATGTCAACTACCACACGCGCCCGCGCGACCACACGGACACGGACGCCATGGAGACGTACCGCATCCGGCGGCTGCGCGAGTCGCCCTACCTGGCGTACTACGGCAAGGTGACCATCGCCTCGTACGTCTGGGGCTACTTTAAAGTCGACCGACGCGCCAACATCTTGGATGCGGTTGAGGTGGATTGTCCGCCCTTTGTGCGCCACACACGGGGGTTGTGGATCGACGTACCCACCTGGCTGGTGGAGGCGATGACGGACAAACGCATCAATGCAGCTGCGGCGATCCATGCGGCCGAACATGCGTTGCTGTCGCTCACGCCCATGTTTGTGGTGTCGGTGGCGGGCGATGTGCGCACGGAGTGCAAGATCGCCGAAAAGGAGTATGCGGCGCGCGCTTCGTCGCGCAAGCGTCCTGCGCGCCTGATCTTCTACGACATGCCCGGCCAGAACGGCGGCGTGTGCGCAAAGGCGTTTGAGCATCTGGACGGACTCATCCGCATTGCGATCAGCGTGATCGAGGCGTGTGCGTGCAACGAGGGCTGTCCATCGTGCGTGACGAGCCAGACGTGCGCACACGCCAATCTGGTCACCAGCAAGGTCGGCGCGCTCGCGGTGCTGCGTGGCATCGTGGGGAGGGAGCCGTTCGATGCGGACCTCGAGATGCAGAACGAACCGGGCATCGCTCCGAGCCAGCTGGGCGAGAGGGAGGCGGTGCACGGAACGATTGCAGAGGCCGTGCCTGTGCGCGTCGCCAAGGAGCTCGGTGGAGCCGTCGAGGTCGAGGACGTGCACGAGACACTGCCACCGAGCCTACAGGCGCTCACCCAGCACGCCCTCCGCGCGGCTGCGCAGAGGCGAGACGTCGTAGCAGGCCCATCTGGCACCAACGGTACCGGTCCAGGAGGAGGCTTCCTGCCCGGCAAAAGCATGTTGTTCACCGAGTAGCCGCACACTCACACGGTCAACCCATCCTTTTCTTTCTGTTTCTCTCTTGCATTGGCGATCGATTTGGTGGTAGAAAGATTGGTATTGGCACGGGAGCAAGGGTGTTACCCGACGAATGTGACCGCGTGCACGTTGAGCGAGCGTGCACGAGGTGTCTGTGCGGGATCCTTGCCGTACGCCGGCGCGCCCTTCCGCCGCACTCCGAGGAGCGCAGCCGTCGAGCACGCCGACGCCGGCACAGGTGCATCCGTCTTCCCGCTACTAAAAATTGATGGCAACCACATTGGTTCGGTTGTCAACAGAGTGTTAAGCGGGATGCGTTGGCACGCGGGGAAGGGAGAGGAGCGGAAGAAGGGGAGTTCAGACGATTGGCACAGGCGGAGGTCGCATTGGTCGGTACAGCTTGGCGGTCCCAAGAGTGAGCAAGGTTGGTGGTAGCAAGATGGAGAGACGGCGAGGCAAGAAGATCCGGCTTTGTACCTTTTTTTTCTTCCTTTGCGAGCAGACGCAATTTTCCGCCTTCCGACGGCTCACGGTCACCCGGCCGACTTTGAGTTAAGCTTGGGCTGGACCCTGACTCCCCCGCACCGTGACTCGGTCGTGACTTGTGAAGTAGAGATCGTGGTAGGACCTCGTCGCACCTCTTCTTCTCATCATCGATCAAACCATCGCCGCACAAAGATGGCCACACATCAGTACCACCGCTCGGACAATGCAGAGGTGTATCGTGCCAATGCGTCGTTTGTCTACTCGAATGCCTTCACCGCCGCGGTAGTCAAGCTGCTCGACCCAAGACCGGGCGACCACGTCATCGATCTTGGCTGCGGTATGTCCCCCACGATTCCTCACGCCTGACTCTGCTATCCATCTGACCCTTCGCCACCGTTTGCAGGCAGCGGAGAGCTAACGCTCGAGGTGGCGTCTGCGGTCGGCCCGGACGGGAGCGTGCTTGGGCTCGACGCGAGTGCCGACATGATCGCCAAGGCACAAACTCTCGCTGCACGTTCCACGACCTCAACTCGAGCACCCATAGAGTTCGTCATCAAGGATGGCCACGACGCTCTGCACGACAAGCGCGTAGACAAGGTGTTCAGCAATGCGGCGCTGCACTGGATGAAGCGCTCGCCTTCTGCAGTCATCGAGAACGTCTACGGCGTGCTTCGTCCAGGCGGACGGTTCGCAGCCGAGATGGGCGGGCACATGAACTGTGTTGGCGTGCGTGGTCAGCTGCACCGCTCGCTGCGCCAGCGTGGACACGATCCCACCCAGTACGATCCGTGGTTCTTCCCGACGCCGCAAGAGTACCGACAGCTGCTCGTCAACGCAGGCTTCCAAGTCGAGTCGTGCGAGCTCGTACCGCGGATCACGCCGCTGCCCAAGGAGAGCGGCCTGCGAGGGTGGCTCGAGACATTCGCCGGCCCATTCCTCAACGCGATCGACGCAGAGCAGGACAAGCAGGCGGTGGTTGCAGAGGTGGAGGACGCGCTGAGACCCGACTGCTACGATGCAGAGAGCGGTATTTGGAGCGTCATGTATGTGCGTCTGCGTGTTCTCGCTCACAAGCCATCATCGTCATGAGCAAATAGAACAGTTGTGTGGAAAGACTTGTATGGGGGTGAGAGGAGGTGCGGACATGGCGGAAGGAAAACAAGGTTGAATCGCGGCCATTTTCCCGGAGACTTTTTTTTGCCCGATTGCGCCGAGAAGAAAGTGCGGATTGCGATTCCGCAGCTCCGGCTGAGCCAAACCGGTTCCACACCTCGTTGAAAGCCCGCACGACCTCTCGTGCCTCCTCACTACCACCATCCTCTATCCTCGCATATTCCAACGATGGCAGGTCACACCTCAGCTAACGGTACGGGCAAGGCGGCATCGTCATCGCGCAGCCCGCTTCAGGCCGAAGCGGCGTCGAGTGAAGCCGCGCGTCTGTTGCCACAGGTGCTGCAGCTTGTGCAGGACTTCATCGCATCGGGTGAGAAACCTGAAACATACGTTGCGCCATGGGGCAGCATCCCGGACTTTCGCAAGGCCGTCACCCTCGACCTTCCCGACAGCGTCAGCACCGATGCAGCTGGCATGCCCGACGAGACGGCACTCATGGACGCGATCAAGCTCGTGTTTGACCACTCGGTCAACCCGTGGACAGGGCGGTTCTTGGACAAGCTGTATGCGGCCACGACGCCCGTGGGCATTGCAGCGGATCTGGTGCTGAGCGCGGTCAATGCCAACGCGCACGTCATGTCGGCGTCGCCCGTGCTCAGTCTCGCCGAAGAGCGCTGCGTCGAGGGCCTGTGCGAGGTGTTTGGATTCACCGAAAAGAAGCCTGATGGGCTTACGATGCCCGGCGGCTCGGCGGCCAACACGCTCGCTGTGCAGACGGCGCTCGCCAACGTCTTTCCGCCGTTCCGAACGCAGGGCGTGCTGGGTGTGGTGCAGTACCTGGCCGACAAGGGCAAAGCGCCGAGGCCTCTGCTGTTTACATCGTCGCAATGCCACTACTCGCTGGACAAGGCGGCCATCTCTGCTGGGCTCGGACTCGATTCGGTCGTCAAGGTGGCTTGCGACAAAACAGGACGTATGTGTCCCAAGGCACTCGAGGAAGCGCTGGAACAAGCTGTGCAGCAGCGCACGGGAACGCCGTTCCTGATCAACGCCACCTCGGGCACCACGGTGCTGGGCTCGTTCGACCCGCTGCCCGAGCTCGCTGCGGTGGCGCGCAAGCACGGCTGCTGGCTGCACATCGATGCATCGTGGGGTGGGCCGATCGTGTTTAGCCACCGCGCCGAGTACGCCGGCCTGATGAAGGGCAGCCAGCTGGCGGACTCGATCACGATCAACCCACACAAGCTGCTCAACGTGCCGCTCCAGTGCTCGTTTCTGCTGGTGCGCGATGCCGACACGCTCTCGGCCAACAGCCTCGATGCCGGCTACCTCTTCCACTCCAAGGACCGCCGCGAGAACGCCGCGATGAAGACCATGGGCTGCGGCCGACGCGGCGATGCCCTCAAGTTCTGGCTCTACTGGGTGCGCTACGGCAAGCAAGGCTTCGGCCACCACGTCGACGCCGGCCTCCAACTCGCCACCCAGCTCGTCGAGTATATCCGCTCCAAGCCCGAGCTCGAGCTCGGCCCGCTCGCCCATCCGCTCTTCCTCCAGATCTGCTTCCGCCCCAAGCAGCCGAGCAGCGCGGACGATGGCGCGCACACGCTGGACCCAGAGCAGGTGCGCGTCCGATCCAAGGGCACTCAGTTTGTCTACCAGGAGCTCAAGAGCCGCCGCATGTTTGCTGTCGACTTTGCGCCGCTTCCCAACGACATTGGCGACTATATCCGCCTGGTCGTGCACCCGCGCACGCGCATGGACGACCTCCGGACGCTCGTGGACCAGGTCGCTGAAATCGGCCACGCGTACTGGAAGCAGGCATAGTCTCCACCACTCCTAGAGCAATGCCACACTGTAGAATAGACGAAAGCGCCGACCGGGGCCCAGGGCGTGAAGGAGAGCGAGTGAATCACGAACCAGGAGGGACAAGTGCCCTCCACCCAAGCGCACGCGCCGAGAAAATCCCAATTGGCATCTGGCATTTGGCATGTGGCACTGGGTCTGCCTGTGCCTGCTGCTGCTGGGATGGATTTTTCGGCGAAACGTGCTTCGCCTAAACGTCGCATTGGCCAAGCTCGTCGTCTCTTCCCGACCGACTCCTCCATCCACCACCCTACTACTGCCGTACCAACCGCCTCGATCCGCCCACAATGTATCGCAGTAAACGCTCCACCAAACAATCGTCCAAACTCAAGATCCTGCCCGAAGAGCCCGAGGACAGCTCGACGGGCGGTCCCAGCGGCGGCGCCACCCCGCTCAATGCCTCGTCGCCCGTCATCGGTGGTGCCTCGACGCTCTCCGCCAGCCTGGGTGGTGCCAACGCCGTTGGATACCGTCGCAATCCGTCGTACTCTGAGCCACCGGCGCCGTCCGCCTCGCTTGCGGCTGCCAATGCCAACTCGCCGCACCACTCGGTGGATGACGACGACAGCTCCTCGGACGACGCCGCCGAGGGCGAGGACGAAGAGGCGGTCGAGGTGTACAAGCAGCTGGCCCAGATTCCGGAGGGATCGATGCGTCGCGATGCACGACGCCTCACCAAGCGATCGCGCGCAAAGCTCCCGCGCGTCACCGCGTACTCGACCGCAACATCGTACCGCATGCGCGAACTCACCAAATGGCTCAACGCCAGACGCTCCTCGCACCACACCAACGTCATGACGTTCGACGAGTGCCTCTACACCACCTACACCTACAAGCACGTCGATGAGGCGCGTGGGCTCGTGCCTGCGCCCGCAAGTGCGAATGGGTCCGGAAAGCATCACTCGAGCCGTGCCAAGGATGCGCCCGCCAAGACGGCGGATTTGCTGGGCATTCCCGAGTTGCACCCAGACGCACAGCAGCACGATGGCAGTGCTGGTGCTGGCGAGCGCGAGGGCGAGGGTGCGGACGAGACAGCAGCCGCTGCAGCCAAGCGCAAACGCAGCCGCTTCGCCGTAGACGATGTGGTGCCGGAGCTGTTCATCATGGACTACGGCACCATCGTCATCTGGGGCATGAGTCTGGTGGAAGAGAAGCGCTTCCTGCGCGAGCTGCGTCGCTTCGAAGTGGAGCGTCTAGCATCCGAGGACGTGGAGAGCGAGGATCTGCACTGGTATCTTGCCGACTACTCGCGCATCTACAACGACGTGATTACGCTGCGTCGGGGTTCGTCGTACATGACCAAGCTGAGTCTATCGCATGCGTTGGCGCAGTCGACCAAGATCTCGTTCTTCGAGGGCATCATCGACAATACGATCGAAAGCACCAAGGACATCCCGCAGAGCATCGCCGAGAGCGGCAAGATCGGAATGCCCCCCGCAGAGATCATGAAGCAGATCGGCCATCTGTTCATCCTGCGCATGAACATCCATCTCGTCGGAAGTATTGTGGATAGCCCAGAGATCTTTTGGAGACAGCCCGATTTGGAACCGCTCTATTCGGCCGCCAGGAGCTATCTGGAGATCCCACAGCGTATTGATCTGCTCAATACGCGCGTAGAGGTGCTCCAGGATATGCTGCAGCTCTTGAAGGACCAGGTCACCTCCAGCCATTCCGAGTATCTGGAGATCGTCGTCATCCTCCTCATCATGCTCGAGTAAGTAGCTTCATACACTGATCTTGATTGGTGTGCAGATTACTGACGCTTTTTGCTTCTCTCTTTGCGGCTGCGCGTTTTAGGATCGTGTTGGGCGTGGCGACCATGCTGGTTGATCTGTACTTTGGATAGGTCCGCGCGCTCTCATCCACATGGCTAACTTATGGCACAGTCCAAAGGCACCCTTTGAAGCTGTGTGCTGCAGTATGAATTGGTCTATCGAAGTTGGGCCGTCTAGTGCATCTGGATGCCTTTGAGACCGAAGCGCCAGAACAAGATGCCGGCTAGGACGCCGCCGATATGACCTGCGGAATCGGTGCGTTGGCCCGGATTGAGCACGGCCTGCGCAACATCCCAAGCAAAGATGCCCGACACGCACGCCCATGCCGGCACGGGCAGCACGAAGAACAGCAACAACTGGGCGCGCGGCTGGACGCACGCGAACGTGCTCATGATCGCATACACCGATCCACTCGCCCCATGACTGAACGGTCTCCTGCTCTGCTGTTCCTCCGTCTCAATCACCCTCTTCCCCACCATGGAAACGACACTGCTGATGATGCCGCCACCGCAGTACAGCAGCAGGAACATCGTCGGACCCGTGAGCGCAAGCACGGGGGGCGACATGAAGCCCAGCGTCACCATGTTGAAGATCAAATGCGTCGGCGCTTGGTGCGAGAAGCAGTTGGTCAACAGCGTCCACCACCTCCCCTCGCCCATGTTGATTTCGCCCGAGAGAAAGTGCTTGGCCATGCTGATCGACGGGCGCGGGTCGCCGAAGCGATCCAACATCTCGCGCGCCCATGCCCACCCGACGAACACCAGCACGTTGACGCCAACCACCGCAAAGATCACCGCGCGCGGATCGAAGCGGCTCCAGAAGCGTTCGTCAATGTGCGCAGCGAACGAGGCCAGCCACGATGGACCCGGTCGTCGACGTGGGTTGCCGCCAGAGCCACCGCCACCGCCTGGGGTGGGGGAGGGGCGATGGAAGAGCGGCGAGGGCTGGTTGCGCGAACGCAGCGACGAGCGCGATGGACTGCTTTCTGACCGCAAGCGTGGCATGCGAGACCATACCCACGCTGCGATGCCCAGTCCTAAAGGCGCTGCTTGCAGAGGTACGCTCGGCTGCGATGTGCAGAACGATCGAAAGAGCCCCGACGATTGCCCACCCGCCGCCGTCGCGGGATGCCGAGTCTTGATCCCGGCGTTGCCGGTGGCCGACATTCCAGAAAACCTTGTTATATGTGTTGATGGTGCGATCCGGTTGGGGTCAAAACGCAGCGTCGATGAGCAAGCCGCCCCTTGGTCGGGGTGACGCCGTGTGGACGCGTGGCGGAGCTGCATGTGCTGCGATGTGGACGCCGCTGCTCGAGCGGCACTAGGTGCGTTGAGAGCTGTCGACCCAAGGAGTTTGCACGATGCTGCCGCCCAGGACCGTATTGAAGGCTTCATGGTGGTATGCGGGAAGCAAAGGGCGACGTGGCTGGCGGCGAGTTATAAGAGGCAAGCTGGAACAAAGGGCCCTTTCTTCCGACTCAGCTGCATGTGCTTGCCAAAGGGTCGTGTGGAGTGGCTGCATCGGAGCTGCCCAATCTCGATCCGCTATCCCGATGAGCCGATTTTGCGAGTAAATGTTAGAGCGGGGCGTCAAGTGTTGGTTGGCGGCTGCGCGCGCGCGTTGCGGCTCTCTTTGCGTCGCGCATGGCATGGCGTGGAAGAAAGTGGCACCTCGAAGCCAGATTTCTCCTCGTCCACCCACCACTGTTGCAGCGCAGACCTTCTTGCACTTCGACCCGCACCATCGCCAAGCCGACCGACTTCGCGCAGATTCATCTCGATAGCAGCTGCCCTTCCAAAGATGACAACAGAAGCGTCGACGTCCGCCGCGGCGTCAGCTCCCGCGCAATCCTCCTCATCCTCTTCGTACGATCCGTCGTCGACATTCATCGAGTCGTCTTCTGCATATCGCCGCGCATCCTCCGACGGCTCCGGGGATGAGGAAGATGACGATGATGACGACGAGAAGCTGTTCGCCGAGCTCGACCGCGAGCTGGACAGCATGGAGGACGAGTCGAACTTCCACCCGCGCGGCGGCGACGATGCCGACACCGTAGCCGGCTTCGACATGGCCGAGTTCAGGGAACGACGCATGGAAGAGCTGCGACAAGAGTGAGTTGCTCCACTTTCCTCCATCTCTTTGGAGTACTTGTATTGAAGCTGACGCTGTTCTTTTCGGCTGGGGGTAGAATCGCTGCGGCCAAATCAGCGAGTGGTGGCGAACATGCTGTGATGCAACACACATCGACGGCTTCGATGAAGGGGCTGCTCACCGAGATTACGCACGAAAAGGACCTGATCGGCTTCTCGTCCACCGAGCGTCAGGTGGCGATCCACTTTTTCCACCCCAAGTTCCAGCGATGTGCGCTGCTCGACCGCCACCTCACCGTGCTCGCGCGTCTGCATCCGGGCACGCTCTTCCTCAAGGCCAACGTGCTCAACTGCCCCTTCCTCACACAGAAGCTCAACGTATCCGTCCTACCGTGCCTCATCACCTTCAAGGACGGCGTGAGCAAGGACAAGATCATCGGCTTCGAGGAGCTCGGTAATTCGGACAAGTTCTCCACGGGCGCGCTCGAGTGGCGACTCGGCCAGAGCGGCATCATCGACCCGAGAGAGAACAGGAAGCCGATCTTTGGGTTCGGAAACGATAACGCCGTCTCGGATACGGTGGGAAGGGGTGTCGTCGGCGCGAGGAAGGATGAAGACGACGATTTTTGGGACGACGAGTAGCCGCCTTAAACAACACTGTACTTGTACATCAATCGACTTGCTTTGCCATCTCCTCTGAGCAAGTCGGCCTGGTTCCACCTATGCAACGTGCACGCTGACTGCTTGTTGCTGCACCATCTCAGCACGATGAATCTCATCCAAGTCGAGGGTGATTGCCGTGACTGCGAGTGCAACGTATTCACGCTCATCACGCGCCGCTATTGCCAGCATTCCAAATCATCTTGTTGCATTGCTAGGGCACTGTCCATGCAGGCGCTGTACCGTGAGCTGGCCACAGACCAAGCAGAGACGCTTAGAGCGTCTTGACCTCGCTGTCGGGCTCGACGTACTCGCTGCACCATCCGCGTTCAACAACGTCAGTGTTCGGAACCACTCGTTCACTCAAGATCAGGGCCGGACTTACATGTGCTCGTGCTTGCCGCCGACGCTGGCGGTGGTGAGTTCCTGCGCAAAGCTGTCCGGCAGCGTGGCGGCAAAGCCGCGCATGATGCTCGAGTCAAACGTCTGCTTGATGGTGCCGCCCGCCTGCTGCACCTTGGACTTGTGCTCGTCGATCGCGCTCTGCGGCGTACCGTCCTTGAAGATACTACACAGCACCACAACGATGAAGATTCAGTGAGTCTCGAGCGGGTATCTCGGCGTCCAGAGCGCGGACTTACACCATGTAGGGCTTGTGCTCCGCCATTTTTGCGGTGCGTACGAAGGTGGAGAAGCGGGCGATGCGCTGCAGTGTAAAGGTGCGTGGAGCGAAGAAGAGACGCAAAGAGGAGGTCGGGATGGTGATGGTGGCGATAAGCAAAGGGCAGACAGGTTCAGACCGGCTGTGTTGTTGTTCCGCTGCGCTACAGACGGCGATGCTGACTGAGGCGGTGGACCCTGAGCCGGGCGCGCTCGGACCAGCCCGGCCGGCGTAGAAGTGACGCGGCTCAGTTGGGCGGTCTGACATTTCTCGGCGATTTTCTCTGGGTGGAGGGTGAAGCCTAATTTTTGCCGACAGTCAGCCTTTCTCGCAATCCACCAACGCTCTTCACCTCGACACCTGGATGGCGACGACATCATGGACGACGATGCAAGCGGGTCGGTCCTCTCTGCGCTCATAGCGCGCATCGAAGCATACGCCGCAGATCCTAGCTCGTTGAGCGTACCCGGCTCAACGACACGCCATGCACTCTGGCTCGCGGACGAGGCGCAGCGCATCGAAGCCGCAACGCAGCTCGCCGAAGAACTCGTGGCTCTGCAGAGCATCTACACAGACGATGCGATCTTCGTGCTCAAAATCAGCCCTCTCGGCGCCGAGACGCGCCCAAACGTAGACGATGCGGATGGGCACGAGGACGCCGCCGATCCCAACACCTGGCTTCCTGGAGCCAAGCTCACGCTGTCCATATCCGCCGATGTCGAGGCGCAGACTACCGACGGCGAGCCGATACCAATACGGCTGGCGGTGACGCTGCCGCCCTTCTATCCGCACAGTGCGCGGCCGCCGCAGCTGCAGCTGCTGTCGCGGTATGTAGGCGGCTTCAGTGTAGACGCGCGGCTGTTTGGCGAGATCCTGCGTGCGTTCTACCACCAGACGGGCGACAGCGCCGAGCCGGTGGATGCGGAAGAGGCAGCGAGTGCAAAGTGGATCGGAGGGAGTATGGACCGCGGCGTGGACTGGGCGTCGGGCCAGGTGGTGCTCTTCGAAGGCATCGAGTGGGTCAAGGAGAAAGTGTCGGACTGGTGGACCGACAAAGAGACCGAGCGTGTAAAGTCGGCCCCTTCTCCGTCCTCACAGCTCCCAACCGCAACCGCATCCGATCCACAAGTCACAACGTTTGCGGAGGTGCCGACGCAGGGCCAACCGGCGCCTTTTGAAGGCACCATCTTCCGGACCGAGTCGATCATCGAGCGCAAGTCCGAGTTCATCGGGCACGCGGCGAGCATCACGTCGCCCGACCAGGTAGCGTCTGTGCTGTCGCGCATTGTGTCGGACAAGCGCGTGGCGCGCGCGACGCATCCGATCATCAATGCGTGGGTGTGCCGTGGCGCGGACGGGGTGGTGCATCGCGACTGCGATGACGACGGCGAGACGGCGGCGGGCGGTCGCCTCGCGCATCTGCTCAGCATTCTCGAGCTCGAAAACGTGCTGGTCGTCGTCACGCGCTGGTACGGCGGCGTCCATCTGGGCCCGGACCGCTTCAAACTCATCAACCGCGCCGCGCGCGACGCTCTCGACCTCGCCGGCCTGGTGGGCAAAAACACCGACGACACGGCAAAGACCAAAGGAATGGGAAAGCGCAATGCGTGATGTTACAGTTGCAAGCGCAATATAGTCCCGAGACCTAGTGTGGGAACATGCGCGCGCCCGCGATGCCGCCCTGGAGGATGCGGATCGTGATGTTTCGCGACGCCTTGGCGATGCTGTCTTGAATGAGCAGCTCGGGTGTGGTGACGCGGCCGGTGGAGATGCTGGATGTATCCGAGGTGCCGGGTGACGATCCTGTGCTGCGCGTTCTCCCCGCCGGGTCTAGGGCGTCGCGCATGCACTCGTGCACAGCGAGCGTGTCGATCCTGGCTCCCCAGATGGAGCCCACGAATCCGTCGGCGATATTGACCTGCACGGGCGGCGTAGCCAGCGCCAGATCCGAGACGCTCCTGGGGTCCAGGCCTGTCACCGAGCGAAGGTTGAGCTTGAGCGGGGCTGCGTCGTCTGGATTCTGCTGAGCTCGAGCGTGGGCGATGGAGATGAGTGCCTCGGCCAGATCGGCGCCACCGGTGGCAGGGAGCATGGTATTCCACAGCTCGAGCGTTTCAAGGCTGGTGCATCCTGACAGGCCCTTTGCAAGAGCAGGGATGATCTGGTCGACAATGACGATGCTGAGGCCCATGATGGCATTGGCATCGCTGCGAGGTGGCACCCACCGCAGCGCCGTCACCCTGCTCAGCCCGGCAATCGCACTTGCAAATGCATCGGCTTCGGCGGTGCGAAAGTCGGCCTCGGTGAGGATCTCGCTGTGCCGAATGCTGAAGAACTCCAACGACACCTTTTGCACTTGGGGACACAGAGCGAGTGCGCGCGATACGAGGGTGAGGCGGTCGCGCGAGTGCGTCTTTGCATCGGGCCCGTACAGCGTACCGTCTCCCCCACCGGGAACACCAGGGATGTTGACGACCAGCGTATCGCGGGTGTGGTGGGCGCAGTACTTGTGCGCGCCCGACGCAGGCGCAACAAAGCGCACCAGCTGCTCGAGCGAGTAGATGTGCACCGATGCGTACAGCTTTGGCAGCACGAGGTCGTGCAGCAGCGAACAGGAGCAGAGCACTGACGTGATGTTGCTCGTACCCACCGCATGCAAGTCGTCGATGTAGGCCGCCGCGATGAGGTGCAGGATCTCGGGCGGCATGGAAGCCAGGTGGCGCACAGGGCGAACTGCCGCCATGGCGGGCGAGGCGTCTCGACCGACGCAGTCTGTAATCGTGATGGTGGTGTCTAGTGATGCATCGAGGGCATGCTGCTACGGCATCATGTCCGTGTGCTTCTTATCGCAGCACTCAAAGGGTGGCCAAGCGAGTTGGGAGCGGCGGGCTAAGCTTTGACAGCTGCAACACCTGCATGCATATAACCCTCGATCCGCACACCTCCCGATCCAACTATGCGCGCACTCGAAATTTTAAGCATGTTAGACCCTGCCAGGGAAAATCGAGAGTTTACTCCACCAGCGTCAGGCTTGGCGCAGGACCTGACTTGGATTCCGCCCGAATTTTAGAGTTGCTGGCCGTGGCAAGAGAGCAACACGCCGAAACCAACACAGGGGCGGGGCGAGGCAAGTCCGCCGCAACACTTTTTCAAAAAAAAGGGGCGCGGGCCCAGCTCGGCATAGCCGCACAGCACCACGCGCTTGGCGGCAAGGCTGTGCGCTTCTCTCCACACCCAGCTGCGGCGGCATTCCAGCGACGCCCCACCTTGCTTGGCCTTCATTCGCGGCGGCTTGGCTTCTCACCACCATCAGAACACCAGAGCGAACCAGCATGCCTCTGCTCCTTCTGCGGCAGGCGGCGGCGTCGTCGTCGTCGTCGGGACAGTCCAGGATCGACCCGACCAAGGACCAGCGCACCACCATCATCGTCGCGTGCGTCTACGCCGTGGCGATCATCATCCTGTGGAACATCCCCATCCTCAACTACATCCTCTATCCGTTCAAGCTGCTCACCGTCGGCTTTCACGAGTTCTCGCATGCTGCCGTCGGGCTCTGCACGGGTGCCAGGATCGAGTCCATCACGCTCGAGCCCAACGAGGGCGGTGCGACGCGCATGCGCGGCGGCATCCCCTGGCTCACGCTCCCCGCTGGCTACCTCGGGTCGAGCGTGATTGGTGCAGCACTGATCGCGTGCGGGTTCGACGAGCGCGCATCCAAGGTGGCGAGCATCGTCGTCGGCGTCTTCTTCCTCTTTACGCTGTGGTGGGCGCGGCGCGACTGGCTCACCTGGGTCCTCATCCTCGCCATGATCGGCTTATTCGTGCTCTTCTGGCTCGTAGCCAGCAGTGTGGCGTTGCGGTACTTTGTGCTGTTTATCGGCGTCATGAACTGCCTCTACTCGGTGTGGGATATCTGCGACGACCTCATCTTCCGCAAGGTCAACGAGTCCGACGCCTCGGCTTTCAGCAAGGTCGTCGGTGGCCCGCCGCAGTTCTGGGGCGTCATCTGGCTGCTTATATCGATCGCCTTCTTCGGCGCAGGCATCGTCGTGGGCATCCTCGCTTTCAAGACACCAGTCGCACAGCAGCAGGCAGACAACTTCCTCGACGTCAACCTGAGACGCCGCTTCTTCCTCGGCTACTCGCGCATCTAGACTCCCGCATCCCCGCTCAGTCTAGCGATCCGAATGTAACGATTGTAATTCACAAGGACAATGCAAATCATGACTTGTACCACCGATCGGGGCATTTCTATGTTCTATATCCTGGAATCGATGCCGGGAGAGAGGCAAGGGTATACTGGGCGGGAAAGGCTCTCTACTTGACGAGTTCGTCTACGTTGACATTGTTCGGCTTGGAGGCCTTGTCTGCGTTGGCAGCAGGCTCGTCGAGGTGTTTGAGATGGTCGATGTTGGACCACTGCACAACGGTGCCGATGGCGGGGCCGTGACCGATATCCGCCTGCACAGCGGTGCCATCAGGCGCACGGATGACATCGGCCGCTAGTTGGAGCTTGCCCTGCGGATCGCGTTCGAACTCGGCGGCGGTCTTGGCGATGTGCGCCTCGAAATCGCGCAGCGTGTCTTGGGCAGCACGATCCTGCAGCGCACGCTCGCGCATCGTGCCAAGCAGCTTCTTCTGCACCTCGTGGTCCAGGATGAACTGCGCACCCTGCACGCCCAGGTGGATCGGACGGATGGACCAGTCGGCTCGCCGAGACGCGTTGCCTGCCGAGGTGGATGCGATCGACGCAGACGAAGTGTGAATCACGGGAACGGCGAGTTCGGTGATCGAGCAATTCCAGAAGCGCGACGGAACGACGGACGGCGGAACGAGGCAGTATCGACCGGGAGTGAGCACCTGGTTCATGAGCGCACTGATGGCCGCACCGTGCGACACCAGCACCACCGTCTCGATGCGTTCGGCTGGGTCCGAATGCGGGGCAGCCGCGCGTGTCACGAGATCGTTCCAAAAGCTCGCCAAACGCTCCGAGAACGGCTCCATGCGCTCAATGCCCTCGGTATCCTCGGGCTTCTTGGCGCCGCCGTTGTACACCTTGCCCTCGAGCACGCCAAACGCACGCTCCTTGAGGCGGTCGTCATACTCGAGCTGCAACGATCCCGACGGCTGGTGCTTGAGGATGGCGCGCGCCGTGTCCGCAGCGCGCTTGAGCGGCGACGCGATGATGCGGTCGATGGGCGTGGTGGCGAGAAAGCGACCGGTGGTGTCGGCCTGCAGGCGCCCGCGCTCGTTGAGGTCCGTGTCCAGCTGGCCCTGGATGATGCGCTCCACGTTCTCGCGCGTCTCGCCGTGCCGCACGATGAGCACGCGCAGTCGCGTTGGCGGCTCCAACTTGGTCTCGCTGTACACCATGGCGGAAACGTATCTGAGTGTGCAGAGGGTTGACGGTGGCCCGGAAAAGAAGAAGCCGCTCAGTTGCCGTGGTCCTGACTCCAAGCTTCCTTCTGACCGAAAGTCCCCGGCCCGATTTGCACTGTGCAAGCCGATTCGGCCGAGGGCGGTGCCGATGGATTTGCTATCGGCACTTGGCGCATGGTGGCTCGGCATGCCACCGGCAGCGTGAAATTTCCAACAAATTCTCCGAAACGAAGATCACAGCGGATCGTTTCGGCACGGCACAAAGATCCCGTCCATGCCGCCATGATGCCCATCCGAGACACGCACAAGTGCCACTCTTTTTTTTCAGCACGCGGTTGGGCGACAATTTGCATGGGCCGCTTCCCGTGCCTGCATCGCCACAGTGCACGGGAGCTGGTGTGATAGCGTCTCAGCTTGGACCGCCTTGGCGCAAAGTGTGATGCGCTTTCGAATCGTGACAAGGGCGTGTCGAGCAAGCCCTGCTTGATCGATTGCGAAACAGCAGCTTCGAGCCGTTTCGATAGGGATTGAACGAAGGCCTTCTCTGGCTGCCGGTCATGCCGGGCCGTCGCCGAGCGCTATAAGCCTCGCAGCCGAGGGATCGCCACGGGAACGCGCTTGGAGCCCTCTCAACACGAAAAAAAAAAGTCCCGCGAGATGCAGTGTCTGTCTCTCCGACGTGCATGGTGCATGGTGCATGCTTGTGTTGGGCCTTGCGAACCTTGAAGTTGGCTCGCTTGCGCCCGCCGAGATCAGCTCACGCTGCATCCTGGAGCCAAGGAGCACTGTCACCGACGCCCTCGCCGCTCCGAGTCCAATGCCGAGCTATATAACCTTGCCATCTGGCTGAAGAGAGCTGAAGGTGTCTCCCGTTCCGTACCACCGCAATGCTGAGCTCTTCCTCGCGCAAAGTCGCCGCGGCCGCGATCGCCATGGGCGCCATGTCGAGCTTCGCCTCGGCCGCATCCGCCAACTGGACCCAGACCGCCACCGTGCGCGGCACCGACTTCTTCAACGACTTTGAGTGGTTTACCGACAAGGACCCCACCAACGGGCTCGTCAACTTTCAGTCGCAGTCGAATGCCAAGGCACAGAACCTCTCGTTTGTCGATGGCGACGGCCACTTTGTCATGGCTGTCTCCACTGTGCCCGTGGCGCTAGAGGGCAGGAACAGCGTGCGCATCACCTCCAAGGACAGCTACTCGGACGGCGTCTATGTGCTCAACGTCACCCACGTCCCCACCGGCTGTGCAACCTGGCCTGCCTTCTGGACGGTCACGGAGAACATCAAGTCCTGGCCCGTGGGTGGTGAAATCGATATCTTAGAGAACGCCAACGATGAGTATCCCGACAATCTCGCCTCCATCCACACCCAGTCGTCTTGCACCATCCCCAGCACCATCTCCGACGAGACCGGCAGCGTCAAGTACACCAACTGCTCCGCCTACGTGCCCTCGAATCCAGGCTGCCGTGTCCAAATGGACGGCACATCCACCCCGACCTGGGGCAAGGCGCTCAACCGTGCCGGCGGTGGCGTGATTGCAATGGAGCGCTCCTTTGGCACCACGGGCAACGGCATCCGCATGTGGTTCTTCCCCAACAACGCCCCCAACTCGCTTCCCGCCGACCTCAAAACCGGCAGTCTCGCAGTCAACCCAGACGCGTGGCCCAAGCCCAACGCCCACTTCCCCATCGCTTCTTGCTACAACGACTTTGGCCCGCACAAGATCATCTTTGACATCACCCTGTGCGGCGACTGGGCGGGCAACACGTACACCGAGAGCGGATGCAACAAGCAGTACCCCGCCTGCAGCTACCAGGTCGGATACAACGGCTCCAGCTTCAACCAGTCGTACTGGGAGGTCGAGTCGCTCCGCCTCTTTACCCAGGGCGGCGACTCTGCCAATGCGGCCAACTCGCCCCAGTCGTCGGCGAGCCACCAGAGCGCCACCTCATCCGCCTCGCTCGGCGTACGTGCCTCCCTCGCCGCTTCCGCTGCTGCTGTCCTCGCATCGCTCGCCTTCGCTGCAGCTCTGTAATGCTTCACCACGGACACTATATTTCTTGCTAATCGCATGGATTTTGGACATCACAATCTGCACATTTCGCCTCGGTGAGGTAGCGTGGACCGTTGTGCGTATGCAGCAAAGCGATTCAGAGCGCATCGAAAGATCGACCCATCGCGTTAACGTGCCCGCCTAAGGCAGCATGTGCGGCAGTTCGGTAAAGATATCGTAGGATGTCTTCAGTTTGGTGCCTTGAGCGGTCTGAGCGATGGCTTCGAGGCGCTTGACCGTAGTTTCGCCCCGCGGATCTCCGCGCATGTCGAGCTGCCCGATGCCGTACAGCACCATGGTCGTCCTGTCCATGCCGTGCAACGCAGGTGACCACAGCGAGACAATCTGCCGCAGGTCCTCCAGCCCGTCCGGGACGAAGTCCTGAACCTCCGCCATGCCGTTTTGAAACGTGTGACGCGCCACCAGCAACGGAAGCCCCTGCGGCGTCAGCGGCGGCAGCACAAGCACAAACCTGCGCCGCGTGAACAGGTTGTTCATCGTCTTCCACGACATCCCTTCGGCACGAATCGGAATAAAGCGCAACCGGTTGCTGAAGTACATGTGGTTGTACCAGTCCATGTTGAATCGGCTGTCCAGATACACGTACGTGCGTCCCGTGGTCACTCGCGAGCTCATCTCGCCCATCTTGACCAGCTGGGCATTATGCAGCTGGTACGAGAAGTGCTTCAAGGTCGCTTTCTTGTTGCTCTTTCCAGCCTTGAGCGAGCTCCACACCATCCTTTCGCCAGCTGCAGGAGGCACAAGGCGATCGGCTTGGACCAGCCGATCTCGAGCCACGAGCACCCTAGATCTGGTTCCCTCTTCGTCACCAACGCTGGTGAACTGTAGATATGGGTTGCCAAGGATCGTCCGCATCGCCTGAGTCCACCGTTCATAGACTTGGTCGTGCGTCGCGTACTTTGACGGTGCTTCTCTCCACCACGGCTGCCCTACGGTCCTGGCGTCAGCCGCCTCTAGGGGCTGGCTCAATTCAGGCAGAGACGCACCGGGATGGACAGCGCTGCTTCGAGGTGCCTGTCCAAGGTGTGGCGGCACTTGATGCGTTGATGTCCGCACGGCACTTGCACTTGGTCCGACACCAGGCTGAGCACCGAGCACGGGCGCAGAGCCTGGATGGAATCGGTGATAAAAGTACGTTGCGGACGGCGGACGCTCTCGGAAAGGAGTCGGGTTATACAGACGCAGGTCGAGATCCACTGGCATCCCGGTTCGTGAAGAGCTCTCTCCCACTTCGCTAGCCGCAACTCCTTTTGCCGCAGCACGCTGATAGTCATTACCGACGGGCTGAGTCGAGACAGACCCACTAATGGCGACAAGGTAGCAAGCTGCTACGACTGCACGAGTCCAGCGACATGCGAACATGGCCGAGAAGAGCATTTTTGGGTGTCAGAGCCGAGTGAAGTCCGAGTCAACTTGAGGAGACAGGCAGACAAAGCTCAGCCGTATTTATAGTCGAGCTCACCTGGCCATGGGTAGCTTGTTTCTGGCTTCGCGTGACGATTCAAGGTGAGATGCATGTGACAGCATCTCATCACGGCGTTCCTGACGGGGACACTTCATCACTGCTTTCGACCATCGTCTCTGCAGCGTCGTATCATCTCGGCGGGGACTCGGTCCGCAATGAAGTAGTCTCGCCAGTTCAAAGCGGAGCCTGCTTATGAGACACGCATCCACATCGACATCATCAACGGGTCGGCTGGGAATCTTTGCTGTGCATCAGCCGTCCACGCTTATGACATCGTCGGAAGCCAGGAGATCGCACAAAGCGCACTCTTCCGGCTCTTCAAGGCTTTTGAACGCACAACGACACGCAAAACGGCCACCCACACATGCGAACTTGACAAGATTGGATTGAAAGCAAGACATCGAGCGACATCTGTGGAATATGAAACGGATCAGGGTCTGAAGTCAAAGCTGTGGGACTCTGCCGCACAGCGACGATGGGACGACAAATTGAAGTGTGGATCAGTGAAAATGGTGTGCCACATCTCCGAGAGCATATAAGGCGGCGTAGGTGCTGGCATCCCTTAACTCGTTCTGCCTCCAAAGATGTGCAAGTACCTCTTCGTTGTGTTGAGGGTCCATGACGACCACTCCATACAGCACTGTCGTGTATCTCTTTCCGTCGTACAGGACGGGAGACCAAAGCGACATCCGCTGCGTGTTTGCACTGACGCCAGTGATCGCCTCCAATCCCTCGGAAACACCTTGAACGCCCGTGTGACGAATTACCAGCAGAGGGAGCCCATGCGGAGTCCGCGGTGGAAGCAGGACCGTATTTCGACGCACCGCAAAGACCTTGTTGATGTGCTTTCTGCTCAGCTTTTCCGGCAGGATGGGAAGGAACTGGGCATGACCTAGGAAGTATTCCCTGTTGATGTAGTCCATGTTTTCTCGGCTGTTGAGGTAGACATATACGCGTTCGTGAGAGCTGACCACCTCTTTCTCACCCTCGAGCTTGCCAGGGATGATATCTCCCAGGAGATGCTGATTTGGAGGCCAGCGAGGGAGAGCCTGCGTCAAAGGAGGATAAAATCCAGATACGGCATGCCCGTCCTGAGCTATGAAGACGCGGTCATAACCGTAGTCTCCGACGTTCACAGGAGAGATCTGCAGTTCCCGACTTCCCATTGCTCTTCGCATGTGCTCCGACCACGTCTCCCACTGTCGTCTGTCGCCGCCGAAAGTTGCCCTGGCCGCCAGCATCCTCTTGAGTCGGACACCGAAGGCGAGGTGAGCATTGTCGGAAAACCAATCGATCGGGTGAGCTGCCGAGCTTGGCGCCAAGGCGTGGTGTAGCTGAGAATCCTGCGATTCCAAAATGTGTGGGTAGAATTGCTCAGCTGCAGGCGCGTGGCTCTCCACAGTCGGGGCTTGGGAAGAGCCTGCGGCTTGGGCACCGTCCCATCGAGAGTTGATTGCAGCTGGTGATACCGAGCCACCACTCCACGCCCGGGGACTGTTTGGGAAGCTTGCTTGATCAGGGTGCCATCCGTGGTCCGCCCCGAACAGGTTCGACTCCTCTTGACCGTGAGTTGGAACTTGGCCGAAAGTCCATTCGTCACCACCGACTGGCTGCGATACAGCGGTACCGATTAGTACCGTCAGCAGAACGCCGAAATGGCACTTGGCAAGGAAGGAAAGCAGCATAGTTACTCCACCGCCGCAGCACTCGATACGTAGGAGACAGTATGCTGGATGGTGATGTGAAGCCAGAAGGGCGCTGATTATATGCTCTCGACGTCATCTGGGAGCTGTGCTGCATTGCGTGCTTTGGTCACTTCTCCGAGATTCGTTCAGTCTTTTCTTTGACTATGCAGGTGCAAGCAGTGAGCGAGGGTACTTGTGGCCCACCAGCGTTCTTTCTCCGGGCCCTAAGAGCTAAGAGTACGTGCATCTGCTCACCGCCTAGGAACCGCGGTCACATGCATTTGCTCTTTGTTCTCGTGGTGACGATAAAGAAGTAGCTGCATCTCTGCCGCATGGCCTTGGAAGTGTCTGTACTGACGTGCAGATTCAGGGGCATGATCTTCTTCCTAGGCGGCCCAAAGAACTGTTCGCGCAACTTTGTTCTGCAGTACAGCTTCATATCGCACGAATGCAGGCGTGTTTTTGTGGGCGTGAAGCGATCAATTGACACAGCCATGCTCTCGAAAATGAAGGTGATACCATCATTCAATCACACCCACTCTGCTACGATCGCACAATCAGTCTGCTATTGTGCAGCCTGCTATTGTGCCATCAACGAGGACTGGTCTTCACAGTCGAGCATGACCATGAGCCGAACAAGCTGGATTCATCAGCTGTCACAAAAAGCGGAAGGAACGACGATTAATAATTTCGGAATGTGCTCTGAAGGTAGCATGAAGCGGATTGGAAAGGGGTCAGGAACAAAGGCAAGATGCAGGGGTCAAACAAGCTATCATCTGCACAAAAAGAGAGCGTTGAATGATGTCTCCGGGAATCATTCTCACTCTGCAATCTTTTCAGCGCCTGGTACTGCGAGCTCATGGGACAAGCAAAGGCAAAAGACGCACTTGATTGAAGAGTGAAAGAAAATGAATGGAGGACGCCTCGGGCGTGCAGGATGATGGCACAGAAACTCGGAACGATCGACGATCTAGACGTGGATCCTCCCCAGCACTGCGTTGCGATACTCGCTGGACTTTTCCATCAAGTCGAGATGCTTTTCGACATGGCCGACGTCTTGAGGCTCCAGATATCCAACCCCGATGTGTTTGATCTGTGGCTGGTGCCAATACGACATCCGAGGATAGCTCCAGAGACTGTAGAATGTCTTGGTGGGGACGGGATGAGGACGAGACATGGGAAAGACGTGGCTTTTGTGGATCGACATGCGAATTTCACCGCTCCCGTCGTGGGGTCCAGCTGTGCTCGGATCGACGACGTATGGAAGCAAGCGGTTTGCTTTTGTGGCACTTTTGAAAAGCGGTCTTCGCAGACTCTTACTGAACCCATTTGGATCCACCCAATGCAGCTTTCCATCGAAGACGTGACCGTTGATCACACTGCGCAGCTTCGTGTCAGACTCTGCGTATGGGTAAGCATACCTTGAGTAGAACGAGCCTGGGGTAGTCATCGGCGGTAGATGTGGTGGCGTTTCTGGGATCTTCACTAGATTCACCGCAGGCTCCACTGGAATCGGCCTTCGAACGTGCTGCGTCTGCGGTGAGGCAGGGCTTCCCGAGCTTGAAGCTTGTCCAGGAGAATCAGGAGGAGGCTCAAACGAAGGGTTTGCAGTTGGCATCCCGAATCGCAGACCTGGCGGGAAACCCCTCTGACCAGACTGTCGGAGGATGTCACCTGGCTTAGCCTGAGCCAGATGATTGAGAAGGCGCGCATTATTCCCTTGACCAGAAGGGGGCGCAGCACTCGAGATGTCACTCAGCAAGTTGTCGAGAATCATGTGGTCGACGTCGTCTAGTGGTCCGGATGGGGTAGGCAACCAAGCGGGATCATGCTGGTGCAGCAGACCGGGTGCCGGACTGCTGCCAGCCCAAGGGGGATGGTGCAGGGTCGACGGATCATGGTTCCAAGGCTGCTGCAAGCCCTCATGCTGTCCGGGAGAAGAGTGGTGCCAGGACGGATCGTTGCGCGGATGAGCTGGGCTGATGGAATTCTCCTCGTCCACCGGGACGAAGTTCGATCCTGCGGACCATGATGAGTCTGGGCTGCCAGCAGGTAGTGATGCCACTTCCACGATGAAAAGGGAGAGAACGACGGACAGGAAGACAGCCGCTGCATGCCAGCAGACAGGGACCATCATGGCGAAGTGTAAAGAGGGTCAGGAAAGTGAGGACGGCGAAAGAAATGTCCACGAGCTCCCGCACATGGCAAGTTCTTCGCCCTCCCTTTAAAAGTAGTCGACTCCAACGCACACCGTTACCACAGTCAGTCAAAGATCTCTGTGGGAACAGGAAGAACAACAGCCTGTCAGACCTTTTCAGGGGCAAACGGGTTCATATCAAATGTGCTGTGACACGAACGAATAAGGTGGGCGACTGCGGGTGCGGGTGCGGGTGCGGGTGCATTTGTGCTTTGTGGGACCTCATTTGCCTCGCTTTGCTGGTTGAATCAATCTGCAGGCCTGTGCCGTTTTGTATGCGCCTCTATCCGACAACTCTGCAGTGGAATCCGGGCCGCCCATCTCGGCATCATGGCGTATGATAGTGACTCCTGCCGTGTGGCGTCTATGATACTGTTCGTACAAGTGTCAGAAAGAAATGGGCGAGCTCAAGCCCTCAGTCGCCACTATTCACAGTCTGGATCTTCATCAAGAACATGACCGGCCTGCTGCATCACCGAGAGCAGGCAAGCAGACTTCGGCTTCCTCCAGATTATGAATCGTACAGCAAGATTGACAGCTGCCATTCACCTCCGATGCAGGCTCGGGAGTCAATTCGAACCCACCATGCAAAGCGCAGCCCCCTTGACATACACCCGCCTCGCTGCTGTTGAGCGCGCTTTTATTGATTGCAAAGACTCATTCTCGAGCGCGTGAGCGTCAAAGAACGCACACATCTATCAAACAGCAGACACCGCACGGCTGCATCAATGCATAGAGTCATAATTGCAGTGCAAGGAGGAAAAGTGAAGTCGACGGAAGCGAACAGCGATAGGAAAGGGGCAGACAAGGAAAAGAGAAACAACTGGGAAGCGATGGCATCTAGCACGAGCGGCAAGACGCTATTGATCTACTCGGGGCTGTGTGCGTGTGCGGCTAGGAAGGTCTCTGTGGCGACTGGTTCAGTCACGCAGTCTTCGGAAGACATAATCACTGTACTCAGGGAGGGTGGACATGAATCCAAGGTGACGGTTGACCCAACCGACATCCTCAGGGTCCAGGATGCCGGTCCCGATGTGCTTGATCACGGTCGGCCTGGACGCGGCTCCACTGGTCTTCGGATAGCTCCAGAAGTCGACGATGTGGTTCTTGCCGTACTCGTGGGTCTGAATGATTTCCTGAGGAACCATACGGATCTGTCGAGCCTCGCCATCCGATCCCGATGTATCTTCGACATACGGAGCCAAGCGACTCGGCTTGAGCGCAGCCGCTCGTTGAGACCGCTTCATGTCGACTGGGAGGTCTTCAGGATTGATCCACTTGAGCTTGTTGTCGAAAAGGCGGATGTTGATCTTTCTGCGAAGCTGTGCGTCCTTGGACAAGTTCACAAGATACTTCAAGCCCTTCAGCTTTTGCGGCAGAGGAGGAGGAGTCAACGGAATCGACTGCAGATGCTGCGGACCCTTCGGAGCTTGCACCGGCTCCAGACCCTGGTATGGCTCCAGAGGGTGACCACCATTTCCAGGCCAAGCGTGGCCCTCTCCCACCACGTGTTCCGGATGCGCGCTCTCCAAGATAGGAAAAGATTCGGTTGCGGGCACTGGAGCCGGTCGCGTGGGACGCTGGCGTTCGGCGGGCGCTTTTCCGGTGAGCTTGGAGCGCAGACGACTCATGAGTCCTGGCCTGACTGATACGTTGGATCCTGATCCGCCAGCCCCTGATCCGCCAGCCCCTGATCCGCCAGCCCCTGATCCGCCAGCCCCTGATCCGCTGGATCCTGATTCAGGGGCGTGCGTCTCATCGAGGAGAGAGCCAAGGATGGCGTGGTCGGTCTCGTCCAGCGGAGCCGTCGGAGCGGGTGACCAAGGCACGGGAGCGTGATGTTCGGGAGTCGTTGGAGCGGCTGGCCAAGGCACAGGAGCGTGATGTTCCGGAGTCGCTGGAGCGGGTGACCAAGGCATAGTAGCGTGCGGATCGGACGCAAAAGCGGGGCTCATGACACCGTGGTTGGGCTGGTAGTAGTGAGTCGACGGGTCATGGTACATCGGAGGGTAAGGATTGTGATACTGTGGCGAAGGCGCATGGTACCAGGACGGGCCCCCCTGCCAAAGGTCAGATCCCTCGCCCGACGGACCTATATGCCATTCATCCGAGCCGGCAGGCAGAGGCGCACCACGGACATCGGCGATGTACAGGCTAAAGAAGAAGAGGAGGCAGGGAGCCGCTTTCTGCAAGAAGCTGAGGCCAACCATATTGGGTGGAAGGATTGGGATGGAGAGAAGCGAGTGAGAAGAGATGGAGGTTGATGGCTTTCAATCCGTGGCATATCGTTCTCATGCGTCCTTTAAGTACCTTCACAGAGCTGGCTGGTCCAACGTCGTCTCCCCGTGAACAGACGATCTGTTTCCAGCCTCCCTCGTTGCAAGCTTCGAAGAAGGATCTCTGACGCCCTCGACCGTGCGCTTCCGACAATAGCGGATCCGCAGCTGTATGACAGCGGATGCTCGGCAGTATCACAGCCGATGCGCAGCTGTATGAGACCCACAAGGCACTGCATTCATGAACCGAATGGGGTCCGAGTTGTTTCAGGCGAGATCAAAGCTCCTTTCCCAAGTCGGTCTTCGCTTCTGAGACCAACAGATAATGGCAATATCTGCAAAGACGGTGGTGGTGCGAACGAGTTTGTGATTTTGCCGGTATGATGCCCTTTGTGCGCCCACTGAGCCCACCGAAGTCGTTCTAACGGAGAGACCTTTGATGGAAGAATGAGCGAAAAGCAGCGGGACCGTGTCATAGGTGTTTCGCGCAAGCACCGCAAGTGCTCATATCCATACCGCTGTGGCGGCCCCCCTGAGCCTGCCGTTGCCATCTTTTCCAATTGCGAGGGTGGCAACTTCATGGATCGATGCGAGGTTGGGCTTCTGAGGGTCGGGCACATCGAGACGAAGCATTCGCACAACGCCCACCTCGCTGCACGTGAGCGCAGCATATTGCGAGGTGCCGTTGGGCCCACGCAAGAAGGTGGGTGCAGGCTCGATAGCGTTTGCCCACCCGCCGGAGGTGGGAGATTGCCACAGGCAAAGCGCATCTCCCAGCTCGTCGTTTTCATCGCGGCTCTGTGGGACGACCAGACCATTCTTGTCGAGTTGGAAGACTGCAACCCAGCCCTTTGTTTCGGCAGACAATCCACGTGTAGAGGCAAACATGTAGAGCGGATACTCGCCATCGGGACGATCATAGGCGCACGAGAGTCGCACCTCGTCCGCCCAGTAGAGGCCCTCGTCGTCGCTCTGCGGGATGATCTTGACGCCTTGTCGCCATTCCAGACGTGTTCCGTTAGAGTCCTTGATCACCTCGAACACGTCTACCATCGAGCTGTGCTCCTGCAGACTGTAGATGTAGCGTCCACCGGGGTGAGAAATCGTGTGACGCGGGCCATCGTTCTTGCGCGGCGCGATGCTCTTGTCGGCCAGGCTGAGAGCGCCGTTGGTGGGTTCGACGTGCATAGTCCAGACACAGTTGCGCCCGATGTCCGGGACATAGCACAGGGTGCCATCGGGAGAGAGATCGATGCCGTGCGAGCCGTGGCGCAACCCGCCAAAGTCCATGGCGTTCTTGCCGTTCGAGGTGTCAAGTTGCGCAGTGGCCGGGCTGCCACTGCCGCCTCCTGAAGCCTTCTGCGCTTCTTGACGACGCAATTCCTTGGTTTCGGCAAGCGTCTTACCGGGGATAGAGCATTCTCCCGTGACAAAGTCGATTTCCTGGATGCGGCCGGCAGAACCGACGCCAGTCACTCCGTCCTGAGGCGCCTCGGACGGCACGACCGCTGGATGCTTGGTACCGGCGAGATCGAAAGCGCCAGTATCCCCATCGATCGCTACGACCTCGCCAGTTGGTCCGCCACACGTGTAGAGCACTGGGTGTGTTGCCTTTTCCGGGAAACCGACGTAGACGTAGCCCGATCTCGCAGCGGTCTCGGCCGTGTTGAGCAGTTCGAAGCTAGCCCTGGAGGAGCCTTGACGATGAATGCGATATGCCGCTACACTTGGAGGCTCTGTCCAGCAAGTCGCGTAGAGATGGGTCGGACGCGCCGCACCACCGTCTGATTTAGGGATGGTCGCCGTCGAAAGCCACGAGTGGTTGCCTTTGGCTTGAGAGACATCGAGCAGCTCCAGACTCTCCGTCTCGGGATCGAAACGAATGGTGAAGAGCTCGTTTGTGTTGAATGTTCCGACAGCTAGGAGCGCCATACTTGCTGGGCCTTCAGGAATTCGCGGCAAAGGGGGCTGGACGATGGCAGATGAAGCTACGGGAGGTTGTAGATTACGTCGAAAGCGGGGGCGGCAGGCAACCCGTCCGGTCAATTTATCGGTTCGGCAACACGGCGACCTGTCAAGTAACCGGCCCAAGATCCGCGGCCAACACCCGGCGCCGATTAATTTTCGATTCAAGCCGATGCCACAGGCTGATGAGATCCGACTTGTTTGGTGACACTCGACTAGGTGCATCATCGCAGCTGTACACTTCATGAACTGCCTTGCCAAGCACATACCTACGTAACAAGACACTTGTCACTGGGCTTTCAAACGATAAATTAGGAGCAGATGGTCTAAAGGACGAGCCATAAATCAAGGTGAAGACATGCGCGTTAGAAGGGGAAGTAGGTCGTGAGCCCCATGACGTCTTGCGGGTCGTACTGCTTCCTGAGCTGCGAGAGGCGGCCAAGGTTGGGGCCGTACAGCTGCGACGAAGGAGTGCCAGTGATGGCGTAGTTGGGGTACAGGTAGAGGTTGTCGAGGTTCTGGCCCTCGCTGCGAGCCTGCGCGGTGATCTTGTCGGCGGAGGCCTTGATGGCCTTGGCCCAGAACGCGTCCTCGGCTGGGTTGGTCCAGGCGAAGTAGAGGTTGAGGGGGAGTGCATTCGTGCTGTGCGGCCAGGCGGCGTCCTTGGCGTACTGCGAGTAGGGAAGGAAAGGCTCAACGTCGTACGAAATGAAGGTACCGCTGTGCAGGAAGCTCTGCGCGCCGTAATACTTGAGCTCGCTGACGATCAGGTCCAGCAGGGGCTTGCTGTACTTCTCCAGCGAGACCGTGTGGAAAGCGCCACGCTGACCGCCCTGGACATCAGCAGGTGCGCTCTTGACGAGGTCGAGCAACGAGCGCGTCTTCCAGTCGTCGACGAGAGGACGAACGTTGGAGGGGCTGAAGGCATCGAATGTACCTGCAGGCGGAGTTGGGCCATCGTAGAAGGCGAGATTGATCGCGCCCGGCTGTCCAAGCAAAAAGTTGAAGGTGGGCAGCACTTGGGCCTTGGGATCCTTGCTCGTCTCGGAGAAGACAAGGGTTGCATTGACGAGCTCATCCAGTTGGTCGGCGGTGTAGACGCGAAGACCGCCGTAGACCTGACCCTGGGGGACCGTCTTGAGGCGGAAGTTGTGGATGATGCCAAACCTGTTTCCGCCGCCCCTGATGGCCCAGAAGAGGTCGGCGTTCTGCGAGGCCGATGCCGTGGTCAGGGTGCCGTCAGGAAGCACAATGTCTGCCGAGATGAGCGTGTCACCAGTGAGACCGTACTGGTTGGTCTTCCAGCTGTATCCGCCGCCGCCGGTGATGAAGCCGCCGACACCGACGCCCGAGACACGACCACCGACGACAGCAACGCCAGCGCCTTCGAGGCCAGAGTAGACGTTGTCCCACACGTTGCCGGGGCCGACATCGACATAGCTCTTGTCACCGCTCAGGTTGACCTGCTGGAAGTTTTTAAGGTTGATGTGCACGCCAGGTGTCGAGGAGAAGCCTTGGTTCGAGGCGTGACCGGCAGCTTCGATGGCGAAGCGGATGCGTTTGCTGCCGATCACCTTGATCGCTGCCGACAGGTCGGCCGGAGAAGCAGGCACGGCCACGCAGGCTGGCAGCTGCGTCGAAGACGTCATGTAGTGCTTGACCAGGCCAAGGTAGGAGAGGTCGAGTGCGTAGATGACTTTGCTGCCCTGAGTGGTCATGGCGCTCGAGATGGACTTGCATGCGTCAAGCTCGGTCGAGTTGACGAAACGCTTCTGGAGAGCGAAACCGGCAGAACCACGCTCATATGCGCTCGTCCAGTTGATGAAGAAGGCCAGCGCAACGGCGAGGCCGGACAGGAAGGGCACGGTGGCGATGAGGCTCTTCATCTTGGGCGAAGGGATTGCTCCAGCACTCTAGGTCCGAGGGGGGAGGAGGGAGTGGGTACTTCGCAGAAAGGGAAGCGAATGCCAGACTTCTTCTTTATATCTCGGATAGACAGAGCATACAGTGTCAAGACTGTCGCTGGAAAGGTCGAGCGGCAGAGGGGAATCGCCGGGCACCCCGTCCCAGGCCGATCGCGGTAGAAGAGACCCAATGCAGCTCGTTCTCGACAAGCGCCCCCGGAATTCGACAGGGTTGGACGGAACAGTCTTTGATCCGAGCATGCGGGCAAAGGAAGTCGGACAAGCACAAAGAATGGAGGCGAGGCGGAAGTTTCGCACGACCGTGGGCGTGAATGCGTCCCAGCGACGTTCTCAGGACCAAACGATGGGGGGGACGGGTCAACTCTCGGACCCACCGCAAATGCACAACGAGGCGGATGTTTGTGGGTTCGGCACCAAACCTCCTGAGGGGAGATTGAATATGAAGGGGCCGAGCACGCGCACTTTTGGGGTCCGTGTGGGCGCAGGAGTTCCAGCATAGCAGCGAAGAACAGCGGCGGGAACAGCGACCGAGACCGCGGCCAAAGGCCAAGTACTAGCAAACAAAGCGGACCTCGGGAAGAGGACTGTGCCCTAGCTTTTCCGACGGCTTTGCGACCATTCCTACAAGCGAAGTGAGGTGAGACGAATGATTTGCATCGGATAGGGAAGCAGAGGCGAGGTGGAGCGAGTCATGCGAAGCTTGTGTCGTGCTCGGTAGAGGGGCAGCATCCTACGCACAAGGCCTAGCTTTTTGCTGCACCAAGTACATGCAGAATTCGGCTCTGTGGAAGGCGGAGTCGGGCCGGCGATGGCTGAACGGCGCTGTGCAGACCCGAGATGCCGCAAGTGCAACAAGAATCGGAAAGGCACGACGTCTGCAAGATTCTGCGGGCCTGATGAAGCTTGGCGAACGCAGCCATGGAGCAGTTGCATGCATCTCATCCCTCGTGTCGATCTACACCGCACAAACAGGGTCCAAAATCTGAGTGGCGCGCTGCGAATCGGCGTTCGCGCTTGGTACAATAGCCTGCAGAGTCTTGGCGAGCCGAGCAAGGCCCTGGAGTCGAAAAACTCAGCTTCCTACAGCGGGTCGTCCCAAGCTCCTCCCAGACCTTGGTCTTCTGTCGCGTCTTGCTTGCCAGGAGTTAGCATTTAGCGTCGACATGGAGACATGCACAGGCGGAGCAATTCGGAGCATTTCTACGTCCTCTCGCCGTCATCAAATGCGCCGACACACCAGCCTGTTTCGGGCCACCGAACTTTCGCATACAAACATGCCTGCGCTCTTCGCGCTCTGCTAGCCAGCCCATGCTGTATGGGAATGGAAGGCGATCCCACGCGTCGCCTTGCAGAGTCTAAAAGAGTGCGGGCGTACTTCGGGCTTCGGCTCGAGCGTGGGTGGCGGAGATGCAATTCTGACGATTTTGCCGCAGGCTTGTGAAAATGGAAGCCGCCTGTCAAGCGCTTGTCACTTTTCCCCGCGATCTGGAAATCTTGCAGACAGCGTGGGGGTGCGCTTCGAGACTTTTGGGCACTTCCGCAGACCTAGTTTTTGCCCCCCACACTTTCCCAGCTGCTCTGATTGCTCTCACGGACAAGAATGTCTATCATCCAGCCTCGAGCCGACGCATGGTGATCCCATAATTGAAATAGACAATGGTGCGTGGTTTGAGGTGGCTGGACTGGGTTGCATGGGAGCATCGTCAAGGCTGAAGCTAGTTTAGATCGTAGATCTGATAGTCAAGTCATCTGCCGGCGTCTATGCAGCTTTTGACAATGAGCAAGTCTGTTCGCGGTCGCGAGCCTGTGCGAAGGCGCATCTCGCGTGCAACACGTCCAGGTGACTCGGCACAGTCACAAAAGGGCTCGTGCGACGCATCGACCTCGTGGTTCATAGTCGCCCTGACATGTCTGTAAGAGTGACTGCATGCATGCGCAGCTGCTGCATATGGTCTTTTGCGACGGAATACGTCGTCGATAGCTGGAATTAGCAATGAAGGCGGAGTGTGCGGCTACATATTCATCGCTCAGTGACGAGGTCTACCGCTTTCGACATCGGCAGCCTCGTGAAACGCGATCCTTCTTGGCGGAGGGCCGACCACAGCGCGTGGTGGCTCGTTCGAGGGCATCGCGGAGCCAGCTGCAGTCGCTGTGGACGCCATCTTGACAGACTGAGACGCTGTGTCCGTCGGATCCCCAGCCCGTGCTGCAGCCGATGCCGGTGCTGCATAAGGAACGGAAGTTGCGATCGGTTCCGCTCTTTCAGCCCCAGCCAGCAAGCTTTGATCCACGGAATTGGATGATATGGATGGATCCAACGGAATTGGCAGATCGAGTTCCGCCGTCAGCTGATTGACCTGCACCGCGTCTGGTCCAGTCTGGCCAGGCATCTGTCTCTGAGGACTCGACTGCCTCGCTGCCGCGTGGTCGTTGGCGTAGGCTATTGTCCTGCGAGGAGGTGCAGAAGAAGAAGAAGCCGAAGTTGCATGTGTTGCTCGCCTGGCCGGCTTGGTCGGCTCAGATTGCGCATTCGCCGGCACCGTCGCGGCCGTAGCAACCTGCTCGAACCTGGCAATGTCGTCGAATCGAGCAAACTCGGTGAAGCCCGTGCGTTGCCAGAACGAGAGCAGTTCGGCTCGACCGGAGGCGCTTTGCGTGTAGAGGTGAGAAAAGCCAAGCTTGGCCGCTTTGAGTCCAGCGACGTTGACGAGCCATCGGCCGATGCCTTGGCGCTGCCAGCGCGCATCGACGCGCAGATGTACGAGGTTGCAGATCCTATCGATGCTGCGGCCGGCATAGCTGGGTCCCAGCGCTTGATAGATTTCCGGCGTCCAAATCAGAGAGCGCAAGGCGATGGCTGCGATGATACCGCCTGTCGGCCCATCTTCCCTGACCTCGCCCTTGGGTTTCACGATGAAAAGTGCACCTCGATTGACGTGCGAGTAATGGCTGTCTTCGGGCTTCAGAAGAGAGTCGAGGTCGTTGATGCCACTCCTGTCATCCATCGTGCTCTGGTCCACGCCACGAGACGAACTTGCGACGCCGTCAGCGGCCAAGAACGACCTTGCAGCTTGCCTGAGCTTCGCGAGCGCCTGATGCTTGGCGAGGGTGGCGGCGTCATCGGAGTCCACATCGCTTTCTGAGCCTGACTCGTCCCTCATAGCTAGGCCCTCGCTGCGGGTTGCTTCTCCAGCTGCGCTCTTCCCGAGGTCTCTCCTCTTGGAACTGGTTGCAGTCCCCTTTGCCTTCCTCTTGTTCCGTGCCGAGCCTTCCTGCAGACCTTTGTCGTCCTCATCGAGCAGCAGGACGAGCTCGAGGTGGGAGAGGTGCAGGGGTCGAAGCGCGTCCAGCTCGAGCTTCTCTTGCTCTTTGAGCTTGTCTGCGTTGGTCTTGCGGCCGGTGCTGTGTCGCTGCTCGAGGCTTGCGCCGCTCTTGTACATCTTGAGGTTGCGGAAGAAGGTGGCGCGCGACATGATGCCGTGCTTCTCAATCGTGTCGGCACTGATGTCTCCCGCTTCGTAGAGCTTGCACAGCGCCTCTTTGAGGTCTGCTCCTATTTTGCGGCGAGGCATGGCGGGCAGTCGATCCTTGTCCGGGAATGTATTCCCTCGACGTAGCCGCAGCGGTCCAAGAAGGTGTGCTCAGCGGCCGTTTCGTCGACGCCAGCCTGACCACCTGGCCGATCTGGTCAGGGCCGGCGTCCGATCTGCGGTGAGTTCGTCCGCTGTCGAGCCTGTCGAGTGGTATGTAGGCGTTCGCGGACGGCTGACAGGTCGCTGAGCCGGAGGGAATGGTGTCGAATCGAAGCGGTCTCGATCGAGACGAGATGGACGCGCGTACGGTAGGCGAATCGCAAATATTGATTGACATTTGATTGCAACTCGCCTTGCCAGCAATTTTCAAGGGTCCTCTGCCTTGTTCGGAACTCGGGCAACGCCCTTGCCCTTTTTTTGGACTTGGCTTGGGCCTCTGCGGGTTCGACTTTTCTTCCTGCGGCTCTTTTTTGCTGGCCTCCTGTTCCTCAGCCGCGAGCAACTGACGAACGAGCCAGGTCCTCTCCCACCATCATCAAAGACTTTCTCACTTAGCGTCTGAAGCGGAGATTGTCGTTCGGCATTCTAAAGACAGGTACTTAAGAGCGACCGACACCACCTCGTTCACCATGGTGGCGTGCTTCCCTCCCGTCGAGGATCCGACCTCAATCGGGCCGCTTTACGTCCTGCACTTTGCAACGTCGCATCACGCCTTCCGCCTGCCCGACTTTCTTGCCGCAGCCGAGTATCTGCGCATTCCGTTCGCATTCGTCCCTACTCCTGCCAAGCCCATCCTGGAGGAGAGCCGCAAGGCGCACGATACTGCCGAGCAAGCCTCGTCTTCGGGCTACCGACCGGACCTGCGACGCCCGTTCGCGCTCGCGCATCTCCCCAACGACGAAGCGGCCGTCAACCTGCTCCGCCGTTGCGTCTCACTGCGCTCCGTTTGGGCCTACTGGTCTCACGGCGCCAGCTACGAGGAACTTCACAGCCGCAATCAGGAGGAGGCCAACCGAGCGCTCTGGTCGCCCTATGTTGAGGAAGCCGATTGCCCGTCGTGGAAGGCACATGTGTTCTCGTACAGCTACACCATCAGCGACAAGCGCAAGATCGACATTATCCAAAGCTTCAGCTACATGGACCTGAAAGGCCGCATCCAACTCAAGAACCCCTCGATGCGATGGGGAGTGATGGAGGAGTTCATCGCGCAAGAGCTGTGGCCTGGGCATCTGCGCGACGAACACAACAACTACCCCGGCGCAGGCAAGGACACCGACAAGGCTCAGGGCAGAGAGGAGCTGGGCGACAAGGACCCCAGGCTTGTGCAGATCTTCCTCGGCAGGCGCATCGACGTCCACGCCGGCCCTCTGTACTCGGAGAAAGCAGCACCCGTGGCGCCTCGAAAGTCGAGCGACCCCACGCAGGAAGGCCAGACCGGCCTGGCTAGAGACTTGATCGAGAAGCTCAACCTCAAGAAGCGCGTCTACATTGGCAATACGTCGATGGAATCGGAGATGAGCCTGCTGATGGCGAGCATGGCGTTGGCCGGCCCCGGCAAACTCATCTACGACCCTTTCGCGGGAACGGGCTCGATGCTGTACGCAAGTGCGGTGTTTGGTGCAATGGCGTTCGGGAGCGACATCGACGGCCGACCGATGCGTGGCAAGGACAACATCAGCGACTCGAGCAGCAAGACGGGCATCGTCAAGAGCGCCACACAATACGGCGTGCGCGACCACATTCTCGACACGGTAGTGTTCGACATGACTCAAAACCCGTGGCGCAAGGATCTGCTGTTCCCGCTGCACGCAGAGGAGACGCCGAGCAAAGATCAGAAGCCGCCAAGTGGTGTAGTTCACGGCATCGTTGCCGATCCCCCTTACGGCGTGCGAGCGGGTGCCAAACGACTCGGCAAGAGGGACCCCGAAAAGCAGCGCTCGGAACCGTTCTGGATGCCTGACGGACTTGGAGAGGGCAAAGGCTGCTGGTCGCACGAACGATCCGACTACATCCCGCCCACTCGTCCGTACCACCTCGAGGACCTTGTGGATGATCTGCTCGACTATGCCTACAGCCTTCTCTGCGATGGTGGCCGCCTGGTATTCTGGCTGCCATCGATGATCGACCCCGAAGAGGAAGACGAGGTCGAGGGTGAGGCAGGCAGCCATGCCAAGTCGTCGGCCGCCATCGAGCGGTCGGTGAGTATCGATCTGCCGCAGCACCGTCGCAAGGCGGGGCAGGGTCGCATGCGTATGATCCACTACTCGCTCCAAGACTTTGGAAGATGGGGCCGTTGGCTCATCACGATGGAGAAGGTGTCGCCGGAGAACGATGTCGACGACGACGGATTGCGCGAACTCGAGGAGAGAATGGGCGAGCTGGGCAAGAACAAGGACGAGCGTGGCATCTATCGGGCCGATCGCGATCCGCTCGAGTTTCGCAACCGATACTACCTCCCTCGCGAGGCCAAGGCATCACCTGCAGTCTAGTCTTGTTGCACAAATCGTACTCACTTGGATAGCTCACGCACGTTGTCCGAGTCTGAATGTGACCTCGACTGAAGCGCTCTCCGCCGCACGAAGGCGCAGGAGAATTTGGAAGGTGCCGCGATCATCCGCGGAAATTTGGCCTCCGCTCGACGCAGGTCCGGTAAGCAGTCTCGAATGAGATCCACTTGGCCGGCAGATATCGACAAAGGACAGACGCTCGAAGTGGTACTTGCCATCACGACCCCGGCTTTTGCCGCAAAGCTTTGGAGTAGCGCCTTGGCAACAACCCGAGGGCCAACGGTTCTTCACAATGGGAATCGTTGCCCCGAGAAAGGGCAGGGAGCCAAGACGGGACGGGCTGTGGGAGCGGACTCTGTGAGAGCTGTTGCCGGGGCATGGATGTTTTGGCTGAGGCCAAATTCGTTTTCGGGCCAAGCGAGCCTGCCCGCGTGGCCGACTCGCTACCACATGCGAAGCTCTCTCGGAGCCATGCCACGAGCCACACCTCCGAATTCCGCAGGCCGCCGCATTAGGCTGCCGTCGAGCATTGCCCACTGCCCAACGCCCTTTCCCTTGGATCTCATCCTCCATGGTCTCGCCAGTCTGCAGTGAGGTTGGCAGACGGGCGACATTGCGGCGGGCGAAGGAACTGGTGCTTGAGGCCACTGAGGGCACGGCTCAAGTCAGGAACATGCACGACCATTGCTACATCGATCGCGACTCGCCTGAGACATTGCGCTCCGCATGCCGTCTGCCGACGCTCGACGGCGGAAGGTTTCAACCTGCAGTCGAGTCGGACAAAGTGTGGTACTGTAACGGGGACGAGCGGACGAGCATCACAAGGCGGGCCGATTGGCGGCATCTCGACGTCCGGCCAAGACAGCGAAAGCCCGACTTGCAACTAATTTTACTGTATGACTGCAATCATGCCTCGTTCCAGTTCCAGAGGGTCGTCCCGCACCACTTCAACGAGAAGGAGAGCTTGAAGTGCTGCGTGACTTGCGCGAGACGGTGAAGGTTTGGCTTTTCTGTTCCTAGCCTGGGCCGGGACACCGCGCCCGGCCTGGGCCTTGAAGTGTGCTCTCCCACGGCTCAATCGCAGGGCGAGTTGCAAATTCAAGCTTGAGACGCAGAAGAAGACATTCACAGAAGGGAAAAAAAGTTAACATGCCAGGCAAGGTTTTCAATTTTCGCAGGCGGAAAGCCTGTGAAATTTTTCGAACTTTGCGCTGCGATGCGAAGGCCGTGGCATTGGCCGTGGCCGTGTTTTGTTGATGGCCAGCCCGCTCAGCGCGCAAAAAGCGTGAGAGACAGGCAGTGTTGCAGAGTGAATTTGGCGGTGGCTGTTAGCCCAATCACACGGCCGGACTGCACGAAAACTTGGGCGGAGACAATTCTACACTGCGGCCCACGGCAGAGGGCACCTCACCAGCTGGGACCTCGAGATCAGGCGAGGAGGGAGAAAAAAAAGTGTCGCCGCGGTTGTATAGGGCGCTACTGCCTTCATCCGAGGCAGTGGATGCGGGCTGCATTCGATGCTCGAAATCGCATCGAGCCAATCAAACGCTGCACATGAGCACTCAAATCTCGCCAACCGCCCCGTCTCCGTGATCGTAGGCCATCCTCAGCCACGCGCTCCAGCAAATCTCCACCCGAAGGGTCTTCTTGCATCCCGACCGACTTTTGCGTTGCCCCCCCTTCCGCCTCTCTTTCTCAACCTGTCCCTCCCGCTCATCGTTGCTTAAAGGCATCTGCACCACCATCACTTGCCTTTTTTCATCCCCCCTCTCACCCTCGTCCCTAAACCCCAACGTCCCAAGCAAGTTCGTTCATCTCTCGTGGCCCTTGTTGTAGCCAGCGGGATCCAATCGCTTTCGTCTTCATCTGTAAGTACCGACCGCAGCTGTTTTCGAATCAAGTCTTCGCGGCCAAGATTCTCGGTCGTAGCGCCTTCATCGAGCCGAGAAGCGAAGCAAGAGCGGTCAGCCAGCCGTGCCTCTCTGCTGTTCTGTTGCGGCAGGAGTGACACGACGGACGCCGGCGTGCATTGCTCCACGTGCGGTGGAACGGGCATGGCCTGCCATCTGTTTCTCTCCGGAGCGCGGGCGGCACGCCGGACGTCTGCCCGCATCGTGCGTCCTGCTATCTTTGCGGGGTAAGCGGAGAAGCTCGACCGATCCTGTGCAAGCAGGTCATGACGCGGCGCGAGCGCTTGCCGCCCTGTGTGCGTGCATTGCTGCCGAATTGCGCTGTCAGGACGAGGTTGCAGTTCATATCGCTGCAGCTTGCGGGTGGCGGAGGCTACCAAACAAAGCCAGTTGGCCCGCGGCTAGCACCAGCAAAATTCCCGCAACGAAAAAATTCGTCCGCGCTGCTGCCGTTCTGCTACCTCTTTTTTCTTCGTTCAAGGCCCCGGCTTCGAGTTGGTCCATGGCATCCCCCTCTCCTCGAGCGCTTGCTACGAGAATTGTGCTTCCGCCCCGGCTCGTCCCTCCTTGTTCCGTGATTGATGTGCCGCGCCCTTCCCTTCGTTCCGGCTCATCTCCTGCCGCTGGACCCCGCCGTGCGTAGATGCTGTAGCGTGTGAGCCGGCATGCTCGCCATCGCGGGGATCTGCAGCGAGGGTCGGAGGGTCGAATCGCCAAACGTCCGCGTGCATCTCTTCCCACTCTCGCTCATATGCCTCTGGCTGCATTTGCGCACCCGTGCTGCTGCAGCCAAGAAGCTTGATCGTTCGCATCGCTTGCGGACGGTCACACGATGGGCACTTGCAGCTGAGCTGCACCTCTTGCCGCGATCCGCTCCCAGCACCACCTCCGTCCCAGCATCGCGGCGTCATTCTGCCTCGATCAGCTGCCGCCTGCGGCTCCCCTCCTTCATGTGCTGCTGCAGCTGTCAGGGCCCTTCTTTCGCTTGCTCGATGCGACCGCCAGCCTCCCGTCCCACCCACTCCCCCAAAAACTTTGTTCGCTATCATGGCCCCGCACCGGCCCGGCGTTCGTCAGGATCGCACCTCCCTCTTCTCCATCACCATACTTAAGTCTGGACCCTCCTTCCCCCGCAATTTGATCCCCCCCCCCCCCACCACCCCACCCTCCGCTTCGCTACAGCTTCGCTTCTTCTTCTTCCTAGTCCTATACTCATCACCACCTCGGCTTGCTAACCGCTGCTCTTCCCCCCATACTGCATCCGTCAAATCCCTCCGGTCCACTTCTTGCAGGCATAGGGCATGTGTAGCAACTCTTTACGGTCTCTCTAAACGCATCTTTCGCCATGCCGGCCTCCGTATCCTCCAAATCCTCCGGCGAGGTCAAGACCGCCAAGGTCCCCGTCGACACCGCCAACGAGAATGGTGCTCGCGTGAGCCACCAGCCCGCCGAGCTCATCGTCGACGACGATGACGCCATGCTCGCCTCCCGCATGGGCCACAAGTCCGAGTTTGCGCGAGAGTTCAAGAGCTTCTCCACCATCTCGTACGCCTTTGCCATCATGGGTCTTGTCTCGTCCGTCGCCACCACCTTCAATTCTCCTTTCACGCTCGGTGGCCCCGCCTCGACCGTATGGACGTGGTTCATCGGCTCGTGCTTCAACATGACGCTCGGTCTCTCCATCGCTGAGCTCGTCTCGGCATACCCCTCCGCTGGTGGTCTCTACTCGGCCTCGGGTCTTCTCGTGCCGCGCAACCAGCGTGCCTTTGTCGCCTGGCTCACTGGATGGCTCAACTTCACTGGCCAGATCGCTGGTATCGCCGGTACCGAATACGGTCTCTCGCAGATGATCTTCGCGTGGGCCTACGTGATCACCAACGGCCGTTACGTCGCCACTACTGGCGCCACCGTCGGCCTCTATGTCGCTCTGCTCGCTCTTCACGGCATCATCAACTGCTTCGGCATCAAGACGCTCGCGCGCCTCACGTCGTCCTACGTGATCGTCAACCTCGGCATCACCTTCATCATCATCATCGTCGTGCTGGCCAAGACGCCCCTTTCGGAGATGCACTCGGCCGCGTACACCTTTACCGAGATCAACAACCAGAGCGGCTGGTCTAGCAACGGCCTCGCCTTCTTCTTTGGTCTCTACTGCGTTCAGTTCGTCATGACCGACTACGATGCCACCGCCCACATCTCCGAGGAGGTGTCGCGCGCCGCCATCGCTGCGCCTGTCGCCATCGTGGTCGCAGTTGCCGGAACCGGTGCCGTCGGCTGGGTGCTCAACATTGTCATGGTGCTCGTCAGCGGTGACGTTGCCAGCCAGGACATTTCCACGTGGCCTGGTGGACTCGCCTTTGCCCAGATCCTCTACCAGCGAGCGGGCAAGGTAGGCTTCCTGGTCATCTGGCCGTTTGTGTGCTCGGTCGCTTTCTTCGTCGTCACCACGGCTCTGCAGGCCAACGCCCGATCCTTCTACGCCTTCTCGCGAGACAATGCGCTGCCCGACCGCGGCTTCTTTGCGCGCGTCAACAAGCGCACCGGCACCACGATCAACGCCGTCTGGCTCGTCGTGATCCCGTGCATGGCGCTCGGCTGCCTGGCGCTCGCCTCGTACACCGCCGTCACCGCCATCTTTGCGCTCGCCGCGCTCGGCATGGACAGCAGCTACCTCGTGCCCATTGTCGCGCGATGGATCCACTGGGACCACCCGGACGTCCAGTACAAGCCCGGTCCGTTCAGCCTCGGACGCGGCGTGCTCGGCAAGACGATCAACGGCATCGCCATCCTGTGGACCATTTTCGAGTGCACTATCCTCGCCATCCCCACGGTCAAGCCCATCACGCAGTTCAACTTCAACTACTCGTGGGTCATCATGGTCGGCGTCCTGCTCATTGCTACTGTCTGGTTCGTTGTCTTTGCCCACAAGCACTACCAGGGCCCGCGCAGCACCCTCACCCCCGAGCAGCAGGAGAAGCTCGGCGTCGTTTCGCGCGACGAAGAGGGTGTCATCCACCACTAAGCACGTCGTTGCATCTCGCTGCAACCCGCCGCACACAAGGCGTCGTTGGAAGGCCCGCCCGATGCTCCTATCTCGTTCCTCAGTCTCCTGTGTCGAATGGCTCTCACACGATGCCTCGGCTCAATGCCGCAAGCCTGCTTCTCGTCTGATTTCGCTCTTCTTCCTGTCTATATACCATTTGGTCGGCACATCCGATTCTCGGCACAGCATCCCCGCTGTGTCTTCCCACAATGTTCCTCGGTCTCGAGAGGGAAATCCCAACTGCCAATCTCAGCTGTATAAAAGCACGTTTCAAAACTATCTACCTCAGCATGTGTCTTTGGCGTCCCTTGTGAGCGGGCCACAAGCAGAAGAAAAAAAAAATCCCGTGCGGTTGCGAAAATGCATCGGAAAAAAGGGGATGGAAAAGGCCCCGATAAAAGGCCCCGATAAAGCGCCGATTTTCGAAGTGATGGCCAAAATCGGTGACGGACTAAGTTAGCTGAAAACGACGGCTGTCCGATTCAGGGCGCGCGCCGCTGCCAAGCGGAAAAAGGCACACGCACCTTGAGGTCATCTTGAAGCAACGTGCACATGAGTGGAGGCATGGCCTAGGCATGTCAGCTCTTTGTCACTTTTTCCCAGCCTCACCTGGGCCTTTCGCATGCTCGACTTCGGGAAGACCGACGTTCGCAGCATTCCGAGCTTTTCCGCTCTGGCGCCACAATGAAAGCTCGCATCGATGGCCTTATGCATGGGCCTGGTGCAGCTGGCCGAGGTTGCTGAGGCGAGCACAATGTGAAGTAACCGTTATCGAGATCATGAGCGACGGGGTTATTCTGGACGCGAGCGGGAGCCAAGTATTTTTGGAGAACGGGCCAGAAGAACGTGAGAATCGTCGGCTTTGCCCGCAAGCCGTATCGCTCAATCGGATCGAGCCGAAGTGCACTGAGATGGAGCAGACGCTGTCTTCGTGGCCGCCCCTGACTTAGCTTTTGACATTCTCAGGGACTGGCCCCGTCAAGCTCTGCATTCCCAATCTCCTCCGCCAGCGTGCATCTTCTCTTTGCACCAAACCCTTCTCCTCCCTTTTCCTCCGCCCTCCCCTTCTAAACAGACTCCTTCTGCCACCTCCGAGTCGCTGTCCTCGTCAGAGCAGACAAAACGCGCAACATGGCGGCCACCACCGTCGGCAACTTCAGCTTTGGCGCCCTGATCAGCTACATCTACCAGTGGATCCAGATCGTGATCGCCTACGTCTTTGCTCCCAAGCTTCCGCAGCAGCAGGTCAAGCAGAAACCTCTCGGCCATGTTGCTGTGATTGGTGCCGGCATCACCGGTATCTCGACCGCTTCCCACCTCATCGGCCACGGCTTTGAAGTGACCATCTTCGACCAGGCCGACGAGATCGGCGGCATCTGGTCGCGCGTCAACTCCACCTCGGGCCTGCAGATCAGCTCCATCATGTACCGCTTCCACCCTGCCGTCAAGTGGACCAAAGGCTACCCGCACCGCGACGAAATCCTCAAGAACACACAGAAGATCTGGAAGATGTACGAGCTCGACCAGCGCACTCGCCTCGGCTTCAAGGTCGAAAAGGTGACCAGGCACTCTTCCTCGACCGACCCGCACGAGCAGGGCCATGCTCGATGGGTCATCAATGGCAACGAGAACGAGGTCTTTGATGGTATCGTCGTCACGACGGGAACGTGCGGTAAGCCAAAGAAGATGGACCTGCCTGGCGAGGAGAAGTTCAAGGGCAAGATCGTCCATTCCTCGCAGCTCGACGGCCTCGACTGCAAGGGCAAGAAGGTGCTCGTCGTTGGTGGCGGTGCGAGTGGTATCGAGGCTCTCGAGCTCGCCGTCAACCAAGGCGCAGACCATCCTACCATCCTGGCTCGAAGCGACAAGTGGATCATTCCGCGCAACACGGTGGTCAATTGCCTCCTCGCCTTGCAGCCGCTTGGACGCGAGACGTGGCTCTCGGTGGTTCCCGAGTTCTTGCTCAAGAAGCTGCACTACCGCGACCTCGAAGAGAAGATGGCCCCGACCCAGGGCTTCTACACTGGCACTCCCATCGTCAACACCACCGCTCTCAACGACATCCGCCACGGCATCGCCGACTACCAGCGCGGCGACGTGATCGACCTGGACGAGGCAGGCATCCAGTTCAACATGCGCAAGCGAGGCCAGAAGAAGGGCGACGATGGTAAAAAGGTGCACCTGGATGCTGACATCATCGTCGTTGCTACCGGCTTCGAGGTGCCGTCGATCGACTTCCTGCCCGAGGACTTGTTCCCAGAAGATTACGTTCGACCCAACATGTATCTGCAGGTCTTCCCGATCGAGGACTGCTCCGTTCTCTGCACCAACTCGACGTTCCGCAACGCTGTCGGCACAGTCGGGCACATCCACATCGGCATTATGGCACGCACGCTTATGCTCTTTTTGATGGACAAGTCTACGCGACCCAGGCCGCGCGACATGCGGCTCTGGGTGGACCTGATCCACTACATCAAAGAGCGTGCTCCAGGCGGCCAGCTCGACTTCTTCACGTACATGGAGCTGTGCATCTGGCTCGTCTCGTTCCTCTTCTTCCGCTTCAAGCGTCTCTACTACTTCTTCTTTGTCACCTTTGGGTGGGGATTCTGGTCCAGGGAAGGCAAGGTCGACAAGTCCGGCACGCTTGTTGGCAAGCCAAAATTCCATCTGAGCATCAGTAAGCGTAAGTAGACGGCAACTTCGTCGGGTAACCGTGCAGCGAGAGACAGATCGCGCTGACACTGCACTCTCAATCATCGTTGACGGTCTCTGTGTCTGCAGTGATTGGCAAGGGCCCCTCGGCGGCGTTCCTCAAGAACAATTGACAAGATTTCGCAAGACACAAGACACTCAAGATTTGCCCTTGCCTTTGCTCTATCTGCTCCCTGCTTCGACTCGCTTTTCGGTCATCTTTCTGCGCATTCGGCGTCATGGTTCGGCGATTCTTCAGCTTCGTACTGGGCCAGCCGCTTGAGAAGGTTCCTCTCGCCATGGGTACACAGATTCTGGGCGGTCGTCGGACCTCGGCTCCACCATCTCTGGACAGTGGTGGCGCCTTTGCTGGGAAGATGCGCTATCTACATGCTCGTTCCTCTGCTCGATATCGAGTCTGAACGACAAACTTTACGAGCCCCGGCGAATGCAAACGCGGAATGGGCAGTCAATGGCAGTGCGCCGTTGCCACCCTCGACCCCCTTGTTGCTTTGATGCACGCTCTTTCTGTTCTCATCGCAATTGCAACCTTTGTTGAAGCACATGCTTGTGCTCGCCGCCGATGCTGACACCGTGGTGTCTGTGAGGCGTGGAACAAATCATGCAGATATGGAAGGGAAAAGGGTCCGTCAATTGATGAGATGAGGTGACTGGGTGACCGAGATGACCAGAGATGGCGAAAGATTACAGGGCGAACGAGAGCATGGATGAGCGCAGAACGGGAAGACGGACAGAAGCCTAGTGCTTGCCTTCGCCCTGGCTGATCTGGACCTTGATGGCGGTCTTGCCGTCCTCGCCGACGCCCTTTGTTGTGGTGTCGAAGGCCTTGATGGCGTCCTTGAAGAGGAAGCGGTGGGTGACCATCTTGGTGACGTCGATGAGGCCGGTGCTGACGAGGCTGATCGAGGTCTTGTACGCGCCGGCGCCGTAGCGGAAGGAGCCGGTGACGTCGATCTCCTTGACACAGACGCGGGTGATTGGGAACTCGACCTCGGACCTGCCCATGCCGACCTGGACAAAGCGGCCCTTGGGACGCAGCGCCTGGATGCCCATCTGGATGCAGGGCTCGGCGCCGGTGCACTCGAGCACGAGGTCGAAGCCCTCATGAGCACCAACATCGTCGCCGATCGACTTGATGAGGTCCTGAGCGTTGCGGGTGGCAGCGTCAATCTTCGCCTCCCCCTCCTTAGGCAGCGAGGGCTTGAATGTCGAAGTGGCGCAGAAGCCCTTTGCAAATTCGAGCTTGTTGTCCACGACGTCGACGACGACGACGCGCTTGGCCGAGTAGGCCTTGCAGACGGCAGCGTTGAGCAAGCCGATGGGGCCGGCGCCGAAGACGAGCACGTTCTCCATCGCCTTGACCTGGCCACGAATGGCGGCCGAGTAGACAGCCACGGAGAGGGGCTCCATGAGCGAGGCCTCCTCGAGCGACATTGTGTCGGGAACGTGGTGGGCAAACGGCGCCATGATGTTGTAGTAGGTGCAGAGGGTGCCGTCGTAGGGAGGGGTGGCGGCGAACTCGAGGTCCGGACAGTGGTTGTAGCTGCCCTGCAGGCACGAGTGGCAGCCGCCGCAAGGAACACCGGGCTCGAGCGCTACACGGTCGCCGACCTTGTGCGTGGTGACGCCCTCACCGACGGCGGTGACGATGCCGCTCGACTCGTGGCCAAGGACCATTGGCTTGCGAACGACAAAGTCTCCGATACGGCCGTGGTGAAGGTAGTGGCAGTCCGAGGCGCACAGGCCCGTCTGTCGGATGTTGACCTGCACCTGGCCGCGCTTGGGGGCGACGACAGGGCGGTCCTCGAACGATACCTTCTCGATCTCTTGCAGTACGAAGGAGACGTTGCCCTCGGCAGGCGTTGTCGCGAGCGAGTTGTTGGGAGCGACTTGAGCAGACATGGTTGCTTATCGGACTGGAGACGAGGCGTGTGTGGGGGAGGTGACCGTGAGGGGGGAAAAGAAGAAGGAATCGGACAAAGTTGCCGTCTTCTTATGTGTCGCTCTCGCTCTGCAGTTCGGAAGAAGACCGGATGCGTTTGGCAGTGCAATGTGCGGCACTTGTGCCTCTGCTCGCCACTCAGAGTCCAGGTCATCTCGCTCGACGCTGCGCTGAGAGAGATGTGCGCCCGGCAATGGGATTCTGGCATTTTTCGAATGTCGTATGCACCACAGGCACGGGCCCTCCTCCGCAAAACAGCCGCACAGAGTCAGCCAAGGCGAGATTACCGGTGGGAATGCGTGTTTGCCAGTCTTCTCGGTCGGTCGGCAATCTTTTTCACCGCCGAGTCTGACCCCCGCACACCGGCAAACTAACTCTCTTTTTGCAGCACCGACCAACCTAACCTGCCGTTCCGGCGACTTCGAGCGTACCTCTCTTGACTCGGCCTAGAAAGTAAATTCCAGGTCCTGCCCTCCTCGCCTCGCGTCGCGTCACGTCAAAGGGTTGGTCCGCGTTCCGAACTTTGGCCAAGGCGCAGTCAAGTGGACCCTGAATTAAGGTTCTAGCCGCAGTACGCAAACGTGTCAAATGGCTCATCACGACCCGCATCCAACCAATCTGGCGTTTGCTCCAATGTATGAAGCTAGCCTCTCAAGGCGGCATCAGCTTTGAGACTGACCATAACATCGCTTGTCATCGATCCAAGCTCATACATCCACCCATGTGAGCGACCATCGGCTCCAGGCTCAGCTTTTCCAGACGGTCGTCCTCCAGCATGCCGGAATCACGAGCACTGTCGCACTCCTCCAATCGTGGAGATAGCACGCAGGCTGAGCACGACCTCCAGGCTCGTCTTGCAGCAGCGGAGAGGCACGTCGCCCTCGCTCTTCACGACCACGATTATGACCAGCTTATTGCAGTGTCCACCGAAGCGCTGGAAAAGAAACCCAAAGTGATGGACAAGAAGGTGATCAAGTCACGAAAGAATCTGCTGTGGGCACGATCACATGCCTATCAACACAAAAACTCGCACGAGCTCGCGCTTCGCGACGCAAAGAAGGCCCTCAAGCTCGATCCCCATGATCCAGGATCATTCCTCCGTACAGCCGTCATGCTAGCCAACGCTGGACACAGCTCACAAGCAGAGAGCTGTCTGGATCAGGCCTACGAGCTTGCACAACGACTCGATCCGCCCACCAAAGCGGAATGGCTGTGCAAAATCCAGAAGCAGCGACGCGCGCTCAACCACGGCAAGACGAGTCCTATCGATGTTCTCCCGAACGAGGTTCTGGTCCAGGTGGCTCAGCACCTCGACCTTGGCGACCTCTCCGCGATGGGCCAAACGTGCCGCAGATGGCGTCAGACACTCTTGTCGATCCCGGCATTGTGGCGATCCATCACCATACCAATCAAGGCGAAGCGTCTGTCAGAGTCCAAGTACAAGTCATGGTTGCAACATGTCGAAATGTGCACCGCAAGGGCCAACAACACACTCGAAAGTGTCACCTTCGTCCCGCCTTTCCCCCTTGCTTTGCTCGACAAGGTTCTGGACCTCCTGCGTGGCTCGGCTGCGACCCTCGTGCATCTGGCTCTGCCGGTGAATAACCAACAGATTTGCTACTCTCGGCTATATCGCTACTGCCCCCGACTTTCCTCCGTCGACAGCACTGGGTGCGATGGTAATACTCCACGGGAGGACTTTGGTAGGCTCTTACCTTGCAGCGAAGATGCGCTTCTGGAGCCATTTTCTCTACAAGTATTTCGCTCAGGCTGCAGTAGTCATCATCCCAGTCTCGTCAAACACTTGCACAGCTTGCGCGTATTCGAGTGTTGCCCATGCGGGATATCTGACGCTCTTGCGAGCCGAGCCGATAACTTCACAATAACGAGGGATGATATCTTCCAACTCCTCTCGCAGCTGCTCAAGGACAATGCAGCCACGTTGCAAGAGCTCAGTCTACCATTCGGACTGCCCACGACTAGCCATGGTGGGGTAACGATGTCCATCAACTTTCCCAAGGCAGTCAAAGCAGTTTTAAGCTCGCCTCTGATGCTCCAGTTCCGCTTTCCTAGCTTGCTAGACCTGGACCTGCGCCTGGACACGACCCTCAGCGACGATGTTCAACACCGTCTCGTCGCACTCCTGGCCACGAGCCCGTGTCTGCGAACTCTCAAGTTCTCGGCTCCAGGTACAGCCGTACGGCACGAGATTTTGACAGCTCTGGAGCACCTTGCAGATCTTCAAACACTCGACCTCAACGATGCAGGTTGTGCCACGGGGTTGGTCGCCGCATTGCTTCCGACAGCAACCAGAAGCGAGTCTGGAAAAAGCCGGATCAATTGGCGCTTCTCGAGGCTGCGAGAGCTCAAACTCGATGCTTCTATGTTGGATCTGACAAGGCTGGCTGCGGCCTTGATTGTGCGCGACAGTCTGTTGAACGGCGAGACGCTCCAGGAAGCCCATCAGGTGTCTAACGAGCTTCTTAAGGCGCTGAGCCACAACACGTCAACGCGTACCGCGTCAGCTTTCCAGCGAGGCGCGCGGACTAGCGCCCTACCACTGTCCAATCAGGAAGACAGGAGCCCTCGCCTGGACAATGCGCCCGAGCATTCGCGTCTTGTCAAGCTGTGCCTGACGAACCTGCGCGAGCTCCCAGAGGACGTCGAGAGCGCACTGCGCTTGACCGTGCCCGAGCTTGAATGCTCGTACAGCCCGCTTTGAGCTGCATCTCATCGCCCGCAGATGCGCCGCTTGTCCCGTCTCTGCGCCTCCGCCCCAATCATCAAATGCTGTGTCTCCATCACTCATGTTCGTCCGTCAAATTGTTGCTGCAGCAATGGCCAAATGCATTCCCCAAATTGCAATGCAGCGTACAGAAAGGAAGCAGACCTCAAACGGCATCGAGGCGCTGGATGACGGAATCGGCGTACTCGTCCATTCCGCCGCCGAGCAGTCTCAAGGTGCCGTTCTGGAGCAGGTACGTCCTGCCTGGTTCCTTTGCTGCCGACTTAAGATCGAGGTCCGGGTCATCTTCTTCTGCGACTATGTCGTCTTGCTCTTCTTCGATGGCCGCCGGGTCGGGGGCGAGTTCGATGATGCGTTTGACGGCGTATCTGTCGTGGCTGACGAGCAGGACGGCTCCGGTATAGAGGCGAAGTGCTTCGATGAGCGCATCGATCGTATCGCTGTCGAGATGGGTGGTCACCTCATCGAGGACAACGAGGTCTGGGCTGAGCCACATGACTTCGGCCAGACCGAGACGCACGAGCTGTCCACCACTCAGGCCGGTGAGTGGGATGGTATCGGCAGTGCGACCTTTGAGGCCGAGTTGGCCAAGGAACGATCGCGCATTGGCATCGCCTGCATCGGGGAAGCGCTCGAGGAAGTGCGCAAGAGCAGTGACAGACTGGCTTGAAAGTTCCTCGAGAGTGTGTTGGGCGTAGATGCTGATGGTCGCGCGTGCGTGCCTCTCTACAGTGCCCTTGGACGGAGTGAGCTTGCCGACCATCGCATTGAGCAGCGTCGTCTTACCGTGTCCATTCGGACCAACAATAGCCACCCTTTCGCCAGGTCCAATGTTGAGGTTGACGTCCTTGATGGTGTCTTTCTTCTGCCCCTCGTAGCGCACGCTCACGCCATCAAGATGCGCCAAGCTACCCGGGAACCGCAATGGTTCCGGATCAGCAAACGAGAACCGAATTGGCGCATCGAGCTCCTCGATGTCGGGTCCACTTCGATGCGAGAGATAGTAGCCCACCATGTCCCTGTTGAGCTTGAACCGATGACCCTTGCTGTTGACCTCGAGACCCCATCGATCGTCGAGCTTGCGCTGCCTCTGCTTTACCATGCGCATCTTGTTATCGTCGCCCGACTTTTTCGCCGACTTGGCCGCCTCGGCAATCGACTTCTGCACCGCCGCCTTTTTGCGGTCGAGCACCTCCTGCTGGCGCAGCTTGTGCAGCCGTTCCTGGCGAGTCTCGCGCTCGTACGTGGTGAGGTTGCCTTCAAAGTAGGTGAGCTTCTCCTTGCGCAGGATGATGAGCTCGTCGGCTACGGCGTCGAGGAATTCGCGGTCGTGGGAAACAGTCACAACAGTGTGCGGGATGGACGCGATGAACTGCTGGACGAACAGCACGGCGGGGAGGTCGAGGTAGTTGACCGGCTCGTCGAGAAGCAGGATGTGCGCGGGCTGGAGGAGGGCGGATGCGAGCGAGGCGCGACTCCTCCAGCCGCCCGAGAGCGTCGAGTAGGGGGCGTGGATGCGTTCGGCAGAGAAGCCGAGCCCGTGAAGAATCTTCTGGGCGCGTGCCTCGGTGGTGATCGCATCGACCTCGTCGAGAAGCGCCTGCGACTCGAGCAGAAGCTTGCCTGCCTCGGTGCCCCATTTGGAGCCATCTTCGGGCTGAATGGGCGGTGGATGCGCCGCCTCGGCGTCTGCCTCCTCAAACTCCTTTTCGGCGACGAGCAAGTCCTTTCGAGCCCCATAGCCGCGGGCCCCAGACCACTTGACAGCAAGCTTACGTGCTTCCCTCAGTCTGTCCTTGGCTCGATCGAGCCGAACCTTGAGCACTGCGTCTCGAACGACCTCTTCTTCCTGGTTCTCGAGCACGTTGCTGAGGAGCCTGCTTTCATCCTCGGCCTGGCTGCGTTCGGAATCGCTGCGAATGACGACTTTGAGCACGGATGCGTCGGGATCCTCATCTGCAGCACGTGCATTGGTGAGCTGGCTGACGAAGAGGATCTTGAGCGTCCTTGGGAGACCGGGGATGAGCTTTTCACCGATCGCGGTGAGCAGGGTGGACTTGCCCGTTCCGTTGCGCCCGACCAGGCCATAATGCACGCCGGCTTTGAATCGAAGATGCGCGTCGGAGAGCAGATCACGCCCGGCGAGCGTGACTGTGACTTGTTTGAGGTCGATCTCGAGCGAGCCGGTGTCGGTGCAGTCGAGGTGGAAGCGCGATTCCTGCGAAAGCGCTTGGATGAGACGCACTTTTGGATCCGGGTTGTCGAGATACAGGTTGGCTGTGACCGCATTTGAGAGCTCATCATCTGAGCTGGTCGCCTTCTTGGCGGCAGACTTGGCTACTCGTTCGCTCTTTTTGCTCTTCCTTGCTGACGCTTTTTGAGAGTGGTGGTCCGCGGAGCTGGAGGCGGGCGTGGCTGAAGACGACGCAGCCTCCGTCGAGGCAGCCACGCTCGACGTGGCTCTCGAGGACGATTGATCCGAATCAGCGACTCCGCTCGTCTGCGTTGCTGGCTCTGCAGTGGTAGCTGCGGAGGGAGGGCTGATCTTGACAGCGAGACATGCTTCGACGATTTCAAGCACACCCTTCTTGCCTACGCCAGCGTCGGTCAGGACCGGCCGGAGCTTCTTTTCAAGAGCAGATTTCGCTGCATCCTTACTATCATACGGCGAGGAAGCATGCTCTGTCAAGGCAGATTCGAGCTTCGAGAAGGTCTTGAGAGCTTTGGCGGTGTCGACCACCGACTTGGGAATGGTGTTTAGAAATGGCTGGATGTCCACCATGGTGGGAAGTGTGATACTCGCTTATGGTCCGGGAAGAGAAGAGCCCTCCGATGAAGCATGCCTTTTTATGCAGGTTCCCCTGCTTGACGGCGACGAGAAGTGAGCTTCAGCCGATAGATGCTTGGAGGATGTAGTAGAGCATTGATGGTGCTGGTGCCACAGGTTTTTGCAGCGGAAAAACGGCACGCCGGCGTCCCTCCACACGGCCGCTGCACCTTGCATGTGGCAACGGCCCATTTTCCGAACTCCGCAATCCGAGAAAGTCGGCAAGCCGAGCCAGAGTCACACGGCTTGGCAGTGCGCGCTCCCCCTCTGAGTCACAAGAATAAAACTCGGAATCCGGCTTGGCACCCTGGGGAATGGCAGTGACACTAGCCGAGGCGGATCTCGAGTCATGGTGCCTGCTTATTTCGGGCAACGGGTTCCGAACAGAATGCGTGCGTTGGTGCGGTGATGTGGTACATGGTCTCTGTCGTTGTGATGCAAAATGCAGTTCGAAGACTCCAGCGCTGCCGGTCAGCTAGGGTCCGAGTAGATGCGCACCAGCATCTCTTTCATCTCGAGTCGGCTAGCGCGGCGCCTGACCGCTACGTCCGCGAATGTGGCCAGGGCCGAGCCGGGCGGCATGTCGACCTGGCGCAGAAGTCTCGCACGGCTGCCGTCTCGGACGGAAGCGAGCATGGCAGACGAGATGTCCGACTCGTCCAGAGGGAATGCGAGCGTGAAGAGCGCGTCGTTGGTGATTCTGCGTGTGCCGTTGCGCGACTCGGCCTCAGCGAGCACGTAGACCTCGCATGACTGCACAAAGGTCCGCACCACGACGGCAGTAAACGTCATGCTCTCGCCCACCGCCACCGCCTCTTCAAACTCGAGCCCGTCGAGCGACACCGTGCCCCACCGACGTCCGCGTCCGACGTGACGCACGGAGAGCAGCGCCGCCTCCTCCATCCAGTCCATCAACTGCCCGCCAAACAACACACCCACCGAGTTGGTGTGCTCGGGGAACACAAGATGCAGCGTCCGCACCACGGTCTTGGCCACCTTGATGGGCTTGGAAAGCTTGGCGGACAGGCGTGCGCGCGTGAGCTCGTGGTTGGTGTGTGTCTTGATGGGCGTGTTGGTGCTCGACTGGTCCAGGTCGGTGTCTCCTTCCCTCTCCTGGGCAGGCTTGAGCGGCGAAAAGATAGACCTGCGCCGTGTTGATGGCGTCTTGGGCGGTGAATATGCGCCTGTGGAGGCCGAAATGGGAAGGCTGGGGCGTGCGGTATTTGGAGCGCTCGGCGAGGGCAGAGGTATGGACCCAGACTCTGGGATCTTTGATGCAAACAGGCTTGCAGATGTGGGTGCAGTCGTCGAGCCGGATGAGGCGTCGGCGTCCGTAACCTGTTGAGCGAGTCTCTCGACGACGCTGAGTGGGTGGCGGAGCGGAATGTCACCGGAAAGGTTGACTTCGACCATGCCTTGTTGGTGATTCACCGACACTGCCGGGTCGCGCGACACGTAGGCCTGAACGACAAATTCGAGCTCAAGCGCCTCGAGCTGACACTCCTGCGACGTCTTGGTGGCGCTGGGAAGATCGGTCATGTCGCTACCAGCGGATCCAGAGAGCAGGTCTGCGCGTTCGATTCTGAGTTTGCCGGGAGTCCATGTGCCCGACTCGGTTTCGGCGCGCGCCCTCCAGGTGCCGCCAGTTCGGGAGATTTCTCGCACCTCGTCTTTGAGCCGCTTCTTGACTTCGGTCGAGACGCCATCTCTGGCTTCGCCCTTTTTGGCATTGGCGATTCGCTTTGCTCGTCTGCGGCCGGCCAAGATGTGTCGCCTCGCCTCGAGTGGCGTTCTTGGCAGCAAGGGCTGCAGTTGGGGCTTGGGCGACTTGGTTGAGGGCGGTGGTCCGATGAGCAGGGAGGTCAACTTCTGCCATGCAGACGCCGGGGCAATGCTTTGACGCGATGCGAGTCGTACCCTCGGGGGTGGTTGCGGGGTCGAAGATGCCGAAGCAGCGGCAGGGGGACCAGAGATGGCGACAAAGGTCATGTACGCGTGGCTGACGTATTCGCGAGCGCCCGAGCGCGGATCCTCTTTGACGACTCGAACACCCACTTCGAGACTGCTACCCCAAGCGCGATTGACGGAGGCAGAGAGGTGTACAAGATCGCCGAGGTAGATGGGCGCTAGCAGGAGCACCGAGTCGACACTGACGGTGACGCAGCTCAGCTCCGCATGCTTGCGCGCCGACACACCGGCGACGACGTCGATGAGCTTGAAGAGCGCACCTGCGCGGATCTTGGGCAGCGCATCCGAGGCATCGTCGGACTCGGAAGCGAAGCGATTGACCAGCGACGCGCCTGAATGAAAGGCATTGTCGCACATCTCGAGCGTGATTGGATAGGTGACCTGCACGGTGCTCTCGTCGGTTGTTTTGCCGTGCTTGGGCCGCCTTGCATCGCCTGAGCTGGACGAGGTGCTACCGCGCCTTTGTTGTGCTTGTGACTGAGCCGAAGTACGTCGCCCATCATGGCTGTTCGCTGAAGATGCGGTGCGAGTCGCCTGAACGTATGCCGTGGTCACGCTCGCCGCCGAGCAGAGAAGGAGAAGCGCGCCGGCACCGATCACGCCGGCGGTATACAGCTGCGAGGGCGTTGCATCCCGCCAGGATGGTGAGGCGGTCATGCTGATTGGGCTCGGACGGGAAGCATACGGGATGCTGGTTGCAAATGAAGGGCGACGTCGATCAGGGACCTTGAGGTTATGATTCAGTCACGATGCAGGGTCCACTCCGATTCGCACCCGCTTCGATGCCGGAAGCGGTCATCGGCGTGGAACTTAATCGAATTTGTTTGATCAAATAGGCCTAACAAATATCACCCTTTTTTGGCAATGAGCCCTAAATCAGGCACCGCCATGTGCGCTGTGATTGGCCGAGCCTGTTGGAACTGGATCGAAAACCCCGCTCTAATCAGTCCGCATGCTTGATAGGCGGCTGCAGCGGTCACACGGCCAAGCAGTCGCATACAGTACAGCAGTAGGCGCCTTATCGGCTGCCTTGTTTTAGCCGCCGCCTCGTTCTGCAGCTGTGACGCCTTGCAGCGACGCCTGGCAGCTCAAAGCTGAGTCGGGCCGACTTCACCTCCACGACACCCGTCAGAGTCGAGGTCTGAAGGTGGCCCGTCACTGTGGGCCGTGCTCGGGCCGTGCTTTGCCTTGCTTTGCCCCGCCAATCGACTATCCCTCTCTCTCTCTTTGACCTCCCTTCCAGCTTGGCCGGCCATCTGTTCCTGAGCTACTCTGCTGATACTGTCTCTCCCTTTCCGCTCCGCGTCCCGCGCGTGCTGTTCACACTCAGCCTGACCGCCTCGTGCACACTCCACACTGCTCACCTGACCAACTCGCAACCCTCGGCCCGCCGTAGCTATCAGTGCGCCCAGTCAAGCAGCTCGTCTGTTATCTCGCCTTTGCAGCCTGGCACGTGGTGGCTGCCTCCGCTACATCCGCGCTCGAGCTTGTTGCAGACGCCCTCTCCAGCATCTAGCTCAACTGTCACAAGCGGCGCCTGCCAGACGCTCTAATAACCGGACATCAATCAGAGCGCAGACCTCGATCCTTCCTCCACCCGCATCCTTCTCACTCGCTCGACACCCGCTGCAACATCCAGCCGCCTCCTCGTCGGCAGTGCACACTCCACTGTATTGGGCATCGCATCTTCTCAGCTCACAACCCAACATCACACTCCCAAGATGGCGGACATAAAGCAGACGACCAGCGTTCACTCGGTCGTCTCCGCAGGCGCCGGCGCCGACGCCAGGCTCGCCTCCATGGGCTACGATGCCGAACTCAAGCGCAATCTCAGCATGATGACCATCCTCGGTCTCAGTTTCTCCATCATCGCCGCCCCCTTCGGTCTCAGCACAGCCTTCTCCATCGCACTCACCTGCGGCGGGCCCATCACCATCCTCTACGGCTGGCTCCTCGTCTCGATCATCTCGCTCTGCATGGCCGCTTCGCTTGCAGAACTCTGCTCCATGTACCCCACCTCGGGCGGCGTGTATGTCTGGGCCGCCTTTGTCGCAACCAAAAAGTGGGCGCCGCTCACCTCGTGGATCGTCGGCTGGGTCAGCCTCGTCGCCAACTGGACTCTTTGCCTTTCGATCAACTTTGGCGGCGCTCAGCTCATCATGGCCGCCATCTCCCAGTTCCGCAACAACGAGTGGGCCCCTCAAGCGTGGCACACAATTCTCACCTTCTGGGCGTGCATGCTCATCGCCGCCGTCGTCAACGCCTACGGTGTCAAGTACCGATACCTTGACCGCCTCAACACGCTCTCCTTCTACTGGACTGCCGCTGGCACCATCATCATCGCCATCACCGTGCTCACCCGTGCTAAGGACGGCCGCAAGGATGCCAAGTTCGTCTTCTCGGGCTGGGAGAACACCAGTGGCTGGCCCGACGGATGGGCCTTCTTCGTCGGCCTTCTGCAGGCCGCTTACACGCTCACTGGTTACGGAACCGTCGCCGCGCTCTGCGAAGAGGTGTCGGAGCCCGAGAAGCAGGTGCCCAAAGCCATGGTCTATTCCGTGCTCGCAGCCAGCATCACCGGCTTCTTCTACCTCATCCCAATCCTCTTCATCTTGACTCCCGATGCCGCCGACCTTCTCTCCACCGCCGCTGGACAGCCCATCCCCGTCCTCTTCTCCCTCGCAACGGGCTCCGCTGGTGGGGGCTTCGGTCTGCTCTTCATCATCCTCGGCGTTTTCACCTTTGCTGGCATCGGCTCGCTCACCGTCGCCCTCCGCTGCACCTGGGCCTTTGCTCGTGACGGCGCCATTCCCGGCAGCAAGTACTGGAGCAAGGTCAACAAGACGCTCGACCTGCCGCTCAACGCGCTCATTCTCTCGACCATCGTCGTCTCGCTGCTCGGTCTCATCTACCTCGGTAACACGGCCGCCTTCTCGGCTTTCACCGGCGTCGCCACCATCTGCCTTAGCATCAGCTACGGCGTACCCATCGCCGTGGCCATGTTCAGGCGCCGTGCCATGCTCAAGGATGCGCCATGGACGCTGGGCAAGTTTGGCTACGTGATCAACGCGATCACCTTCGTGTGGATCGTGCTGGCCACCGTGCTCTTCTGCATGCCCACCACCGCTACCGTGGAGGCCTCGACGATGAACTACGCCTCGGTCGTGTTCGCCTTCTTCTTTGTGCTCAGCGCCGCGTGGTGGTTCGCCTGGGGCAGCAGACACTACGTCGGTCCCCTCGGAGCGGCGCCAGAAGACGCCATGGCTCAAATCCGCCCGGAACATGCTCACTCGACCGCGCTGCCGACAGATTCGAAGCCTGCTGTCGAAGTCGCGAGCCATAGCTCCGAGGAGAAGGACGCGGCCCATAATCTGTAGATCCGCTAGAGCTCGCGAGTCTCCTTTTGAAACATTATCGATCGCCAAAGGAATTGCAGGCCTGTGTTGTTTGGTCGTGCTGATTTGAATGCGCCGAGATGAGATTGCAATCATTTCTGGGTGAACCGAGTGAGTGAGCTCACTCCCTGTCGAAAAGGACTTGGCCTCGATGTGTGAGTGTGGCGAAGCTGGAGCGTGAGTCGACTTCGTCGATCGTTCTGTGGTTGGAGAGTGCAGCAACGGAGCAACGTAGAGAGATGCGTTAGCGGCCATGCGAGACCAGTGTAGACCGAGATGGGATCCGACGTACTTTGTGCGCATCTCGCTTGCCCATGTCACGTTCTTGAGTGGTGCAGCTGTGAACGCGATGCCGAGCAGGATGACAACGAACGAGACTAGCGTCTCGAGCGTGATCTATCCGATACAGCCGGTTGAAGACAAGAGGCGTGGGGGTCAGCGTTTTGCAAAAGGTCATGCCACGGCGCAGAGGAGGGGAGCTTACGTCGAGCGGCATCGTGTTGGCCTCGGCACCAACAAGGCCTAACGCCTTCCTCAGAGACAGATCTGTGATTGCCGATGGGGGATCATGAAAGGGACGTGTCAGGATGAGTCCATTGGACCTTGCTATGTAGGCAGGACTGAACGCAAGAGGCTGCTGGATGGAGTTGATGCGGGATAGCGAGAGACACTTACGCTCATATGTCGAGTAGGCCGCGTGGAAGAACACGACTGTAGGATGAAGATGCGATGATGTGAAGGAGGGTTAACGACTCACGCCTTGAACGCCGCAGATCCGTGCGGGGGGGCGCAGAGCTTACGGGTTCCGATGGTGAGCAACAGCTTTCCTGCAGCTGTCATGACTGCAATTCTACACTTGTCTCGTGGGAGGAGCCGGATCGATGTCTGTCGTGAGCAAGGATGTGGCAGCGTTGCACGTCTCGAAGATTCGCGCACGGGTGGGACGAACGGGTCCAGGCAAGACAACGCCCTCCGCACGTCCACCCGATCGAGGCCTCTAATCGGCATATAGCCAGCTTCTTATCGGCGATGCAACATGTCTATCTGCAAGGGCCACAGCCGGAACGTCAGAATTTCCAAGACAAGACAGCCGTCCAGATCGGCGCCTCGCATGGCCCTAACGTAAGCTCCCAGCAGGCCGCGAGGCAAACAGCAACAGAGCCCATGAATGCAACGTTGCGGCGTCTGCATATCAACAAGACTGCCAGTTGACACGGCAAAGTGCGGATGAAGCGCCGTGCTCCTCCACATGGTCTCGATGGCTGCTTTCTCTCCCGTCTGTGCGCGGGAATGTGTTGTGGGAATGAAGAAGCACTGCTTCCAGCAGCAGCATCCAGCCTCTTGACTGTTACACAATCTGGCACCAGCATCCCATCCTCACAGTCGCCTTGAGGCTCGCTGAACATCATGTCGAAATCCGCTCGTGTGCTCTACTGGTTCCGTACCGACCTGCGGTTGCACGACTCGCCCGCCTTGCAAGCAGCTCTGGACCTCAAGCCCGCCGCGCTCTTCCCGGTATGGTGCTGGGACCCGAATTACGTCTACAAGCACCGCGTGGGTGTCAACCGTTTCCGCTTCCTGCTCGAGTCGATGAACGCACTCTCAGAGCGCATCACCGCGACGCAGTCCAACTCGCAGCTGCTGGTCGTTCGTGGCGAGCCGACCGAGCTGCTGCCGGAGCTGTGGAAGCGTTGGAACATCACCCATCTCGTCATCGAAAAGGATCCCTCCGCATATGGCCGAAGACGCGATACGCTCATCCGTGAGGCGGCCAAAAAGAGCAAGGTTGAGGTAGTCGCGGTTCAGGGTCATCACCTGTTCGACCCAGAGGAGGTGGTGAAGCGCAACAAGGGCAAGCCCACCATGGCGATGAGCACGCTGCAGAAGATCGTCTCAGACATGGGCGACGTACCCAAGCCGCTGGACGCTCCCAAAGACCTGCCACTGCCTCAGCTGAAAGACTCCAAGTCCAAGACACTCAAGGACCTGCTGGCAGAACTCGCCGATTCGCTCGACGGCCTTCCGCACTACACGGGCAAGGGCCGCGAAGGACCAGCCTCGGTAGACCTCAACTCGACCGAGCTCGACGGGCAGCGCGACAAGGAAGTGACGTGCTACAACACGGTCAACGGCGAAGCCGCGGAGCTGTTTGCAGTGCCCACCCTCGAGTCGATCGGCATGGATGCGAGCAAGGGCAGGGACACCATCAAGGGTGGCGAGCCGCTGGCGCTCGAGAAGCTCGCCAAGATCTGCAAGGACGCCGAATACGTCGCGACGTTCGCCAAGCCCAAGACCTCGCCAAGCCAGTCGGCCGAGGATCCATCTACAACGCTGCTCTCGCCCTACCTCAAGTTCGGCTGTCTCAGTGTGCGCAAGTTCTGGTGGGACGTCGAGGAGGCCAAGAAGAAGTACAAGGGCGGCAGCAAGACTGGGCCTCCGGAGAACCTGAATGGCCAGCTGCTTTTCCGAGACATGTACGCATGCGCGGAGCATGCGATCGGAGACGACTTCCAGCGCGTGCGCGGAAACGAGGTGTGCCGATACATGGACTGGTACCTGCCCACGCACTACGACAAGAACGGCGAAGTCATCCTTCCGCGCCCGCCCGGCGATGCTGTGAGCGAAGCCAGGCTGTCGGCGTTCAAGCTGGGCCAGACCGGCTTTCCGTGGATCGATGCGCTTATGCGCCAGCTCCGTCTCGAAGGCTGGATGCATCATCTCGGACGCCACTCTGTCGCCGCCTTCCTGACCCGTGGTCAATGCTGGATTTCGTGGGAGCGTGGTGCCGAGATCTTTGACGAGTACCTGATCGACTGGGATCCGTGCTCAAACCCGGGCAACTGGATGTGGCTCTCGTGCTCGGCCTTCTTCACGCAGTACTTCCGCCTGTACGGACTCGCGACGTTCCCGGCCAAGTACGACAAGACGGGCGCGCTGGTGCGCAAGTACTGCCCCGAGCTGGCCAAGTTCCCGGACAAGTACATCTACGAGCCCTTCAACGCGCCCAAGGACGTGCAGCAGAAGGCCGGATGCATTATCGGCAAGGACTATCCGTTCCCCATGCTCGACGAGAAGGAGACCAAGGGCGAAAACATGCAGCGCATGAAGATCTGCTACCAGGCCAACCTGCACGGCACGAGCAAGGAGGTGCTCGATGGCAAGGCGGACGACATGCTGAGGAAGAAGCATGGATTCAAAGAGCCCAAGGAGTTCGACTGGAACAACCGACCCGGTGCCAAGATCCCTGACTGGGCCAAGCCGCCAAAGGGAGAGGAGAATACCACCAAAGGCGCCCCCGACTCCAACGGTGCCGCCAAGAAGGAGGACGAAGAGGACGCTGACGATGGCAGTGATTCGGACGATGCCGTATACAAGCAGGAGGACGAGCAGAAGGAAGAACGGCCCAAGAAGCGCAAGGGTGCAGCTGAAGCAAAGAACGGCAAGGGCAAGAAGACGAAGAAGTAGAACTGCGCTCGATGTAGAATGCGACCCTTTATCTCAGCGGGCAATGGCTGTCATCTGATCATTGTGCAAAGGAAGAAATGTGACGCCCGTATCTGTGCTGGCCACTCTGGAAGCTGCTTGTGGTCGCTCAATCGGAGGCGTCTGTGTGGGATGAGTTCGTCGTGCGAACGGTGTAGGGATTGATCTTGGTCGAGGAGGATCGGGGGGTGGTTGTGCGACCCGGAGCAGCACGCTCCCACGATGTGAAGGCTTTGAGAGCATCGTGGGATCGGCTGCGAGGGGTATTGTTGGCACAACGCTCCTGTGGACCGGGATGGAGGAGATGAAGGGGGAAGGTGCCGTTCTGCAACAAACATGGCAATTGCACACACTCTGTGGCGACACAGCAAGATGTGTATGACAGCAACACAGGGAATTATCGGATCTATCGAGCAGCTGTGGCAGCTGTTGGTCTTGGCGCTGACCCGCTTTCCCTCGGAGCCCCTGCGGCGCTCGCGCTTCCAAAGACGATGCGGTCGATCCTGGCATCGAAAGCTGAGCTGCGTATTGGCCGGCAATTGATTGGCAGATTGCTCGCCTGCCGTTTCTCCAGCTCCTCCTGTGCAACAACTGCCTCTTGGTCATCTTTGCCGTCGATATCACTACCAGCTGCTCGTGCGAACGTTGTTGGTGGGAGCGAATGGAACGGATTCGCCGAGTACTTGAGGCATGCTGTGTAGACAGCCCGGAAAAGCGTGAGCATGTCGATGTCTCGCACCGCATGGTCGGTCAAAGAGAGCATGAGCAGAATGCGCAGCTTGGCGCACGTCTGGAAGCCGTAGATCGCCAGATCTTCGAGCGTGGAAAGCAGGCCGAGGTACTGCTCTGAGCTGGTTCTGTTGGACGATGCGCCCGGAGCGACGGCAAGCGCGGTGCGTTCGTCCATCACATCGAGTGCGGCATGGGCGAAGTAGTGATACCGCAAATCAGCTGCTGTCGATGAGCTTGGAGACCTTCCAAATTGGCGGACGTAGATAGGCCCGCCTCGTGGTGAGACGATGGCGAGTGCTTGCTGCTCAGCCGCAGTGCAGAAACATGATGGTTGTCAGCCTAGTGTCCGGCTTCTGCAAAGAGGCTACAATACGTACGATTCTTGGAGCTGATGTCGACATGGTCACCGGGTATAAGCTGGAAGGAAAGGGTGCCAAGCTGTGCTGCAGGTGACCGTGAAGATGAAGGCTGATGCGCGAATGCCACGAGGACGAGTGGAGCTTTGCAGTGGCTCGAGCGGCTCGAAAAATCGTGAAAAGCAAAGCGCGAATCTAACAGTCAGAAATCCCGCGGAAATGCCTAGCCACAACCGCTGCCGATGCTGTTCTGCCGCCTAGCACACCTGTGGCCATGCAGCTCGACAGCAGCACGAACGAGCAATGCTGCCAGGTTGACATCGAACCATAATCATGCATGGGATACAGTAGGTCGAGATAGCGACAAAAAAGAGCACCAATGACCAGTTGTGCTGGGCTATCAGTGCCACGCTACAAAGCCTGGAAACTGCGGAGAGTTCCGACCGATAAACGCGAAAGTCGAGCGGAGAGTGACGCCCAGCTCTGATACGCTCGAGCCAGTCGAAACTGTGCGGGAAAGTCGAAATTTTTGGTCTGTGCAGAGAGCGGGAACACGAAGCCTTATCTTCATGTTTGGCAGTTGGGCAGCCACCGACGACATCGAGTGGAGCCGTGGAGTGGAAACTCGGCTGAACCTTCGGTAGGGTCATGTGGCGAATTGGTCACCAGCTGGTTCTTGACCTTTTACCCCATCCCATCCCTTCGAATTCATCATGGCCACCGCAGAGCAAAAGAAGTTCGTCTCGCAGATTGACGCCAACAAGGCGGCGTTGATCGACCGCCTTGCCAAGGCCGTGTCGATCCCGTCGGTATCGGGCGACGCTGCGTACCGCAAGCACTGCTTCGAGATGGCCGACTGGCTGCTCGCCGAGCTCAAGCAGCTGGGTGCCACGGCCGAGCTCAAGCCTCTGGGCAAGCAGGTGCTGGACGGACAGGAGATCGAGCTGCCGCCCGTCATCCTCGGCGACCTGGGCAAGGACCCCAAGAAGAAGACCATCCTGGTGTACGGCCACTTTGACGTGCAGCCTGCGCTCAAGTCGGACGGCTGGGACACGGAGCCTTTCGAGCTCATCACCGACGAGAAGACGGGCCGCATGTACGGCCGTGGATCGACCGACGACAAGGGTCCCATCCTCGGCTGGCTCAACGCCATCGAGGCGCACCAGCAGGCTGGCATCGAGATGCCGGTCAACCTCAAGTTCTGCTTCGAGGGCATGGAGGAGAGCGGCAGTGTGGGCCTGGACGAGCTTATCGCTGCCGAGAAGGACACCTTCTTCCAGGGCGTCGACGCTGTCTGCATCTCGGACAACTACTGGCTGGGCACGCAGAAGCCCTGCCTGACGCACGGCCTTCGTGGCATTGCGTACTTCAAGCTGGCCATCTCGGGTCCCGCTCGCGACCTGCATTCGGGCGTGTTCGGCGGTGTGGTGCACGAGCCGATGACCGACCTGTTCACCATCATGTCGAAGCTGGTCACCGCCAAGGGCGAGATCCTGATCCCGGGCATCAAGGAGCTCGTGGCTCCTCTCACGGACGAGGAGCGCAAGCGCTACGACGTCATGGACTTCCAGCTCAGCGACATTGAGGGCGCCACGGGTAGCAAGACGACTGTGAGCGACGACAAGGCGGCGGTGCTGATGGGTCGCATGCGCTACCCGTGCCTGTCGCTCCACGGCATCGAGGGAGCCTTCTCGGAGCCGGGTACCAAGACGGTGATCCCTGCCAAGGTGGTGGGCAAGTTCTCGCTTCGCCTGGTGCCGGACATGACGCCAGAGAAGGTGAACGAGCTGGTGACCAAGTACGTCAACGACGAGTTTGCCAAGATCGGCAGCAAGAACACGATGAACATCACGAGCGAGCACGGTGGCAAGCCGTGGCTGGCCGACCCCAACCACTGGAACTACGAGGCGGCGATCAAGGCGACCGAGACGATCTACGGCGTGAAGCCGGATCTGACGCGCGAGGGCGGCTCGATCCCCGTTACGCTCACGTTTGCCGACACGCTGCAGAAGAACGTGCTGCTGCTGCCGATGGGCCGCAGCGACGACGGCGCGCACTCGATCAACGAGAAGCTCGACATCTCCAACTACATTGAGGGCACCAAGCTCCTCGGCCTCTACCTGCACGAGGTGGCCGCCATCAACTAAATGCCGGGGATGCCTTGATCTCTGGTGTCGACTCTGTCTGTAGATCTTTCGGAATGCCAACGACGAATCTCCCCTTGCTCCGAACGGCGGCCGAGCTGGCATTGACTGATGGAGAGCGAATGATTTGATGTGATTTTGTGATTGATTGGGCTGCAGCCCCCATGTCGTGTGACGGGAGGCCAGCGGTCACACTCGCCTCCCACGGCGCGACAAACTGTTTCGAGAAAGCGTTCGAGACTTTGCGCCGCAATTTCGAAACAACAGAGCGAGCGGGAAGCGTCCGAAGCGAGTGCAGCAGGGCAGCGCAGAAGAGGGCCAGCGCCAATCGAGCAGTGCAGGCGTATCCAACTTTATCTAGCACCCCTCGACTGTTCCGCCATCGCTGTCCAATCACATTGTTGGGCCGCCTCCACAGCGCGACTTTGGCAGCGCGCACCCCACATGGACAGCGTCGGATGCACACGCCTGCTTTGCAGCTCAGATGCATGGTGCTTGGCGTCTATCCGACTCGCCCTCCCTCCCTCCCTCCCACACCTCGCCGCAGCTTGCCATTGGCCCGTCGGTGCTTGCAATCCTTCCGAGCTCACCCCACGCCGTCCACGCTTGTTTTCGTGCTGGGTCACCCCGCCTCGACGCAAAACCCGACGAGCCTCTTTCGCCTCCCACCACCACCGTCACATCGCGGCACTTGACCAAGCTCGCATCCTCGTCCCGACGCACCGTGCCATGCCATTGCCACAACACCACTCAGCTCGCCATCCAAGCTCTTATTGAAGCATGGCGCCCCGCACATCCAACAAGAGCATCCCCGTGCCGCGTGACCAGGCCAGAGCTTCGGCACGTAGTGACGGACAGCAAGCCGCGTGGAGGAGCAGCCTCGACCTGGTGTGGTCCTACTCGCGCTCACAAGCATTCTATGGCAACAACATCGCCACCTCGCCGTCGTTTGTAGAAAGCAGGTGGGCGGGCCGCGATCCCGACGACGGCGACAGCATCTACGAGGACGACGAGGACGATCTCTCCGGCGACGAGAGCACCGACTACGATGCCAGCACCTCACACTCTCGCTCCGGCACCGATGCAGACACTGACGACGCCTCCATGGCGAGCGATGCAAGATTCGGCCCCTCGGACGAGTTCGACTGGGAAGGCGAGACCTTGCCACCCAATGCCACGCAACGCACACGGCGGCGCTCCAAGCTCAGAGACCGCCGGCTCGAGCAGCTCGAGAGCGCCGACGAGGACGAGCGCAGCAGAAGCAGGAGCAGATCGCCCAAGCGTCTGTCGGGACCGCGTGAACGCGCCTCCAACAGCAAGCTCAACCCCTCCCGCTCAGACGCCAACCGACAATCCCGCTACTCCACTGCGTCCGGTCATGTTCTTCGCGATCCCTTCGCCGATGATGAAGCCAATCTTGCCAACGCAAGTGCCGAGAATGCCCCCCTCCTTTCGCGCGACCCCACCTCGGACGCCGGCGTGCCCAGGCGCAAGTCGGCCTCCTACGGTGCAATCCGCCGCCACTCGGGCTCCGGCACAGTCTCTCACCGCTCCGAATCCGGTCTCCAGCAGCTGCACGAGCTCGGCACCAGCACCCTCCTTCAGTCTTGGTTCAATACGGTCAACGCTCTCGTAGGCGTCGGCATCCTCGCCTTACCTCTCGCCTTTTCCTACGCTGGCTGGTTCGGCGGCACCGTCCTCTTCCTCATCTGTGGACTGCTCACCAACTACACGGGCAAGGTGCTCGCAAAGATCATGTCCAAGGAGCCGTCGCTGCGCACCTACGCCGACATTGGCAGCTATGCTTTTGGGCCTTCCGCTCGCATCCTCATCAGCCTCTTCTTCTGCTTAGAACTCTGGGCCGTCTCGGTAGCGCTCATCATTCTCTTTGGCGATTCCATGGCCGCCATCTTCCCCGACGTCGCTCCTTCGGCCTTCAAGCTGCTCGGCTACCTCATCGTCCTGCCGTCCGTCTTCCTACCGCTCAAGTTCCTGTCGCCCATCTCGGTGATCGGCATCGTGTCCACCTTCACGCTCGTTGTCGTCGTGGTCAGCGACGGCCTGATCAAGAAGCACGCACCGGGAAGCCTGTGGGAGATCGCACCCACCACGCTCGGGCCACGCTGGAACCGGCTGCCGCTCAGCTTCGGCCTCATCATGTCGGGCTTCTCGTCGCATCCCATCATTCCGTCGCTGGTGCGCGACATGAAGGACCCGACCAAGTTCCCGCGCATGCTCAATCTCGCCTACGTCGCCGCCACCGTGCTCTACCTCGGCATGGGCATGGTGGGCTATGCCATGTTTGGCGTGAGCGTCTCCGACGAGATCACCAAGGACCTCGCGCGCACCCCCGGATTCCCCGTCGTGCTCAACAGCATCGCCATCTGGCTCATCGTCATCAATCCGCTCTCCAAGTTCGCGCTTGCCACCAGGCCCATCCAGACCACCTTTGAGATTCTGCTCGGCATCGACGATCAGACGGCAGCGAGGATGGAGATGCGCAAACGCAGGCGCTCCTCGGCAGCGCGTTCCATCACCAAGGCGCAGTGTGTCAAGCCTACCTCGAGTGCGTTGGAGGCTGAAAGCGCGGCGACAGACCGCGTCGCCCAGCTGACCACCGAGGCAACGGGTGCGCCGCTCTCGGTCTCGCCCCTTCAGCGTGTCTCGTTCGCCACTCCCCAGGTGGCCGCCCAAGAATCGTCTCCTGGCGCGACGGCGAACGGTGCGCTTGGCGCCGATCCAACGACGGCAGAGGGGGCAGCCGACGACAATCCGCTGGCGGGCTCAGCAGTGTCGATCCGTGCCGCCGAGATGGCGCAGAAATTGTCGCCGCGCATGCGACGCAACTGCCAGATCGCGCTCAAGATCGGGCTGACGGCGCTCATCGCCGTGACGGCCGTGGTGCTGCCGGGCTTTGAACAGGTGATGGCGTTCCTGGGTGCGTTCCTCGCGTTTGCCACGTGCGTGTTTGGCCCGCTGCTCGCCAATCTCAAACTGTTCGGTGCCGAGATGCGACGCTGGCGCATTGCACTCGACATTCTCATCCTCGCCGCCTCGGCCGTCATGGCCGCCACAGGCACCGTCTGGGCTTTTCTCTAGCGCACCTCTCTTTCTCGGTAGGAGGTCACGCGTGCAATATACCTAGCATTACACCTAACCATGTCCGCACTGACGGCGCGTCAAAGCTTAGTTTGGTCGAGCCCGGCCCATCTGCGCAGTAGCGGTGGGGTGAGCATGGGTAGGTTGGCAGGATTGTGCGGTGGAGCTTGTTCGTGCAGCACAGCATTGGAACCGGACGCAGCAGAAGGTAGGTTCGACACTGGTGGTGAGAAGAGCGCATGACGTTGTTGGTGCATGAGGATTTGGTGGATCTGCATTCGAACCGCATGCAGCCCGTGTCGGAGGCTCGCCACTTCTTCCTGCACGCGACCAGCGTCGAAGCCGGCCTTGACCGCCGCAATGTGACCTTCTTCGGTGCGCTTGTCGAGACTGTTGAGTCCGGAGCTCAGGCCGGCCACAGAGGCAGTGAGGGAGGCGATGGCCGAGTCCAGACTGCTTCGGTCCAGCTCGCGCTCCGCCTCCACCGCCGCCGCAGGGAAGCCGTAGCCGCCAGGAGACACGGCGCCGAGACTACCTGCTTCGAGAGCCGCGAGCATTGCGCTCGATCCGGAACGTCGTGCGGCCGCACTGGCATCGCCGAGCTGTGGCGCGCGTTCGCGCGAGGTCGATGGCGAAGGTACGAGGCCAGGGCGCCGAGGAAGCACGGACGATGTGGGAGCAGAGCGAGCTGCAGCGGGCGTCAAGTACCGAGAGCCACTGCCGTCGCCAGGCGTAGCTCGCTGGGAGCCAGTGCTGGGCCGCGCCGTGGCGACTGGATCGGGCGTCGACGCTTCGGCGTACTGCCTCCTGGCCCACATCTCGAGGTCCATGCTCGCCACAGCCGACGCGCTGTGCGCCCTCGTCTGGCGCGAGAAGCTCTGCTGGCTCAGCGACCTCTCCCAGTTCTGCGCATCGAGCGGGAACTCGTCCCACTCTCCGTCCACACCCACCTGCGAACCTCTTGCCCTCTGCTCCAAATCGGCTGCGCGCAATTCGCCCGCCGAGCGATACCAAGTGCCCAGGCTGTGCACACAATCATCCACTCTACGCGCTTGGGTATACTGCCGAGCTTCGAGCTCGTCGAGGCGCGACTTGAGCGCGTGATTCTCGTCGCGCAGCTGTTCGACGTGGTGCGTAAAGACGCTAAAGAACGGCTTGAGTGGCTCGAAGCGGCAGTCGTCCTCGAGATGTGCGTGGTCGATCTGTTTAGAGAGGGGATTGGAGGCGCGTCGGAGCCGGCGACGCGGCCCCGTCCAAGAACAGCCAAACGCAGCATGTGGACACTCGACGGGAGCTTCGGTGCACTCGTCGACGATGTGGAGAGCGAGGCGGCTCTTGATGGTGGTAAGCCCGCAGAACTCGCATTCGGCCGGCTCGGGCGAGCAGGTGGACAAGTGATCTTGGAGCTCGTCAAAGCAAAGCTCCGAGTCGCACGTTGCACAAGTCACTGCGCGTTTCGGGCAGGTCAGGCCGTGCGACGCCCAATCCTTGCGCATGACCTTGGCCGAGCAGCCGCATCTCCGACCCTCTGTGAGATTCTGGTCGACGTACTCGTACGCGCAGTCCGACGCTACATGGCCGCGAAGCAGATGTCGTTCGCACTGGTGATCGCAGCCCTTGTCCTTGTTGGGACATCGCACGCGAAGTGTGTCGACCATGTTCTTGATAAGAAGCGCGGTAGGCTGAAAATGGGAAAAGTCGACGGTCGCTCTGCAGGTTGGGCAGCGTTTGGGGCGCAATGCGGTGGCATCGTCGTCTGCATCTGTCCGTGCTGACGCATCTTCTGAGAGGGCGGTATGGATGCAGTGCTTGCAGAAGGTGTGAGAGCAGCAGCTGGAGACGAAAGGCTCGAGGAAGGGCCCGAGGCAGATGGGGCAATGAAGGAAGGCGCTGATGCGCGCATCGTCGTCGACATAGTCGAAAGAGTCGCCGGTAGTCCACGAGAGCTTCTGTATGCCGCTGCTGATGTTGCTGGCATCGGATCGCTGGCTGATGGACGAGGTAGCGCGTGCTCGTGATGGGCGCGGGCGCGCGGTGCGATTGCCCGACGACCTCCTGCGCGCAATAGCGGCTGCGTGCGAGCGCGGCTGTGACCCTGAGCTGGGACCTGCCTCGGATGGCTCGGACATTTGCTGTGGTGGGACCTTGTGCAAAGCAGACGATCGAACGGAGGCACGGATGGATGTATTGGACGATGAATGTGGTGGATGGGTGGGTGGATGGATCGGCAGCGGCGCGGATGGAGTCGTGTGGGGAGGCCAAACCAGTTCCGGCGTCCGGTTCTTGGATGCTGATCCGCGTGAATCGGCTCGACGACATGCGGAGGCTGCAGCGCACCTGCGGGGACCCAAATCTGGACCCTGAGCGCGCATTTTTTGGCAAAAGCCTGTCGACGTGGCGGCGTAACATTGGAGCGAATTTTCACCTCCACATGGCTGGCCCGATAACTCAGCGCTCGACATTCCGAAGCTGCATGACTGTGGGGATTGGGCAACGCTGCACGCTGACGTGGGGCGCACAGAAGGTGCAAGGCCAGGAAGCCCATGTGCTTGGAGGCTGCCATCGCAAAGACACCCCGCTTCGCCTTGCCTGCCCGAGAGGCGTCGTCCAGCTCCATCCCTGTGCGCGACGCACGCAATACTGTCAGCCTTGATATAGCTGTTGAGACGGCGCTCTTGCCCATCGTGCGAGCGACAGTAGCAGTGGCATCCCCACCGAGCATCTTCTCCTCAAAGCGCTTGCCTGAGCTGCGATGTCGAGGGGCTGTGGGGGGACGAGGCTTGGCGCTGGCATACCGTGCACGGGCGCCGGTGCGAAATGACGAAATGTATCACAGGCTCCAGTGACACTCGAGTGACACTGCCCGGCGTCTTGGAGTAATTTTAGGCGTGGGAGCGGGTGAGGCTCGATCCGCATATCGCCTCTTTGGGCATCTGCTGGTTCGAATTCGCGCTCTTGACCCAGACACTCCTTGACAGCTGCACCCGCTCCATCACCCGCATGCCGATGCGCGCGAGCCAGGCTGGCTCGAGCTCTTCCTTCAACGATGCAGATATTCCCGCTCGTGGCTTGAGGTAGTATGCCCACTGATGAGTGTTCCGAATCGAGCGCAGACGTTCCAGGCTCATCGGCAACTTGAAGCCAGCCGTCGAGCTTCGGTCTCACTTGGACTGAAACTGCCTCCGCTTCCACTCCCCCGTTGGTCGTAGCTCGCTCGTCTGCATCAGCCAAGGCCCTCCTTTGGCACCCCTGTGCTCTTCTTTCCTCCCTCCTCCATCTGATCGCAGGGCACCAACGCCGGCCACCTGATCCCCATCCCCTATTCCACTTAGCTACCACGCTTGACCGCCATGTCGCACCATCACACGGGCGAGGGCTGGTCCGACCGCAACCCGGTCCCCACCGTACAGCAGTACAGGGACCAGCAGGAGCAGCTCCGTGCCGCTACCGCTCACGACAATGCCTCCAAGCTTGCCAGCTCCGAAGCCGACGAGGCGGCGCCCGTCTCCGCTAGCGGCGCTGCGCCCGCCATTCAGGGCTCGCTCGACGGTCTGAGGCAGCGTAAGAGCACCTCGACTGCCCCTGGCCAGTCCACCAACGGCGCCAGCCTTGACTCTACCAACGGCGCTAGCGTGGACTCTAAAGCCAGCAGACCGCCCAAGGAAGACGACGTCGACCAGGCGCCCGGCGGCGGAGAAGAGGAAAAGGAGCGCATCAAGAAAGCCTATGCGCCCAAGGGCAAGGCCAACGAGTTCGAGGAAAAGGGCGAGCGCATCGTCACCGACCCCACCACCGGCGGCGAAGTCCAGATCCGCGACGCCTCCGAGAACGCAAAGATCGATCCGGACAAGCTCGACTCCCGCTACGGCCCCGGCTTCTCGTCCCACATTCCCAAAGATCCTTCCAAGCATCACCCGCTTCACACTTCTCCCAACCCGGCCGAGCCCTCCAACATCCTCCTCCACCGCTTCCCCGAGCCCGTCAACACCGAGGCTATGAAGCGCATGCAGGCCGCCTTTAACCAGCTCGCCATCGGCCTCGGCGCCTCGCTTGCCATCATCTGGTTCTTCGTCGCCTTCGGCAATGGCTGGTGGAAGTTCTTCCTGCGCACCTCGGTCATGGCTGCCGTCAGCTTCGCTGGCTGGACCGGCCTGCATCTGCAGACGCGCAAGATCGAAAAGGAGCACGAGGCGATCCGCGCCGAGATGCACAAGCAGCGCGGACAGCAGCTCTCGCCTCCGATGCCCGAGAGTGTCGAGTGGCTCAACGCCGCCATCGCTTGCATCTGGAAGCAGATCAACCCAGACATGTTTGTGCCCATGGCCGACATGGTCGAGGACATCATGCAGCAGTCGCTCCCTGGTTTCGTCGATGCGGTCAAGATCGACGACATTGGCATCGGTGACAACCCGTTCCGCCTCGTCGCCATGCGCGGTCTCGCCGATATGATGGGCGACAAGGGATACCCACGCGAGGAATGGATCACCCAGGGCAAACAAGTCCCCGACAACGAGGAGGACAAGAAGAGCGACGCCAAAAAGGCGCTTGATGCCAACGAGGACGCCGACGGTGATGGCATTGCCGATGACGACGAGTCGGGCGACTTCCTCAACTACGAAATCTCCTTCAGCTACTCGGCCCGCCCGGGTCAGTCGAACAAGGACCGCGCCGCCAACATCCACCTCATGATCCAGTTCTTCATCGGTGCCTACGATCTCTTCCAGATCCCGCTGCCCATCTGGATCCAGATTGAGCACATTTCCGGAACGGTCCGCCTGCGTTGCCAGATGGTTCAGCAGGCCCCCTACATCCGCAACCTCACCTTCAGTCTCATGGGCGTGCCCAAGGTCGAGATCTCAGCCATCCCCATGCTCAAGGCCCTTCCCAACGTGCTCGACCTTCCCCTCATCTCGGGCTTCGTCCAGTCCTCGATCGCCGCCGCCGCCAACATGTACGTGGCTCCCAAGAGCATGACGCTCAACATGGCACAGATGCTCTCGGGCGACGGCATCAAGAAGGACACCGACGCCGTTGGTGTGCTTGTCGTCGAAATCGAGTATGGCGAGGGCCTCAGCGCCCAGGATGCCAACGGCAAGAGCGACCCGTACGTCGTGCTCTCCTTTGCCAAGTTCGGCCGCCCGCTCTACAGCTCGCGCATCATCTTTGAGGATCTCAACCCCGTCTGGAAGGAGACGGCCTTCCTGCTTGTCACCAAGGACGACATTCGCGCCAACGAGTCGCTCTCCATCCAGCTCTGGGACTCGGACGCACGCACCGCCGACGACATTGTCGGCCGCGTCAACAAGCCGCTCAAGGACCTCGTGCGCGACGCCAACCATCCTCAGGACCGCAAGGACAAGCTCATGGGCTTCGAGGACGCCGACGACATGCCCGGCACGCTCAAGTGGAAGGTCGCCTTCTACGAAAAGGCCGACTTCAACAAGGCTCTCGTGCCCAAGAAGAAGCAGGAGGAAATGACCAAGGTCGAAAAGGAGACGCAGCGCGAGGCCTCTGCCATCGACTCGGCGGAGGAGGCCACCGCTCTGCACTGCCCACCCGACCCGGAGTACCCGTCGGGTATCCTGAGCATCATCGTGCACCACATCTCGGGCCTCGAGAACCGCGACGTCGAAAAGGGCGTCATGGGCAAGGAGCGCGAGGGCAGCTACGGTCAGGACGTGGATGCCGAGGCGGGCGAAGGCAAGGCACTCCCCAGCGGCTACGTCGAGTTCATCGTCAACGATGACATCGTATACAAGACCCGCGTCAAGCAGTACACCAACATGCCCTTCTACGAGGCGGGTACCGAGACCTTCATCCGCGACTGGACCCAGACCGAGGTGCGCCTGGCCGTTCGAGACGCCCGTCTGCGCGAGCACGACCCCATCATGGGCATCGTGGCCATCGACCTCACCGAGCTCTTCAGCGAGTCGTCCCAGGTGTCCCAGTCCTTCTCCCTCCAGGATGGTGTCGGCTTCGGCAAGGTCCATGCCAGTCTGGTCTTCCGCAGCATCAAAGCGCAGCTGCCCAAGGCGCTGCTTGGATGGGATACTGCCACTGTCGAGCTGCTGTCCGAGATCGAGATCGAGGGCGACGAGAAGCTCAAGCAGAAGAAGATCAAGGTTTCCACTGGCGACGACACCAAGAAGATCTACCCTGACCAGCACATTGAGGCCGGGGAAGAGACGCTTGTGCGCCTGCCTGTGTACGACCGCTACAGCTCGCTGCTCACGTTCGACCTGGGCGGCGGAGGCCTTTCGCTGGGACCACTCGGTGGCAAGCCGGATGCGGTAGCGGTGGCGGCGCTCTGCGACCTTGCAGATGGCGAGGTGGTGGATCTGGAGCTCGACATCATGGCTGGCGACAATCTGGGCACTCTCAAGCGCAACTACATCAACGAGCAGACGCGCAAGACGCATCCGTTCGAGGTGGTGGGCAAGCTGCGCGTCAAGGTGCGCATGGACGCCGGTCTGGATGACGACCATCTGCGACTGGTCGAGCACAGCTCTGGACGCAAGGACCGCCACGAGTTCGAGGTGTACAACCGCCTCGAGGGCATGCCCAACCGAGCGGTGCAGAACTCGCACGCGGCCGACGACGGCGTGATTGACCGCAAGGAGCAGAAGCAGATCAACCGTGCAAAGTCCGAGGCGCTGCACTCGCGACACCGCGGCGTCATGGGATACGGCTCGGCCAGGTCTGCAGTTTGGGCCAAGGACGGCATTCGATCTCGCATTCGTCGCACCACTGACAAGATCCGCGGCAAGAAGGGTCGCGACCAGACTATCAAGTCCGAGGCTTGAGCTTCCATCCAGTTCCGCTCCGCGGGTCGGAAATGTAAGCTCTGCCCCCTTCCTGTCTTTTGTTGTCTCCCCTTTTTCCTCTTTCCGCATGTCCAAATGATCACTGATTCCGGCGAGCTTGTACCCGCGCCTCGACTCGCAAATGCAATGCACAGTCTCTCAACCCTGTGCAGTGCTTCTGTCTGTGTGATTGAGGTGCCTGTCCATTTGCAGTAGGCAGCCGGGGCAAACGGCGCACGATGTTGGTTGTATCGCGGCGTGACTCGATACACGCCTAAGCGAGCTCGCCTCGCGTGCGGTGTTGGACCCTGAGTCACTGATTGCATCCGCGGGTGCGGAGGGCTTGATTAGGTGCGGCAAATTAGAGCTTGTCGACTCGTCCCTGATTGCGGGTGGGGCCGTTCCGAGGCTATCCTCGGCTCCTGCGACTCCGGCGACAACGCGCCGCCACCTTTCCGCGGGAAGCAGTGGTAACCGGCGGCGAACATGTCGGCTGGAGCGGTGCACCGTGCATCCAGAGGCGCGTATCTCTGCCAGCTCGCTTCGACATCCGCGGCCTACACGGTCCCTCGCGTGTGTCCCAGCAAGACTGCGCCGGTCTTGTGCATTGCGAAGATCGTATATAGGCAGCAGCGATTGAAGCGTCTGTCTGCTCCGACAACATCTCAAACATGACGCACCCTACATTCGACAACGCAACTTTCGAGCTGCTCAGTGCTGACGGCAAGCTGCGCCTGCGCCCCGTGCGCATCTCGGACGCGCCCAACCTGCGCGACCGATGCGCAGACCCGCTAAACGTCAAGTACCTCCCGCACCTCCAAGGCAAAGAGAATCAGACCGTTGAGGACGTCGAGAAATGGATTCAAAGCGTCCAGGCGGGCTTCAACAAGGACTCGTTGTTCCTCGTCGTCGAGGACACCGAAACCAACAAGGTGATCGGCGAAGGCCCGCTCGGATACATCGACTGGAACACAAAGACCGCCGAGTCCGGCATCATGCTCGACCATCAGGTCACCGGCAAGGGCGTCGCAACCAACGCGCTCAAAACATCCACCGACTTTGCCTTCAAAGAGCTCGGCCTCAACGCAGTCAGGTTCGGCACCATGAAATCCAACAAAGCCATGGTCAAGGTCATCCAGGAAAAGCTCCCCGTCAACCCCGAACCCCAGCACAATACCCGCAAGGACGGCCTGGAGGAAGTCAACTTCACCTTCACCCGGGATGAATGGCTCGCTGCCACTTCCTAAGCAACGTGTCCCCCGACGCCGAAACATTCTGCCAGCCTGCTGCCAACAGCGCAGCAGCCGCCAACCCCCATCAAAAGTGTGCACCGAAAAGGCTCGTGTGAGAGCTGCCATACGCCATTGCATGCCAAGGCCATCGGCTCCCGACTCTAGGAATTGCTGGTGCTGGTGCTGTCTAGCCTGGATTTCGGTGCTATTGGATCAAAGGGCACTGGGGACCTCTCGTTCCCCGTTCTCTGATCTCTGAAGCCAACAAAGTGCGCCTTTGCGTCGTTAGCGCGCTCAACGGTTCAAGACGACACCTCGTGTCCAATGAAATCAATGCAAGCAATGCGAATCAATCGAATTGGCGTGCAGAGGCGAATCACATGGTCGCGAGAGAGAGAAAAGTTTGCCAGTACTTCCCACAGCAACACAGCATGTAGGAAGAGGCGGGATTGCCGCTTGCTGCTAGCCCGGTGCGCGCTCTTTGCCCTTCGTTGACGTTCCAGCTCGCGCGTATAGGCGCAACAAGTCGGGCATGGAATCCTTGGGCGGTGAGGCCGTCGCCTGGTCCTCATCGGCTGCCGAGGATAACCTTGCCACGGCATTCAGGGTCTGCAGTGGTCGGCTGTGTGAGCATTGGCAGCCGGGTCCATGATCCGAGCGCTTGCTGTCGGTTGCCTCCACAAGAGTGCGGTAACGGCTGATCTTTTGGTCGATCTGCGTAAGGCCTCGTGCAAACACTTGCATGACCTTGCTGATGGGCTTGGGGAGGCTGAGCGACCCACTTGTGGATGTGTAAAAGGCGAGGCGGCTGTCGCTTTCCTTGTGCAAGCTGTGGGTGCCGAGATGCGTGAAGAGCGCGGACCACATGAGCATGTTGGCATCCATCCTCTCGACCTCCATGTCGTCGAACGGTGAGTAGCCCAGGTTCTGCTTGTCGACGTACGTATCCATCAGCCGGTTGCAGCAGCGGACGACACAGGAGACTTCCTTTGTCGTCGGGTTGAGAACCTGGCGACTGGTCATGCACACGTGAGTGAAGGCGATCATCAGATTGATCGTGCCAGCAGACAGGTACACCACGTCGCCTGTCCGCAGCATGTTGATGCGGGGATCCTCGAGCTCGTCCAGATGGTCGAGCTGATTCGTCATGATGCTGCGGCTTAGGCGATACCAGGTGTCAAAGTTCCTGTCCGTGCCCGGCCACGAAACGAGCAAGAGCGTGCCTTGCACAACTGCGTAGAGCAGACCTGTTCCGGGACCGACCATGCTGAGAGGACGCTTTGTGCCGGCCACTGCACAATGGACCACGTCCGAAGGCGAGTCGATCGCGAAGCGTGCAAGGCCGAGGACCATTGGCATCGGCGGCGCAAAGCGCGTCGAAACGCAGCTGGTGACTCCACAGGGCGACTCGGCGGGTGCCGTGTACCAAGCTAGATTGCGCGGGATGCCGAAGTGCGACTCCCATAGGGCCTCGGAGAGGGTCACGAGATCGGGTTGGGGCGGAAGAAGCCCAGCATACTCGACCGAATCGAAGAGCGCCTCCTGCGACTCGTTGTCCAGGTCGAGCAAGATGTGACGAAAGGCGGGGCGTGACTTGAAGCAATGGTCGATGCCGTTCGCCATCACGGCAAGGGAGCGTTGGAAGGTGCACCGGCCTGACGAGTTACGCATGACGAGCTGCTTGATCTTGAAGAAGCTCGGTAGGGCTGTGATGGCCGGTGGGAGACGCGCCCACTCGGCCTCGAACTCGGTCGAGCCGGCGGATGGCTTCCAGTGCTCGTTGGCGTGGCTTGGACCTGCCGCCACCGTCTCCCTCCAGTTGTCAGACGACGATGTCGAGCGACCGAGGCAAGCATGATCCCCCGACTGTTCGACTGCAGGCTCGGCTCGGCGAACGTGTCGAAGCTCCTCGGGCAAGCTGGTGCCCAGGCTATCCATGATCTCGAGCAGCCTGGCGCGCGACAGCAGCATGTCCGTGCCGCCTTCAGCATAGATATCGAACGCCATGACTGATTGTGTTGCTGGCGGAGCCGAGTGGGAGCCAGGAAGGGGGGCAAGAAGCTCGTGTTGGAGGAGTTGGACGAGCCCTTTTTATCTTCTGCTGAGTCGAGCTCAGAAGGCACAGAACAAGCGGCGTAGCGGCGTGGGATTCCAGCAGCAGAGAAGAGGCTCAGGCTCAGTTCTCCACACAGCCAGTTGGGGATGCGTGGCGACTAGGATCAAGGGTCCAACTGTCGCCCTGGCCAGTGCTCTGCTGGCCAGTGCTCTGCTGCCGCCAGCCCTGGCTCGATGACCGAGATGTCGGAGGACTCCGACTGAGCCAAGGCATCAAACGCGAGCATCACACACAGACCTCGTGACAATGTCGACGGAGGGGCCGAACGACCAGGCACGAGGACTTGCATCCGGTTCCTCGAGTGTTGGCCAAGGGGCTGGAGACCCGAGTCGGGTGGGCCGACCAGCTGAGTCAGTCCTTAATTTGGCGGCTGGTCCGAGCGACCGCGCCCATCCATTGCGGACGCGTCGGTGTGGTTGAACGGAGGGCTGGCCGTGGCTATGCCTCGAGTCTGTCGCAGATGCCCGACGCTAGCCAGTTGCGCAAGGTGCACGAGCCCACGAAAGCGCTCCAAGCTGTGCTTCCCGGTCCGATATGGCGAGCACGGCGGCAAGGTCAGATCCTCTCGGGCACCTCTACGCTTCCTTCTCGAGCCGCGCAACGCACGATATGCCCGCACAATGCTTCTACAACTGCCACTCGAAAGCTGGGATTATCGTCATCTTTTTTCGGTTCGAGACGGTGGAGATAAGAGTACAAGTGCGAGAGCACGGAAACGGGGCAGGCGAGCGGCTTGACGTGTAAGGGTGGATGCAGGGTTGTAAGGTTCGGAAGGCAGAGCCACGTCGCTTCTAGAGCAAGGCCCTAGCTAGCATGCACGATGGTCGGTGTGGCGGAGCTTACTCTCGCGAGACGTCACGACCGAAAAGGAAGACCTTGAACCAGTCGGCGGCGACGAGCGACCTGTTGCGCAGCGAGAAGAGCATCGAGACGTATGCGGATCGCCAGAACATGAAGGTGACGACACCGCCCGAGGCGATCTGGTTGTTGCCGAGCAGAGGAATATCGGCGATGGCCTTTTCGGAGCCAATGTAGGCGAGCGAGCCCTGGTGCGAGTACTTGAACGGACGGATCTTGGCAGCCTTCTCGATCTGGCGCTCGACGCCGCTCAGCTCCGAGGCGTCGGCACCGGCCTTCTTGGCGGCAGCGAGCTTGTCCTCGAGCACCTGCAGGCGAGCGAGCTGGTTGAAGACACGCGCAAGGTAGGCGCCCTGCTGCGACGCCGCCTGGGCGGTGGGGGCGAACTGCGTGGCGGTAGCATCGCCCAGCGCAAACACCGAGTCCTCGGCACCCTTGAGGCGCATGTGGTCGTCGACCTCGAGGCCTCGGCGGTTCTTCTGGTGCTCAGGCAGCGCGGCCATGAGCTGGCGCGTCAGCGGTCGCGCCGTGTTGCCGGCAGCCCAGACAAGCAGGCCGTATGGGATCTTCTTCTCCTCTCCCGATGGCGTCTTAACGAGCACGTCGCGCTCGTCGACGTCCTTGACCATGTGCTTGGTGAGGATGTCGATCGAGTTCTCCTTGAACGTCGATTCGGTGTACTTGATGAGCGTCTGCGAGAACATGGGCAGGATGTTGGGCAGCGCCTCGACCAGCGTCACGCGCAGCTTGTTGGCCACCTCGGGGTACCAGCGGATGAGATCCGACTCGACAAAGTCGCGCAGCTCCGCAGCGTACTCGATACCCGTGGGACCGCCGCCGACGACGACCATGTGGAGCAGACGGTCGATCTCCTCCTCGGACTGGCCCTTGATCGCGGCGCTCTCGACGCAGTCGATCAGACGCGCACGGATCTTCTCGGCGTCGCTGAGCTCCTTGAGGAAGCAGGCGTGCTTCTTGACGCCCTCGATGCCGAAGGTCTGGTTCTCGGTGCCGACCGAGTAGACGAGGTAGTCGTAGGGGATGGTGACCTTGGAGACGGAGCCCTTGACTTCGCTCCTGTCCTCAAAGGTGACGGTCTTGTTGATGGGGTCGACGTATTCGCAGTCGGCCTCGTACACCTTGACCTCGCGCGTCTTGAAGCGCGTCGTGTGGCGGGTAGGCTGAACGATGCTGCGGCCGTCGAGCGTGCCGACGGTAACGGAAGGAAGCAGAGGCGTGAAGAGGAAGTAGTTGTGCGGCGAAATGACCACGACATTGTACTCTTCGGTGTCGATGTTCTTCAGCAGCGAGGTCGCTCCCCAGCCGCTTCCGAGCACAACGATGGTCTTCTTGGTGGGATCTTGAGGCAGCTGATCGGGCGGGTGTCGGCCCTGGTAGACAAAGTAGGCGTAGGTTCCCAGACTGCCGATGGCAAGGACGTAAAAGGTGCGCTTGAGGCCGCGGAAGAAGCCGCCTCGCTTCTTGCCGCCGTTATTTGGCGGTGGCAGTTGCGCCTGAACCTCGGCCTGGGCGGCCGGAGCTACGGCGGCCGTCTTGTCGTTCCTCCACGAACGGCTTCGGAAGATTCCACGGATCTGCTGCTGGTCTCGAAGCAGGCGCGAGACGGGCGCAACAGACGCAGCCGCGGCGGCGCTGGTGGATGGCATACCGAGCCTCGAGGCGCGCAGCGCCATGGACGGCGACGCTACGGCTCGAAGCGAGCCTGCTCGGATTGCAGGGGACATCATCATCCTTCCGAGTGGATGAGATCTGGTTTGAGGAGAAAGAGAAAGAGTGGTGGTGGTGGTAGATACAAGCAAGAAGGAAAGAGATGAGAGACAGATAGGGCCCTCGAGAGGACAATGATTGCGGCCGGCGCGAGCACGTTGCTAATCAGCTGCGGGTGTTGCTTGCTCGTCAAAGGATGGATGGGTGGGCATTCAGTCATGCCACGGGCGCTCTCACCACCTCACCGTGTTGCACAGCGCCCTCGGCCCTGCAGAAGATCCGACGTGACTGTGCCCTGTGCTATCTTTTTTTTTTCTTTCTCCTGTCGCCTGAGCCGCGCGAGGCGCGAAGAAACTCCTGTGTGTGCTTGTGCGCCGCCGAGATAGGATCGGTGCGTTGCGCAGTGCTGCCTGCATTTGGTCGCCTGGCCCGGGCTGGCAGGAAGATGACGAGCTCGTGACAATTCTGCATGGCCGCGTTTCGAGCGAACCCTGACCGAAATTCGGCAATCTGGTTGCCCTACGGGCTCCAGGGCCACCGCGTGGGAAGCCTTGGAATTTCGTCGAGCACTGCATCGAGCGAGATTCGTCCCTTTTTTTTTTTGGTTTGAGACGCGCACCGTCGCGCCCGCAACCGAAAAAGAAATACTCCGATGCTGCTGTAGCAGCGGCAAAGGCCCGCTCCTGCGCAGGCGAGGAGAGGGACCGGACCGCATCAGCCATTCAGGGCGCTGTGCCCGATCTCGTCTCGATCTGCACGCGCGCACCTGCCAAAGCCCACTCAATTTGGTGCCGACACATTTGCAGCGGGAGACTCCCACATGCTGTCGGAAGATCGGCTGCTCCCACCATCTGCTGTGCCACACCGCGTCGTGTGGGAGCGCCCTGTGCTAGCGCTCGGACTTCGGACGGTCGGCAAAGTGCTCAAGTCTGTCCAGCTGGATTCAAGCCACGGAGCCAGCCCTGGCGGCATTGGCTACAGAGGCGCGGCAGCTTCGCTGTTCCTCGGCACCCTCCTACCACACTCTCATTTGGCTCAATCGAGCCTCGTACGTGCAGCTGACAATGCCGAGGTGCTCGAGTATGGACAACATCAAAGGATGATTCGCTCTCGTTCGTCGTGCGACGGAAATTTTGGTGATGCCGCTTATCGATCCAAAAATTCCAAGATAAAAAAAAAAAAAAAAAGATATCCTGGCTGGCGGTCTCTGCTGCTGTCGGCGCTCAAGAATGCTTTGGCGGGCCGCACCAATTTTGCAGGAAGCGTTCCACCGTAGTTTGGCCGTGCAGACCACCTCAACCTGATGGTTCATTGCGGCACGGCGAACTCGTCCGTCCGGGTTCCGTTCGCCCAGCTGGCGGCGTCCAGACTGGCCCTCCTTTGTGGTCGCCGGTCGACAGAGATTGCCGATGAAGTGGAGATCTTTTGCGCACTCGAATGCCGTACAACGGTGGACCCTGACAGAAGGGTCGAAGAACCTTTGCGCCGCTTCACGGATGTGTGCAAGGACGTCCCCGCATCGACGGCGGGTGAATGCCGCCTCAGGTCATCGGTACGCCGGGCCGTTGTTCAACGCGAATGAATGAGGTTCCATTTCCGGCCCAGACGTCCAGCGGTGAAAAGGCGGAGGCGGCACCGGACCGCGATCCGTCGATGAGTGGAACGGGCCTGTCGCGGTCCGAATCGTCGTGTTCGCCTTGCGCGAGATTGCCGTGCTCGTTCCAGCCCCAGCCCCACACTTCCTTCGTACGAGCATACGGGAAGTCAAGGGTGGCGTACATATCGCGCATCACGAGCACCAGCGTATGCTCGCTGCCAGACACCATCTTGGAGATCCGCAATTCATCGGTTTGGGGAAAGCGCCCGTACAAGGCATTTCCTTCGGCCAAGGCCGGCCTGTGTCTCAAGACAGTCTCGACGTCGACAAGTTTGAGCCCGTAGTCGCCAGCTATCGGCTCTCGCGTTCCGTCACCGAGTTGGCCTTTGCTGTTGCTTCCACAGCAGGCCACCGCTTGCATGATGCGCTCGCAATGAGTGTCAGTGGTCGCCTCGAAGAGCACGTGGCTGCATGTCCAATTGCAAGACACATTGAGCATGCCGTTCTGGAATCCACCAAGAGAGTCCAGTTCGACGGATTGGAGAGCCTGGCCCTTTTCATTGGATCCGAAGTCGATGGTTCGCACCGTCCTTTCATGATGAAAGTGTTCGGTAAGCAAGATGATCGAATGATCTCTTCCTGCCGCCAGGTCGAAAGAGTGCCATAACGGTCCGCCTTCCTCAGCACTCCACATGCGCTGCGGCTCCCAGGCTATCTTGCGAGCATACGCACGTCGCTTCTTGTCGGGCGGACCGGCTGTCGATGTTCGTTTGATCGCGTTGCCGACTTGGGAGTGGCGTGCACAGCCCCAACCTGCCACGATCGCGTGCGTCGTTTCGTAGTCTGCATTTGAGTACTTCAGGGCAACGATTGCATGCCGCAGACCTGCAGCAATGCCTTCGACCTCTAGATATCCGTCTGCGTCAAGTCCGACCTGCTCGAACAAGCACTCGAGGCGTACCCGATGCACGCATCGCTCCACGCCCTCTGTCGGTGCTCCCGCATCCGTGTCAACTGGGGCTGGGCGACCGAGCTCGCCGAAGTGGTTCTCCCGATGAAAGCCGAGCGAGATCACCTCGCTCTGATTTGATGTTGCAGTAGCTGTCGCCAGGACGACGTAGCTGCAGGTCCAACCACACTGGACGAAGATGGGTTCAACGTCTTTCCCCGAAAACGCCTTGCGGTCTTCCTCCGGAAGGGAAGCCAGACATTCGGCCAAATCCAGGCGGATGAACACTTTTGGCTTGCTTGCTCCCTTCGCAGCATAAGCAGGCCCGAGCTGGCCCTGTTCGCCTGTGCCGCACGCCCAGACCTCGGCGAGTCCGCTGTGACCAGACAGCGTCTCGGTCCAATCCACCGGTCGCAGCAAAGCCAGAGTGTGATTGGCGCCGGATGATACGGAAGCTACAGTGAAGCCCTGCGGGGGGAACGTGCCGATCAGCGGTTTGCCGTCCGGTCCTTTGGCATCGAGTTGGCAGCGCGCTTCTTGCAGCGTCCGTACATCGTCCTTGTGGCCCACACCGAGCTGGAAACCCGAGTTGCTGCCGGCAACGAGCAGTTTTTCTGTCATCCTGCCTTTGAGTGCTCGTGAGCCGTTGTCATACCGGCGGTCGCCTCTGTTGCATGTGTGTCTCGCTTGTTTGCGTAGTGATGGTGGACAGGATTACAGATGCTACTGCCGGCACAAGTTGTGGCATTACCCTGAAGCGCCGCACGGACGCGCGCCGCGATTCGAAATGTTAGAGTTCAGAATCGCGGCCCTGCCCACATCTTCTTGCATGCTCTATTGCTCTTGCTTGCTTCTCGCTCCACTCCCCCGACACGACGCCACATCCAGACTTGGTCCAGCCTTCGCCGATGCACTGCCTTTCCATAGAAGGCGTGTAAGAGATCCCGAGAAGTTGCAATTAATTCGACATGGTAGAGAGGATATCTAGAAGTACAGATGGTATCGGGGACAAACACGCTCAAAGGCTCGGTCTGTTCAGAGGGCCAGATCGTGCTTGCCAAACTCGAGGTTACGAGTCACCAGTCGCAGCCAGTCGAGCGAGCCGCGCCGGGGCGTGAGCGGATGCATGAGCGAAGGTCGTGGCCGACTGGCGCCCAGCATCGACTCGACGTCCCATTCCTCCTTGGCATTCACCACATGCGCATCGTCCGGCGCTATGTGGGGAGGAGGATCGACGAGGACCTCCCAGGCCTTCTTACCGTCAACGTCGTAGGAAGTGAACGGTAAGGTGCGGTAGCCTCCCTTGAGCTTGATGGGCATCATGCGCTTCGAGTTGGGAAGCAAAACGAACGGCTCTTGCCAGCCATGGCCGGTTGTTGACCGGCACGAGACATCGTCTTCCTGCACGGTGTAGGGGTACTCGTTTCCGAGAGCCGCAATATCCGAGCTCGGCGCTTGCTCTGCCGGAGCGAGATCGTATTCGCCGCCGATATCAAAGCCGGGAGCATCACCGACTTCGTTCGAACAGACGTGGTAGACGGCAACCGCGAATGGAAGGGGTGCCAGGGCAACCAATTGTTGTACAATGTCGTCCCAGAAGGAACGGGGGTAGAGGCAGGGCAGCCCTGTCGAGCTCGCCTTGGACACAAAGTGGAGCGGAGCACCCGTGTGGAAGTCGCGATCGGCGACGTAGACCTCGACGAGCTCGACCTGCGGGAGGAGGCGCGATACCATGCCGACGACACCCATGGCGATGCGTGTGCCTATGCGGTCATTCTGATAGTTTTTGCTGCATCTGGCGGAGAGGATCTTTTGGCGCGGAAGTTGATTGAGAATCATGCGGCGTAAGAAGCCTTTGGGCAGCTTATGGACACTGGGAAGGCGTGCGAGCATCCTAAGATCGTACAGCATGCGACCTGCCGACCTGGCATCGGTTGCGATGAGGTCGGAGCGCTCGATGCCGCGCGCATCTGGGTTGGCGCGAAAGTGGAGCGGCTTGAAGACCGACTCGACGAGCTCCTCGAATGCGCGAAGGTCCGAGTCGTGCCAGCGCAAGCGAGCCAATGCGCCTGGCGGTACGGAGAGGAGATAGGTGTCGTCCGGATCGCGGTGGCGCTGCAGATTGCGAAGGTAGAGGAGGTTGTGGCAATGGGTCAGGATGGCGAGATACTGTTCCTGGTTGGCGATGCCGACCTCCTCCCTGCTGATGGCGAAGTCGAGCGCTCGCACCGTGTTGGCGAGCCAACGGTTGTTGGAGATGGTATCGCAGAAGCTTTGGATGCGTAGAGCGCCGCGTTCATCGGCGTCGTGCGGTGACAGGGAGACGCAGCTGTAGAGAGAGACGACGGCGCGGCGATACCAGGCACGGTCCACCAAGCACCAGTTGTACAGCGTGGGTGCAGGGACCAGCCAGCAGGTGCTCTCGACGATCAGAAGCGAGAGCTCTCGCGGCAGACGACGCCACGTAGAAGCAAGCAGATCGGAGCTGCATACGGGCCAATCGACAGGATGGCGCCAGTGCCCGTAGCTCATTGTGTCAGCTCGCTCGATGTCATAAGAACAAGCCTGGCGAGTTTGGTCGAAGCATGGTAGGCAGCGAGGTATGGTGGAGGAAAGAGGGCAAGAGCGATGTGGTGTAAGAGGGCAAGCCAAACAAAGACGGTGCGGCAAAACCAGCGCAGCTGCAAGGGGTATCGCGTATATCGCTCGCAGCGAAAGGCGTCTACAATTGAAGGTGCCACCGGTGACCTGCTTCTGAGCCCTTCTCTGGCCGGCAAAACTAAGACGGCGATCCTGCCGAGCGCAGCGGCGGCAGCGAGCGGGGGCAGGGATGGCGTGCGCATTTAGACGGTGTACAGAGCATCCCGTTGGTCCGTCTGCAGCGTGACAGGGCGGCCAATGCATCAGAGATGCGGGAAGAGTTTTGGGTCACTCCCAGCTGGTGTACGTACGAGGCGTTTGGCGCACGCGCGATGCAAGCTGGGAGAGTTTTGCACGTTTTGGCGAGCAGCGCCGTCTCATCTTGCGGTTTGTGCTGGCCCGGGCTTGCTCATGCACTTCATACTCTGTACGCAGCCCCGCTCGGCTAGGGTCACAAAGAACAAGCGAGCCAGCCGCTCTTACACGCGCGTTGCCAGTGGAGCCGCCAGCTCATTTGTTTGAGTGGGACCGCTAAATGAAAGCGGTGGCCGCATGTCCAGGACTGCCGCTTCCCAAATTCTACCAGGCGGGTCCATGGCTCACCGTAGAGTCACCTGAAGATAACTTAGGCTTCGAAGATAAAAGCTTGTCGGCGGCAATATGCACGGCTCTGCATGTGGCTCAAAAGTGGGTTTTTTGAGCACACTCTGAGACAAGGGTCTGGCGCCGCCGTGTCTCTGCTTTGGACGCCGATTAGAGAAAGTGAGTTGGGGCATCGGGGATCGGCTCTCAAACCCATCGGCGGCACCTTTTGGCGCCATTCGCCCCGCTTCGCACGCACCAAAAGCTGGAGGACCGCCAAGCCTCCACTCGACTCAGGTGTCCATCAATGCTAAGGATATGAAGTTCCGCTTCCTACTCTTGCACCACCATATGCACAGAGACGCCGCCCAGATCTCTGGCCGTTCATCATGACAGCGCCCGAGACCGGGGCCTTGCCGAGGGGAGCCAATGTGATCAAGCTGAGCCAGCGAGATCTGCTCGACTATCGGGCGGTGCAGCGCACCTTTGATGGCGCCTATGCTCGCACTGCGCTCGGCCAGCTCTGCTATGCCATCGTCATTCTGCGTCTCTTCCAGCCCAAGTTCTTCTATGTCGGTGAGTGCTTCCCCCGCAGTCACGACGAAGGGCTCCACACCTGACACTCTGGTCCGTGCACAGGCCTCGTCTATGCCATCCTCGGCATTGGTTTCATTCCCGTTGCCATCTTCCGGTACCAGATGGCGGTCAGCAACACCAATCGCTTCGTCGCATTGCAGGTTGTCGACGGCCATCCATCTGATGCAGTAGAGCATGCTCCGCCTGCCGCCTCCGACCCAACGGAATCAAATGCCGCGACGCTCACTGCTCCGCATCCTGTCGACTCTGTGTCTCAACCCGAGACACCAGGATCGGCTCCACTCGCATCTCGCACGGTGCTCCGAGAGAGCTTCGTGACGGCAGGCTCAGTCGTGGCAGGGGCCACCGTCTTTGTAGGTCTGGCGGAGGTGGCACTGCTGGTCCTCATTCTGCGTGTGTAGATGGTGTAGAGGCAATCAAGATTCACAACACCCAGCAAGAGCCTTTGGATCCTTGCAACTTGGTTCTCCATTCACGAGCGAAGCGATTTCACGGTGAAGTCCCACAGAGCTTCGAGGTTCTCCTCTGGCTCGAGCTGGTCCCACAGATGGTCACGTCCCGGCACCTCATCGTAGATGACGGATTCGCCGATCTCTTTGAGAGCGTTGTTGAGCCGGCGTGCATGATCAACGTCGACGGCGGAATCCTTCTCGCCGTGAACGATGTAGACGGGCGGGAATCGACGGCGCTGTTCTTTGGAGCTGGCCTTGAGGAAGGTCTCGACGTCTGTCTTTTGCAGCCATCCCTGATCGCGCTGCTCCTGGGAGAAGAGAAGCGAAGGGAAGAGACCCTCTTGCTGCGCGTGCATGTAGAACTTCTTGCGATGCTCAACGGCGGCCGTGTTGGCCGTCACCGGGGCATTTGGATCGCGGAACTCGGCAAACGTGGCGGGATCATCGCCAAGACGACCACCAAATGGAGTCTGCTTTTCGAGGAAGAAAGGGTGGTCCATGGTGATGATCGGATAGATGGCGGCGATGCCCTTGACGCGCTGCAGGTGTTCGGCCTTGCTGTTCGGACACATGCCGAGGCCGACCATGAGACACTGCCATCCGCCGGCACTCGAGCCGCTCAGTACGATGCGACTCGTGTCGAGCTTGGCAGCATCTCCCTTAGCAGCAAGCTCTTGAGGAAGCTTGTCTACGACGTATGCGAGGCAATCCTCCATATCGTGCTGGATGTCGGGTACGCGTGTCTGCGGGGCCAGTCGATAGTCGGTCGAGACCACAGCGATGTTGAACTTATCGACGGCGCGCTTCAGATGAGGCGCCATAGCCTGTCTTGCGCCCTGGATCAGGCCGCCGCCGTGCCACCACACAAAGATGGGGAGCGGCTCGGACGTGACGGCATCCGGAAGGCAGAGGTCGAGGAGCACGGGCACCTCGCGCTTGGCGAATTCGAAAGTGATGGTCCGCATACCAGGGAATGCTCTTGAGCAAGAAAGTGTGGATGCAGCAGGTTGTGGTGGTGATAGCGGCACAAACCGAGCGGCTGGCTGATATATGGCGAGCACGGCTATCACCTCCTCGAGCGTCTCGGAGGCTGGTCCGGCAATCGCCCGCGGCTGTCCAGTTTGACCTTCTCCTTCTGATAGCCGAAGGCGAGTGTTGCTGTCGCTAGGAAAGCACCCGCGGGCGGAAAATTCTATAGTTGTTAGATCGATGTGGGCGATCCACTTCGCCGGTGCCACGAGCCGAACACGTAGAGTGCAACACACCCACGCACGGGGCAGCCCCGATTTCCGATCTAGGCCTCAACGTGTGCTGCATCCAACTTGCCGCCTCGCGAAGGTGTTGATCTTGTCTTCCTCTCCCCACCCGCTCGCTGCTTTCCCGCCCACTCCCAACACTGCAGCCGGTATTGTGCACGCAGCGATCATGCCGTCCATCCAGTCCTCATCCGCCGGCCTTCTGGGCAGCTTGTTCGAACGCGCCCAGGATGCCATCTTTGCGCTCTCGTCGTGTCTGCCGTGCACGCCCGAGACCTCGGTGCTGAAGCTTAACGGCCGCAACTTTCAGATCGTCAAGTTGCTCGGCGAGGGTGGCTTCAGCTTCGTCTATCTTGTCAAAGACCAGGCTTCGGGACGCCTGTTTGCGCTCAAGAAGATCCGATGCTCGGGATACGGCGCCGACTCGTTTCAAGAGGCCATGAAGGAGATCGAGGCCACCAAACGCTTTCGATCGCCTCACATCATCCCCATCTACGACAGCTGTGTGGTCCAGGATGATGCCGGATCGGGTACGCTCTTCGGCAACCTGCCCTCGAACGATCCAGATGGAGCCGGTGGCCGTGGCTCGGACGGAGGCAAGGTGATTTACCTCTTCCTTCCTTTCTACGAAAAGGGAAACTTGCAGGATGTGATCAATGCGCACGTTGTACGTGGAACACGCTTCGGAGAGCGCGAAATGCTCAACTACTTCCTCGGAACCTGCAAGGCAGTGCGAGAGATGCACCACTACCGCCTGCCGAACGTCGGCGCGACGCGCGGCGGTGCAGGCTCCTCGACAATACCGCGCATGGAGGTGACTCCGCCGCAGGATCCTTTCTCCGACTCCCATGCTACCGACACTCAAGCAGATCAAGCACCCCTCATCTCTGGCGAGCAGCAGCCGGAAGATGCCGATGATGACAACGCATCGTACCCGCCCAAACCCAACAAGGGCAAGGGCCGCGACTTTGGGCTCGACTCGGCGGGCGATGCAACAGACGGCGGCGCAGAGCAGGGAGGCGCAGGCGGGCTTTTGCCGTACGCGCATCGCGACATCAAGCCAGGCAACGTGATGGTCGCCGATGACGGCCAGACGCCAATCCTGATGGACTTTGGAAGCACAATCAAGGCGCGTGTACACATCAAGACGCGCAAAGAGGCGGTGGCACATCAGGATCTCGCGGCGGAGCGATCGTCGATGCCGTACCGTGCGCCGGAGCTGTTTGACGTGCCGACGGATGTGACGCTGACCGAGGCGGTCGACATCTGGTCACTCGGATGCTTGCTGTACGCGCTTGCCTACCTGCACTCGCCGTTCGAGACGACGCAGACGGTGGAGCAGGGCGGCTCGATTGCACTGGCAGTGCTCAATGGCTCGTACAAGACGCCTCCGAGCTCGCAGGATCCGTACTCGGAGAAGACGCGCGAGATCATCAAGCGCTGCATCCAGGTCAAGCCAGAAGACCGTCCGGACATCGACCAGGTTATCGAGCTCACCCAAACTGCCTTGCGCGGGCTCGAGTGATGCGGTCGACGCGCACCCTCTCTCCGATGAGGCGCTCGCTCGCTCGCCCACGTGCCCCTCCGTCTTCGCATCCGTCCATCTAGATTCAGTATGCAAAGCACGTTTGCTTATTTCTGCGTTGGGACTGATATGCAGCCGCTGTGTCGTCCGAAGGTGGAAAGCTTGATGAGCGCCGCTGTTCGGCTCAATGTGAGGACTGAATCCGAATTCATGCCAGATCGTCGGGACGATTTGATCGCGCGATACTTATCGGCCGCTATGAGGGTATATGAACTCAACATTTGCCCCAGCTAACATCTAAGGCACTCTGCCCGAGTGGTTAAGGGGTAAGTCTCGAATACAATATTCGACCGTCCATCACGACGGGTTAACTTATAGGCTCTGCCTGCGTCGGTTCAAATCCGACGGGTGTCGACAATTGTGGATTTCTTTTTGCCTTTTTTGCCCTCTTTTTTTCCGAGACCAGCTTTTGCTAGTTCTTTCCCAAGGGTTGCGGGCACTAATGATAGTAGAAGGGCTTGTTCAGACAAGGCGTCGGTTGAGATGGCAGAGGGATCGATAGGACCAGCATCCCTGTTCGTCTTGGGAATGACGCCGAGCTGCGTGACGGGTGCAAAATGCTTTAGCTTTTTTGTCTGAGCCGACGCAAAAAAGAGCAACAGAAAATGAGGTCATGTAATGAGGTCGTTTAATCCACTCGCATGTTCTGGTTTCGATCTTGCCAGGCACTGATGAAGTTGCAGTATACGGTACTCGCCCACGACAATGGGCGAATGAAGCCCGCGCATCTGCAAACAACGTTGCGGCGCAAGAAGACAGACGGATGCCACGAGTGGCTAGCCGATGTGCGGGGTATGCTTCATTCGAGACCACGAGAGCGCGATCTAGGAACAGGGCCAAGGTAGCTCGTGGCCTGCAAGGCACGCATCTAAATTAGCGTGATCAGGTGTCAGAGCAAACGGCACGGGACCACAAACTTGTCTCGCAATGGTGAAGGGGTGCGGCAAAGGACACGAAAGGGTCAGCAAAGTACTGTAGTGTAACCACAGACATGGACCGAGTCGGCACGGGAGCTGGGCCGGGCGGGGCAATCAGCAAAGGGCCGCGGAGCATATTGTTGGCACACGAGCCTCCGGGGGAAGCCAGCAGATCCTCGACCGCCGCCGCTGCCGCCAGTGTCGTCCAAGTGCCAGACGCGCTCGGCGGAGTGAGACGGCCGTTTTTCATTCGTCCGCCCGCTCCATCCCCGGCGGCCGGCTGTGGAGCTCCGCACGTTGTTGACTATTTTTTCGATCTCAGCTGGTGCTCCCGCAGAGCTTGACTCGACTCGCTTGTTCCATACCGACTTGCTAGATGTGAGAACTCACTGTACCTCCAGGCACCTCGTCAGGGTCCGGATCAACCAATGCCCCCACACCAAAGCTGATCTGGCTACCCGCCGCCATGCGACACCTGCAGGAGAGAGAAAAAAACAGGGAAACAAACCAACCGGCATGGCAGAGACGTCTGCCGGTCGCTTCGGTCGCTTTCTTTGCCGGTCTCGAAACCATTGTGAGCCGTCCGTGTGCCATAGACGCACCTGGCGGATCTTTCCTTGCCCTACCTCCTCCTGCACTGCGACGAGTGACACGCTGTGGCGATGACTCTGCTCGGTGACACACGCGGCCTCACCGTCACAGTCCCCTCATTGCCGCCCCTCGTCAAGCCGCATTCGCTGCACCGCGCGCTCCGAGGCGTGCCAAGCTTGACGCCTCAATCGCTGCGCATCTCATGCAGCCGCAACAAGCGTGCCGAAGCTCGAGAGCCAACTTTGCGGAGTAAGCTCGCTCGCGCAAGTCCGAGTCATGGAGGAGAAAGGCAGGGGTATCGACATGCACGAGCTCCCTTCTGAACGACAACTGGGGACGATCAGTGGGTTGCAGTGCCACCAGCTCCGCCACTCCGCACAGGCTACAGTAGCATGGCTGCACATCGGCGATGGAGACTGTCGAGGCAGAAAGGCAGAAGAGGCTGCGGGGCGGATTTGGGTTTGCCAGCCACACAGCGGAATGGTGGCGAGCGACGTCGGGTGGATAGCCGTAGGCTCTCGCATCCGCCGGGCTGCTGAGCTGGATTTTGGGAGGCCGTCTTTTCCTCCGAGGCCGCTGTTTTGGGAGGCGGGGGCGGCGGCGGAAGGGCCGTCTCAACCGCGCGCGCTCGCCGTTTTTTCGCCGACCCCACGGTTGGCAGACTCCGACAGGGCCGAACAAAGCAAGCCACGGCGAGCTCCGAGCCCCTCGCTCTCGCTGCACCGCCAATGTCAGCCAGATTCGGCAATGTTGGGCAGCTCGGCCCTCTCGCCCTCGCCCATCCCTGCTGCTGTGCTCCATCTGCATGCACAAATCATGCTCGCTTCGGCGCACCGTTGTACTGTACTGTCCCGTACGACCGTTGCTGGTCGGCCTGCATTGTTCGGTAATCATCTTTGCGAAGGAAAAACCATCGTGACACGCCTCTGCATACTGTAACCTTCTCTGCTGCCCTCCGTCCTCGAAACTCAGGCACCGCGTTGTGGCCCAGCATGCGCTTACAGTACTACCGCCCCGTGATGCTCATGTACCCCACTCAGGCAAACGCTGCAGGGTACCCTTGGCTGCATCTGCACGAGCTACCCCGCACCGGCCACGAACGCGGGGTGCCTCGCTCCGTCGTCCAGCTTCATCCTCGTCTCGACTGTTGCCACGCCACCACGCGCACGCCGGAGCAGGTGCACGCGGCACTTGTCGAGCCATCTGGCTGCACAGCAGCATCAAGCTCGACATGGAGACCCTCAACCAACCTCTGCTGCCGTGCCGTTGGTGAGCTCCAATCTGCCCCCACATCACGCGCGTTCCCACGAGATGAGCATCCCGCCTGTCCCACCTGGCACTGTCCACCGAAAAAGGCAAGCGACCTGCACGACAAGACTTGGCACAGTTATTTCGTGCTGCCTGCCCCTTCCCCTGGGCTCCTCTTGGGTCCAAAGGTATGTCCACGCAGACATATAAGATGGGGCTCATCCAACCCGACCAATCGTAACGCCCCGTCTTCCCCTCCGCTCCACCAGTCGTGACCAGGTCGAGCTCTCCTCCCTTCCTCATCCGCACCACCTCCTCACTCCACCCGTCGGCACCAAGCCATCGGTCTACAACCATGTCGCAGCCAGCTCAGACGCCAAGCTACATCCCCGCCGACCAGCTCCAGCACGATGTGAGCGACAAAGACGCCGGCAGCAACTCGAGCCACCACTTCCAGCGCGCCCACCGCAAGAATGGCGAGCTCGAGCTCGGTGTCACCGAGATTCTCGAGGGCCGCACCGACGTCCAGCGCCAGGTTGCGCATTCGTCCGGTCTCGCCGACTGGTCGGGTCGAGTCAAGCTTGAGCAGGCCATGCCCAAGCTCATCCCCGCTCTCATCGCCGAGTTCTTTGGCGTGCTCTTCTACTCGCTCGCCGGCGAAATGGCCACGGCCGGTTTCCTCATCACGACTTACGCAGGCACACCCATGGGTAACCTCACCATGATCGGTTTCGCCTATGCGTTTGGTATCACATTTGCTATCGTTGTCTGCGCCACCACGTCCGGTGGTCAGTTCCACCCCGGTTTCACCGTCGCCCAGGTCGTCTTCAAGGGTTTCCCCATCAAGCTCGCTCCGCTGTACATTGCCGCCCAGATCCTCGGCGGTATGGCCGCTTCGCTCATCGTCATGGGCTCGTGGCACGACGAGCTCATGAAGATTACCCACCTCCTCGAGGCTACTGGCAAGGCGGCTACCATCTTCACTGCCGAGGGTCCCGCAGGTGCCATCGCGCTCTTCCCCACCCCGGGCAGGTCGATGGGCTCCATCTTTGTCAACGAGTTCTTCGCCGACGTGCTCGTCGCCATGCTTGTTTGGGCCAACCTTGACGCCTCGAACCCCTTCACTGGCCCTCAGGTCGCCCCGTACACCATCGGTCTTGGTTTTGCCATGGTGGTTTGGTGCTTCTCGTCGTCCAACATTGCTGCGAACTCGGCGCGTGACCTGGGTGCGCGCTTTGTGTGCGGCATGTTCTGGGGTGACCAGTGCTTCCCTGCTGGCTACTCGGCGCTCGCTGCTCTCACCAACATCCCCGCCACGCTTGTCGGTTGCGGCATCTACACCTTCTTCCTCTCGGACACCCGCCGCCCCCCCGCGACGGTGGCTCTCAACCACATGCACGAGGAGCACGTGCGCTCCATCGAGCGCGCCGAGACCCTGCACGCCGAGATGCTCGACCAGAAGATCGCCCAGACCATCAGCCGCGGCGGCGACGCCACCGCGCTCCAGAAGAAGCGCACCAACCTCAGCGTCAAGAACTTCTGATCACTCTGTCCTGTGTAATCTCAAGCGCATCCAGACCTTGTGTCGGGTCGCGCACTCGCTACACTTGTCTGTACTCTTTTCGTCACGATTTGTCTGCAATGTCACGGGAAGTCATGCGTCGTTCCAAATGTTCGTTGGTGAATGCGGCAAGCTGAGGTCTCACCACTCGACCTGGTCGCGCGCGGCCTGGCTCACGCGGCGCAGCACTGACTCTTCCTCATCGAGCAGCTGCCTGACAAAGGCGAGGGAGAGCACGCAGCCTTGCATGTCTGGTTCGATGCATGGGGTTCTTGTGGTTGATGTCACTCGGCTTTCTGCTTCCGAGGCGCCGTCGAGGATGCTTTGCGCCTCGGCCAGGTGTCGGCGAGCCTCTTCGGTATGCGCCCGACGAGCTTCGCACAGCTCGACAAGCAGGACGTGAGCACGCTGCTCGTTCTCCTCCGACACATTTTCTCGATAGCCGGTCAGCGTTTCCTCCCACTTGTCAAGGTCCGACGAGTCTTTGGTGCTGAGGTGTGGCGAATACGAGGCCTTTTTGCCAGCCTTGACGCCGGGATGCGACTTGACCTTTGCGACCTTGTAGCTCTGCGATGGATGCGACGCGGGTGGGTGCATGTCGAGTGCCGCGAGTCGGAGCGCGGGAATGAGGCGATGCGAGGGATGGGCCGGCTCTGGATAAGGGTGGATGGTGAAATCGCCCCAGTAGCCTCGATTTTGTAGCAGCTCGATCTTGTCCTGGCCGCTGCTGCCTTGGGCTGCAAGAATCGCTTCGACCTCCTGATCCATGAGAACGTCCACGTATCGGCTGCCCCGCCAGCGGCCCTCACTTTGCGAAGGCGCTTCGGCAGCGTCATCACGGTAATGTAGCCGTGGTGACAGCACAAAGCCGTATTCCGAGAGGAGCTTCTCGTTGGAATGCGGACCGTAGGTGATGAAGCACTCGTCTCCAGGCATCATTGTAGCTGCACTGGAGCCGGACTGGGACTCTCGCGAATGGCTGGGTGCGCAGAGCTCGAGACCGCCATTTGTGGCATAGCGCACCTTGCACTCGAGCGCTGGGTCGGGCGTGTGGTTGGCCATGTCGAGCACGGGCGCGAGCGTGAAGTTGTCGGCATGATCGGCGAGGCCGAGCGGGAGAAAGACGCAGCGCGAGTTGACGCAGAGCCAGGCCCAGAGAAACAAATCGACGTCGATCGAGCGCACGATTCGACGGGCGAGTTCCGGGTTGGAAGAGAGCAGCGCTGGTTCGGCTAGCAGGTCGATATTCGAGTCTCGCAGCTGGCACAGACGGGACCAGTCCTGCTCGAATCGTCTTCGAACGTTGCACTCAAGTGCCTGGCTGTGGCGCGGGAGTGCCTCGAGAAGCGATCGGAAGAACCGACGTTTCCACGAAGCGTCTTTGCTGCCTTGGCCGTTGGAGACCTTCTGATCGATATGGTGAGCCTGGATAGACCAAACAAGCGGCACCGTTCCGAAATCGATGGGCAGGGTCTGGACGAAAAGCCGGAGCGCTTGGTGCTTTGGCGTTGCATGCTGGCCGTCTCGGCCATGTTGCTGGCTCACCGACTCGAGCTGCGCACGTGCGACCAGCAAAGACAGCAGTTGTGCTGACGAGAGTCGACTGTCGATCTTGACCGAGGGTCCTGCCACACTGACTGCAGCCGGGAGTGTCTCTGGATGAAAGAAGTCCGCGTAGCTTTTGACGTTGAGCAGCAAGTCGGCGGGCAGCGTGAGCAACACCTGCCCCGGCTTGACCGCCTTTGTGTAAACCAGTCCTCGACCCGCTGGCACTTGATCCGACACCCGGACTAGTACATCTCGCTGCGCTTGAGCCGATCGAGACGATTCCCCCGCATCACCCGCAGATGTGCAGCGCAGCGACAACAGCCGTGACAGCAGACGATTCTGCTCGGTCACGGCTCCGCTCTCTTCTTTCGTCATCGGTGCGCCTCACTTCCACAGTGTGTTTTTGATCACGGCACGAAGATGCACTGCGGTGACTCGCTAAGCAGCGTCCATCCCCGTCCCGACGTCAGCTTCGCTCGGCTGCAGGCGCGGGTAGTTGTGCAGACGGAGATGGTGTTGGTGTGGTTGTTGGAGGAAGAAGAATTTCCAGACTTTCGAGATCCCGCGGCTTTTCAGGGTCTGACTCTCCGCGTAAAAGAGCGGACCACAGCGTTATTTCATCCGCACAGCCTACAGTAGTACTCTCCAGCTTTCTTCGAGGTGGGACGGCGGGTATATTGCGATCATACCAATCTCATCCACAAGCAAATGTCCAAAGTAGCCGCACCGACGACTATTCTATATGATTGGAACCGCGGGCTGCCGCTGTAACGAGCGTGGCTCGAGAGATCTTCTGCCAGATCATGCAGGGCTGTGGTCGCTGCTGGAGGTGGCGGCCGAAGGCGTGGCTGTCGGCGCCATGCTCTCCTGCGAGAGCTCGGTGTTCGTCTTGGGCATCTTCTCGCCCGTGATCATGTCGGCCGCGTTGTAGCCCATGGCGCCCCGCTTGATGTCCTTGGGCAGATACCAGCCGGGATGGAATGGGATAAAGACGCCAATGGCGATCACAATCATGAGTGCATCGAGCACGTCAAAGTAGACCTCGGTGGTGGCCAGGTAGCCGACCCAGCCGTCGGCCATCTCGACGATACGGTAGATACATCGGATGAGCACAAAGAGTGTGCTGATTCCGATCACGCCATTGAAGATCTCCACCTTGGGGTACGGTCGCTCGTGCTTGGGGATGCCGGCTTTGGACCACTCGCGCAGACGGCGCAAGTTGTAGTCGAGGTAGAGAAGCAGGAACGGTGCCGTGACGGCCACCTGGATCGAGACACCGGCGATCATGATTGACTTGCCCAGATTGACGGCATCCTCGGTCTCTGCTTCCGCCGACAGCGCGCCGCCGACGGCTTGGACGACGAGAGAGCAGAAGTCGCCTGCGCAGAAGCCGAGGACGTACCACTTGCGCGGGATGCGCGACCACTTGGATCCGTAGACGTCCATGACGTTCTGAAGGGCGACGTAGTTGACCGCACTGATGAATGCTGGGCTGAGGATGAGGCAGATGATCTGGGCGATGTAGCCGTTGCGGTCGAAGGGGTCGTGATGTCCGTAGGTACGCGCGATCCAGCCTGCCAGCTCGCCCGCAGCGCCGACGATTGCGATGAACATGAAGCGCGGGAAGAGGCGGTGGTAGGCGAGCAGCCCACAGTGGACGATCATCTCGATGCCAAAGAGGCAGCAGAAGAGGATACCTGTCCACAGTGCTGGCTGGAAGCCATATGAAGAGTATGCGGCATTGCAAGGCGAGTCTGGGTTCGGGTCTACCGCAGTGCAGTTGGATTGCAGCATCTTTGCGGACTATCTCGTTGGATCGTGGTCTGATCGAGACAAACGGAGGTCGGCAAAGAACGAAGGGCTCCTGGATCGACAGCGCGGTGGCCTAGTAGCGTAAGGGTAAGGCAGTATGAGGAATAGGTTGGGAGGTGCACCTTCAGCGAGCAGGAAACATGAGATCTTTATACGCGATGAGAGGAGGACATGTGGGAAATGGCGACTTGGGGCCCGTTTCACTGGACCGACGGCTGAGGAGCGAGACTCAGGGCAATGCAAAGCCGAGGGGAACCCTGTACGACCACGGTACACTGGCGGGGCACGAGAGGCTTACATTGAGGTGTGGCAGTCCAGTGCGAGTGAAAGATCCGGGCGAATCGCACCCAACCTTGTCGCGGGGCTTTTCCGCTGCGGCTCCTTTGTGCATCACCCGCACATACACACAGAGGTGGACTGCTCATGCCGACGGTCGAGTCGTACAAGGCTGAGGCTATGACGGAAACTTTGTAGCCATGACGGCGCTTCGGGCCCTGTGGCGCCTCCACTCTCCGGGCTTCACGCTCTGGTCTCCACCCTTCTCCGACGGGGGAGAGCATAAGTTGGCGCTTATGCGCATCTCGAAGCATACCTTTCTAGTTGCACACCGTGGGGGAAGGGAGTCGTGACTGGCAAGCCATTGTTCAGCGGCGTAAGCGGAGTCAAGTTGGCCGTCCAAAGTGCGCGCTACCGTGACGGTACTGACGTCGAGTGCTCAGAGTTAGCCGCAAAAGCCCTCCGTTGTAAATAAAACGCCGACAAGCCAAGACAGTCAGCAACGGCCAAGTTTCCTCCGAAGTTCTTCAAAGGTCTCAGGCGGCGGAGACACCGCCTTTTTTTTTTTTTTTTTTTTTTTTTTTTTTTTTTTTTTTTTTTTTTTTTTTTTTTTTTTTTTTTCCCTTCTGCTCAGCACGTAATTCTCCGAGGATTCGGCTGCGCCCTGGCCTCGGCACAGGCCACGACCCTACCTCCCTTCCAAGTCCTCACATCGTCCTGTAGGCAATTGCGGGCACTGTGCAAGGATGGGGTCCACCTAGGTTGTGGGCTGTAGCATTGCATTGAACGCCTCAGTCAACCTCCAGCGTCACACTTGCCTTTTTGGATCTGGCGTAAAAAAATTGAACCAACGCGGCTCGAAATGTGCCCAGTTGGCTTGAGCCCACCACGTGAATTTATGCAGACGCACAGCTCGGAAGTCGCCGCTGCAACTCGAATCATATTTCCTCGGAAGTCGAGCTCCGTGAGCGTGTCGCTGTGATTCGACACCCGATGCCCGACGCCAAACGGATCTCGACGCACAGTCAAGCTGCTACGCTACGAGATCTCAGCCGCACAGACGAGCTGCAGGTCCGCATCGCAAAGCCGACGATCCTGCAAAGACACAGCGCTGCCAACATGGCTTCCGCGGACTTTCCGAAGCGACGTGAGGTCTTGGATCCACTTTGTGACAGCACAAATGCTTCTCGGAGCAAATGGTGGTGACCACACGACCGGACGGGTTACCGCCGCCCACATGGCTGAGCTGGCCCCTTGTCTCCGTGGCTGAGCACACAGCGTGGACGCGACTCGCTGCACCGCCTCGACCCCACCAGCGTCACGCTCCGCCATCCAGTCGCAGACGTGCACACACACGTCCTCCTCTTGATCTTGTGAAATTACAGCTCGTGCGTACTGTCCATTGCAAGACATGCTGTGATCCAACGTGCAGACAGGCAGTGCGAGACTCTGGACTCGTGTCGCAGACAGAGACAGCGCCGATCACGAACCATTCCAGGCCGCTTCCGTCATTGCACAGCGTGTCTCCAGACAACGGCAGGTGGGCCATTGCGAGGACATCAGCAGCTTCGCTATCGCCAGCTTGCTTGTGTCGGCCTGGGTCTCGGTCGAAAAAAAAAAGTGAATGTTACGTCGACAGAAGTGATTCTGCCGATCTTGCTCGACCACGTTTAGCGCCCTGTGGAGTTGTTGGTGTCATGCATGCAAATGCCGAGCGCACAATATGACGCAACGCAGATCCATGCATCGGCAGGGTCCTGGCCGCTGTGCAAACCAGCCCAGAAAGAGTCGCGACGAACCACGCAGATGCCCGCAGCATGAGGCATGGCGTGCTGCGCCATATCTCTGCACAAGCTGCCTCTTCCCCATCACCTCTGTCCGTTCCGAGACTCTTCGCAAGCTGCGCCTTCACTGTTGCCGTGCAAGCGTGATCGCATCGTCGCCTTATCTACTCTCTCACTGCAATCGTCGTGCTGCTTTCCGCTGCCATGTCGTCGGTCGACTCTTCGCAAGGACCACGAGTCCTTCTCACGGGTGTGTCGGGCTTCGTTGGCTCGCACGTCCTCGACCAGCTGCTCAAGTCGGACCGCAACTACCACGTCACCTGTGTGATTCGATCCAAGGTCAAGACCGAGCCCTGGCTCTCGAGCCAGTTTGCTGACGACTTTGGTCGTCGCATCGATGTGGTCGAAGTGTCGGATCTGCTGGCACCAGGAGCTCTCGATCAGGCTGTCGAGGGCAAGGACTATGTCGTCCACGTCGCCTCGCCCTACGTGCTCAAGGCTCAGAACAACAAGAAGGACATCATCGAGCCTGCCACCAACATGACGCGCAACGTGCTCGAGGCCGCGCTCAAGGCCGAAAAGGCCGCCATCCAAGCCGGCCGCAAGCCGCAACTCAAGCGCATCGTCGTCACCTCGTCCTTTGCCGCCATCCTCAATCCGCTCCGCGGCATCGAGAAGCGCGACTACACCTACACGGACAAGGACTGGCAGCCCATCACATCCACCTTCCTCAGCTCCTTCTACACGCCCCTCGCCTATCTCGTCTCCAAGACGCTCGCCGAAAAGTCGGTCTGGGCCTTCCTCGAGCAGCACAAGCCCAGCTTTGACGCTGCCACCGTCAATCCTCCGCAGATCTACGGTCCCATCATCCACCCGGTCGCCTCGGAGGAGGCCATCAACACTTCGTCCGCCGAGCCGTGGAAGCTGTACAAAGCCGGCGGACCCAATGGCGATGGCAAAGTGCCCCTCGAGGCCTTCTGGTCGTTCTGCGATGTGCGCGATGTGGCTCGCATCCATGTAGCCGCGCTCGACAATCCCAAGGCATCCAACACGCGCTACCTCGCCTGCGGCGGATCCGTATCGTGGCAGGAGGTGGCCGACGAGATTCACGACAACCCCGAATACCCACAGGCCTTGAAGGACCACATCCCCAAGGGCGAACATGGCGCAAAGCACCGCCCCACTCCTCTAGCTACGCTCGACACCAGCCGCGCTCAGAAGGATCTCGGCATCCAGTTCCGTGACTGGAAGGAGAGTGTCATCAAGGGCTCTCTCTACAGCTTTATGGACATCGAGAAGAGCTGGTCCAAATGAGTCCGCCTTTTAAGCGTGTCTGCCCGCCTCTTTCTGCGTTGACTTGTATCGAGACGACCCGTACGATCCCTCCTTAATACCCCTGGAATAGTAGCTTCACGTTGACTGTCACACTGGTGCCCAAGCCACATTGCGTGTGCCGACAGAATGTGATGAAGCAGTGACATTTTTTTTTCGTTTGGAGCTGAGTTTTGCAAGTGTCTTTCGTCAGGTCCTGCGTGCAAGGAATGCGAGCAAGGGCGTTCCAGAGATGGTGTCACCAAGTGAAGGTCAACATTGCGGCTTGTCATGCTTTTGGCCAATGAATACTCACTCGACACGGTGGCCGCTGGCGGCCTGCTTGGCGGCTTGCAGGGCTCCAAGAGCAGCTGTTGAGGCAAGGCATGTGGGTCAGTTGACGTTCCCGCTCGCACGTCCGAGTCATCTGCTTTGGCTGGCGTGTACTTACCTCCCACACCACTTCCGTCCTTGGCGAGACCAATCTTGACACGCTTCTCGCCCTCTTCGCCGATAAGCTCGCGCAGAGCGGCTCTCAGACGCTCCTCAAAGTCTGCATGTGCGTTAGGGAGACGGTGAAAAGGTGAAGAGTCAGCACCGACTCCATCGAATACGCAGCGCGGATGCGCGTGGAAGACTTACGAGGATAGAACTCGATGACACTGCCGTCGACGCCGACCTTGACGCCCTGGTCTTGCGGCCCTGTGCTCTGAACGTTGCCGGTCTGGATCATGGTGGCGGCGATGGCGGTGGCACTCAGACGTGCTGCGCGCGTGCCGACGATCTTGCAAACGGTGCGGACGGTCTCGATGTCCTCGGTCGAGATGTACTCGTCCTTGATGCTGAGCGTCTGGACAAGCACCTTGCGGGTGGCGCTCGACGAGGACGAGGCAGGCTCGTTGTCGGCTTCGATGGCGGACATGTAGGCGGTGTCGAAGCCGTACTGCGTGTTGAGGATGGCGGAAGAGAAGCCCTGGAAGAGGACGAGCTGGTCGATGAGGTGGAGAAGCACGAGTCGGGCGACCTCGCCGAGGTACATGCCGCTGATCATCTTTTCAAAGACGTGGTTCCTGGGTCGGATGGATTCGCGGTCGAGCTGGTTGTCGAAGATGGTGACGGGCAACGCCTTGCGGTCGTCGTCGAATCCTCCCCATTCGGTGTTGATGACCATGTGTGTGATGGAGCCCTCGGCGGACTTGAGCTTGGTGATTTTGGAGATGTCCTCGAGGTAGGCGCCGTTGGTGCCCGTGCCGAAGATGGCGCTGATCAGAGCGCCGTTGGAGGCGTAGGCGTGGGCGAGGAGGGCACCGACGGTGTCGTTGACGAGCGCGCTGCACTTGACCTTGATGTGCTTGCGGTCGAGCGCATCTTGCAAGAGCTGGACGACGTCCTTGCCCGGAGCATCGGGGCAGTCGAAGCCCTTGGTCCAGTGGATGAGGTGGCCGCGGTCGATGGCGGTCTGCTCGACGGGGAAGCTGAAGGTGAATCCGAGGAAGAGGACGTCATCGGTGGAAGCGGTGCCAAAGTCGGTGAGGAAGTTGTCGACGCTGGTGGCCATGTAGTCGAAGAGGTCGCGCACGGGACCGCGCTTGAGCTGCTCCGAGACCTTGTACTTTTCCTGCTTGATAGCGAAGGTGCCCTTGCCGTCGAGCGCCACCTCGCAGACACGCAAGTTGGTGCCTCCGAGGTCGAGCGCAAGGTAGGTGCCCTTCTCGGTGCCATCGGGCACGCCGGTGACGAAGGAGGGGATCATCTGCATGTCGGCGCCATGGTTGGCGAGACCGTAGTGGTAGAGTTCCTGGAAGCGTTCGACCAGGGATTCCAGCATGGCCTTGTCGACGCTGAATTGCTCCTCGATGGCCTGAATGGCATTTTGCCGCGAGACGTTGGGCACAGCCGGCATGATGAAGGTGCAGCGGTCAAGCTGAGACTGTTCGCTGAAGCTGTGGCGTGCAAGACGTAGCGAGAGAGAAGCAGACGAGCAAGGGTCGTGTGAAGTAGGAAGCAAGAGCGCAGGCGCCAAGAGGAGGAAGGGTTGGGTCGGGTCGGGTCACGGGAGTGGGGGCGCAGAGCTGGAAGCCAATGCAGGCAGGCGAGCAAGAGCTTGCTTGGCAACGGCGGGCGGAACTCCTGCCCGATGTCCTAACCGAGCGCACAGACGAAAAGGTCGAGCGAGCTGACGCTCCCAAAGGCTGCTAGCAGTCAACTTACTGTAGCCATGGGAAGCGTGGGCCGAGCGTCGTCCGTTGGTTTGGGTGCGAAATTGCAATTACGCCGCCGTGCTGCTGCCGTGCAGACCGACAGGCGCAGACGAATCAGAAATTCCACTCTCCCGCCTTCAGCTCGGCGGAACCCAGGGCTGGCCCTCGGAGGAACCCTCTCCCACCCAACATCGCGCCATGCAGGCAGGTCATGCAAGTAATCCAGGCACCATACGTCAGGCTGCTGCTCCACTCATCCCATCCAGCCTGTCTTCACGGCGCAACTCTAGCCCACAACAACGCTCGGCAACAGACATGTCCACGCGATGTTGGGGGCTGTCTTCGGCCGCTATCCTTATGCAGCACACAGTTTCTTGTCTCTCACCACCGCCGCCAGACGGAAGCGAAAGCGCGGGGACCCAGTCTGGACCATAGAGGGGGACGTGCAGATGGGGTCCGATTTAGCCGCACACAGCGCGTGTATCGGGATCAAGCTACAGTTCGATACAGATCGGCGATGCATAACCTTGAGGGTCCTCTCCACTCGAGGGTTCGTCTGCCGATAACGCAAACCTGTCGGACCCAGCGGGCACGTTGCCGACGACACGAAGTGCTCGAGCTTGGTGTCACGTTCCCTCGTCTGCAACGCTTTCTAAGCTTGGCTCTCTCTTGCCCGCCGCACCTTTGGCGACCTCGAAAGCATGAGCCAATCCCATCGAGGCCGAAGCCGAACGTGGCTTTCCGAGAGGCTACAGACCGGCTGAAGAGCGTGCCCGCCACTACATCGACTGACCTAAACCATATAACCATGAACTCTCCAGCTCCCCTTCCGCCAACTTGATCCCCGCATCTCCTCCTTTCGTGAATAGCTGTGAACAGCTGTGAACAGCGATGCCGGCGATAGGATACAGCTTGCCTGCCGTACATGGCACCAGCTTGACAGCACCGCCGCTACCCGGTGCGTCTCTGTTGCCACCCGACGTATTTCATCATCTGGGCCAATATTCGCCTTGGTTTCCGGCCGACGCAGATTTACCTCGGTACGAAGTTCCCCAAGGCTGCTCGGTTGTTTTCGTCAGCCAGCTGGAAAGGCACGGCTCCCGCTATCCCACTGGAGGCGCCTTCAAAGACCTCAGCAGGACGCTGCGCCAAGTCGCAAAGCATCTTCAGCGTGTTCCCGACGCAGGTCCAAACCATCGCCACGGCCAAGGCCTCGACTCGGACCTCAAGTGGTTGCGCCACTGGGTCGATCCAAAGAAGAAGTCGGATGGTGGGCTTCGCAATCGCATCGGCGACTCGGAGCTCGTACCGTTCGGACAGTACGAGGCCTACTCTTCGGGTCGGCGCTTCTACGAACGGTATGCTGACCTCTTCGAATCTGAGCATGTCGATATCAATCTCGATTATGCTCAACACTCGAATGGCAAGCAAGAAGACATACGCTTCAAATCCTTGCTGCAGGCAGCATGTCCGACGCAGCTGAATCCTTCTCCTCCGGCCAGCTACTCGTCGACGCTACAATTGCATCATCACGTCCGTCAAAAGATCTGCCACTACCTAGGATTCGCCCCTTCCGCTGCTGAGTCGAGGCGCGAAAAGCGCCCATTCGTAAGGGCATCGGGCGGAGACCGCGTGGTCGCCACATCCCGCTTCTGGCTACAGGGCTTCAAGCATTCGCCTCACAAACCGTTTCAGCATGCCCCGCCCGAGTCCGCTCCCTGGCCACCGAAGGGTCGTCCTGCCGTGATTGGAGAGCTCAAGAGCGGCAAGCCACATCGCAGAATCCACAATCTCCCTGAGCCCGATGTCATCATCCCCGAGGTGCGCAAGATTGATGACCCTGCCCAACCTGGTAGCAATAACACGCTCGACGTGCACACCTGCTCTGCTTTCGAACACCAACATCGCGACAACGCGCAGAGCCCTGCCTCGCTCAAGAAGGACGCCTTCGCCAAGACAGCCACGGCAGAAATCCGCAGGCGTCTCGCTCGCCAGCTTGGCAAAGATCATCGAGGAGACAGGCTGCATTTGAAACCGCAACAGGTGCTGCAGCTCTTCAGTCTTTGTGCCTTTGACACTGTAGCACGCCTTGACCCCTACGGGCTTCTATACGACCAGCCGGAACGCAATGAGGGCGCTGTAGGCCCTTTCTGCAGCCTGTTCAAGCCCGACGAATTCGTCAGCATCTATGAAGTCACCACCAATATGGAGAAGGATTATGGATTTGCCACTCATCAGCCTTTCCATAGAGCCCTGGCGACCCCTTGGCTTCGCGAGCTCGTTGCTAGACTCGAGCGACGCGCACCCGTCATGTCGCCCCCAACCTCTATCAACACAACCCTTGATGAGGATCCGAAGACCTTCCCTCTGCCCTCAGAAACCGGCCCACGAGCATTCGTCGACTTCACACACGACAATCAGCTTGCCCCCGTCATCGCTTCGCTCGGGCTGTGGGGAGAGGAGCAAAGTTGGAAGACTTCTTTGACCACGCCCTTCTCCGGCAGGATGACCGTCGAGCAGCTCGTCTGCAACGCCACCGACTACGTGCGAGTCCTGGTCAACGATGCACCTGCGAACGTCTCGCAAGGAAAATGGTGTCCAGGTGCCGGTTACGCCCCGGTGGCCGAGGGCGATCAATTGTGTCCCCTTCCATCCTTCCTAGAGTCGCTCCAATGGGTGGATCGCGCAGACGAGTGGAACAAGTGCGACTCAGAGGACCTCCAACATCCGATTCAAGAGAAATCTCCGCTGTAATCGCTACCTGAAGAGCTGCCATGTCGCCTCGACCAATACAAAGTACACACACAATCCAGAGAAGCGGGTTGGAAGCAGTCTCAGCTCAACAGCATAGCCATGTCTTCCGGACCGAAGATGCGGAGGAGGTGCGGTGCGGATCGGGACAGATTGCATCGGCTAAATCGGGAATTATTTTCGGAAGAAACTGGAAAATCGCCTGCGGTAGCGTCTCGTAAGCGGCCCCCGCCGACGAGTTTGTGTGTCGGTGAAAGAGATGGGTCTCCTCTCCTTTCCACCACCATGTAGGTCCTTTGTGCTTCGTGTCACAAGTAAGTCATCTCCCTCTTTCGATCCACTCGAACAGTCCACCATTGCGTTCTCCTTCGTCCTGCACCTGTTTCTGCTGCTCCTTCCCACCGGCAATGAGCGATCGCGCTAGGTTTTAAAAAGCGCTCAACATATCTGGCACCTCTTCGCCGAGCCCTTGGCTCTGGCGGCACGTTCGCCTCACGGCAACGTGTCGTCTGCTTTGGTCGATGCCGCAACTCTTGTTTTCTGAGCCGTCTTCCATCTTCCAACGATGGATCATTCTGTCGGAAGGGGCAGCAGCCGAATCGACCAGGACACGACTTCCACTCGCGCAAGCAAGTCGTGTGGCATGTTGGCTGACTCTTGGCTTCATCCTTTGCTGATTCGCCCTCGCAGATCTTCGAAATGTTGCGTCCAACGCAATCTCTTATGCTGCGTTCGTCGCTGCGCCAGCTGGCGTCGGCGTCCAACCAGCCCATCCCACCTGGATCCGAGATCAATGCAGTCAAGCGCACCGCCGCCACCATTTTGCCGCCGGTCAAGCTTTACAGGAGACTGCTCCGTGCCCACAGGAAGCTGGACGCCGATATGCGTGCCGTCGGCGATAACTATATCAAGGACGAGTTCCGAAGGCACAGGTCGATCGACAATCCTCTCCAGATCGTCGGCTTCCTGAGCTCGTGGAAGATGTACTTGGACCAGCTCGAGGTGCAGCAGGGTCAACCCGGCGGGTTCCGAGGACAACGTCTGGACCCGCAGCTGCTCGAAAAGATGTCGGACGAGCAGATCTACCAGATCCACGATCTCATGACTGCCACCCAGGAAGCCTACTCCGAGAAGGCGCAAGCACACCCGCCACACCAGCAGCGTGAACTGGCCGAGAAGGCGGCGGCAGAGGCTGGCATGTCTGTCAAGAAGGACACTTGAAACGATTCGCGGGACCCCTTTCACATGCCCTCGGCTCGCTCTGCATCCTCTATACCATTTGATCGCACTTACTTCCCTTTTACTATCATCGCACTCGCATCGTACTTTCGTATATCTGCTGTATTTGTAATCCATTGCTACCACCCCTTGTGCTGGCTTCGTGAAGAATGAGATGCCAAAGGTGCTTCGAATCGTGTTCAACCAATGATTGAGGGAAGGTAGAGCATACTGTAGCTAGACCCGGAACTCGGCGGGCGCGAGTGACGTGCGGACCGAGAAAATTTCGGTGAGAAGAAGTGAGCTCTGCATTTCGAGGCAAAAGGGTGCGGGTCCAAGCGCCTTCAGGCTTGGTTTCCGCATCACATCAATCCCTCGACCCGCACGACGCATCTCAGGAACCGGTGACGGCACGATGGGTGGCAATCACGGGGGCGTGGCGAGCACGTCGAGCGTGACCACGCTCCAGGACGGCCTTCGCAAGACGCAGCCGTACTGGTACGAGTTCCAGACGTACGCCAAGCTGCGCTGGTTCGGGCGCGAGCTCATCGAGATCATGACCACCGAATTCCGCGACCGCACCAAGGAGTACTACGTCTGGGCCATCCACAAGGGCATCTGCACCGTCAACGGCGAGAAGGCCGACATCCACCAGGTCATTGGCGACGGAGACAAGATCTGCAACAGCGTCCACCGCCACGAACCTCCCGTCACCGACGAGCCTATCAAGATCATCCACCGAGACGACGACGAGGGCCTGCTCGTCATTGTGAAGCCGGGATCGATCCCAGTGCATGCTGCGGGAAGGTACCTCAGACACACGCTCACGGACCTGCTCCGTACCGAACACGGCGTCCAGATGGTGTACACCACCAACCGGCTCGACCGACTCACCAGTGGCATTATGGTCTGCTCCACCAAGAAGGAGACCGCGTCCAGGCTCGGTGCGCAGTTCGCCGCTGGCCAAGTGAGCAAAGCCTACGTCTGTCGTGTGCGCGGCCACTTTCCCGAAGGCGAGATCGTCTGCAAGGAGCCCATCCTCACCATCGACCGACAGAGCGGCGTCAACATCGTCCACCCCAAGGGCAAATACTGCGAGACCATCTTTGTTCGCCTTTCGTACGACGCCGAAACCGACTCGAGCGTGGTCTTCTGCAGACCTATCACCGGCCGCACCCATCAGATCCGAGTGCACGTACAATACCTCGGCCATCCTATCTGCAACGATCCCATCTACGGCCACGACGTATGGAGCAAGGTGGATCCATCGTCGTTCGCTCAGGTTATCCCCGACCAGTGGAAGAAGGTGGGCGGAGAGATTGGCCAGAAGGAAGTCGAAATGATCGTCGACGCTATCAAGGGCGATCAGGATGGCCAGGAGGACTGGGCGCGGTGGAAAGACGAAGTACTCTTCAAAGACATGATCGCTCAGGAGGGTCTCGAGAACGTGCACGTGCCCGGACCCAATGGTCGATCCAGTCGGCCTTCTGACGAGCTGCTCAAGCGCGCGCTCGAGAAACTCGAACAAGACAAGGGCGAGGTACCTGCCAAGGGCCTCAACCGACCTGCGGATATCGAGACGGCTTGGCAGAAGCGGGTGCGCGAACAGTCGTCCGACTTTTGCCCAGAGTGCAAGATCCCACTCTTGCCAGACCCGAAACCCGAAGAGCTCTACATTTACCTGCATGCGATCAAGTACTGGACCGACGAGTGGTCGTTCGAGGACGCGCTGCCATGGTGGGCGAGGGAAGACTGGAGGTCGATCACCCCGCATGGCAGTGGGGCTGGTAACGGAGCAGGCGAGGCGAGCCTTCCCAAGGGTCTTGCCGAGGCAACAAAGTCGGAGTCGCAGGTTTCGAGCTCTGCAATCTCGAGTCTCATCACAACCGAGATCGAAGAGAAGGCATCGCGGCTCGCTGAACCTCAAAAGTACGTCGAGCAGGATCGCGGCGTCGAGCTCACGCAGGTGCGCCAGCTTGTCGACTACCCACCGCAGAGCATTTCTTCTTCCTCGCTCAGTCCCGCGATCGCCACAGCGAGCGCAAGCATCAGCGTACCGATCGTCTTCCAGGTATTCGGCGGCTTTGAGGACTTTGCACAGCGCGAGGTGCTCCAACAGACGCTCGCGCGTGCACCTCAACAAGCGCAACAGGCGTCCGCCCGAGCTGCGACATCTTCAAGCATCCACTCGGGCCACGTGCGCGTTGTCGACGACCGCCTCGCACCGCACGCGCTCGAAGCCTACTTTGACGCCAAGCTGGGCATCGCAAAGACGGCGTATCTGCTGACTGCCCTGCACGAGTTCCCGAGGGAGCTGGCCAAGGAGCTCAAGCACGAAAAGTACATTGGCGGTGCGAGCAAGCGTGCCAAATGGAAGGCGAAGGAGCTGCGCAAGGCGCTCGCCAAGAAGGAAGGCAAGAAGCTGGGCACGCAAAAGACGACGCCCGGTCTCATCGAGAAGCCACTGGTTCTGCGTGAAGAGGAAGGCGGTCTCGACGCGTCGTCTTCGGCCGATGCAACCGCCTCGAGTCAAATTACCGAAGTGACACCGTCCATTGTGTCTCGAAAAGAGGCAGCAGGCAGCTCAGCAGCGAGCGAAGCCGGTACGGACGACGGAGCACCGTTTCCGTCGGAGGTCAAGCTGCTGAAACTGCTGGACGAGGTGTGGGATTCTTCGCGCGCCCAGCTCGACAAAGCGCTGGAGAGCTGGCTGCGGATTACAGAGGCTTGCACGGGTATCACCGTGCCGCCTGAACAGCGAACGTACCGTGCGACGGTCGACCGAGCGACATACAACCTGCCGAGCCTGAACTCGCAGACGATGGAGCGATATGTTGGCGAGCTGGCGTGGGAGTGGCTCAACGGACCGGACGATGACAATACGGACCGGTCAGCACCGAGGGCTTGGAAGGTTGATCTGGAGAAGCCACTGCTAGACGTGACGCTCAAGTTCTTGCCCGGGTTCGGCATTGGCGATGAATTCGAAAAGGAGCTCGACGCCGACGACGACCCGGCGCTCAAGACCGAGGGGCAAATCGCATTCATGCTCAAGCTGCCAGCGCCGGTGACGCCCTTCCCGAGACGACCACCGGGAAGGAACGCGCTGCTGGTTGGAGGAACGACCATGGCCGAGTATCGGGCTGCGTCGCTTGCTCTGGCGTTGGCTCTGCCTCTGGAGCGCAAGGGTCAGAACGGAGTGGAGACAGGCGATGGGCTGGGCCCGTTGCGGGTGCTCGAGCCTTGCTGCGGACATGGCTCGCTGGTGTTCGAGACAGCAGCGATGATGGAGGCGCGAGGGCTGCGCGGAGAAGTGCTCGGATGCGATGTAGACAACGAGACTGTTGGGCGAGCGCATCAGATCGCCGAGCTTGCCGGCCTGGGCCCATCGAGCGGCGAGGTACGTGTGCATCTGCGCGGCGTTGACGTTACAGACCGTACGGCGCTCGAGGCCTTCGTGGGTGGTCGAGGCACGATCGACGCCATCCTCACGGATCTTCCATGGGGAAAGCGCGAAAAGGCCTCGCAGTCGCTGTCGAAGCTATACCACTTCTTCCTCGAGAGTTGGTTCGCCGTGCTGCGCACAGGTGGCTCCATTGTCACCGTGACCGCCGAGCACAGGACGCTGTCGCGCGCGCTGGCGGTGTTTGAAACGTCATGCAGGAAGAAGCGCGTGGGCGCGTGTCTCAAGATGGAGAATGTGCGCATGCTGTCACCGTCGGGCGGCGAGGTGGCCGCCCTGGAAGAGGACAAAGTCAAGCAGCAGGGTCTGCTCGAGGCGGAGCGCAACAGTCTAATGCGCAAGATCGAGATCGGCTACCACGTATACGTGTTCCAGATCCGCAAGATTGCAATCTAGTCGCTCTCGAAGGCTCATTCCATGTTGTATTGCATTGCTGGGCTGGGTTCGAGCACCATCGACTGTGGCGAGAAAGGTCGAGGTTTGAGGAGCTCGTTTGGCATCGGGCCGATCGGGTCGTTGTCGGCCAAAATCCGAAGACGAGCGACAGAGCATGTGGAGCGCGAAGAGGATAAAATCAATTTGCACAAAAAAGTGTGGCTTCCGCCGATCTGGCTTCGGATGAGGCGGTGCTGCAGAAAACGGCCACACGGACCGAGTGGCGGTGTGCTCAGTCGAAGCCAGAACGAACCGGGATTGGTCCGAACCTTGTCACTGCAGCAAAGCGTGTGCTGAGCAAGTGTCAGGCGGGGCGTCAAGACCATATTGCGGGCCAAGCCTGCCATGCGGAAGCAGAACCACGCGGTCCCAACCGGCTGCTCCGACTGCAGCGAGACCTGCACGCCTGCAGATGTAACGGGCCTGCCGAATACAGTCAAGTCCACAAGCACCCTCCGGCCGGTCACGCCGCAAGGTCGACCGCATTGGAATCCAGCGTTCGGTGAAGCTGACCGCAGCCGTCACTGTGCGGCATGTGACGATGGATTGCGACTCGAGACGCCATCACCGAAGATGTGATTGCAAAGCGAGCAGTCCGCCGACTCTCTGTCAATCACCCGTGTCACAATTTCGTCGAGCCGGTGAGCGGCGGCGACGGAGAGAGTGGGGTGAGTGAGCGAGTGAGCGAGGGAGCGAGGGAGCCAGCGAGTTGACCGACGATCCGGCAACGGCAGCAAATTACGTTGCGAGCAGGGCAAAGAGAGGGTCCAGCTCGCCGGCTGACAGGCACACGGCAGAGTGTCGTCATAGCCGCGAATTTCTGCCGCCGCGAACCCTTGGCACCGCCTCCTTGGAGCAGCCACCGGCCAAACGATGCTGAACCGCCGCTCGCCCCGACGAACCCGCTCCTCGACCCGCAAAAAGTCGGAAGAGCAAAGGGGGTCCGCCGCAATGACGGACGAGCCGATGGGCATCTCTCTCTCGATGCCTGAGCCTGACGCTGACGCTGACATGCCTACGTCCCCGCCCGACCCAAGGCTATGCTGACCACGCTCGACGCTCCGGTAGCCTCAAAAGCAGACGATCCGGCGACAAGAGATTCTTTGCCCCTTCCTCATACCCCCACATCTTCCGGCACCGTCCCCTCCTTCATCTCACACACACCCCCTAGAATCAAAATGAAGCTGTCAGGTACCGCCTTGGCAGCCTCCGGCCTTCTGGTCGCTTCGGCATCCTCGGCGCTCGCCGCTCCCGCCGCTTCGTCATCGTCTTCCGCGTCCACTGCCAACGCTGCCGGTGCCGCAAGCAAGCGATCGGCCCCGATCCACATCCCCATCCGCAAGCGCGAGATGGCCAAGCGTTCGGGCAACGAGCTGCTTGACTGGGCCAACGAACAGAAAGCTATCCTGCAGAACAAGTACGGACTCCCTTCGGCCGATGCATCCAGCAAGGCACGTCGAGCACAGGGGACCGCCCTCACCAACGTCCAGTACGACAGCACCTGGGTTGCCACCGTCACGGGCGGCACACCATCGAAGGACTACGAGGTGGTGCTCGATACCGGCTCGGCCGACTTCTGGATCGCCTCGGACTACTACCAGCCCAGCTCGAGCAGCACTTTCCAGAACCGTTCCACCGCATTCAACGTACAATATGGATCGGGACAGGTGGCCGGTTATGAGGCATCCGACACGTTCTCGCTCGCAGGCACTACTGTGCAGGACACCCGCTTCGCCGTGGCTGAACAGGTGTCGTCCGGTCTAGTGAGCGGCAACATGGAGGGCATCATGGGCATGGGCTTCCAGAAGCTCGCAGCATCGGGCGAGCCGCCGCTCTGGGTTGCAGCCAACGTCGACACCTTCTCCTTCTACTTAGAGAGGGCGTCGCTCACATCAAACAACCAGGAGCAGGCAGGCGGCATCTTTACGCTCGGCGGCACCAACTCGAGTCTGTACCAGGGCAACATCAGCTACAACTCGCTCATCGAGGAGCTCTACTGGATGGTGCGTCTGGGTGGTATCGGTGCGCGCGGTAGCGACGTGAGCCTTGACGGTCTCACGCGCGCCGCCATCGACACGGGCACCACGCTCGTCGGAGGACCCAACTCGGTGGTGCAGTCGTTTTACGCCAACATCCCAGGCTCGCAGTCGCAGGGCAACGGCTACTACTCGTTCCCGTGCCGACAGACGATCGACGCCACGCTGACGTTTGGCAATCAGCAGTACACCATCCCGGACTCGGACTTTGTTGCGGGCACGCTCGATCAGTCGGGCTCGCAGTGCCTGGGTGCGTTCTTTGGGCTGGGTTCGTCGTCGCAGACTGACCTGCAGTGGATTGTGGGCGACGCCTTCCTCAAGAACGTCTACTCGGTCTTCACCACCTCGGGCAGCAACGGCGCCGCGGTGGGCTTTGCCAGCCTCGCCTCGGGGCTCAACTCGGGCACCAACTCCAAGACGGTCTCGACGTCGAGCACGGGCGCGACGAGTGCGGCGTCGACCACCGCGCAGCGCTCGGGCATGCTCTCGCTGGCTGCGGTGCTCGCCGTGCCTCTGATCGCCGCTCTGGCTCTGTAAACTTCAGACAAGAATGGACAACAATGGCTGTGTAATTCTAGATTGAACCGACTCGACTTGCATGTGTACACGGATGGTTCTAGGGGTGAAAATGACGGGTGACGTTGGAAGACCAAGGGGGGGGGGGNGGGGGGGGGGGGGGGGGGGGGGGGGGGGGGGGGGGGGGGTCAATGGGAAACGGTGTGGAGGGGCGATTCGGCGCGCAGTAAGGGGGTGGATCGGCCAGACGCACTGGCACTGTGTGGGAGCGAGGCTAACGCTGGGCTTGATCCTCTTCGTCCTGCCGATTTGTGCGTGGGCAGGTCGAGTTCGTGGGTGCGGACGCGGGTGAGTGCCTTATCTACTCCCGTGGCAGTTGCCATGCCCGGGCCGCCCAGACTGAACCTACGCCCCTGGTCGCCGTTCTTCTGGAGGAGGCATCGCTGCATAGCTGCCTTGTTCACCTGGTCCTTCCAGACGTTTCTGCCCTTTTCCTCCTTGACCGCCTTGGTGGCGAGCGTCTTTACGTCGATGGCGGTGTGGGCGTGGTTGGACGCCGAGTCGAATGAGCGCAGCGAGATGGCGTCGATGGATCTGCGTGCGAGCGCGGGCGTACGATTGGCGCGTGTCGAGGCAGATGACGGCGGTCGGGAAATCGCCGCCCCCCACTCGGCCACGTCGTCTGCCGTCTCGTCGTCGAATGCAAGCGGCGATGCCACGAACGCAGCCGTCGCATGTGGCAGCGGCGAGGTCTCGACATGAGTGTCGAGCGAAAGCTTGGGGCGGTACTGTCGCAACTGCTGCTTGGCCTTGCTCGTCAGCGCCACGTCGGCTTCCGCAAACGGATGGCGGAACGAAGGTTCCCACGGCGACGGTCCGAGCGACAGCGCCCCCTCGGGCAGTCGCACTGGGCGCGGCGCGAGCAACGGCTTGCCATCGGCGCCCGCCGACTTGCGCGTAGTCATGTGCCCGCCATACACCGCCCCGTCGACGCACGTCTCGTCCTTCTCGACCACCGCCTCGATGCGTGTGCCCGCAGCCATGGCGAGGCTCGGCAGCTTGGACGACTTGCGCGGCTGAATCGCCTTCTTGATCAGCACGGTGGCTGCGGCTTGACGTTGCTCGTGCATGCGTTGGAGCACGTGCTCGTCGATGCTCGCCTCGCCTGCACCAGCGATGGGCGAAGCAGGCGCGGGCTGATCGTAGAACGCCACCTTGGGTTGAGGACGGATTGTATGTGTGGGCTGGACATTGCCGAGCACCCACAGCTTTCCGCGGTCCCTCTCTGCGGCTGTCTCGCGCTCGGTCTCGGGTCTGGGCGGAGGCGCTCTTGCGACGGGCCCCAAACTGTGAATGATCTTTTCCTTTTCGGTGATGGGGCTGCTGGGTGGACTGTCGACTTTGGAGTACTCTCGCCTGTTGGCGGCCTTGTGACGGTCGAGCATCTCCTTGCCCATGGCTGCGGCTTCTGCGCGCTTGCGCCGTTCGCTGCGACGTTTCTTCTCGGCCAGACGCTGTTGGATGCGCGAGGCAGGCACAATGCACACATTGCCTGGTCCACATACTAGTGGATCGCCGCGGCGTGCGGTGGCGGCGGAGGCGCCTGCTCCAGCAGCATAGGTGGGCGAAGCGAGCTCATCGGAGAAGACGACATCGTAGCCAAAGACGCGGGAGAAAAAGTAGCTGCTGAGCACCGAGAGCTTGCGATTGATGGTGCGCAGGACCGAGTCGACGATACGCGCGAGTCGGAGCACGAAGCCGTCGACGACGTTGGAGGCGTGCCTCGAACCGATGTTGCCCATTCTGGCTGGCGGTGATAGGAAGGGGCTGGTAGTTATGGGTGACGGATCAATCTAGAGGCAGTGCTGCATGGTGAATCGGATGCTGGATTGATGCTGGATGGTGTTGGTGTTATTTGGGGTGTTGATAGGGATGATGCGTGCGTGTCGTCAAAGGGGTCGTGTTGGGTATCAGTGGTGGAAGAGGAGGGGGTATCTTGAGGAGCTTGAGATGACGACGGGAAGAAAGGGGCGGGCGTGTGCGGTGTGCGGTGTGGGAGCGGAGAAGGGACTCTTTGGGTTTGGAACAGGGGCAACTCGAGTGATGTAACTTGGCGGAAGCGTGATGGCGTGTTCTGGGATGCTTCGACAGTGTTGGTTAGGGGCTGTCAGTGCAGCAAGCGAGGTGCCAAAGTCGATGCACCCACGCGTCGGACTTTTTTTGGTGCGTGCATCATTTCGTCTTGCCCATCTCAGCCCATTTTGGTGAGCGAAATATAGCCCATCCATCCAATCGTTCGGCCATCCACGCGAGACAAAGCGATTCGCTCTTCCATCCACCCACAGGAATCTGCGATTACATTGTGGTTTGGAACGGGACGTTCGAACGAGTGCCTCACTGTATCGCAGCACAGCGTCCGGCCCATGTGCGAAAGTCCCTTTCTTCAACATCTCGCCGCGAATTTCGGAGCCAATTTGGAATTTGCCTCTCCGCACCGCAGAGTCGCGTGGCAAGAACAACAACACTGCCCCACTGCCGCACCTTCCTTTCCGCATGCATCACATCCGCACATCATGCAGCTGCAGCAGCACTTGCAGCCCACACGCACCGCACGTCCACTTGCCCCTTTACTTAGCTTGCTCTGACCGTATCACTTGCCGCTTTGCATGTCACACTCGCAAGTCACACGAGACGAACAGCCATTTCCTTCCATAGGAATTCCAGAGAGATAGAGCGAGTCCTAAATTATATCGCAAGTCTCCCATCATAAGTCCGATCTACTTGTCCTTGGCAGCGATCTCGGTCGCCAGTGTGTCCAGATCCAGTCCAGTCTTCTCTTGATCCGCACGAGGCGACGACGACGCTGCCTCTGCCGCCGGCTGGTCGACCTCGCGCACGGTCTCTAGCGCAGGCTCGTTGAACCTCGCCTCGTTCTCGCGCCTGATCTGCTCGACCTGCGCATCGATATCCCTGGCAAATGCAGCGAGCAGCTTCTCCTCGACCTCGCGCTTCTTCTTGCTCTTCTCGCCGCCCTTCCAGATGAGCACAGCTGCGCCAATGCCCGCCAGGAACGAGCACGGCATAAACGTGCCCGTGCTCCAGGCGGGGCGATCGCGGTAGTGCGTCGCATAGCCCCACATGTATGCGCAGAGCAGACACTGGAAGAGCGAGTTGAGGTCGTTCATGACGGTGATCCACACCGCATAGCTGATCGAAAAGGCATGGTGCGTAAACGTCTCGTGCGCACGGTACCACGACTGCGACTCGCCAAACGCCACCTGCAGCTCGTGCAGCTTGACCGCCTGCGACGGCGACAAAACCACGTCCGGCGAGAGCGCCAGCGCGTGATCGTCATCCTCGTCGTCGGTCAAATCGTAGTCGTCATCGTCGTGCCCCTCGCCTTCATCTTCACGTCGCACGGCCGACACTGTGGACCCGTGCCTCTCGAGTTCGCCGACGCTGCTGCCGTCTTGAGCACCAAGCGTTCCCGCTGCCTGCGCTGCCGACTCCTTCTCGCCACCTTCGGCAGTTAGTGTCTTGACGTGATCCTTGCGTGACTTGCGGTGTCCCTTGGGCGCGACGACCGAAGGAATGTCGTTCTTGTCCGCCAGCCGCGGCAGGCCCTGCTTCTTCCGCAGCCGCCACGTGAGATGCTGGTAGTACGCGATCCATCCCGCACGCCACGTATCTCTTAACCTCCACGGAATCAGCCCCACGCCGGGGATCGTGAAGAGCCCGTTCTCGAACTGCGAGAACACCTCGACCCAAAAGTCCTTGTTCTTGCCGCCATCGATGGCGCCCACAAGGAAGAGCACGAGCGCCGCGCCTCCAAACACCACCAGAAAGCCGTAGATGCCCGCGATCACGCCCACGGGCGTCTTGAGGAACGCCCACACGCCCTGCATGGCGCGCTTGAACTTTTGGCGCTTGGTGAGCAGCTCGTGCACGTACGCATCCAGATGCAAATCGTCCTCGTCCTCCTGGCTCGCCGCCGCCGCCGCCTTGGCCTTGAGCCGCGGCGACGCAAGCCGGCCCTCCTCCAGCTGCAGCTGCGCCTCGGTCGACGCCGCCGATGCATCCACCTCTTGCGCCGGAAGATCAATCACCGGTCGTCGGTCGTACAGTCCCGGAATGTTGGGGAAGATGAGCGAGTTGCCAATGTTGGATAGATGGCCCGCCGTGCTCACTCCCGGATCCACCACCTCGAGCGTGTCAACAAGGTACGCGCTGTGCTCGTCCAGCGACGATGTCTCTGTGCTTGGCGTAGTGTCCGCGGTGCGTGATTCCTGCGCAGTGAGGTCGACCGTCGAACCGGGCTTGGTCTGGCGCTCGTTTTCCTTGGCCATGTCGCCGTACTTGCGGATGAGCGCCATAAACTTGGTCTCTTTAGCTTGTCCGTGCTGGCGCTCGCCCTCCTTCAGTGGATCCAGCGCGGCGATGCGACGCAGCCTTTCGGTGCGACGTCGCTTCTCGCGCTTCTCCACCTTGCGATGGTGCTTCTCGGCCATCCTGCGCACGATACCGTGTGCTGACGGCCTGCCATGCCGGTGTCGTCGGTTGTCGTGCATTGAGTCGTCATCGTCGTCGTCGTCATCTTCAGCGTGGCGATGACCGCGCCCACGCTTAGCTTCAGCTGCCTCTGCCTGAGCCGAGAGACGTGCAAGGTAGGATCCGGTCTCGGACGTGACGCTGCCCAGGTTCGTCGGTGCTGGAGTCACGCTTGCCGCCGCACGGAAGCTGAGCGCGTCGGTGGAGGCACGCTTGACCTCCGAGTTGAGGAACAGCTGCGCCTTGGCGAGCTTCTTTGCGTCTTCTGTGCGGCGTCTGCGCTCTTCCAGCGTCTTTTCTGCGTCGGGCGAAGGGTCGGTGGGTGGGTAGGTGAAGGCTGCGTCGGCCGATGCTCCGGCTTCAGCGTGTTTGTCGGTGGACGAGTCAGAGTCGGAGGACGAACTCGGTTGCGTGCCTGCCGAAGCATTGCGTACACGTGGTGCCGAGGCGGTGGCAGGGGCGGCTGTGGGCGAGGAGGGCGATGCTGCAGATGCGCGCCGCTGCTTTCGCAGGCGCATCGTGCGATGGCGATGGTGTTGGTGCGGCATCTTGGGCAAGTGTATGCCACTGAGATGCAGAGATGGTGGCGCACGAGTTGGCGAGGAGGTCAAAGTGGTGAGCAAAGGGTAGCCTGAACGTGTTGACTCGGTCCGCCGCTTTCAGAGCGAGTCGCTGCTGGGCTTTGGAGGTGTATGCACGGCACGCAGCTGCCGAAACTATTTATTTAATTCCAGCCCAAAACAAAAAGAACAGGCGCAACACCGGCAACTCTCCTTAGGCGGGATTTTCCACAAATTGTTTGCGACCCTGCGCCTCCGTGCGTGCAGGGTGCAGAACTCAGCCTGCGGGGCCGCTCAACAGTCAACCAAAACGCTCATTTGATGCATTCATTTCACCCTTCTTCTGCCATTGCTAGGACGTCTACAACGAATCAGTTTCGGCTCGACGCACCCGCCTTGCGAGGCCGCGAGAAGCCAGCCGGTTCGCTCTTGGTGAGCGTGGTGGGCGCCTGGTCGGCCACGCCGTCAAATCCCGTGCCTGCAAACTTGTGCCTCTCCTGCGAGAGCACTTCCTCGATCTCGCTCGAGACGTAGGCGTGCGTGAGGTCGTCGCGGTCCGAAGCTTCGAGCTGCAAATCCCCACCAAAACAAAAGCCAGCGTTAGTCGTTGGGAACGAAGAGCATTTCGAGCAAGCCGGCGTTTGCGAGCACTTACCTTTTTGACGATGCGCATACCCGAGAAGCTCTTGACGTGGTTGAGGATGATGAGCACGTTGCTCGAGTAGATCATGCGCGCCTTGACGCCGCTCGACGCGGGACAGCAGTAGAGCATCGCCACTACGCTCTCGCCGGACGTGCGCATCGACACATCGTCCAGCCGGTAGAAGGCGATGCGCGGGTCGTTGCTGCTCAACGCCGAGGGCAGATCGGCTGCCGGCACGAATCGCGGCGGCGACTCGAGCTCCACCGTCTCGCTGCGCAGATCGATGGCCAACACCACCAGGTTCCATTCGGACGTGCCAGACGCCGTCGAAGCGAGCCCCTGGATGGCCTCCTGCACTCCATCGCCCCACTTGAATCCCAGCGCCGGCCCACCCGCCGCGCCCATGCCGCCGCTGCCACTGCCGTTGCCGTTGCCCGAAGCACGCTCGGTAGCCTGCAGCCGACGCAGCTCGGCAAGCTCCTCTTCGCGCTCCGTCAGTCCACCCCTCGAAGGGCCCGTTCCCGAGCCGACCGAGATGGAGCTCTTCTCTTGCGCAGCGGCCTTGGGCGCCGAGTCGTTCAAACTGGCCTGGTCCAGGGAGGTGGGAAGCGTGGGTTGCGACAGCGAGCCTGCAGTCTGTGTCGCGGGAGTTGGTGGCTCCTGTGGTGCTTTGAACTCGGCCAGCTCCTGCTCGGCCGCCGACACCTTGGCCTCCGGCTGCTTCGAGTCTGTGGCGGATGTGACTTCGGCAGCCGCCGCCAGCGTCGAGCCAGATGGAACCGTGGGCTGCGAGAGGCTGTCGGAACGGCCTGCTGCTACCGCTGGCGTGCTGGGCTCTTCGGGCGCCTTGGTTTCGGAAGCGAACTGCTTGGCATTGTCCGAGGTGGAGGAAGAAGCAGCGGGTTCGGCACTGGTCTGGACGGGCTCCGATGCGGCCTGGTCGTGACGCTCCTCGGATGCAGGTGGGGAGGGGCTCTTGAATGCGGATGTAAACTCGTGCGAATTGTAGCGCTTGGGCGCGGGAGGTGTCGAGAGAGTGGGCAGTTCCGATTCGGGCAACGGCTTTGGGCGCTCCTCGGTGGCTGCGGCGGGTGCAGATGCCGTGCTGGAGACACCCGCTACGCCCGAGTTGGTCTCGAGACTGGCAGGTTTGCTCGAGCTCGAAGCATCGTCGTCGGTGGTTCGAAGCGAGTTGGTCTTGCCGACCGAGCCAAAGTTCCTTCGCGCGCCTCCAACACCCGTGCCCGCAGCGTCCGAGGCGGCGAGACCGGCGGTCTTGAGCTGCGGGTTCTGGTAGTCGTGCTTGCGGCTGTTGCGCAGCTTGGTGGGCCACAAAAAGTCCCTGGGGTTGGCGCCAAAGATGGTCTCGAGAAAGTTGCGCTCGGTGAGGCCGGCCATGAGCGACGAGCGCGTGATGGCGTACTGCATCTTTTCCTTGATCTTGGCACCATCCGGCTGGTACGAGCAGCAGAGCCACTCCCAGTCACCCGCCGCCGACTGGCTGTCCAGACGGTAGAGCGCATAGCCGCTGCGCTGAGGATCGTTGGCAAACAGCTTGGAGAGGATGGGGATGAAGTCGTCCTTGTCGCTCACGTCGGCGCTCGAGGGAGGAGCCGACTGGACCAGCTTGAGGAAGCCGCCATCGTTCTGCACGAGGATGGCGCGCACCGACTGGTCTGCCTCTCTGAAGGCTTTGGCCAGGTCATCGGCGATGGGAATGTTGGACATGGTCAACGACGGCGACGGTGACGATGATGATGGTGATGATGGAGATAGGAGACACCGGGGCGCGGACGATTAAGGTGATGGTTCCGGAAGGATGGAAGCGAGTGGCTCTCTTTGAGTTGGTGTGTGCTGGAGCTGGCTGTGCTGCTGTGAGCTGTGCGCATGTGTCATGGCACGCGTCTTCGCACTTCCGACTGCCAACCGGCGCCAACGTGCATCCCATCGTTGTGCTGTGCCTGGGCAGCGCCCCCCCTAAATTCGGTGTGGAGTAGAGTTGGGCCGTGCATCGAGCGACTTGACGGTGCGGGCCGTCTCGGGCGAGTCGCAAACTGTTAGGTTGTCCTTGGCACCGTTGTTGGGAAAAATTCGAAACGCCAGAGCCGCACAGAAGCCGGTGTCCGGTTGAGGAGCTGCCCGAGATGGGTTTTGATATGTTGCCGAATCAATGCAGAGGCTCCGGCTACTCATCGCTCGTCAAGACCGAGGTGAAGCAAGCGCGCCCTGACCAATTTGCGGGGATAGTTCTCGGGCCGTGGTCACCACCACAGCTTCTTGCTTCCTTCCTACCTCCTCCCAAGATTTCCTTGCCCTGATTCTCTTGTACGACCGCCCCCAAAACATATCGCCACCATGCCCAAGGACGCTGCTCCCGAAGTTATGCCCGAGCTCGGCGCCCAGCGCCTCTTCTCGCTCGACGGCAAGATCGCCCTGGTCACCGGCGGTGGCACGGGCATCGGCAAGATGATCGCCGCCACCTACATCCGCAACGGCGCCAAGGTGTACATCGCCAGCCGCAAGCTCGCCGATCTTGAAAAGGTGGCTACCCAGCTCTCCAAGCTCGCCCCCAGCGATCCCGAGGGCAAGAAGGGCCTCTGCGTCGCTCTCCAGGCCGACGTCGGCTCCAAGGCCGGCTGCGATGCGCTCGCCGAGCAGGTCAAGAAGGCCGAGTCGCGCCTCGACATCCTCGTCAACAACTCTGGCCTCACCTGGGGCGCCCCCATGGTCGACTTCCCCGAGCAGAAGGGCTGGGACAAGGTGTTTGACCTCAACGTCAAGAGCCAGTTCTATCTCACCGTCGCCCTCCTCCCCTTGCTCGAGAACGGCAAGAGCAACACCGAGCACGCCACCGTCCTCAACATCGCCTCCACCGCCGCCATCGTCCCTCTTGCTGAGGGCGGCCTCTCTGCTCCCGGCAACGGCACCTACTCGTGTAAGTTGCTCTCCGCAGTCGGCCAATTGCGCTTCTTCGCGCGTGGATCCACTGACAACCCTCCCCGTCCTCTTTGCTTTGTCTTTTTGTGCAACAGACCAACCCTCGAAGGCGGCGTCGCTCCACCTCACCAAGGTGCTCGCCAACTCGCTCGCCGAAAAGTTCATCATGGTCAACGCCATCTGCCCCGGTGTCTTCCCTTCGCGCATGACCGCCTACGGCCTCGAGGAGAACCGCGACCTGCTCGAGGGCATCCAGCCCACCGGCCGTGTCGGCACGCCAGAGGATATTGGCGGTGTCGCCATGTTCTTCGCTTCGCGCGCAGGCGCCCACTGCACCGGCACCGGCATCGTCGTCGACGGCGGCCAGAGCATCCAGTTCCAGCCCCGCCTCTAGTCTCGCTCTCGTGGCTCAGGAATGAATAGGACCGCTTGCCATCTCGGTATCACCACCCCACACTGAGGTTGCCTGTGCGCGAAGCCCGTTGAGAAATGAAGGCAGGGTATGATTGCAGCCGATTGGCCTGCATGCGAAATGCTAGTCCTGAACGTAACGACGACGCATTGTACGATACTTCTTCAGCGAGTACAATGTCTCGGTCTCTGCGGGCGAGCCAGAAGTTAGCGACAAGGCTGCTAGCACATCCAGGCTGCGAGCTTACCCTTTTTGACGAATTCGGCCAGGTCGAGCTTGGCCTTGATCTCCTTGTCGTCGGTCAGATGAGCGTTTTTGGCAAACATGCTGCGCAGCTTGCCCAAGAAGTTGTACTTGGGATCCGGATATTCCCTTCCCAGTCGATGGAGCTGTCAAAGCAACAAAGGACGTAGGGTAAAGAAGCAAAGTCAAGGACGTGAGTCTCAGGTCGGTTCCATTGTCTGCTTCGGACGGTCGAGGCCACAAGAGCGAAGCCGCAACTTCGCCTCGGGACAAACGCGTACCTCCTTGTACAGCCCGATGGCTCTTGCCCGCAAGGGATGGCCGAGCGGAGGCATGATTGTGGAATGGCGAGTCTGTGATATGAGGGTCGGTGTGGAGCTGAGTCAAGTGTCAATGGTGCGGCAAAGAGCAAGCTTAGGTAGCCGGAACCCGCACTCACCCGCCTCCACTTTCCGCACCTCATTTCACGTCCAAAAAGACACTCCAAAAATCCGTCCAACAAAAAAAAGAAGAAGAGCAACACCTTCATCCCATCTGTTTCTTTCGCACTACGACCTCACCGGAGCCTAAGCACTCGGCTGCCATGGATCGCTTCGAGCAGGAGACCGAGATCGACGAGGCCACCAAGTCGGAGACCGCTACGGCGCTTGCCAAGTCTCGGCAGTTCCTCACCAACCGACTGCTGCCAGACCTCGAGCGTGCCAATCGCGACCACCAGAGCCTAGTCGCGCAGATCGACGAGTACAAGAAGCTTCGAGAAACACTCCGCTCACTCGACACGCAGGAAGATCGTCTGAACGATGCAGCAGTCCGCTCCAAGGATGCCTCGTATCTGGCAGATGTCGGTGCAGGTGTAGCAGCTCCGACAAAACTGTAAGTCGGCACTTTTACGCTTGTCATCCCAAACTGCCAGTAGCTGACTGACCACCATCATGTGCGCATGCAACAGCATCCAGGACGAAAACCCATTCATCTCACTAGGACTTGCCAACTTTTACGCTCAGCTGACCAACAGAGAAGCAAGAGCCTTCATCACCAAGAAACTCTCCTTGCTCGAAACGTAAGCTCCACCCTCGCTTCGTTGTGTTCCGACCACAGTCTCACTCGAATTTGCCCTTTGATGCTCACCAGAAAACGCGATCGTGCAATCGACAAGCTCGCCCAGATCGAGGCACACATCCACCTCGTAGGTAGCGTCCGCGCTCAGCTTTGAGCCGACTCGACGACTTACGCCTTTCCCTTGGTTCCGTCTCGCAGACATCTACGTCCATCACACAGCTCGACAACTTGCATCGCGGCGGCTCAATCGTCGACGACGTGTAGCTAAACAGCACTGCATCGAATCATCTTGTATTTGTACCACTGGAAACAGTCTTGTCCGTAGACGTGCGAGCCAAGCTTCGAACTGCTTGTGGTGTGAGGGCGCGGGCATGGTCTGCATTCCCGCAGCCATGTCCTCGTAAGCAACGATCAGTACCATCGAACGATTGCTGGATCTATCGATCGATCGAACGGAACGCACACGAGAGAGACCAGGCCAAGAGAAGGAAAACTTCAACACTCGATTGAGATCGACGCCACAGAAGGGGGGGGGGGGGNGTCGTCAAGCCGTGATACGGCCGCGCTTCGACCTGCGTGCATTGGCGGTGGTGCTGTGGGGGGTAGTGTCGCGGTTGGTGTTGCGAGTGGTGTTGCGGGCGCTGTCGCGAGTGCTGTCGCGAGTGGCATTGCGGTTGGCGCTGCGCGCGGTGTCGCGGGTGGTGTCGCGGGTGGTGTCGCGGGTGATGTCGCGGGTGATGTCGCGGGTGGCGGTCGAAGAGGTTGGTCGGGAAGCCCTCGTGCTTGCATCCGAGCCTCGCGGCTGTGCTCGGCTCATAAAGGGCGAGGTGGTCTGGTCCTCTTGAAGGCGATGCCAGAGCTCGCACAGCTCTCCGTAGGGCTCTCGCGTCGAAGCTATATCGCTGACGCCGGTGTATCGCCGTTCCACCGTCTCGACGTGCGCCAGGACGGAGCGCCTCCAGCCCTCGTTGTTGCTGGTGGTGATGGTGCTGCTGCTGCGGCTGGCGCCGCCGCCGCTGCTACCTTCGAGGTGATGGCGGACGAGGCTGGCGAGGAGCAGCGCGTTGTCCTGCTGCACCTGCAGCGCGGCCCACGAAAGCGAAGTGCTCGACGCATGCTGGAGCGCGTCGTCGTCGTCGCCATTGTCGTCGTTGCCCCTAGCGCTGTCGCTCGCGATCGAAATGATCTCCAGAGGCCCGTCCTCGTCAGAACTATTGCGCGTCATGACCGAGTAGCAGGCTTTTACAGCAAAGAACGCCTCGGATTGCTGATGATGGCGCGGAGGGAATCTGCGGCTGAGCGTCTTCGTTCCCCCTCCCTCTCTCGCTGCACGCGCACCAGTCGACTCGCACGCAAGCAGCACGCATCCTCTCCTTCGCTTGGCCGCAGCACGCCCGCTCGATCCATCTGCCTCGCCCAAACATTCTCTGCGCGGCGATGCATACAGCCGGCGCGGCTCTTTCTGTCGGAAGCGCGGCAGATTCCGACAGGCAAGATGGGCAGCTCGAGCGACCGATGCGTTTTAGCGGATGGCCCGACCGGTGAGCAGTCAGCCAGATGGCACTCTTTCGTCGCCTGGCACGCATGTGATTCACGCTGCTCAGCGCCCCCTCCCCTTCAAAAAAAAACATTGCGCAACGGCGGAACGCCACAAGGCTCAGTATCGGCAAGTCCGTGGCAACGCGTGCACGCCGGTCTCGAACATCGAGGCGACAGTTGGCGGATGCTAGCGATCCTAGCCAAGGCGCTTGACCTAGGTCGAGGCGTTCTATGGCGTTCGATGTAACAGCCCGGCCAGCTTCATTGCAGTGCACGCACGCTCGACGCTGCTGGTGTGCGTGACTATACGCAACCGGATGCTGAGTGAGCATACAGAGGCTGATCGAGGCGAGGTGCTGGAGTCAGAGACGGGCGCAGGGATCGAGGGGCGGATCTCGAGGTCACTATGATTCCTCGTGCCTGCGCATCGCCCAGGCTTGTCCACCGCACAGTGCTGACGTGGACGGCTAGCTTGCGCGGCTCCTCCGAATCGATCGAACGTTAGATAGCCTCCATCCTCTCTGCTCCCGGACCGTTTGTCTCTTTCCTTCCATCCACCTGCATCACGTATGCGCAGCACTTTGCCATCGATCCCTCCCAACCTTTGCGATCGCACCTGCCCACCATGCCTCCTATCGTCACCGTCGAAGAGCGTGAGGCCGTCGTCAGACGTCGGCCTATCCCACAACCCTCCGTCACGTCGTCTGCCTTGGATATGGACGACGAAGATGGCTTGCCGCTGCTGGAGGAGATCGCGGCCCTGATGCGCGAATCCGAGGCGCATACGACAGAGCCTCGTCTCCAGCAGATCGCCAGGATCGATCTAGCGATCCGATTCCGACGCTTTTGCAGCGAGATTCTGCCTGTCTATGTTGCCCGCGGCCTCACAAAATTCAATCACAACCATAATCGGGATGCATTCTCGTACGGCGACGTGCCGGCCCTGGCCGAACGTCTGAAGCTCTTCATCACGCAGCAGGTCGTCGAGACCAAGGGTCTCTGCGACCACAGCGGAGCCGCGCACGTCTCCATCTCGTCGGTCCGTCAGTGGAAGCGACTGCTGATCAAGAACGTCGTCATGTATGTTCAAGAGAAGGAGACGCTCGACACGTACGAAAAGGCCCTGCGCAACGTCCTCAAGCATTCGGTCGATGAAAAGCAAGGCATCGTCAGCCAGCTTTCGGACCATGTCGCCTATCTCATCAATCGATTCAACCTCAAGACGGCCCAAAGGCGCCGGGCGTCTACGGAGCCCCCGAAGTTCAGCTCATCCTCAACGACATGTTCAAGAACCTCACCATCGGTAAGCCCGGCGAGACGATGCTGCAGAGGATCGCTCTGGTGCAGACCTGCTTCTTGACCGGGCTCAGGGTCGGTTCTCTCGTCGCCACCGATCACCTTGACGAGGACCGGCAGGGCATGAAGCAGAGCGACGTCAGCTTCACCTCCGAAAAGCCCGGAGCCTGGACCCTTCACCTGCGCATCACGCATCTCAAGGACTACAACGCCGCGGAAAAGTCGAACGCGATCCGCGTCCGGATGCGCCCGCTCCAGAAGCCGTCCAACATCTTGCTCGAGCCTGCGGTGCTCTTTCTCCTGCTCCTCCTCAACCGCGGAGCGTTGCGTGCCGATGGTCCGGACGGACCGGTCATCGGCTCCGTCGAGCAGCTGCTGGCATCCGAATCGTACCGCCTCGTCGGCGTCGGCGACGAGCCCATGTTTCGGCACGGCAGAGTCGACCGATGCCTGACGGTGTCGGATGCCTGCCTCCTCCTCAAAAAGCACACGGCGTCGGTCGGACTCCCGTACGGATCCTTCCACAGGCTCAGGCAGGACTTCGGTACGCAGGTGCAGACCCTCTTTGGCAGCGCCATGGCAAGGGAGCTGATGCATCACTCGGTCCAGCACGACACTCTCAACCGCCACTACACCGGCGGTGTGGAGCTCTTCGACCTCGTCGGCATCCGAACGGGAGAAGGAGCGCAAGACGCGACTCTGCAGGCGACGAACCGCGAGGAGGCCATCCTCTCCGGCTTTGCTCACCGCTGCGTCGCCATCTCCCTGCAACAGGATGGGACCGAGGAGAGGGAGGCGCAGGGATCGACGATCCAGGGCACCACCGTGCCGAGCATCAACATGAATCGCAGGAAGCGTCGCACGCACGAAGAGATCGTGGAAACGCTGCTCAAGAACAACGAAGCATTCGCCAGCCTGCATGCCCGCTACACGGTCGCCGCCGCCTCGCTCGAAGACGTCCTCGACATCAAGCTGCCCTACGTTCGTAATGTCCGCGGCCAGCAGAACCAGGTCGACAAGTCTCTACGTCGCCTGGCGATCCTCGATCGCGGCAAGCACAAGGAGGCTCAGGAAGCGTGGTCCTCGCTCCGCAAGCTGCGCGACGCCATGCAGAAGGAGAGGGACAACGACAGTCGCAAGTACGACACCGCCAAGAAGCGCAAGCGGGAGACCGCCGTAGCCAACGCCTCGTCGGTTCCCATCACGCGAGAGTCGATGAAGCAAGCGAGGGAGACGTTGAAGCCGCGCCGACCGCAGGTGCCCGACCGGGCAGGCTTCCGCACGGGCCTGCAGAGCGACGATATCTTCTCCAGGCAGGACGCCAACGAAGTCCACCGCATCTCGGGGCCCTCCCGCGGCGACGGCCGGCTTCCTGTCGCGGCAAGGCACGAGGACGCGACGGCCGACGCCACGCACCTTGTCGATGGTGTCGAAGAGATGGCGGAGACGCTAAGTCAGCAGCACGACGAGGCGGGCGCCCGTGACGACACCTTCGATCAGGGCCAAGTCATCGAAGGCGAGCTGCAGGATGGCTCCGAGGACGAGTCCGAGGCCGATGCGATCCGATTCCGACTCGCATGGCTGCGGTTCCTGGCAGGCGTCAGCCGCGCACACGAGCGAGAGTCGAAGCTGCTCGACTTTATCGTCGCAGCCGGCTTTTGTCCCCTCTGCCCCTTTGGGCCGAACGGCTCCTTCACGATGAGCGCCTCCAAGGAACGCATCGGCCTCTTTGCCGGCGGTTCCGGCAAGAGCCAATCGACCGCCCATTCGTACAGCAACCCGAGGAAGCATTTGGCCAAATTCCATCCCAACGAGCTCACCGCCCTGCGCGTAGGAAAGCAGCTCAATCCGGGCGTGGCGCAATCCCCGCTCGTCCCAGTGTACGCACCACACGTCGCCTTTCAGGCATACCCGCAGCTTGCGGCCCGTTTTTTCGCGCCGATCTCGCTGCCCGTATACTTTGACAGGCTGACCGATGCGCAGAAGATCGTCGTCGCCAAGCACATGAACCCGAGCATCTACGTCGACCGCAGCAATCCGTCCCAGATGGAGTGGGCCGACAGGGTGGTGGGAAAGCTGTTGACGTCTACGCCGAGTCGAACAGACGGCACGTCGGCGGAAAAGAAGATCGCATTGAGCGAAATGCGGTCTGCGAGCTACCCGTGGCCTCAGCGCAATCCCTTGTTCAAGTCAGGTCCTTTCACAGGCGCCCCAGGTCGAAGGTACCCTCTGTCTACCATGCACGACACCGGTCTCCTCCCGCACAGCGACTGTCCGACCACCCGCTCAGACGTCAAGTGGCAAGGGCCCTTGCTGCAGGCCATTCACCTGCCGGAATCTCTTGTCACCCTCCCGCTCCCTTAGGCCAGCATGGTCCGAAATCTTGTTCATAGTCTCTTTTCCCGCAATCATCGTTCGACCGCCGTGACATCGTCTTTTCACAAACGCTAGTATCGCGCGGCCTCGGTTTCTTGCGTAGCGGCTGACGGATAGCGGCGACAGAGTTGACGGGACTGAGGCGTCACGGCGAACCGCAAGCGCAGTCACGCCGAGAGAAGGAGCACAACGTCACACGTGTTGGAGCGTCGCGTGCGTAGAAGTGGTTGAGCACTGGTGTAGCGACGACACAGGCAGAAGAAGTTGATGCGAATGCAATGTATTGAGCCGAACGAATGTGTAAGATGGTGATGTGCTGTGTACATGTGCGACCAAGTGAGCGAGACTAAGGCTAAGTGAGTGAGTAAGGGGTACGTGCGCTGTACCCCTGAGGCGGTGTGTGCGTTATGCGACGCCTCCAGGGCGTGCATGGTGCATGGCGTAGGTGGGCATCGGCGTATGCAGGCACCGGGGTCCGAGCGCGCCGGACAACCACCAACAACACGTCCGTCGGACCGTCACTGGACCGAGTGCGGCGGTCCCATGCGTGCTACCCGAGGCATAGACAATGTAGAGAAAAGGGTCGAACTTGCGATCACGCCCCGAGGCAGTACCAGCACCTTTCGGATTGCAGTCTCATCCTCGAGTCCCTCTATATCCAGGTCTACGGAGCGTCGCTCAGCCCACCTTGACAAATGCAAGATCTGCAACTTGCCAAGTGGTGACAACCTCGCTCCTCACACTGTGGGGCCTACAGCAAGCCGATCCAACCCACCGCTCGTCCAAGGCCCGCAGCTGCGAAAGTCGACCAGGGCGCAAATCAGCCGCCCCCTTCCTCGGACCAGCCACGACGCCCCCGGTCAGATCAAAAGGCTGCAGAACACCAGTGCCACGGCGCTCTCAGCGACAAGCAAAAGATCGAACGATTCGACAAACTAGCAACACATCATCATGAAGGTGGTCTGGCCACTACCTTGCAGACGAGTGATTGTGAGAATGGTTCTGAACTATCTCGCGAATAGAGCGTGTGAAGAAAGCGAAGAACGGCAAAAGAGACAAGACCGCGCCTCGAATAGGACCTAGGCCGAGACGGATTGACGAACAAATTGCTGGTTGTGACTCTTTGTGAGCGTGGCCGAGTCGAGGATCTCGCCGTTGGTGGAGTGGATCATGTCGACTTTGAGCGAGTTCTTGTCGACAAAAGTGAGGCGGGCGTATCCGTTGTGCGAGTCGTCGACAAAGGCGTTGTACGCCGGGATGGTGCCCGCGCTCGAAAGGCCCTCGATGTTTCCGGCGGCGCCGGCGACAATGTGCCAAGGAGCCTTGGGGTTGTTGAGGCCGGCAGGGTCGACAGCACCCTTGTACGTAGGCTGTTGACGTTGCAGATTGTGCACGTGACCCGCAACGAAGAGATCCACACCGTATTGGTAGAAAATATCTTCAAACGCCGTCTGGCATTCGGAGCAGATATTGTCGCTACCACCCGTCGAGTACCAAGGCCTGTGTCCCAGGACAACCACCCAGGGCGTCACTGTACGGTCCACGGAAGCAAGATCAGCCTTGAGGAAGTCGATCTGCTGGGAGGGACGTCCGTACGGCCCGGCACCGAGGTTGGCGGTGTCCGGCGCCGAGGGGAAGTCGGTCTCGGTATCGAGTGAGACAAAGTGGACCATGCCGTAGTCGTACGAGTACCAGAAAGGTGGGAGAGCGAGTTTCTGAGCAGCGGTCGCATTGGACTGCGCTGCTGCGTCGGTGCTCGCCGTTCCGAACGTGGTGGGATGGGTGGGGCCAAATCGAGCATTGTAGTCGGTAAAGTTGTACTGACCAAGAGGGCAGGCTCCCTGGTGATATAGAACCTCTCTACATGCCGCCTCGTGGTTGCCTGGCGAGCTCATATAAGGCTTGTACGCCGAGACGGCGCTGAGTTGATTGAAGAAAAGCTCGGTGATGGCAGCATATGCGTCCTTACCATCGAGCAAGTTCTGGGGACGGAGGTACCAGTCGTCTGCGTAGGCAAAGTCGCCAGGATGGACGACAAAGTCGTACTGGTCCGCGGACTGTACGAGCTGGTCGATGGTCGAGTGGGACAAGCTGGGCTGGACAAAGGGGATGTCACGCTTCTTGGTGGTGGTGTAACCATCGGCACCGTAGACGCCCATGTCGATGACCGCATTGACTACGAAGCTGTACTGGTCGCCTGGGGTGCGTGCGCTCTTGAAGGAGTTGGTGGTGGAGTTGGTGCTGTCGATCTTGTAGTAGTAAGTTGTGGCGGGTGCGAGGCCGGTGAGGAGGACGTTGTTGAACCATGTGCGCGAGGTCGGGTAAGTTGACGAGGACGACGAGCATGCGCGTTGGGTCAGGGATGTGGGCGAAGTGCCGTATGCGACGCAGGACTGGTTGAGCTTTTCGTATGTGTTCCAAGCGACCGAGACGGCGTTGAGCTGCTGGAAGGCCAGACGGGTCTGTGTGGGCGTGGTCTTGTCTGCGGGGATGTTGGGGTAGGTGTAGGCATTGGCGGCGGTAGTGGCCGTCAAAGCCAGCACGCTGGCAAGGCTGAGTGTGATCATACTTGCAGCTCTTCCAATGAAGGCGGCAAAGGGCCAGGAGAAAGTCGTCTGAAGGGGAAGGACGAGGAGCGAATCAGGCGGTGGCTATTCGAATAGGTGTCCGCTTATAAGTGCGGTGACCGTATAGGACAAGCCGGCGGCTGGAGTGCTTCCTTGCTCGACGGGGCAGCTATGGCGATCTGCATGAATGCATGAGATGCCGAAGCTTCGAACACAGATCCGCGCAAGAAAGCGGCAAAGTACCATGCAACCACTCAGGACACTATGAAGAAGAGCGGGTGAATAGTCAGATCTGCGCTCTCACGCGCGATTCAAGCTCACGGCGCCGTTATGAACAGGCCGAGATGCCGTCAGGTCGAGGACAGCCACGGGGCAACGAAGCCAAAGCTTCAAAGCTTGCGGAAGGGTCACACGTGCGTCGGCGCAGCAAGATGAGCGTTGTGGACGACCGGCGGAGAGGTAGCCGCACGGCCAGCGGCCATGAAATGAAATGAAGAAGAAGCGGCAGCAGGCACGTTCAGCATGGTGGGTGCACTCTATTGCTACGCTGGCTCGGAACACGAATCGCCGAATCGAGAAGGTGAGGATCAGGAACACCGGGGCCGAGTGGATGGGAGAGAGGCAGGATGAGCACGTTCCTTCGCTTGAGCGGCTCGCTTAATTTGACAGGTCCAAGGCGTAGCGGACGTGCGAAACGGCGGCGTCGAGCGGGATCTGCCATCGGGGGATTGCCACTGCGATCTGAAGTCGATCGAAATATCCAGGGATGTGATTTCTCGGAGAAAGGGCAGCAGGTGGTCCCTGTAGCTTAAAATTCGAGCGGGAAAAAGGGTCCCACTGCACAGCACAGCACAGCACAGCACAGCACAGCACTGCACTGCACTGCGCTGGTTCTTGCGCCATGCAGCCCGCCGAATTCGAGAGCGCTTTGGGCAGTGAGACCTGGAAAAAGGGCGAGAACCCGACCACGCACGCGCGCACGCCCAAGCCGGTCCTGCTTCCCTTGCCCCGCACTCAGGCGGAGTGCTTGCAGCCAATCAGGAGCCAAAGCACGCAACCAATGCTTGGCTTGGCTTCTCCCCAAAGCATCCTCGCCGCTTCCGGGCAAAAGCGACATCGCTCCCCGTCGCCTTGTGAGATAGTTGGGACATGCTTGTTGCGAGCAAGAGCTTATCGCACGCAACTCGCATGTGTTGATACGGTGGTACACTCAAGCTCGAGAGCTGAGTCAGTGCCAAGGGCCCCCTTGAACTCAATCTAAGCTTCAGATTAGCGCCATCTACAATCAGAACCGTAGCAACAAGAGAGCGCAGAAAGGTTGAGCGTATCGTGCGGCCACCTCCAATCGCCGCAGCAGGCACGTTCAGCTGGGCCCAGCCAAACTTAGAGGGGAAGGAAGAGAGAGAGAGAGAGAGAGAGAGAGCGAGATAGACTCGCGCGTGAGGCTCGAGCAGAGAGGGTGCCACAATTTGGCGTGGTGGACCCTTTTTTTGCTCGAGTACACTCCCGCCGTGCTTGGCGGATAAGGCAGGGTGGCGGAACGGAGCTTCCCGCGCTCGCCGGTGCGCCCGCTCAACAGCGAGGTTCGGCTGTCCCAGAACCGCAACCGCCTCGCCTCGCCTCGCCTCGCCCCGCCCTGGCCCACCTCGCTTCTTCCAAATAGAGGAAGCCCTCGCACGCGAGTGGTGGCTGGCCCTCCTCCCTTTCTCCTCCAGGCACCGCCCTCGTTCCTCCATACAACTCGGTCCGCCATCAGCCTTTCCCTCTCTCCAACCAAACACTTCTGACTCTGTCCTCAACACCGACCCTTGGATCCGGCCTGTCAAGTCCTCCAGCTGCACGCTGCTGGACGCTCAGCGTAGCATGGCCGCCGTCGCACCGCCCCGTCATGCGCCTCTCGCCATGACCACCGCCGCTTCATCCTCCTACAGCACAGCGCCGCTGCCATCGCTACCCAGCACCGACGCAGCCTCGCAGCCCCCACGCCCACTGCTCCGTCCATCGCAGCCCCAGTCGGACGAACCTCGCCACCCCATCAAGCGCAAATGGCGCTCGCTCGTCAACTTCTTTGCGCTCCCTATCCGCGCCTACTACCTCGAACCGCCCGGAGAGGCCTACCGCGCAGAGCTCCGCGCAAGGAGAGCCAACATGTGGGACGAGAACGGCCTCCAGTACAACGTTTGGCCGTGTCCCGCGTACACTGATCAGGTGGGCGACGACGAGATGGTGCTCTTCAAAGCCCAAGAAGAGGCCGAAGCCATCGCCGCAGCGCACGCCCAGGCCATCAGGAGGGACCAGCAAGCACACGCCCAAGAAGAAACCGACGACTCGAGCGAGGATGACGACGAGGAGCGCGCGCAACAACCAGCGGCCACGTCGTCGTTGTGGCCTCAGACACCACCAGAAGGCGAGCCAATGCGCGCATTCGGCATGCCTTTTGCGGAACCTTCGCCGCGCTACGAGCGCAGCGATCCGCTCGCTGTTGCCACATCTCCGACTCGCCGGCGTGTCCGAACAGCGAGCAATGATGCACTCACCACACCGGGATTTGCCAACGGCATCACCATGTCGCGCCACACTTCGACTCCGCTCTGCGCCTCCTCTCCTGCACCAGGAGCTGCGGCGTCGTTCTTGTCGCGCAGATCGCGCGCGCAGTCGAGCGCAACTCGTCCTTCCACCAGCGCTACAGCGCGCACCATCTCCGAGCCACTCAGCTGGACGCTGGTGCGCTCCCAGTACTCGTACCCCAAACGCGGCCTCACCGCTCAGCAGCTCTCCTTCCTCAGCTCCGTAGAGAGCCTCGGCCGATTCGGCGTGCCTCTTTCCGCCGCCCCCTCAGCAGCCCCTTCCCCAGCATACGAACACAGCCCCTCCGCTACAGATTACGGCTTTCCCATCGTCAACTCCCGTACATGACCTCTCAACGCTACCTTCAGTCTCGTTTCTTCCACATCTTGTCATCGCATGCATCCTCTTCCCGTTCTCTTTGTCGCATCTCCGCATGTCTCTGATCCTCGTTGCGCTCTATTCAATCTCACACTTTCGCAATTCGCTCTTGACTGCACATCTTTGGTCTCGGGGTATAACTAAGTGAAGAGCTAGAAGATGCGACCGGAGCCTCTGCAGCGGTAGCATGTCTCGTCTCCGAACCAGAAGCTTTCCGTCATGCCTCGGCCTCCGCACTCGAAGCACAGGCGGCCACCGATGCGCGGGTCGCCAGGCATCACCACCAGCGCTCCAGGCGGTGGAGGGCGTGCACCGTAATACGCCTGCGCAGGCTGCACCGACACGTACGGATTCGGCCCGCCCGGATTGGATGCAAATCCACCGACAAATCCTCCAGGCGGCCCAGGATGCGCGCCATACCCGTATCCGCCCGGAACACCATGCGGGGGACCATGAGGAGGACCATGCGGAGGACGGGGTGGGGGTGGAGATCCTGCATGACCCGGGGGTGGCATAGGTGGAGGCACGTACTGCGATGGCAGCCGCTCGTTGGACGAGACATTGCTCGCATCCTGGTAGTTGGGCGGTACATCCGACATGCGTCCTCCCTCCGTCTCGGCATCCATCGTCGGCGTAGTGGGCGTGCGCGGTGGTCTCGCCGCTGCTGATACAGGTGCAGGTGCATGCGAGGGTGGAGCGTATCCTCCATATCCACCATACGCTTGCGCGGGAGGCGGAGGTCGACCACCCGCACCCGGGTATCCTCCCGGCACATGCCCATGGCTTGGCCGTGGCGGCATGCTCGGTGGTCCAGCAAGCACGGGCAGAGGCTTCTGAAAGTTGCTCGTGGCGTCGTTGAGACCCACCGAATAGCTCATGGCCGAGGTGTACGTCTTGCCGTACTTGTCCCAGCAGCTCTTGTGCGCATTGTTCGGGTCGCCGTGCTTGTACCCCGTATCGTGGCATTTGGGACATCCAGGCCAGTTGCACGGATACACGAGCAGCTTGCCCTTCCGCAGCAGCGGCTGCCCCGGAGTCGGCACTGTCGTGGGGCGATACGAGTCGTTCGGACGCACACTGCTCGGCCGCTGGCTGGACGAAGACGAAGAGGATGGCGGAGGACCCACAGGCGGCGTGTACACCGACGGCGAGGCGAGCGGCGGCGACAGAGGAGTTGCGTTGGACGAATGCCGCGAATGCCGCGAGTGATGCGATTCGATACTCGGTCGGCTTGGCTCGGCCACACTCGGCGTCACTGGAGGCGATACCGTGCTCGGCGCAGCATAGGTTCTGGGCGGGAGTGCAGGTGTTGACGAAGCGGCCGCACTAGTAGACGCTGCTCCGCCTGTAGGCTGAGGCGAGACGGCGTTCAAGAACGGATTTGTGCTGGATGTTGGCTGCGTCGAGCTACCCGTCGCGGAAGAAGCGGCGTGGACGCTGGGCCTCTGCTCCTCTGGTGCGAGGAATGGATTGTGCGACGCACTTGCGGCATTCGACGTGCTTTGCGTAGACACCACGCTGGCAGCACCCGCGCCAGTGCTGACATCATCAGAAGGCGCTGCAGCTGCCGAGCCGGTAGCTGTGTTGGTCGGTGGTGGAGCGGAAGATGGCGGGGCGTGGGCTGATGCTTCGAGCGGCTCGTAAGGCGGCGGAGGCTCGTCCGGGAGCGGATCCAGATCTGGCTCGTTGCGAGACATGACGCCCACAGCTGTCGTGCAGAGATGCTGCGCTGCGTAGGATGGGATGGTGGTGGACGGCAACTGCCTTGTGTAGATCGATATCCGCACTCGCAACCGTTGGACTGTGCACCGGCTCAGCAGCACAGCCTGCAGGCGGCTCTTGGCACGGCAGAGCTCTCGGTCGCAGCTTCCGAACCGCAATTTCCGCACATGTGGAGATTCCGCCCAAAAAAATACGGATCTCGGGCAAAGGGTCCGAGCTGAGCCTGTTCTCGCCAAGTCTTCTTCTAGCTCCCTTTCCACCTTCACGGAAGCCTGATCAGCCATCATAGCCAACGCTGGCTTCTTGATAGAAGCCTCCCAATTGCCTTCAGGCTGCATATTCGAACAGCCGATCGCTTCCGGAGTCAAATCCGACGACACTGCCGCCATGTCGGTCACCCTCCACACCACTCTCGGTGACATCAAGGTAAGTGCCTCAATCTCTTCTCTGTACCCTCAGTCGTACGTGGCCTGATCCAGCTCCTCAAATTGTTTGCGATATTTGTTCAGGTCGAGGTCTTCTGCGAGACCACTCCGCGAGCGGCCGAAAACTTCCTCGGCCACTGTGCAGCCGGCACGTACGACGATGTCAAGTGGCACCGCAACATCAAGACGTTCATGATCCAGACTGGCGATCCCACTGGCACAGGCAAGGGCGGCCAATCCATATGGGGCAAGCCATTTGCGGATGAGATCCGCTCCACGCTCAAGTTCGACCGCAGGGGCATAGTCGCTTGCGCCAATGCCGGTCCCGATACCAACAAGTCCCAGTTCTTCATCACGTACGCCAAGCATCCTCATCTGGACGGCAAGTACACCATCATAGGCAAGGTCATCGACGGCGCCGAAGACGGTGGGACTCTCGATGCCATGGAGGCGGTCCCTGTCGACGCCAAGAACAGGCCCACCACCGAGATCCGCATGACTGGCGTCACCATTCACGCCAACCCGCTCGCCCTCAAGTCAATAGGCAAGTGAAGCGGAAGAGAAGTTCAAACGAGTGAATGTGTCTACAAGAGAAGAGCCTCTACAAGCTGTCACCAGTGAAAGAGCGACTAGGCGAAACAAATCGACTAGGCGAAACAAATCGACGCTGCCCGCACAAGATTAACTGCGAAGAGCGGCAGCGCTAGGGAACAGAAATCGACATCAGATGTGCGCAGCGGTGCCAGCCGCTACGCCATTGCCGAATCCGTTGGTTCCGAAGCCCGTCGTTCCAGCTTGGTCGGGCGCCACGTTCTGCGCCGAAGGAGCAACGTAACCGACGCCTCCGTCCTGAACTACTTGGGCTGTGCCACCAGCAGCAGCGCTCGCTCCCGTGCCCGTAGCGGCGGTGCCCGCGCCTGCCGCTGGCATCGATGCGGCACGCTGCTGAAGCCACGCCAAATACTCTGGATCCAAGTGGATCTGACCTCGGTCGTCCACCACCATCCACGGATACTGCTTAAGGAACTGCGTCTTCGGGATAGGCTGCGACCAGCCCTGAGGAAGCACCCACGTTGCTTGATCACAAACGAGACAAGCGTCCAACACGGATCAGTCACTACATCGTTTGGTACGATCGCGATCCATCGCGCCGAGACATCCTACTTACGATTGCGGCAGAGGCCCTTCTCGGTCGCGTGCGTGTGGCCGAGCATATTGTCGATGAAGTTGCGCTTTCGCAGATTCTTCTGCAGCATCTGTCCCGTAGCCGGGTCGACGGGCACGAGGCGACCCGTATCCGTGCAAAAGTAGTTGTGCGTGAAATGGCCCAGGTACAGGTCCTTGAGCTCTCCGCCCAGGTTGCGCTTGTCCATCGCCTTGTCTCCGAATGGAAGCGCACCCCGTTGATGCAGCGCCAGGCTGCTCTCGACAAGACTCAGAGCCAAGAGAAGGGCGACTAGAATGCAAGAGTCTTTGATCATCTTCAATCGGACCGTGGCAGCGGTCGGGTCGAAGCGAGCGTGATGGTGGTAGAGTGTCGGCAGCTTGGTGCCATCGAGAGCATAAGCCTATTGCGAACGCAGGCGGTAATGAGATCGCTGAACCCACCACGGTACAATCAAGCACCCACTCAGTGCCTTCATTGTGCCCTCATCCCCTTCACATTCACGCTCCCTGCAAAGCGGTGCCCTTTGGTGGGGACAAGTGCAACTTCATACCAGCAACCGGGCCCGATGTGCCGATCATCTTGACAGCATATCTGTAATCGGGTCACTGCGACTCGATTTTTTTTGGTGGGCGTCATCGGAAGAAGAAAGGGACACCGGAGTGGAGGCAGCGGCTGCAGAAAAAGGCTGTCTTACTGAAGCTGCTGGGCCTCTCTCTCCCTTTGTTCCGCACCACCTCGACAAGGGTCACCATGTTCCGCTAAGATACCGCGCCCTTGAGGCGACGTTCCGACTACTTCATACAAGGCTCTACTCATCCAAGATGTCGCTACCGTCTTGCATAGTGTCGGCATCCCGACGAAGCGCACCACTCCTTCTACGGAACCAAGCTGCCAGATGGTCTCTCGGCGTAAAGTCTGGACCAATCCTGGAAGCAAGATGCATTGCATCGTCGAGCCGTAGCAGTGCACAGGTTCAGGACGAAGTCAAGCAGAGCCAACCGGAAATCTCGAAGCTGTCGTCCGAGGCAGACGAGCCCAAGCTTGGCAAGCGCGCACGAAAGGCCGTCCGCGCACGCCAACGCAAGCATGAGGAACGCGTGATTCGCGAGGCCAGAAACAGGGCCAGGGCCGAGAAGCGTGCAGAGAAGGCACGAACAGCGACTGCCCCCAACCACGATGCTGGTACCTCTTCTTGGTCAACATCACCAATAATCAAGGTCAGGCACGTGCTGCCCGACAAAGAAGCGCCCAAGTCGCCGGCACAAGCAGATGCATCGCGAGAATGGAGACATCAGGCGAGATCTGGGGACATTTCGACACCAACGCAAGGCTGGAATGGCACGCTCTTCAGCAGCCACATCTCTGCGCTTCTCAGAGGATTCGGCACGTTGCCAAATACCCCGCCCGTCCAAGCAGTCACACCTGCTGATCAGGATGCGCAGCCGCAGCGCGAGAGCACTCCCACAATAGCACAGGACGATGGCGCGCCAAAATCAACGTCCGAAGCGCCGAGTACAGGTCCGCCAAGGATGACCAAGTCGGAGCGCATGGAGTCGCAGGCGCGCGTCATCTTCCGCGCCATCCGCGATGCGCGCGAGCGCGGCATAGTCGACGAGGACGAGTCCTTCTTCTACCCATACCCCGAGGGCGTACCACCCAAAGACCAACACGGCAAAGATACGGTGTGGCTCAATCTCGGCGCCGATCCGGAAGCATGGGGTCGCGAGATTCCGACTGTCAAAGATCGGTGGCTAGAGGTGCTTTCGCTCGGCCTCACCAAGGAGATCACCCCGCAATCCCAGATAAGACGTCCCATGGGCGCAGAAGAAGAGGCAGATGCAGCCGATCAACTCGCGGCGCAGGATCCACTCGCATTTGAGGATCTTGTCGAGGACTACGACTTGGAAGATCACGAGCGACTGGAGCAGCTCGGCGATTCGATTGTCAACATGTCGTCGCGCCTGTTGGCGTATCAGTCGTTCCCGGACGTCAACGAGGGCTCTTTGACGAGGCTGTCCAACTATCCGACGCAAAACAACTTTCTCGCTCTGCTGTTCCAGGAGTGCGGCCTGGCAGCCAGGCGCGACGAGCTGCGTGACGAGCTGCGAGGGGCGCCCGAAGCCGATGGCCAAGACGCCGGAGATGGGCGCCCCAACGACACGGCGGTCAAGATGGCAGCAAAGGCGCTCGAGGGTGCGGAAGAGAACGAGCAGCTGCCGTCACTAATCAAGCGCGATGCCGACATGTTTGAAGCGTACGCGGCGGCCGTATTCCTCAGCCACGGAAACGACTTCAACGTGGTGCATGCATGGCTCAGTCACCTCTTCCGGCCGTTCCAGGACCAGGCGTATCGATTCATGGTGCAGCGCAGCGAGGCGCTCGCCAGGCTGCAGGCAGCACGTGCTGCCGCCGCCAACGCTGCGCCCTCATCACCGCTCTCGTTCCTCACTCGGGGCTCGCTAACGCCGTCTTCGACCAACATTGCAGCCGACGGGTTGGGGATCAAATCGGCCTCGGTCGATCCGTCATCAGTATCGTTGGCTTCGCTGTTCCCGGACCTGATGCGGACGGAGAAGTCGACGCCCATCCCGACGTACGCGCTGCAGGGAGGCAGCGAGGCATTCATCACTGACGAGTTCCTCACGGTCGCAGCGCGCGCGCGCAGGCAGAGGGAAGAACGTCTGCGCGAAGAGCTGCGGCTGCAGGACCAGCGCGAGCTCATGAACATGGGCTGGTTCCGCAAGGGCTTCCTCAACCTCAGCAAGGGCTTCCGGCAGTACGTGATGGGCAAGGACGTGGCGCGCGAGGAGGAGCTGCGCATGCGCGAGCGCATCAACCAGCAGCGTGGGCTCGGCGAAAAGGACCGAGAGCGCCTGCGCGCGCGCGAACGCAACAACGCCGGCATCTCGATCAAGAGCACGGGCAGCAAGACGCGCACGAAGATCACCGGCATTCAAGAGCATGTTTCGTTCAGGAAGGAGTGATTGCAATACTGATACCGTCTTAGAGTCGGTGCTGCGTGGTGAGGGTGCGTAAAGCCGCACTTGGCTTGTGTGGAGAGAGCCGTGGTGGTGACCGCCAAATCCGACTGTCGTGGTGAGGGCGCGCCAACGGCTGTGAATTGGACGCCTGGATTTCCCCCGCATTTTGGACCGAGCGGCCGATGTGGGCCGTGCTGCCGACCGACTGAGTGGATGGGGTCTGTGAGCGAAGGAAGAAGTGTCGACTGCCTGATCCGATCTTCCATCCTCTCGACGCTGACCTCTGTACTTTGGCGATCACGATGCTTCCCTCTGCACGACTTGCTTTCCGCCACACGCTGCGCCGCAGCACCGCCTCGTCCCCCGCGGGCGGGGTGCACGACCGCAGCAAGACGATCGGCTTCATCGGACTCGGCGCCATGGGCAAGGAGATGGCCAACAATCTGCTCACCAAGACGATGGCTGCCAACTCGGATCCTGCGGTGACGTTTGTGGTGCACGATACTTTCGAGCAGTCCATCACGCGCTTTCTCACCGCCAACACCTCGCTGCATCCGAAGCGCAACATCATCGCCGCCTCTTCGCCGGCTGGAATCGCCAAGCTGTCGGGGACGATTGTGACCATGCTGCCGTCGTCGCCGCAGGTGGAGCAGGTGTACACGCAGGAGAACGGCATCCTGGAGGGACTCGAGTCGCACGCCTCTTCCAACGACCCGCAGGCTTCGACGCTGTGCATTGACTGCACCACGCTCGATCCCGCTGTTGCTGTTGAAACCGCGGCCAAGATCAAGAACGCCAACTCGCACGGTGTGTTTGACATGATCGACGCACCCGTCTCTGGCGGTGTTGTCGGTGCAAATGCCGGCACACTCAGCTTTATGGTTGGTTCCGATTCCACCGAGTCGTTCCAGCGCGCCGAGCCGTACCTGAGTCTCATGGGCTCTCGCACCATCCACTGCGGTAAGAACGGCAACGGTCTCATCGCCAAGATCGCCAACAATCTGCTGCTTGGTATCTCGATGCTCGGTGTGACCGAGGCGATGCTGCTGGGCACTGCGCACGGTCTGCCACCCTCCGTACTGGCAGGGATCATCAACACGTCGACGGGCAAATGCTGGTCGTCTGAAGTCAACAACCCCTGCCCCGGAGCACTCGAGGGCACAAAGTACTCGCCTCCCGCCGACCGAGACTACGAAGGCGGTTTCGCAGCACGTCTCATGGCAAAGGACCTCAAACTCGCCATGAACACCGCCAAGCTCGAAGGCGTTCCTACGCCGCTCGGACAACTCACCGCAAGCATCTACGAGGCGCTTGGTGGAAACGACGAGTACATGAACAAAGATTTTGCCGTCGCTTTCAAGGCGCTCCAGGCTGCTGTTGGCCGCGAAGAGTTCCGTCAGGGCCGCGAAAAGGTCTAACTCCAGCTGACACTATATTTCACGCTCCACAACACGCTATCCGCCTCCACATGCCGAGTTCAACGTAATCCCACGCGCACCATCTTCGTGTCTCAGGCCGGCGACTCAAAGCTCACAACAGATGTCACAGGCTGAGGAAACGTGGCTGGTATATCCGCCGGGCCTGTACATATGGCTCCGGGCGAAATGTCTGATTAGTATAAGTGGTGTAGAGGGTATGCAAGATGCAGACGGTACAAGTACATAGAAAGCGCGATGCGCTGTATCGGGTGGGTATCATAGGTCACAACGACTAGCGCCAGCGCTCAGAAGCGTCGGAGCGAGAGGCCGGTCTCGGCGGCCTGGTTGAAGTAGGCCTGGAGCTCGGATTGGCGCTGGAGCTCTTCGTCGTGCTCCTGCCTTGCAGTGCGCTGAACAAGGGCATCGTAGTCCGAGACCTTGGTCACCTGGCGCGAGATGGCGGGCGAGGTGTTGGCGGACGAAGCCGCCGAAACCGGGTGGAGCGAGGCAAAGCCATGCGAGGTGAACGAGGAGCGACGCGAGCTAGCCGGAGTGGAGAAGGCCGAGTCGGAGCCGGTGTGGCTGTCCTTGCGGCGCTTGTTGAGCGAGGTCCTGCGCTTGAACACCTTGAGGAAATCGAGGTGGAGCGAAGAGGACGAGTGCGACCCAGAGGATGCAGATGCAGCAGCCGAGTGCGATGTGCCGGCGATAGGTGCGGCGACGTCGTCCGAGTCTTGCGTCAGGGTCTGAAGCATGGCGTGGCCGTGCACATCGGCGCGGCGGCGCGAATGCGAATGCGAGCGCGACGCGGTGGGATGATGAGAAGAGCTGGCGTGGTTGTGACGATATGTGGAGCCTGCATGTGCTGTTGGCAGGAGGAAGACGGGCGAGAGCGATGGCGAGGCGGTGGCCCCCATGACGGGCGACGACGGTGCGGACGAGCGCACCTCCTCCTCGTAGAGATCGCTGAAGGTGAGGTATTGGTAGGGCATGGTGTCCATGTGTCGATGAGGAAAGCTGTGGTGATGAAAGATGCGCGTTGTAGCGACGGCGAATGCGGGGAAGGTTATATATGTGCCGGGCAGTGGTGCTGCTGAGGTGGAGCGGTGCTGTAAAGCTGGTGGAAGCGTGGCAGGTGTAGAGGGTTATGCGGGGTCCGTGACTCGGGAATGGCGTGCAAACGTCACTGTGGCGCTGCGTTGCGAGAAGTGCGTGACTGTGCTAAGGTGTGTATGGTAAGGAAGATGAAAGGAGCGAGTCATGGGAGCGAGGAGATAGTAGGCGATGCTCAGTCGGCGCGGCGCTTAGCGGAAGGTGTGATAGCCGTTGGGTGACGTGCCGGCAAAAAAGAAAAAGAAAAAGCCGTCGAGTGAAAGGGGCTCTTGAAGATTCCTCCGGCCCTTACCGCCGAAAGGGTCGCCCAAGCGATGATCAACACTGCTGCTGCCGTTCAAAGGGTCTTGGCCGGCTTTCTCAGCAGCTCAGCTCAGCGCCCGGAAAAAGAAAAGGCAAAACCCGAAATTCTGTGTTCGGTGAAATTCGTGCTTAACTCAGGTGGGTACGCACGCGTGTGCCAAGCCGTCTAAGCGTCCATGACACTCTGGCTCTGACTAGGCCAGCTTGACTCGAATCCACGGAGGTGCAACGCGTCGCCACACACACTCCTACTGCAAAGCGCGACCGCTTTGATCCCGAAATCATGCCCGAAATCGCGTCCGATCCAGTGGCCGCTCCGGACATACTGGGCTCCACTCAGCCGGTCCCGCTGGGACCGGTCGCCAAATTGAAGGAAAAAGTCCGAGGCGTGCCACCCACCTCGTCATCGCCCTTTTGCTCAACATCCGGCCTCCGCGGAAGTGGATTGCCGCACCATCGCCACCGATACGCACGGAATGTTACGAGCCACTGTAACTTGTCGCACGGGATGCAGACTGGCAGAACAGCTTGTATCGGCCCAAATGAGATGAAAGCGCCAATCCAACAATGGGCATGCTATCGATGAGGCTGTGGGTGGGTGCGGCGCATGCAGGTCGGCGATTTGCGAAACTTTGCCTTCATCCCTGCAGCTGCCAGGGCGGCGCGTGCTGCACTGCCGATTCTTTCCGATGCTCGGCGCGGATCGCGTTCACGCCTATTCGACCTAACAATCGGTACTTTGACCGGCTAATCGTTGCAACTCGACCGGCGGCAACGAGTCTCGGGGCTTAGCGCCGAAGCCTCGCTTGCGACTCTGGCCTCGACCGGCTCGCCGGCACACTTTACTTCCGTGGACCGGAGCTCCAGCTGTAGTAGCCTAGCGTGGGTGGTAACGTCATATGATGCTTCAAGTGTGTTGCTCAAAAGTTGTCTTGAGTCGTGATTGTCATTGCGGGGTGGTGAATCGAAGGATCCTTTGAAAGCTCGATTCGCTGCGAATATTTTCCGATGTGTTAGGCCTTTGGCCTCAAAATTCGGGTGTCAGACCATACCGCTTCAACAGATTGCTTGATTTTGCAAAGCAAGACGAGCCAGCCCATTCTTCTCAACCTGCTCACCTCCCGAGCCCGTCTGCTCTGATGATCAAGGCAACATCGGAAAGCTGCGCAGCCATCGGATTTGGAGGTAGCTCTTTCGACTGAAGGAAGCCCGTGGAGAGCACTTCTGGCGTGCAGTGGAATGCTCAACGTAGGCAACGACCACTGTGCAGGTCAGGTGATCCAGTGCATGGAACATCGATGTCTGCTTTTCTTCCCAGCGGGCTTCCAGTGGCGAACCTCTGCGGCTTGACCAATCAGCGGCAAAGCAGTGAAGAGCCGCGAGACAGCTCGAAATGACCTCGGCTCGAGATCTGCTAGCTTTTCGTGGCTTATCAGATTAGTGCAAATCGACCACCAAGCCCACGCAGAGCCGAGACTTGCCGCATGTCCGCTTTCTCCTCTGGAGAAGGCGCAGTCTTGTGACTCATGCACGAGACAGTGCGGGTGAAAGTGTGGTTGAAAGTTAACTGGGCACGGACGGTGCGGCGACCTGCATGCCAAGTCATCGAGCCAGCTTGCGGCCAATCAGATCCCTCGGCTTGCGGTTGGGCGGCGCTCTACCAGCTGAAAAAGCGAAGTAGCGCTTCCTCTCTCTCGCACGCAAACGCGCTGCAGGCGCTGCGAGTGGGCAGAGAGCGGCAGCAAGCCGGGCAAACCGACAGGCGCGGGACTGTCGTCGGCTCTAATCTGATAAAGAAAAATCGGCTCTCGCAGGGACCCTCGCGGATTCAACGGCTCTGCACCAGTCTGCGTCTAGCCAGTCCGAAATTCGCTTCCCTGCTGGGCTTCCGCACGGTGCTCAGTCTAAGTGCCGCTGCCGCGTTCGCCCCGACCAACTGACTCGGTCCACCCCATCTCAGCCTGACTCTTGGCATTCATCCATCATCCCCAGACCTCATCTTTCTTCAAACTTCCGTAGCCGTCATCATTGCCGCTGCTCTTACCTCAGGCGACCCCTCTCGTCACACTCGCATGTGCGCGCGCATCACTCAAAATATCGGGTCGTAACAGCTTGCGCGTGCGGAGCCCATCCAGCCCCGATTCAAGCTTTCTCTGCTTGCGTAGTCGACCATTTTCACTCCAACAAGATCCAGCTGAGCTCGAGTGGATCCTTGACACCATGTCATCAGCATCCACGGCACCTCTTCTGCCTTCTCCCGGCCCATCGTCTGCTTCCATCTCGTCACCTAGAAGCGTCGCGCCGAGGCTTGCTTCGTCGCCCTCGTCTTCTTCCCTTTCCTCCATCAAGTCCGCGCAGCCCAGGAGTCATAGCTCGCGGATCGAGCCCTCCCCTCTAGCTCCTGCTGGTCAACCGCTCAGAGCTGCTCCGTCCGCTCCTGCAACGTCGTCGCAACCGCCAGTCAAGCGCAAACTGTCATCATCGAATCCGAGCCTGGCAGCTGCTTCGATTGCCCCTGCGGCCACAGCGGCTCCTTCGGTTCCCATAATTAAGAAGGACTCCAGCGGTCCACTCGTTCAGCCATCCAAAGAATGGGTCCTCCCTGCTCGCGCAAAGCCCGGTCGCAAGCCATCCGAGACCGAGCCCCTCACTAAACGCAAGGCCCAAAATCGCGCTTCACAGCGCGCTTTTCGAGAGCGCAAGCAGTCCTACCTCGCAGACCTTGAAGCAAAGGTCGCCGCTTACGAAGCGGCCGAGATCGACCGCAGCGTCGAGATTCAAAAGGTCGCCCAGAAGCTCAGCTCGGAAAACGATGCTCTCAAAAAGGAGCTTGCCGTCTGGAGGGACAAGTATGCGCAGCTTGAGAAGCTCCTCATGCACATCCGTGCAACCGGAAGAGTTCCTAACGTTGTGCCCAGCGTCAAGTCCGGACCTGGCTGTAAGGCTCCCGCACACGAGAAACCAGCCGTCGTTCCGAAGCGAGGCGTTCTCGTCGCGCCCGGGACCAAGCCCAGCAAGGACAAAGACCGTAGCGCCGGCGGCGTCCGCTTCGCCGAAGAATCGCCGTCTCAACAGGCGCAATCCTCTGCCGCAGAGTCCACGGCTGCTTCTATTCCGCTTCGTCGCCGACCCTCTGCCACTTCTTCTGCTTCTCCTCAGGTCGATTCGTCAGCAGTGTCTGCCACTTCCCCAACAAGCACGTCTGCAAGCTCAGCTTCCGCATCTGGCTCTTTTCAGGTGCATATCGAGAAGTCGGCTGTGATCGCATCGGTACCTATGCCAAAAGGCGTCAAGCCGCCACTCTGGTCGTTCGAACAGCCCCAGCCATCTTCGTCATCCGTCGGCCACGACGGCAAGTCGGAGAAGACATCTTCGCTCTCCTCGCCCTCGTTGCTTCCTGAAGGCAAGCACCTATCGGTCGACGGCGGGTGTGGATTCTGCACCGAGGCCTCACCCTGTGTGTGTGCAGACGACTTTTTGGATCTCCCCTCGGACTCGCAGCCGTCGCACATTGCCGTTGCAAGCGATGTCCCGTCAGCCATCCCCCTGCCCAAGCACTCGAACGCCTCGACTTCCTCTTCCAGCCCATCTGCCACAAGTACGGCGAGGAGAATGAGCATCGGCTCGCTCACCCACGCGAAGGATGTCAACCTTGACCAGCGCAAGCGGGGAGCCAGCAAGCTGTGGTATACTGTCAATCAGCCAGACTCGCCTCCCCGGGCACCCACCACAGATGGTACCGCTGCTCCGCTCAAGATTCGACGACCGACATCCGCGTCGAAAGCTGGAAAGAAGCTGTGGGCCCTGGCTCCTGCCGTCGAGCCGGTGTGCACGGGCGACCCAAGCACTTGTGGCGCTTGTCAGACTGATCCCGGTCTCGCTGCGTTCTGCGAGGCCGTGACAACTGCTGCGTCTGCACCTTCATCATCAACTTCCACTCCTCCTCCGAGCGGCGTTTCGGCTTCACCCACACGCCCGAGTATGCTTCGCTCCGGTACGACGGGTCGACTTGGTCCATCGTCTGTATATGCTTCCACGGCGCAAACGGGCGGCGAGACGATTCCGTCGGCGTGGCGCCAGATCCGCTCGCACCCGCGATTCGCACAGTGGCAGGGCGGACTGGACCTTCTCGCCGAAGTGGTGAGCAAGCGCAGCGGAAATGTGCGCTCGCCTCTCCTCTCCAATCGTTCGCGCGAAGATTCGGTAGAGTTTGAACCACCGACTTCGACGACGGCGACGACTTCGATGGCGACTAGCAACGATCGTGCCACGTCCAAGCCACTTCTCCTGCACACGGCCTCTGATACTACCATCCATGCTCCGTCGCCTGTCAAGCGCGAGCAACGCGAGCAGGATGGAGAGAGCAGAGACGCCAAGCGGAGACGCATTGTTGTCGACAGAGAGGCTGTGCAGGAAGCACTCGCGCTCCTCGACGCTGGCACTGCTGCTCAACCCCGCGTCGGTCCTGCTGGCGTAGCGACATCGCCAAAGGATGAGCCGTGTCCCTGCCCCTGGAGGCCAGGAGACAAACACTCACATTAAGCCATTTGTATCTCGTCCGACTATCGCTTGCATTCAGCCTGTATCGTAGCATGCTTGTCAATGTGATCTTGATCGTGTCCAGGTATCGTAGCCGTGCTGGTCTTTGCCCGTCTCCTTCCGCTCACATCATTGCTCCGAGTGATCGCGCTGCAGTCATTTTATCAAAGGTACATCGATTGGAAAAGAGGGTAAGGAACGTGTATGAGCGAGGGCTGACCGCCAAGAGTTGGGAGAGGGATCTGAAGAATCGTTGGTGTCTAGACTCGAGCTCTAAAGACACTATATTTTGATGAATGTGGGAGAAGGATGAAGGTAGCTTCTTGACTGCTTGCGACCAAGACGACCGGGCCTACTGCCTTTGTCGAGATGTGCGGGCTGCAGAACTAGTCTCGCTGTCGCGTCCCCTCTTGATAGTCGACTCTCCGATGGTAAGATCTTCCCACAGCTGCTTGGCTCTCTGTGCGCCGCTCGAGGTGTGACGAGGCGCGACGGGATCGTTGACTTCGGATGCCACTCGTCGTGAAGCCTTGATCTCGAGCTTCCGGAGCCCGTTGGTGAGGCTGGCGATTCCATCCTCCTCAGCGCTCGTGCCTTCTCTGACGACCTTCTCGAATCCGGGTCCAAGCGGTACCGGTACCGCGGCAACCATGGAGAATGTACAGGCCACCAGGGCAGAGAAGAACAAGATCTGGAACGCCTTCATGATGATTGGCTTGGATGGAATGGACGAGAAAGAGCCTGAAGGAGCTCGAAAGGGAGGTGGGCCGCAGGTTATATACAGCACTGCCTCGGCCGGCTCCGATCGATACGCCATGCATGGGCGGCAAAAGGGCGGATGCTGAGATGCGACCCACAACAGAGATGCCTGCGGTGCAAAACCGGAGCGGAGTGGGTCGACCGCAGGAACTTCGCATGCTTGTGGGAAAAGACGTTCGTCTGCTAACCCACCCAGCGCAGATGCGATCACAAAGCAACTGCCGGCCTGGGAAGATGGAAGCCCACCATGAACGTATCCCACCAGCTCAGGCGACAGTCGTGGGAAGCAGCGGAACTGTGCTTCTCACTGCAATTACGTGACCAAAGGCATGGCTGGTCCCTTGTCCTGCAAGGGACGGCTTTCAATTGCGATTGTATGGCAGGTCATATGTAGAAAGAGTGTCGGCAGTGTGATCGACTCTCAGGAGGAGAAGTCCCGGCTCGATGGGTCTGTGGTTGTGCTTGACGTGTCCGTCTTTGCCGTGAGATACGGAGGAGAGGGGGTCTCGTACTCCATGATGGTGTACACCCGCGGCTTCGGCTCTCGGGCTGGCTTGGTACGAATTTTTGGCAGAGTGACCAGATCAAACTCGAGCTCGTCGACCTTGTTTGTGAACGGAGCTGGCGGAAATTGGTAGGCGAACTGATGAGGGGCTCTGGGCAGCTGCAGCGGGGTGAGACGTTGTCTCAGCGCCTCGAGGGTCTTCTTGCTAGCCTCCTCTGCTATGGTCTCTGGCAGCATCGGCGCGGCTGCAGCTCGGGACGCGGCAAGAAGGAGCGTTGTCCACATGACTACGATGACTCGGAAAGGGTGCTTCATTGTGGGTCTGTTGAAAGAAAAGGAGGACAATGGTGGAAGCAAGGTGGGATGAAAGGTGGGTGCGTTGCCCTCTTCGTGTGAGCGCAGCTTCTTTTATATGCTCACCCCGCCAAGGCGATGCAAGCCTCAATCGAAAGGGTTGAACCGGCAACCAATGGTGGACATCGCCGAGATAAAGTGAGAAAAGAGGCCGGCAACATTAAGCTTTATGATTCATATCCGTACATGCACACGATCTCGTGTGGACACACGATCTCATTGGATCAAGAAAGATGGTGGCACCGTATCGACATCACATGCGCATTTTCAATGCAGGCTGGTGCACCCACCTAATGCGCTCTCTTAGCTTCGAAAAGCAGAAGAGGCCGCGTATATCGTGCATCACATGTCATACCGTATGACAATGCGAAGAACACTTCTATTCAGGGTCGAAATCCGATGTCATGGTCCCACTGCTTTGCTCGTGTGACGACCTGACGACCTGCAGCTGCTGCAATGCTGGACCAAGTCGAGCGGCGTCGCCATCGCTACGGAAAAAAACATATTGTGTTAGACCATCACTGTGACGCCACCGGACTTCAAAAAAAAAGAGCTGGTGATCCGGGCGACAGAAGTGCGGTGCTTCGGGAAGCACGGCAAGCGACTTCGGCTCAGCAGAAGCGTGTCGGACGAGAAACGAGAATCCCAGGAACGCCGCGCGCTGGAAATGCCGGCAAGACAAGCTGTCGGCCGCGCTGGTTGACGTATGCGGGTTCCCATGCACCCCACACTCGGCCTCGCCTTCCCCACACGACACCGACTCGCCCTGCCCGGCAACGCGACACCGGGCTGGTGGCTCATGTGGCTGTCATCCAGGCTGTATCGCTCGGAACGAGGTGGCGCGGGTCACAATGGCTCGTTCAGGGACTTCGACCCGCTCTGCGTCCTTACGACCGGCAGATAAGCCGAGCCGCGCTCGATCTCATTACCGCGCTCCACCACGGCTTGCACAAACCTTGAGTTACCGCGGCTCCGGCTGCAGCACCCTCGTTGGCAGTGTTTGAGTGAACGACCTTCGAAGAGAGCTTCATCTCACAGCCACGGCGGGACGTGTCAGCTGGTTGCGCTTTCCTGCAAAGTACAAATACGCGACCCGCCCATCCGGCGCATTCGTCCTGCCCCTCGCTCCGATGCCCTGACTGAGCTTCTCAGACCTGCCCCACGACCACCCGTTCGTACAACGATACCCAGGCCAGCCCCACAGTCCTTCATCAACATGTCGTCGGCCCTGAAGTTCCGCTCGGATGAAAGCTCCGTTGTGGGCAGCGTCGTTCGAATCATCTCGGCACCCTTGCACGGCTTATCAATTCCGACGCAGCTCCTTCTGGCCACTGTTGCGCTCTCCACGGCGTACATGGTGTACAATGTGCTCCTCTGCCCACTCGCACGCTATCCAGGACCTCTCTCCGCAAGACTCGGCATTCCCTTTTGGCGCTTCTGGCACACGCTACAAGGCGACTACGCTCCGGCCCTCTACGCGCTCCACCAACAGCACGGCCATGTGGTGCGCATCGGCCCCACCCACCTTTCTTTCTCGGACCCGTCGGCAATGAACTCGATTTACAGCCTCTCGGACGGCGTTTCGAGCAAGTTCCGCAAGTCCGACTTCTACCGCTCCTTCCAGGTGTTCAAATCGCACCCCTCGATCTTCAGTGAGCGCGACCCGCATCAGCACAGCAAGCGACGCCGCGCTGTCGCCAGCGCGTACAGCATGAACAGCCTCGTCAAGCTCGAAGAGTATGTCGAGGACGTATCGGAGCTTCTGCTCAAACGCCTCGATGAGCTTGTCGAGACTCAGGCGGTCACTGCCGACACACTCGAGGGCGGACAGGATGCGGTCAAGACGCGACCGGTACGCATCGATCCTTGGTTCCACTACTTTGCCATGGACGTGGTCGGCGAGCTGGCGTTTGGCCAGTCGTTCAATCTGCTGCACCGAGGAAAGGATGACGAGCGCTTCTTGACGGGCGTGCTCAACCTATCGCAGTGGGGCGCGGCTGCTGGCTGTCTCCCTTGGCTCTCTTCGTGGATTCTGTGGCTCTTTCCGCGCGTGACTGGTCAGCCCGGTGGCAGTGTGATCGGCGACAAGACCACTTCGCGCATCGCAACGCGCTATGCAGAGGTCGAGGAGAACGGCGGCATGCCATCCAGACCAGACATGCTCACCAAGTTCATGGAGGCGCGCGACCCGGACACCAAGCAGAAGTACACCATGAAGCAGGTGCTCTTTTCGGCATCCTCGGTCATGTCGGCTGGATCCGACACCACCGCCACCTCGCTCACCATCTTCTTTGGCTACCTGCTCGACAACCCACGATGCTACGAAAAGCTGCGTCGGGAAATCAACGAGGCTCTCGAAGCTGGTGCGCTCTCGACACCGGTCAAGTACGCCAAGGGTGCGCAGATGGAATACCTGCAGGCCTGTATCAAGGAGGCACTTCGACTCTCGCCACCCATCTCGATGGATCTTCCGCGTTACGTGCCTGCCGGTGGTGCTGTGATCGGTCGCAGCCCCCACCCAATTCCCGCAGGCACAACGGTGGGAATTAGCCCCTACGTTTTGCACCGCCACACGGAAGCGTTCGGTGCGGACGCCGAGGTGTTCCGTCCTGAACGCTGGCTCGAAGGCGGCGAGGAAGGCAGAAAGGCGATGGAGCGCTTCAACATGACCTTTGGCGGCGGATCACGGGCATGCATCGGCAAGAACATCAGTCTCATGGAACTGTCCAAGGTGATTCCGGAGATCCTGTTGCGATACGACCTCAAGAAGCCTGCAGTCAGCCCGCACACGCAAGCAGGCGAGTCCAAGCAGAAACAGCCCTCGTTCCAGGGAAGGAGCTGCTGGTTCCTCGAAGCACATGTAAGTCCACAGCCTTTCACTCACGCCTTGACACCAAGATCACGCAGCTGACATCTGCATCTCTTCAACAGAACCTTTTCGTTGAACTCGTACCGCGCAACGCAATCTGAGCACTGGCAAAGAAGCTCTTAATACAGGCAAACGGGCTCTAACGTTACTTTGTTTGGCACATTGCAATTCTGACGATGTCGACACCCTTGAATTCTCGAAGAGACAGATCTGACATTGTTTGGAGGCACATGAAGCTTTGCCTGAAGTGTGATTGTACGGTGGGCAGTGACGGGAGATCTCGCTCAGAACATGTGCGTCAGGACTCTGCCACTCTTGTCCAGAACGTAAGCGGTGTACGACTCGCCGTTCTTGACGACGAGGCGTCCCTGGTTTTCGAGCTTGGTCCAAAGGTCTGGAATGCGCGCGCTCTTCGCGTCGACAACGTCGGCAGTCTGGATGACTTCTTGGAACTTGGGTGTCCTGTAGCCGCGCAACCAGCCCCAGAAGCCACTAGGCCTCTTGCGCCTCGAGAACGACGGACCGAGGGTCAGCGCCTTCTCCACCGGGTCCATCGGGTACCTCCGGTTGTCTGCTCGCATCAGCATAGACCAAATGCCACCCTGAGCGTTAGCAGCCCTCACTTTTCCGCCCTTGGACACTGCCAGGAAAATCTTGTCTCCAGGTGCGCCGTCGGCCGAAGCTGGGACGTAGAATTTGCCAAAGTCCTGAAGCGCCTGCTTGGACCGCGCGATCGCGGTGGGGTCGCCAGTGGGGAAGAACACAGGATAGCCTTGGTAGAACATTACGTCCGCGTAATACGGCCCCCTCGCCGCACGAGCCAGAGGCTTCAGCGTGGGATCCTCCTTGTATGTCTGGGTGTAGTACTCGATCTGACTCGGCCTCCAGTTGACATCACGCTTCGCCAAGTGGCGTCCGGCGCCGCTGAATACACGGACGAGAACCTCGCCTTCTTCATTGAGCTTGTAGCCGATGATCGAGCCGGTGTCGGGATTGTGCAGCTTGAGCATGTGATGCTGGGCGAGCTGGGCACGTGCTTGTCGGATGTCGATCTCGTTCGTGTTGAGGGTGATTGCATTTTCTCGCACCTCTTGCCAAGTAAAGTAGGCTTCGCTTGGAGTGCGTCGCCGAGCCGGCGCGAATGGGGCGCCGAAAGCAAGCTTCTTGGCGAGGTCGCCATGCGCCTCTCCGAAATGACGCGCCTGATAGAGGCGGTTGAGCACCGCTTCTTTCTCCTCCGTGACCTTTTGGCCGTTGGCAAGGCGACGGAAGGCTGGAATCGGTTCATCGCGGCTGCGGACCGGGTCGCCGACGATCCAGAACGAACCGTGGTCGACCAAGGCCTGTCGCGCCATGGCGACCTTGCCTTCGCGTGCCAGGAACACGGGAGTGCGACCGTAGTGAAGGGTGTCGGCGTAGTACGCGTCGAGTAAGCCTGAGGGCGTGGGTTGGGGGCGCGGGTTCCGCGTGAAGAGGTACTCGTAGTAGTCGATCGTATCACTCCACGGGTTTCCGCCTGCACGCTTTTGCAGAGACTTTCGATGATCTGCAAGATGGCCAAGTGCCTCGGGACCATGATTGCCAGAAGCAATACGTCCAGCGTCCGAGCCTGACGAGTTAGGTGAAACGGCGGTAGAAAGGGCAGCCCAGCAGCCAATGGCCAAGGTCGCCCGCAACCAGGGCGAAAACAGCATGTTGAAGAGCGGTAATAACGAAAGGAATGGGTGCGGACTTGTTTGATCAGTGGCTGGGATGAGCGCCCTTCGCAACAACGCTTCTATATATGCATACCCTGCATCGAGCCACGGCTCGCTTGCTCCGGGTGGAACCAGCAGCTTGGGCAAGATGAACAAGACCAGTACCAACAAGATATCTTGGTCCGACCCACTTGTGGGTGAGAAAAGGGCGGGTTCCGGCAAAGAATCAACCCACCCCCAAGGAACCCCTCAGGGCATCAATGATTCAATCTTTTGTCCGCCTGCCCTTAATCAACCCACTTCATGCGCGCTCCGCCCTTCTCGGCACCCACTTTTCGCAAACCTTTGTGCAGAGCCACTCTCGCCCATGATGGTGGGAATGTCACGCAATTCGATGTCTCTGTGTACGATGAGAGGCAAGTGGACCTGCCGGAAGCAACTTGTGATGAACGTTGAGGAGCCTGCGGTACGGTATGCGAGGATCGAACCGCGGCTCGGATGCAATGTGCGATGCAATCAAGCGGCTGCCACCCGCTTGGTTGGCAAGAATGAGCAATGAGATCGCTCGAACCAGGTCATGCGAACCTTATCGCGTTTATAGGACGTGTTTGAGGACGTTGCCTGCCTTATCGAGGGCATACGCTACCGAGCTCTCACGGTTCATGACAACGAGCCGCCTTTTGTGATTGAGCAGTCTCCAGACCTGCGCAACGTCGGCCGTACTTCCATCTACGTGATCCCACAGCGCGGCGTCCTTGACGTTCGGAGTCCTGTATCCAAAGACCAAATTCCTTAGGCTGCTCATCCTGCTGCGCGGAGCGAATCCTGGACCGAGTTCGATCATCTTGGCGACGCGGTTTTCCTCGGAAACGACGGACATTTTGCGCGCAAAGTGTTGCAAGATGGCCTCCTTGGGCGCGACAGTGACGAGACCGGTCTTGTCGACCAGCAGGATCTCGGTGTTGGTCGGATGCTTTCGCGAGCTTGCCGAGACGAAGAAACTGCCGAAATCACAAAGCGCCTGTTGTTCTCGCTGCAGGGCTGTGGGGTCCGTGCTGGGGAAGAAGACCGGAATGCCCCGGTAGAACAGCACGTCTGCGTAGTATTGGCCTCGACGAACGAAGGGAAGTGGCTTCAGCTTCGGGTCGGGCTTGAAGTGGCGGACGTAGTACGCGATGTGGTCCGGCTGGGAGCGCTCTTTGCTCCGCTCCGTAAGCTGCGGCGTTTCTTCGCTCGACAAGGCCCGCTTCTGTGCAGGGCGCAAGAGAGACAAGCTGCGTTTCTCCAGGGCGCCACCGAGCTCGAGGGCCTGCGACGGCTGATTCGGAGGCTGGGCGAAGTAATTTCCCCTGCCGGCGGTAATGGGAAGGGCGGCTGCAGAGAGGGCTATGCAGCTGATAGCAGCCAAGGCGGGTCGGAGACAGCGATGAAAGAGCATGGTGCCGGGGACAAGGGATGAAAGAAAGTGGCTTGCTTGGATGATCCGATGTGTGTCATTGGGACGCTATATGTAGGGCGAGGATGCGCTGGTTGCGACACTTCTTACCATCAGCGGGTCGTCGATTAGGAATGGATTTGATGAGGTCGTCGACAGCCGAAGAACCCTGAGCTTATGATATGCCATGTTGAGGGCCTGACGGCCAACGAACGCAAGTGCATTATCAACCTCGTCTTTGTCATTCGGACACCGCCAGTCCTTCGGGATTCCATGCTCCATTTCACAAAATGCAGCCAAGCGAGAACCCAAAATGCACGGCGATCGCCTTGATTCATATGCAGATGGTATCAAGGATACAGCCGAACGCGAAGATGAAGGCACCGATTAGGACGACTTGTTGGAGCTGGTTTCGAGCTTCTTTTTGGCGGTTTCGAAGCCGGGGAACTTGACGCGGAAATCTCTCTGGTCGTTAGGATGGCCTACGGGCCATAACCAGTAATGGGGATACCTTGCCCTACCAAGATTCATCCAGAGCATGGCCCAGACGGTCATAATAACACTGGACAGCAGCACGACCGGCAGGTACCTCCAGCCGAGCTTGATCACCGGCGGACTGGTAGCAGCTAACAACGCTGTAGCGCCTCCGGGCGGGTGGACTGTATCGGTGAGGATCATGACGCACAGTGCCGTACCAGTCGCAATACCTCCGGCGACCCAGACCAGGCTGTGGGAGGAGTCGATGAGGTTGGGGTTGTACTTGCTGTTGAGCTCAAAGAGCTTGGTGATGCAGACCGAGGTGAGGGCACAGAGGAACTGACCGCCGACGAACGCCTTTGGTTGACCGAGGGGCGATGCGGGCGTGCCGTAGAGGATGACGCTCGAAGCGCCAAAGGAGCCAATCACGATGGGCGCCGTCCAGGCGGTCACGGGGTCGTTGGTCGACATGGCAAACTGGTCCCAGCGCGAAAAGGTGATCATGACGAAGCCGAGACCGAGCATGGCGCCGATCCACGCCCAGAGTAATGTTTCTAACTTGCGTGGGAGTTTCTCAGCGGGACGTATGAGCGCACGACCCTCGGTGGTCTTGCGACGGTAGCCGAGGAAATGGGCGATAGGGTAGGGAATGCGGGAGAGGCGCGAGACAGGCTTGGTTGGCTTTTGCTGTGCCTCAACGTCGGTTGGCGGCTTGACGTGTCCGGATCCTTGAGCAGACTTGGGCATCTTTTCCGGATCGATAGGCGCAGCGGCGGTGGGGGCAGAGTTGGAGGTGACGGTGGTGTGTCCCGATCGCGAGACGGTCTCCTCCTCTGCTGTTGAGGTGAGCTTTTGAGCCTTTGCCTCTGCCCTGGTCTTGTGCGGGTTCGAGCGAGCTTGATTCTGTGGCTCGTCATCGTCGGTAAAGACAAAGCCATCATCATCTTCGAGACTGCCCCTCACAGTCCTGGACTCGGATCTCCATCGCTGCTGGCCGTCAGCAGTGCCGTCGGTCTCGCCGTCGTTATAGATTTGGTAGACACGCTGTCGTGGCCGCCCGAGGAAGCTCGCCCTGGACGAGGAGCGATTGTTCTGTCTCGGAAGCTGCTCGGCGGTTGCACCGACAAAAGAGGCACGCCCCCTCGAACGAGAACGATTGATGGCGTCTGGAGAAGTAGCGCCGGCCTGGATGTCGCCCGAGGAGGCCGAGCTGGCGTGAGTACGCATGGTGAAAATACAGCGTCGCGGTCGTTTCTACCGTTGTAACTACTGGCTGATCACTGTGTGGTAGTTGGAGAACAAGAGGAAGGAGAAGTCGGCGCATCCACATCGACCCAAAGCAGGTCGGACATAGGCGGGTAAGTCCGACGCTGTCAAGACGGCGGTTTGGGCGGAGCAACTCGATGTACACAAAGACGCTACGCACAACTACGCAATCCGCACGCCAGCCGAGCCTCCGAGCCGAGGAGCGGCACGAAATGCGGGGAAGCGCTTTTTTGGCATTGTTACACCGACATTTGGCTCGAAATCGGCGATTTTCCCTGGCGGGTTTTGCGCAGGGATTCTGGGGTCCGCGGCCCGCTTTGTCCAGGTCTCGACCCGACAACCACCACGACGGACACTTGTTCGACCATGCAGCTTGGCAGGGCGCCGTAGCACGTCTCCACACACACAGACACCGACGAATGAGTGCGGAAGCGACATCCCTGTACGGCGGCGGCGGGGGCGGCGGTTTGTCTGTGCCCACGAGCGATGCAGCTTCGCCGTGCAATGTTGGCGCATACGGCACTGCGACGTCGCCATCGACTGCCTCGCTCTCGCCCTCGTCCGGCAGCGCATCTACGAGCAAAGGCGCGTGTCGCAGCTCGACGGGCAGTGTGGCGAACCTCCTTGCGCTGACGGAGCTGCGCAAGGCCGCGTGGGCGCGCATCTACACAAGCGGGATCTCGACTGGCGACGCAGCAATCTCAACCACGCGCATTCCATCATGGAAGCAGTTCGACGCGCTCATGATACGGCGCCACCGACACATCGCTGTCGACCCTCGCGACAACCGTACACTGGGTTGGATTGCGTGCTTTCACCCATACCCGCAACACGCGTGCCTGTACGACGATTCCGACGCCCCCTCGCACCCCACGGTCGACGGGAGGGAAGGCCGCGTTGCCGAGATCCAAATCATGATCGCCGCGGCCGAACGACGTCGTGGGGTAGGAACTTTTCTGGTCAAGGCACTGCTGGCGCTGCTGGGGCAAGATACGAGGTACTCGACTGTGCAGGCGAGCTTCTTCCCCGAAAACAAGGCGTGCTTGAAGCTGCTCGAGCGGTGCGGATTCGAAATGGCCGCTACAAGGCGCAATGTGGCAAAGATGCTCGATGGACCGCGCGTAGGCGACTGGAGAGACCTCGTCACCATGGAACTTAAGCTTCCGCCATTGCCCACCCTTCCCACCCCGGCAGCCCACCCAGACCGCACGCTTTCACCCACGTTTGAACTCGACTCCACCATCGACCCAACTGCGATCCAAAAGCGTCCGCGCCTCGAGTAAGCCATAGTCATGCAACTGTATTAATACAACCTCGATCTCTGTGCACGGCTGGCTACGAGTAAACGGGACGCGAGTGGCCATACCCCTCAAGGCCAAGTTCCTCCTCCTTGCCCGAAGGACCTCTGACGGCAAAGCCGTGTCTGTCTGCATCGCTCTTGTCGGTGCTATCTCGTTTTTCGCCCTCCTCCAGACCGAGCAGGTCTCTTCTGCGGTCCTCTTGGATGCCTCGGATCGACAGGCCGCGCAGGAAAGCGCCGGTGGACAATCTGCGCTGCATGCCACTGCGCGGAGTAGCAGCGCCCGAGTCGAGCGCACCATCGTGATCGTCGGCAAGGTGGAAGCTGTTGTGCTGCGGACCGTCTTGGAGGTCGTGTGGATGATGTCCGTTGGGACGATGTTGTGCTTTGGCCGCGTTGCTCGCATGCGCCGCCTCTATGGCCGCCGCGGCGTCTTCCTCCTCAGGCTCTTCCGAAATAGACATGTGGCGCAGCTGCGCCGTCGGACTTGCTGTCCGACGTGGAGTCTCTTCGCCATTGACACGCTCCGCCAGCTCAGAGCCAGGCATCTTCTTGGCTTCGTCCGTAACGTCGCCGGTCGAAACCTTGGCGTCCGCGTGCACAGAGTCGCCATTGGCCATCGTAAGCTCGCCCGTTTGTGGATCTGCGACGGGCGCACCTTCCTTGGGGAACACCTTTTTGGGTTTGGAGAGCAGAGCCTGTTTTGCATCTTGCATCTTTTGCGCGTCGGACTGCGCGTCACCGGCAGCATTGCTGACCGTTCCTTTCGCCTTGGCACCCGCAGCGTCGTTGGCAGCCGCACTGCCACCACCGCCGCGTAGAAGCTTCATGACCTTTGTGGCGCCCTTTTTGATCTCTTCGCCCACATCCACCACCTCGTCCTGGCGCGGATGTGCGTTGTGGGTATACCAGGTTTGCGAGCTGTGCACATGCGGAGGCACGTACGACTGGCGTGGCGGTGCGGCGGTACCTTGGGACTGGAGGAGGTGCGAGCGTGCGGCGACGCCGATGGTGATCGAGTTGGCACGCTTGAGCCTACCGGACACGGGGAGCGGGGCGAACTTGATGGCGGCGTTGCTAGAGCTGGAAGTGGTGCTTGCCATGGACGACTGTCTTGCGCGACTGGGATGTGGGAGGTGCGGACGGCCTCGCTCGTTGGAGTCTGTGGTGGTGGATGCCCAGGTGGAGCTGGCTTCCGAGGTGTAGGAGCGCGAAAGGTCGCTGAACTCGCCGACTTCGCTGGGGGTGCCGAGGCTGCTCTCGTGGTCACTGCCGTAGCCGGACTCGCTTGCGCTGTCGCGTGTGTCGAGCGGAGGCGGCGGTTTGAGACAGCCTGCGGGAAGGATGCCATCGCCTGCCGAGGCCTGTTTGCCTCTCGGATCATACTCGAGCACCTCGCCGCCTTCAAAATCGCTTGGGCGCGGCTCGGTGCGCTTGAAGGTCTTGCCGAGACGCTTGCCGTCTTTGAGCTTGATCTGACGGCCCGGAGTGGGTGGCGGGAGGAAGGTGGCTTTGAGTGCGGCCTTGAAGCCGGACTCGCTGCCGGAGCGCGAAGCCCTGCGCGTGGGGACGACGTCGTTGGCGTTTTCGAGGATGCCCTTGAGCTTGGGCTGCGAGGAGGAGTCCGAGTGGATGGCATTGGACTTGGACGAGTCGGAGACGACTTCGTCGGGTGAGGAGACGTCTTCGGACGAGACTGTCGATACAAACACGGGCGCTTGCTTTGTGGGCGAGTCGGAGGCCACGGCAGCACCACCGACCATGCCATTGGCGTGGGCTGCGGTCGACATGGTTTAGACGCTCGATGCTGTATTGGGTGTATTGGTTTGGATTGTGGTGTGGTCTCGATCGATCAGATGGGCGGCATGGTGTTGAATGTCGATGCTGGAGTGCGCTTTGCAGTGGGAGGTGGGGAGGGTAGGATGGCCAGGATGAATGCCGCGGATAACTCGGGCCGCTCAAGCTGTGTTGCTTGACTGGGCTGCACTGGCTGGGCTGCGGATTGGACGCCATGATGTCAATCGGCTATTCCAAGGCACGGCAGGGCAGCAACTCTGCGGCAGCGCGCGGGGAAAGTGAGCAGCAGCGCTCAAAATTGTGGAAAAGCCGATCCGAAATCGCCGCCTTGGAGCAGCGCGCCAATCGATCGCGGCTCATTTGGCCGAACCGACCCTTTTGCTTCCCTGCAAGCCGGCGAGACGCGCTCGGCTGCCGCGCTCCCCCACACTACTGTGTGGACCCTCTCTGTCCGGCCCCCAACAATCGGCGAAATGCAGCTCTGCAGAAGCGGCATCCTGCCGACATTTTTTCATTTCAGATTCTCAGTGCAAGGCGCTGGAGCCACGTCGAACCGGGCTCGGACTCACTCCGCTTCACTCCAGCAGGCTGAAGCGTCGGAAGTCGAGTTTGGCATGGCTTGGCGCAGAGCCGAGATGCGAATCTGGACGGGCGCCGCCATCTGCGTCATGCTTTTGTCGCGAATCCACCGACGCGACCCCGGCTTCTAAATTTGCTCCGAGCCCTAGAGTGTCATGTCTGTCGATCTGACATCCGCAAAATCTCGCGCGAATATGAAATTGCACCCTGCACCGGCTTGCTGCCCTGCCCCCCACGTGTACTAGCCACCGCCAGGCCGCGGATTCTTGGCAGGTTTCAGCACGGAGCACGCCATGCCTTCTTCTCGGCAACCACCGGCCGTTCAAGCCAGGATGATGCCTCCGCTGGGGCCCCTATCCTTCTCACCATCATCCGCTCGACCCGACGTGTAGCGCGCATCACCATCATGTCGGCCACACAGGTCATCACGAGGTCGCGCTCCCGCGTCTCGGTCAGCGCACCCGCACCGGGTCCTTCGGCGCTCAACACCCCGACTGCACCTACGCCAGCGGCTTCGGGTGCAGCGTCGCTCGACGACGCAGACTACGAGGACCGCCGCAACCTCAAGCTGAGTGTTCGACTTGTCGATACCATCCGTCACTATTGGGATCTCGGCTTCACCGCGTTCGGCGGTCCGGGCGTGCATGTGGTCATTCTGCGCAAGCGCTTCGTCGACAAGCTCGCCTGGCTCGACGAGACCACCTTTGCGGATCTCTTCTCGCTCGGAAACGCCCTGCCCGGTCCAGGATCCACACAGCTGGCGTTTTCCATCGCCGTCGCTCGCAACGGTACGCTTGCAGGTCTCATCGCCTTCCTCTTCTGGTCGCTGCCAGGCGCTGCAGGCATGGCCGCGCTCGGCGCAGGCGTGCGCAAGTTTCCGGAACGCCTCCCGCCCATCGTCCTCGGTCTGCTCACGGGCTTGAACGCCGCTGCCGTCGGACTGATCGCGCTGGCGGCGTTTCAGCTCTCCAAATCCTCCATCACCGACCCCGTCTCCAGGCTGCTCGTGCTCGGTTCCGCCTCGTTCGGCATCTGCTACCATGCTCCCTGGATGTACCCCATCCTCGTCTTTGGTGGCGGCCTCATCACGCTGCTCTACGACTTTCGACACGCGATCGCCAAGGCGACCATCGGCACAGTTCGCAGACGGACGGCGAGGTCCGCGTCCAATGGCGCTGTTGCTGACGATCCCACCCAATCCAGCCATTCGGACGATATCGAACTCGAACCGGTGCGCTCGCAGGCACGCACCTCGCTCGAAGCTGACACCGACAAGCATCAGTCTGGCGCTGATGTGCAAGAGCTTACATTCCAGAACGGGGCTGCCACCGCGTCAGCGAGCTCGATCAGGCAGAGAAACGCAAGCACCGTCGAGCGCACCCACTCGGCCAGTGCCCACCAGAGCGCGTCCGCGTCCGATGCACCGCTGACAGACCGCCGCACGCCCATCATGGTGCTCAACCGCACCATCGCTCTCGCGCTTGGTGCTGCTTTTATCGTCTTGATCGTCGCCGTCGTCGTCACACGCTCGCAGCTCACCTCGCCACCACGTGCGCTCGACTTTTTCACAAACATGATGATCGCAGGCGTCATCATCTTTGGCGGCGGCCCCGTCGTCATCCCGCTCCTGCGTGGATACACGGTCGAGAATGGCTGGGTTGACTCGAGAGACTTTCTGCTTGGCTTTGCCATCCTGCAAGCGTTCCCCGGGCCCAACTTCAACTTTGCCGCGTATCTGGGCGTGTTGTCGCTGCCGTCGAATCCTGCGCTCGGTGCGATCCTCGGTTGGCTCGGTATCTTTTCGCCCGGGCTGCTGCTCAAGTTATCGCTGCTGCCGCTGTACAATACGTGGCGCAAGCACGAGGTGGCCAAGTCGGTGCTGCGCGGCCTCAACGCCTCGGCCACCGGTCTCGTCTACACCGCCGTCTGGCAGCTCTTCCTCGGTAAGCAGACCCAACATCTTTCGTTCGTGTAAGAATCGTGCTGACGAGTCGGCTTTGTATTTTGCGCAGTGGGGTATATTTATACGCCCGCAAGGGGGGTGGTGGTGGAGGCGGCGAGCCAGAGCGGACCGCTTACCTCGGATCCCTTCTGGGGCGTCGTTGCTAGCTCGGCGTTCGTCGCGACACAGTGGTTCAAGAGTCCGCCTGCGGTCACTATCGTCGCGGGCGCAGTCGCTGGTCTGGCTTGGTACGGTGTGGTGGGCCCGCATGGGACTGAGCGTCAGCAGGCGTTCTTCTGATTTGTAGACAGCCGCACCCCTTCTACTGTACAGTATGAAGCGTTTGCCGAAAAAAAGTGTCACCTCGAACCTCCACTTTTCAGCGCGGCGGAATTGACTGCCGGTTGTATTCATGCATGCCCTTCCCTTCCCACTCTGTCTGCAAACACCATCTTGCCAACGACCAAGGTTCTCTACCTGTCTATTCGAAGTCAACATGAGTGCATCGACATTGGCAACGCCTGTTCCGCCCCCGCTGCCCGTTACACGCACCGCACAGCCGCCGCCGACGCACGTCGAGTTCCTCCTCTCGCAAGTGCGGTCCAACCTGCGCTACCTCTCCGAGATCGGCGCATTTGACACTCCCACCTACCGGCAAATCCACGATCTCCTCGTTCGCGGCACTCTTGACCCCCACGCCGTGTCTCCCAGTACGCAACTTCCTCCATCACGTCCTGTCGAGCGCTCTGAATCGGCCGATGAGCTGGGCAGCAAGAACGCCTGGCTGCGCAAGGTGCTTGCCGAATCATCAGTTCTGCCTACAACTGTCGAGACCGCGCTGTCGCTGACAGCGGGGCCGCTGCTGTCCGACGATCAGAAGGAGGCAATTGTGCAGCTCGTCGAGTACTCGCAGCAAGGCGTGGCGAACAAGATCACCGACCCGACATTGCAGAGGCGCATGGGGTCGGGCGCTAGGACTGCACAAAGCTCGACGGCGCGCAAGGTTTCGAGCTGGAGTAAGGGGTTGAAGCAGGACCGACAGAAGAAAAAGTCGCAGAGTGAGGAGAAGAAGGATGGAAAGAGGAGGGAGAAGGAGGAGCGAAGGCAGATCAAGGCGGAGCTGAAGCAGGAGCGGAACGAGGTGATTCGCATGCGCCAGCAGCAGATGCTCGGTGCCAATGCAAGTCAAGCATCGGGGATTACTGCCAGTCCTGTGTCCGCAAGTAGAGCACCGGCAAATGTGGACGACGATAGCAGCAGCCAATCGAGCTCCGAGGACGAAGCACAACTCACCAACCACGGTCCGATCAACAGCCGTGACTTTGCAACGGGTGCAAGTGCGATTGCAGACACTGCCACGCTCACCGTGCTCTCCCAGCCCATCAGGGGCAGCGAGGATAGTGTGGGCGGCACCAACACCACATTTGTCGTGGAGCCAGGGCTGGCTATATCGTGCTCGCTCGTCGTGATCAAAGGAAGCCAAGTGCAGGATCAGCTCGAGCGGGTGCGTGAGACAGCCGCTGCAACTCCAGCAACAGTCCCGGCCGAAACGGCTTCGCAGGCGACGATTCCTCCACCGAGCCATCCCGACGTGCTGGCGGTGAGGAGGCAGAGCGGCAGTGCATCGCAGCCGCCAATACCGCCTCGACCCAGCACACAGAGGACCAGTTGAGCTATGCACTGTCGCGGAGAGAGATAGGGCAAATGCATAAAATCCTGTTCGGTGTCACTCTGTGACTTTTTTGGCGGCGCGATGTTTGAGCTCTGAGCCGCACGGACGGGAGAATTTGCAGAAGCGGGATTGGTGCTCGGCAACTTGACTTGTTGCTACCACCACGACTACATCCGCGTCTCGACTGCACGTACACCATGTCGGCATCCGTATCGCTGCGCAAGCGGCGCTCAGTTGCATCACGACCCATCACCAACCGGCCGCAGACCATCACGGGTCAACAGAACAAAGCGCTGGATGCTGAGCAGGAACGCGAGCGCCAGGCCAAGCAACTCGACGCGCGTCGTCGCCGTGCCCGTCGGCGACTCGACGAACTCGAGCGTATCAACTACCGCGATGCGCCCACCGCCTCCTCCTCCACCTCCGTCTCTACTCCGATTGAGCCTGCAAACGAAGCTGCGGTCGATGTCGAGGGAGCTGGGTCGGCAAGTGCAGGCGTGAGTGTGGCACAGCGACGCAGGAACCAAGCCGAAGTCAAGCGCATCCTGGTCGCCGGACGGCGCAACCTGCACGCGGTTGTCGAGGAGCTCGTGGATCAGGGAAGGTTGCCGCTGGTGCCGGGTAAGGATGCGGCGAATTGGAGGAGTGTCAGGTCGGCCCCGCCCACTCGGCCAGCGCGCAGGTTTTGCAGCATCTGCGGCTTCCATGGCGATATGGCGTGCACGAGGTGCGCTCAGAGATTCTGCTCGAGAAAGTGCAGAGACACGTAAGTCCCCCCTCCCCACCGGTGCGAAGGCAAGATCCGTTCACTGACACAAGCCTGAAAAACAGCCACGACGAGACGCGCTGCGACCGCCCGCTTCGCTAAGGACCCTCCCATTCCCAGATATACCCAGCTTGCAACTATACCACCGCACTTGCTCAGCATGCCCAATCAGCGTGACCATCTCCATTTCTACTTGCATCTAAGGTCAAGGTCTAGGGGGCTCAGAGGCCGGCAATGACGTTCTTGGCGTTGGTGGATGAGTTGGGCTCCATATCGGCACCGGGCGTTTCGATTCCGCCGCGGAAGGTAGTCCCCACCCCGGCCACTCGCGTCTCTGGCCCAAGCTCGGCGAATCCCACCTCGGGATGGTCGGCATCAACGTACATATCCAGCTGGACAGTTTCCCATCCCAGCCGCTTTGCCTCTGCGGGCGTGGGTGGGGTGTAAGTCGCATAGGTCGCATGGCGCGGATGCACCAGCGGGGCGTCTTTGAGCACGCGCGTGAGCAGCCAACCCATCCTCAGCGTGCCGTGCGCAGCAGCATCGGTGTTGGGTTCCGAGGCAGGCGGAGCGTTGGCAGCAAACCCGGTATCCGAGGGGTTCAACAGTGCATCCTCGGCTCCACGCTTGTCGGACTGCAGATCGCGCTCGAGCGATGCCACGCGTGCGGGGGAGTCTGTACCTTCCACCCCAGCCGCTGGGGTGGAGCTGCCCGATGCAGGCTGCGAATCGGTCCATCGACTTGCGCGGCCGTCTTCGCCCGGGAGAGTGTACACCGGCAGCGCCTCTTTGGGCATCAACTCGACCTCCACCCGCTTGGTCTGCACCTTGTCCGATGCCCATCGACTTCTGGCTCGCACTCGCGCTTTTTCCTCGGGCGAGGTATGCTCGAACAGCGCCGCGATGAATTCGGACGTGGGACGGTACAGCCACCTCCTCGGCCGAATTCCCTCGAACCATCCCAGATGCCCACCGCCCTTCGTCCAGGCGAGAACCACGTTCTTATTGCATCCCTGTGCCGAAGCGGGATCCATGGGTGAGCCATCGGCATTGCGTCCAATGGCAGCACGGATCTTGTGCCAAATCTTACCCGGCACAATGGGATCGTCCTGGGCGGATAGACACAGCAGCGGGCGCTGGACGTCGCCGATGTTGTTGGCGCATCCGCCGTAGTGGTAGTAGTCGTCGGCGGTGTCAAAGGGGAACTCGCCGTACGGTTTGGGCAGGCCGCCGACAAAGCGCGTCATGGTCTGGTCGGCCGCCTTGAGCGAGCCGCGCTTGATGATCGCTCGCTCGCCATCGCGGGGCCCGCCATTCTTGGCATGCTGCTTGTACACCTCCAACTCAGCCTTGGGCTGCGGGGGTGCGTCGTACAGATCATCCAGCAGCGCGCGGAAGGGCGGATGCAGAGCCAGCGTGTCCTTGTGCTTGCGTGCCATGCGCTGCAGATTATGCCCCATGGCCATCGAGTACTTTTGCGACAGAAAGCCGCCGTAGTCGAGCTCGTCTGCGCCCGCCTTGAGGTCGAACGGCGTACCTACGATGATGCCTCCGAGTAGCGGTGTGTTGTCGCCTTCCTCGCCGAGATAGCGGCCGAGCACGTTGGCGCCGAGCGAGAAGCCGATGCCTACCAGCGGCGAGTTCGGGTACAGCTTGGTGATGAGCAGCAGCGCCGAGCGTACATCGGCGATCTTGAGTGCCGAGTAGAGCTGCGGCGATGTGACGGGTACATTGGCGCATCCGCGGAAGTTGACCACGATGCCGCGGTAGCCCAGCCCACCTTGGGACTTGGGTTTGGTGAGGTGCGAAAACACGTTGCGCACGTAGCTCTCGTGGCTGCCGCCCGTGAGGCCGTGCAGACACACTACAGTCGGCAGCCCATCCGCTGCCGGGTGGCTCTGTGCGCGTAGCTGCTCCTCGCTATCAGCCAGCGCGGGAGGCGAGATGTCGAGACCGACAGTACCGCCGTCTGGAACGACAAACACGCGCCGCTTGTACTCGACGGCATCGATCTGGCTAAAGTTGCCCACGGCCGAATAGATGGTCTGCAGATGGCCCGTCGACAGCCACGGCGTAGGCTTGTACGTCGGATTCTTGGCTGGGTTGAGCGTCTCTGTGGCTGCGAGCAGCGTCTCGATGGACGGCGACCGTCTGGCTCGCTCATCCGACTGCGGCTGCTTGCAGTACTCGACGTTGACCGCAAAGAGCGAGTGCGGAGCGACGGGCGACAGGATCGTCCTGCCCAGCAGCGTAGCTGTAGAATGTAAGAAGCCCGACATGGCTGTCAGTCGTGCAGTTGCTCCTGCGTGTCTATGACCGATGGACGTGGTGGGGTGGGAACGAGGTGCGTGTCGAGCGGTAAGCAAGGGCTGTGCAAGGTCGCACCCACCAAGCAGTCTGCATACACCAATGGAAAAAGTTTCCGAAGTGGAGGCGGCATTCGGCTTTATGCAGCAAACTTGGCCGCCGTGTGCTGTGCGGAAAGGCAGAGGTGCGGACGACCATCCGGGCCGGTGATTTGTAGTGGCTCCGCTTCGAGGGTTCGAACCGGCGCGTATCGCTGATGCACGCCAAGTTTGGCCCTCCAAATCGAGCTGCCCGACTTCCGCGTGCCGATTCGCGGAGGCGCGTCAAAGTCGCTCGAAGCAAGGCGAGAAAAATTGGGAGTGATAGACTGGTCATCGTCTCGGAACTCGGATGAGAAAGCGGGTTCAGGGTCCAAAAGCGCTTGCGCAGCCATCCGAGTGGCCCTTGCTCTCCGCATCCTCTCTTACCCTCTGAACGCACACACAACATGTCTGCCGATCTGAACGTCGATATCCACAACGTTGCGTCCGAAGCCGACGTGGACGTGAGCTCGTCGCTCTCTCAGCCGCTTCCCACCACACCGGCGATGGCACGCACCGAAGCCATGTCGCTTCTGGCGCTGCAAAAACAGCTCGACGGCTCGATGCAGCGTCACCTCGATGTGCTCGCTGCCAACGGCGTCACCATGCAAACCCCCCTCATCGATGCCCAAGGCTTTCCGCTGGCAGATAAGGATCTCATGGCGATTCGAACAGCACGCCAACGCATCAATGTGCTTCGCAACGACTCGCACGCCCTCCGAGACCGTGTAGCAAAGCTGCTCGAACTCGCCATCAATGGAGACACCCCCGCGTCGAATCCCGCTAGCAGTACACAGAAGGAGGTGAAGATGGATGCGTTTGCCCGAGTCAATAGCGTGGCTGACAGCAGTCCGGCACAGGCTGCAGGGCTGCGCGAGGGAGATCGCGTGGTGAAGTTCGGAAGCGTCACGGCACAACATCCACAGGGACTCGCAGCACTCGCCGCGCAAGGTGCCGTGGTCGATGGCACACCCATTCAGCTGCTGGTGAGCAGGGGAGGTAGCAGTGCACAGGTGGAGATCACGTTGGTGCCCAGGGCAGGCTGGGGCGGAAGAGGGTTGCTTGGCTGTCACCTCGTCCCCATCTAGCCCGCACCTCCAAAAAGCAATTCAACACGCTCGTACTCGAACTCATCTTGATCATCACACAGCGGCCTCATCGGTCTGCAAGGGCGTCTACATGCTTTGGTTTGCATTTCCAGAGGTCTTTTGGGTCAGCGGTTGGAGGTGCCGCCGTAGGAGGAACGGTGCGCGCCGAGACTGGCACGGCCCTGTTCGAGCAAGCTCTGGTGTTCGTCGGGATCGGCCTCGTGGTCGCTGCACGAAACTGTGCTGGTGGGCCTGGCGGTACGACTTGTGCTTCTGCCTCTTCTGCGTCTTCGCGATGGGTGCAGCGGTGCGCCGTGGTCGAGCGTGTATAAGCGTGGCTCGAGGACGAGTTGTCCCGATTCGTCTCGGCGCAGCTGGTGGTGCGGACCCAGCTTGTGGCCGCTCGACACACGCCACGAGGCACGGTCGTCCCAGGATCCATCCACGTGGTATGCGCCGTGCACCTCGGCATCGTCGCGGTAGCTCGATCGACGCCTGTTCTCGGGCCGGTGAACGCTCGAGTGCCGGTACGATTCAGAATGCTCGCTATCGTCCACGCGCGAGCTGCGGCGCGAGTCCGTCCCACTCAGCGAGTAGCGCGAGTCGGGATGGTCGCCCTCTTCGTAGTCCGACTCGTCCTCGTGACGGCTGCGACCGGGACGCGAGTATTCGCGCGGCTGCGCGTGTGCATGCTGGTGTTCTGCACCCACCGACGCCTCGGATCCATCCTGCGCGCCATCATCCTCCTTGTCCTCGTCATCACCTGCGTCCGACTCGCCATCGAGCTTGATCGACTTGACGTCGAGGTACTGGAACGCGATCTTGACGAGCGGGATGGCGAGCGAGTGGCCGATGATCGACGACAATATGAGCGCGTATGTGATGGGCTTGGCCAGCACGCGAATGCGCATCGCCACAGGCGACGGATCATCCGGCTTGAACTCGTCCAGAATCACGCCGAGGTAGAACAACGCGCCGGCACCGATGGGCGCAAAGTAGCCCACGAAGCACGCCTCTGCCACGTCATGCAGCGTGGGCACGTAGCGGTAGAACGCGATCATAGCGGGTAGCCTTCGCAGCAGCAGCACGAGCACGCACATGAAGACGAGCTTGGCGGGCGTGATGCCGTTGTCCGGGTCGTTGAACGCATCCCATGGAATCGTGGCGCCGAGGAAGCTGAAGAAGACGAGGTTGAGCAGCAGGTCCAGGCAGTTATCCACCTCGGACTCTTCGCACTGCTCGCGGTAGAAGTCGGTCCAGGAAAGCGCATTGCCCGCGACAAAGGCGGCAAGCAGGTCATCGATCTGCAGCACGCCACCAGAGCCGATGATGAATACGCCCATGGCCGCACCAAACAGCAGGAAGCTCTCCTTGTCGATCAGGTTGCGGTCGGTGGAGAACTCGATGAGACGGCGACACACGTAGCCGACGAGGATGCCGTAGACGATGGCGCCGCCGACGGTGTAGACGCACGTCTTAAACAGCCAGCGGGTGAGCGCCTGGGTGGTGGAGTCGAGCTTGATGAGGTGCACGGCGAGGAAGAGGAAGGGGTAGCCGAATCCGTCGTTGGCGCCGCTCTCTGCCGAGATGAGGTTGCGCAGCCGAGGCGATACGTACTGATCGGCAAAGGCGCCCTTGACGATGGCGTTGGACAGCACGGGATCGGTGGGTGTGGCCGAAGTAGCAAGCACAAGGCCGGCCAGCAACGGAAGCGAAGGGATGACGAGCCAGATGCAGAAGGTGGTGGCGAGCCACATGACGGTCATGATGGGGATGAGCAGCACCACGAGACTGCGCAGCTCGATCCACGGATACTTGTACGGCAGCTGTACGCCCACGAGCGTGAGCTGGATGCCGATCACCACGCGGCAGAGGCCGAGCGAGATCTCGTCGACATCCACCTCCTTGGACGCCCAGTTGAAGATGCCGCCCAGACCATAGGGGCCCAGACAGATGCCGATGAGCACGGCGAGCGGCGCCTCTCCCAGGTAGAGCCTCTCCTTGATGAGGTAGGAGAAGGTGCCGTACGCCACAAAGAAGAGGCCGAACGAGGTGCACAGGAGGTTGAGCGTGGTCACCTCGAAATTGATCGCCATCTTGACGGCGGCTTCCCAGCGAGAGAGGTGCGAGTGACGAGCGATGCTGGCGAGGTCATTCGCTGTCGTGGCTCTGGTCGGGAGGCTACGTGGTGGAGAGAACAATGTCGCGGTTGATGATGCGCGCAGAGAGAGAACAGCAGGAGGGTGGAAGCAGCCGAGTTGCAATTCAATGTGACCTGTGCGTACATGCGTGTGTGGAGCTGCCGCTGAGTGTGCACATCAGCAGGGGCTTGCATACTGCAGCCGGGGTCCAAGCACGACCACTCAGCAGAAACGTCAGCATCGCTTCACCCAAGAAAAATAGGCGAAAAATGGAAAGCAAAATTGCGTGGAAAAAATGGGGATTGATTGTTCAAATCGCGCATATCGCACGTCAAACAGCGACACCCTCTCTTGAGCAGTCGGCCCTCGTGCTGGGGTCTTTGCTCGGGGCACCATCGAGGTCATGGAGCAGCAACCCGGACCTGTAAACTGGGCGCCATACAACCTCCCTGGCCCTCGTACTCTCTCAACCATCAGCAACAAGGTCCGATGCTTGCTCACTCACGGCATCCTCCATCTCTCGTAGCGAGCTTTGTTATCAAATTGATTGCGAACAGCCAAGTGGCCAAGACTACGTCCTACTCGAGGCTCCAGACAGCCACGCCGGTGGCGCCGATCTTGCCGTTCTCTCCGCCGACGAGCAGCGTGGCGCCCTCGGGTGCGGCGGGGAGCTCCACCTCGTCGGGGCCGTAGTTGAAGGCCCAGAGTGCGTTGCCGTTCCTCCTGAAGCGCAGGTCCTTGCCCAGGTCCGTCTTGCTTCCCTGTGGCATCTCGCCGAAGAGCGTCTTGACGCCGGCGCTGCCAGCAATGTCCCCGAGGTACGAGACCAGGAACTCGACGGGCGTGTATGCCGAGACGTAGTGCGTCTGCTTGTCGCCATCCTTGTTGCCGCACGTGGCGGGGGCACCATCGCGGTAGCCGTAGTAGGTTGCCGACTGATCGATCGAGACCGAGGCGTTCTTGCCGTCGCGCTCGCACTCGATCCACTCGACCCAGCCGGAAACGTTGTACTGCTGGCCGCCATAGGAGATCATGTCGCCAAAGCCCTCCTTGATCGTCTCGACACGTGTCACCTTCATCGGAAGCACATCGCGCACGGGACCGTTGCTCGGAGGAAGGCCATCCGGAATCGAAAGCGCAGCCACCTTGGACGCCGAACGAGGGCCGAACACCGAGACGCCCTTGTAGTTCGACCAGGTCTCGACGAATTCCTTGCTGAGGATGGGCATGCTGGGCACCGCCACCATCTTGTAGCCCTCGAGCGGCGTCGAAGGGCCGACCACGTCGACGTTCAGGCCGAGCCTGCGCAGTGCCGAGTACCAGTTGAGCACCAGCGGGAAGTACTGCATCGACGGACTCTCGAAGCCCTCCATGTCGACGCTCCAAGTGCCGGACTGAGGCTCCGCCTCCATCAGCCACTGAGCCGCATAGTCGAACACCAGCGCCACATCCGCTTGGCCCTCGGTCTTGGTCTGCACCGGTGCATTGTCGGCAACGTCGCGCTTCTGGCTGTCGTTCGACTCGAACAGGCTCATCATCTTGGGCAGATCCTCGTGCACAACCTGCTGCTGCTCGAGGTAGGCGTGGTCCGGTACATTGTCTCGTCGCAGCATGGCAGCGTGCATCTGCTCCTGTGCGAACGGAACCTCGCGCCATCGGAAGATGTTCGACATGCTACCACCGTGCGCAAACGTCTCGTGCTGCCACAGACGCACCATCCCGAGCTTCGGAGAGGGGTTGTAAGGCGCCCAGTTCACCGGGCCGGGCTGCTGCTCCATGATACCGAAAGGTCCAGCGGTCTTGTTGTAAGCAGCACCTGCTACACCACGGTAGAGATCGTGGTGAAGGGCCTGGAAGTCGGGCGTGCCGGTTCGGCCGTATTTGACCTTGTCCGAATCCGAAATCCAAGCGAACTGCTCCGTGTTGCCCAACGGATACGAATCCCAGGTGGCGAGGTCGAGGCCCGTCTCGCGAGCGAGCTTAAAGTGGTCAAAGTCGAGGAAGGCGCCCATGAAGTTGGTAGTGATCGCCTTGTCCGAGTGCTTGCGGATGATGTCGACCTGCATCTTGGCATACTCGATGGTCATGTCCGACGAAAAGTGGTAGAAGTCGAGACGACCCGCGGGGCTGCTCTCCGTGACCTCGAGCATGGGCAGATCGACCTGGTCGAACGACTGATAGGTCGAGGACCAGAATACGCGGCCCTCCATCTCGTTGTACAGCGTGATGTTGTTGTTGTACTTGTCCGCAAGCCACTGCTGGTAGCGGGTGCGGGCGTTGTTGTCGTACGTGCGCACCGTGCCGTGGCAGCCAAGCTCGTTGTCGATCTGCCAGCCAACCACCGCGTCGTGCTGGCCGTATCGCTTGGCCATCGCCTCGACGAATCGCTTCGACAGCATGCGGTAGTCGGGAGAAGACGTCGAGTAGTGTCGTCGCGAACCGAACTTGCGCACGCGGCCCTGTGCATCGGCGCCGAGGATGTCGTACTTCTTGACCGCCCAGATGGGAGGCGTAGCAGTAGGTGTGCCGAGGATCACCTTGACACCCTGCTTGTGCAGAGCCTCGATGGAGTTGTCGAGCAGCGACCAGTCGTACGTGCCGTCGGTGGGCTCGAGGATAGCCCAGTCGAACTCGCTGATACGCGCATACGACAGCGTGGCGTTCGCCATCTTGGCTGCGTCATCCTCCCACAGGAACTCGGGCCATTGCGCCGGGTAGTAGTCCACGGCAAAGTGCAGTCCCTTGGGCCATCTTGACGAGTCGGGCTGCTTGGTCAACGAGAAGGGGTACGCCTTGGTGTTGTCCACGTCCGGCTGGATGTAGTCGCGCGAGAAGAGGTTTGCTGCGTCCAGGTCGAAGTCGCGTGCCGGGATGGCAGAAGCCAGCGCCGGGAGGAGCGCAACAAAGGCGCTGAGTCTTGTCCAGTTGCTTGCCAACATTCTTGCGGTTGAGCGTCGTGAACAGGGTGGCGGAACGTGGAGGGTGTGGGCGTAGAGCTGACGGCTATATATTCGAGCCGCACCTTGGCCAAGCGCAAGTCTGTCAGGATGAGCCCCGCATTGTGACCCCGCATCTGGAGGAAAGCACCCGGCGCAAGGCCGGAGCTGGCGAGTGACGATCTCGGCGTTTGTTGAGCCGGAAGAAGAGAGTCACACATTTTTAGCAAAGCGACACCAGCATGCTCGTCCATGCACAGGCCGGTCATCGGCGTGGGCAAGATTTCCGAACTCCGAGCGCGCATCGGCGAATTCCTGGCGTTCTGGCAGTCGCACCAATGCAGCAATGCGGGGTCGTACGGTTGGGAGCCGCGGCCAACTCAGCTCGAGTGGCAATCCTTCCTTTGCGGCTAAGCGAGTTGGCTCTGCCTTGCCTTTTTCGGACCCCATCGGTCGGGTTTGATCGGCGTTCGGCTCTTCGCTCTGCATGTCAACTTTTCCCCCTCGTGCCTCCGTCCGGCAACTGCCGAGCACTGCAGAGGCGGCGTGCGCCATCAGCTGACTTACGAGGTACCACTCGATGGTAACCGGAGCTCCGGATGGTCGGGGAAAGCGTGTGTCGCTCCACCCATGCTGGGGCGCACGGATCGCTCGGAGGGGCAGGTTCGCGCTTCCGTTTGGCGAGCTGCTGAAGGTCTCGTTCTTGGCGTCCTCTTGTGCCAACACCCCATGCGGCTCGAAAGGTCTTAAATGCCGCACTGTCGCCATGGCTATCCGACCCACTCAGACAACAGTATCAAGCGCCGAGGCGTTCAGGTAGTGGTCGCAATGTCTTCCCCCCCCCCCC